ATAAATTTAAATCATTCTGTAATTTCTTTATTTAATCTTAAAATTCCTTTATGAATTGTTATAACAAATTTTCAATAATTAATTAAAATTATTTGAAATGTATACTTTATGTTAAGAAAGAATTAATTTATTGAGAATTTAAATTGGGTAATTACTTAGATATCTGATATTTAGTTCTAATTCCTCCAATTAATAAAAAGAAATCATTTTAAATTAAATCCATTTATTTATTGATTGTATTTATTAAATCATCAGATTCTTTTTCAATTGTTGAAATATGTTCAAATAAAGATGGTAACTCTTCCTAATGTTAAAGATGAGTAATATGCATTCCAATTTTAATACATTCATGACAATATAATCTCTATTCTTTACAAGATTCATCAAAACATACTTATTTAACATTCTTAGTATGTTCTGGATTAGGACATTTCACAATTATATCTTCACCTTAATTCATAATTAATATTATTATATTATCTATTCCAATTTCTATTAAAAAATATTAATAATAATAATTCATATTATTTTTATATCCAATTTGAATTTCAAACAATTTCAACACTAATCTTTACAAATCCTATAATTACTATTATTAACCCTGGGTATTAAATACACTGTTCAACTTGTAATATTGTTTCCATCAATCTTACTAAGAATATCCAAATTTATTCTTTCAAAATATAAAATTTTAATTGCAATAACCTCCATTTTAATTTATGCAGTTTGAATTTTGAGTATATTTCCCTTTATTTATTCATGGCATTTATTTTAAAACAAAAATGTAGCTTGATTTTACTTTGTATGTGACCATAAATCAAGTTCTTTAATAATTTCTAACGAAATTAACAACATTATCACAAGTCTTGTTTTAAAAGCAGCTCAGCTACAATTTATATCTTAACATAAGATACTTTAATTGTTGCAGTACAAAGCCTAGCCTCATCTGTGCATCATTTTGATGTAGTTATACACGTTTTCAAATGTTATAAGCCCTTTGTACACAATTTTGTTGGTAGCTAAAGCTTTGCACATAATTTATCAACACATGCTGTGCCTATCCAAAACCATTTCTCTCTATAAGTTTCGATCGCATATCCGGCTTAGAGAACATCTTCACAATTTGATCTTATAACAAAGACTTCACCTTGTTTAGTCGTATATATTAAAATGATCTCTTTGAATGCAAGGCTAAATCTGTAATAAATGAAAAATTATCACATAGCTTGCTGACATATTCGCATAATTTATTTTCACAACCAATTCAATAAATAATCTTTATATTTTATTTCTAATTCTATACACCCTCTCCCGCTGTGACCCAAATTATAATGAAATTGGTAATTTAGGATTATCATCATCATCTTTACATTTATGTTTGTCAAGATGTAAATTTCCTACTTCTCATCTTCTTTTTTAATTACTCCTATTTAATCTATCCTTCTTAATGTAGATATCGATATTATACATTATGTAGAAATCTCATAGCTTTGTAGAAATAATACTCATAAATTTTACAAGCAGTAAGAATATCTTACACCATCAGGAATAAATTAGCATAATAATTGAATTTAAAAATTTTGTAATCTTGGGCAATTAAAATAAATTTTTATTAATTTTAAGAAATTTCATTTTGAATTGGGATAGAAAGTTATGATGAGTTGAGATACTTGGCTTTTTAGAGGTTTTTAAAATTTTTCCTGATAGCATTTTCATCCTAAATAAATTAAAGGTATAAAGAGCAAAACCCTCAATTAATATTATTGGTACCATTTTGGATGGGATATAATTATTACTGTATGAGCTGCAATGTGACCCTTAATTTATGAAAGCTTTCTTGCTATTTAATTTTAAATTTCCAATTTAGAATATCAAATGATTAATTATGTTTATCTTTGATAATGCCTAGGTCGGATTAGAAATTAGTCATATTAGAAATAAAAGGAAGGAAATATGGAAGATATAGTTATTTTATAGGTTATAATAAGGTTTATCAAAAATATATTAAATTAATCTTGAAATTATATTAAACATGCATAATAAAAAATATGTATGAGAAAATTTCTTTACTTATAATAATTGAATATATAAATAATATCTATTACTATCCTTAGACAAATAAACACCCTACCGATTCTATCTCTGATACCTTCTTATAGATGGAATGACTCTCATCCTGAGAATAATTTCATTCATCTATTTCCATAAGTTGATATCATATAATCTTTTATCGATTAGTTTCCTACTATATTCCTCTGCAATCAGACTTATTGCAGCATTTGAAAAAGTCATTGGCTTTAGATTTATTAAATCTTTCAACTAATTCTTCAACATTCTTATTCTTTTATTCTAATCTTATAGACAGTTATTCTTTCATTCTCCTATCAAATTTTCAGATTATATATCCTTGTCTTTCAATTGTCTAATTTGATACTCCTATGCTGTTGATTTATCTTAGATTTCAAAAAATGTTGAATTTTTATAATAAATCCTTTAACCTCTCTCCTCCAATATCATAATGTCCACATTCTTTTTATTTTTTGATGTATCTATTTCCTATATCATTCCCCAGACTTCATCTTTCCATGCTTTATTTTTGTTATTATCTTAGCTTCCACGTCCATTTCTCCTCAATAATTTAATTAATAATTCTTACCCTAAATTATTTACGGTTTCTTTTTTTTATCAATCATCAAAATCCAACTGGGTTTTGGGTTTGGGGTAATGGAGAAATTTGAAGATGTTTATATAATTTCTTAGAAAATAAATTTAATATTATAATGTTTAAGTATATTAAGATTGGAGATGTAGTTCTTATTCAATTTTTTAATATCCAGTTTTCAGTAAATGTCTCTAATCTAATTATATTCACAATACTGATTTAACTTATACATAAAAAATATTCATATAGCTAAGTAGGTTATTTAAAAGAAAATTTACTTAAATTTCCTTATATCTTAGATCTCATGAATTTAAAATTTACTGGGCTCATGACATTTTATATTTCTCAATAATTTTCTATGCCTTGCCCTTGTATAGTATTTTCAGGGTTTTTGTGCTATTATAATTCTTTTTCAACTCAATCATTATTTATGCAAAAAGAGATTTATGCTAATTTATACAATAAAATACAAAACCTAATTGAAATATGTTATATCTTAAGAATTCTATTATTTAGGTATTATCCTTGTTGTGATGTAAAATTAGATAGCCTTCTTAATAATTAATTTAAATTGAATTAATTTTCTTATTTATCTATCTCAATTGGACCTAGGTTGGGTCATTTATCTTTAGATTACATATTATAGGGCTAGGCAATCCTTAGTTTCAAGTAATGGAGAACCTCGTATTAAATTTTCAGTGATTGTTCGCAATGCTGAGAAGCTATTACCTTAGAGATCTAATTAACTTGCATGCTATCATATTCCATTTTCTATACATTAAAGTGGTTTAGAATTCAATCTTCTCTAGAATTTCATACCTAAAGTATTCACCTTCCTTCAGTTTCAAAATCTACCACTCCTTCCTTCATAAGATCCTTCTATCTTAAGGCTTTGTTGATAACTTAAATAGAATAGGGAGGATTTTTTCCCAATCAGCAAAAAGGAGTCAAAAGATCATAGTCTTCTCATGTCTCATTAAAAGGGTCAGATTGTTCATCTAGGCTCTAAGAATGTAAAGCATTTTTTTAAGCATATATTTTCTCTAGTATCTAAACCTGCCAGGTATTAACTACTATAAGCTTCTATGCCACCGAAACTCTTCAATTCAACCTCATTCAAAATTACAATCTTATATTATTGTTTTCTAGGATTTAAGGTTTTAAAATTAACATCTCTATCTCATGTAATTTATTTCATGTAGTCTGCAATAAAATTATTCGCTCTCCAAAAACTCCCTTGATATATCAATCCTTTTACTCTATTCTAGTGTATTGGCTTCAAGTTCTTACTATCAAATTTTATTTATTGGCTTGCATAAGTGTAATGTTTTTTTAATCAAATTTAATCTTGCATTTTAATGCTTTAATCTTAAATTAGGCTATTTTACAGTAGGTTAACTTAAATTTAACCCTCATTAAACTAAGCATGATTAGTTTGATTCTCTAAATGATTTCATTATAATCATTACCTTCTTTGAACAACTAGACACCACTTAATAGAGCACAGGAGATTATTGAAGGCTTTATTCATTCAAATAAATAAGATATTTATAAGGCTGGGGTATTGTTTTATGAATTATTGACAAGTAAACGAGTTTTAGAGCATAATTATTCTTAGGAATTGACTCTGCAGCAGTAGCTCTAGTCACATTTATGCTGCGTTCTTATTCATATAAGAATTAGATGTATTAGACTGCTTAGAGCACCATTGTTATTGATGAATTGTCCTGTATTGCAAATGCACAAATTATTATATTATTATTTAGAAAGTAGCTATTAATTTTACAGAGTTAAAACCTAACTCATACATAGATGACGAAAGAAAAACATCAATTATTTGTGAAGATTTTTTACCTTAATTAAAGCTGATAAATTAGACTTGAGAATAGATGATTGTGTATATATACCCTAACAGGAATTTTATGAACAAAATTTCAAAATAATTTAAGAATCAAACTTTTACAGAAGAGGTCTAAAGTATTTTATCTGAACAATTCTGTGATTTTAGATGAAGAAGATTCATCTTTTCAATGGGAAAGGCATATATTCATATATGACCCCAATATCTCTAAATATAGTTCCATTCTATTTTTTACTTAACTATCAAATTTTCTACATCTTTATCAAATGGTTGAGGACTGCATCCCTTATTTTACTATACTTATCTGCTCTGAAAAACTATCCCTCAAATTTAAAATTATGAGTGTTACCTATATTAAAAAGATTTACAACACCTCTATTGTTTTCCAAATACACATCCAAAAAAGCGTTATATTTCATAAAGATGAAATTATCTAGAAACTATTCAATCCCTAATCAAATCCTTGGAGAGTTAATCTCTTAGAAGAGATTTTCTTTCGCTCTTACTCCACTTTTACTTTATCGTTTTTGGCTCATCTTCTCTTTCCATATTTTCTAAGCTCTTTTGCTAATAGTCTCTATTTCAAGCGAATTGCTAATCTTATAAGCATAATCACTTCAATCTATAAGAATGATATCTTTTCCTTTCTTAATTAATTTGCTATTATTTATTTGGGTACCTACCACATTTTTGATTTCTCTAAATAACCAATTAACTAATCGATTATATAACTAATAGAGCTTTTCGGCAACTTAAAACCATTGTAAAAGATATTCGGAAATAATCTACTCAAATTTATAAATTACCAAAGTGAAAACTAACCCATAATAACTTCATTAGAAATCTAAAATAATATCTTCTCAAGTTCAAACTATATTAAAGGAGTTATATTCCCTTTTAATTTGTTTTCGCTTATGTTTAGAAGGCCTTTTTAATCCATAAAGTTAAGTTATGCCAATTATTCAATTTTTTTCATTAGGATCCTATTAGGTTTGAAATATTGCTCACATATTCAAAGGTAACTTATTAATTTGCTTTTTATTAACACCAAACCCATCAATTTAAGATAAATTCTTCAAGCCTCAATACTTTTGTTTAAGAATACCCTTTGTCTTCAAATCAAGTACCTTGGAATTTTCTGTTTTGAACTCGTTTTCAATATAATAATGTCTAATAATTTATGAAGCTTTTTATTAGACACTAATTTTCCTACTATTCAGTTAAAAAGTACAATAAGATTTAGTTATTAAGGCTTATTATCGTGTTTTTTATTAGTTATATTAGAATTCTTGGCAGCTTAAAAATATCTGATTTATCGTATTAGATTAGACTATTTCCATCACTAAATTAACTTAAGATTTATTTAAAAGATCTTGATCTTAAGTTTGCATCATGCCAGTTACAATTCTCGTATTCTCAAGTGTTCGAACAAAGATGAATTTATTTTGTTTGTTGTTTTTAGGAAAATTCTACCAATTCTACAGATTGCATAATATTGAGGAGATCAATATCTTATCATTGAGGATGCTTAATTTCTCAAGAATCGTTCAACAATTAATATTGATTTGATTAATGCTTTTTTGATGAAAAAATCATTAAATATTGAGCATTGTTTCGCTTACTCAAAATAGATTTTAGGTCTTGACTCAATAACCACATAGTATAAGGTAAGCTAGAAATGTTCAAAGTCCAACAATAATTTATGCCTAAAATGATTCATTATAGTATATTGTATTTGGAAAATAGTCAGAAGGCTCTAAAATAGAGGAAAAATCACTAAATTAATGATTTAAGAAATTTGATTATTTTAAATCACCAATTTAAAATAGCTTTGGTTTAAACTAGTAATTTAATAAAACAAATTTATTGGAATCAGCCAATTATTGTTTAGATAATAAAGGAGTGTGCTCAAGATTTAAACAAAACCAAAAACTACAGATATAAAGATTTCACCTTTGAAAGTATTAAAAAAAGAAATTCATAAATTTTATCCATTATGATATGATATTGCAACTAATGACTCCTCTTTGCCATTAAATATGAGTAGTAACTCTAATAAATTTACTCAATATTAATTAGCCTATAATATTACTATTCTTTTTATTATTTAAGATATTATCAAAATACCCTTAAATGATAACAATTAGGCACTTAAAAATGCTATCAGTTAATTTTAATTTTGTATTACTTTATAGTTTAAGTTTTATACTACTATTTAACTTATCTTAATCGATGTTGAAGTAGCTTATAAGCTAAGATTCTTATTTTATTGTTCTTTCCAAAACCACCTAAAATTTATTTAATTGGATCGTTTTTTTTACAAATAGCTGTCCATGTTTTGTTTATCTGGGTCTGTGCTTTGTAATTTTGTAAGGATAAATTTAGGTAAGGAAAAACATTTCCAAATGATTGAGATTGCCAATTTTTAATTGAAGAGCCAACGGTTATTGTATCATCATAGTCAGGATTCACAGAGATTCCGAGTTCAGTTATTATCAATTTATTTTACAAAGGATGATCAAATGCATGTAATGATGTTTAAATATGCATAGTTCTTATGAATAAAGGAAAAATAAATGCTTAAATAATAGAATAGCTGCATTCCTGTAAAATTCCATAAAATAATTTAAAATTTCTGATTCCCCAAAATTCATTAACTGCATTTTATCTAAAGTAGTTGTCATAACCAAATTGATAGATAGGTTATTATAAATAAAATATTTTGCTTAAGCATTAGAAATTGTTGGACTCCAACCAATCAAAATTATTCTTAGTAAACTTTATTTTTCATTTGCATATATGAAACCATTTATTATCCCAAATAACAAATTTCCAAAATTATACTTTTGAATCTTACATTTTATATTTAGATAAATCTATTTTTAAGGCTATTTTAGAATACTTAGATAGCAATGAGTACTCTCCTGTTAGATTTTTATTAGTAGATATTTAATATGGAGATTGAAAATAGTAAATAATTTGATTATTCCAGCCCAATTGAATTCGAAAATCCTGAGCTTAGAAATATTGTTATAAACTCAAGATCCATTTTACTAACATAGTATTTTAAATATACCATCTAAACATTCATTTTTCATGTCTGTATCAAGGTTGACAGGATTAGCAGTCATTATTTTTGGTCTAGAATAAATAATGCATATGTCATTGCATTTGGCTAGTAATAATCTAAAGCCTTCTAATCTCCAAAATCATTTGTAACATTAAGGTCAGAATAAATGCAAGTTTACGGGCTGTCAGATGTATGAGTCAACTCTAAAAAAATGTCTAATAACTTTTCACCCATCCTATTTTTTATCAGAAAGCAACTATAAAGGCAGAATTTAATTTGTAGGAAAGATAAACTGCCTTGGTATTAGTGCTCTTACTAAATTCTTAATGAAATCAATAATTTACTATACAACTGAAACAAGATTGACATCATTCAACCATAATTTAGGCTTTAAGCTCATTTAGTTTATAGACTACAGAATTACTTTTCTCTTAGTGTCAGTGGTTATACCTCTAAAAATAAAGTTGCTCTAGTAAATCTTAATTTATGGAAATTTTAAATTAAATGTTATGGAACTTCGCTTTTCACACTTTTTAATAAGCTAATATGTTAATGTTGGTTAATTTTTTGGTAATAATTACATACTTAATCTTACTATTTTGAGTTTCAAATCTCTAGTTTAGGAATATTATTTAAACTAATAATTAATTGTTATGAATCATTAATATTTCTACAATTTTCAAGCCCTAATCAGGGTAAATTAATTTTAGAATGAAATTTTCTTTTCTAAGGCTTATTTTACATAAGCAGGAATTGTAATTCACATTACATTCAGATAGGAAATTATTTGTTCTACTGACCTAAGCTTCTAATTATATTGAGAAGTTAGTTCCAGTGAATTTTTTTTTATTTTTCGGGTTACTAATCATATTTTGATATTAAAAAATAAATATCTTAATCTAATTATAATTTAAATGAAATCTTCATATAAGCAATATTTTATAATGGTTCCAAACCATCTTGATTAAGTGAAATTTAACTAATTTTATTGAGTTTAGGCCTAACTAGAGTGTTATATCTTTTAAAACATTGGATTCATTATATATAAGCCGTTTAAGATTGCAAATATTGCATCTAAAATCAAACTGTATATTAATTTTTGAATCAGAATTTTTGATTCCGAAATTAACTACTAAAACAACAAAGGAGTAATTTATATTTTGAATTCATGCCCAATTATCTAATTATTATTGAGTATCTATTGTCAAGAATGCCTAAGATGAATTTATAAGTTTGATTGAAATAAGTGAATTTCATTTTGAAATACCTAGGCTGTTTTATAACACTGTTGATAGTTTTCGGCATTAATAGAGTTACTATGTAAATTATTCTTACTCATTATATAACTTCATTTGTAGAATCAAAAATTTATTGAAAGATAATTTATTCTGTATTTAGAGAACAATTATGTTTCTTACTAAGACCTTTTATAGGGACATTTATCTTTACATTTATGAGTAACTTTCTAATGTATTCTTTCATAATTAATTCTTTCTTTTATTTATTTCCATATTTCATATATATGGAAAACTTAAATTTTTTACCTAAATTAACGATTTGAGTTTTTAATTGAGAAATATCTGATCTGAATTTTAGTTCATCTAAACAAGATTGCAGGCCCTAAAAGAAATATTGTCAAAAACATGAAGCTTCCATTCAATCAACTGAATAGATTGCATAATCATAAGTGCTTTCATTTAACAATTCATTAATTTTAGGTTTTTTGATTAAGATTTCTTTCCAAAATAATAAGTAAATACCTATTTATCATGATCATCTCCTTTTTCAAGCAATATGCTAAGGCATATTTTTTAAGAATTGTGCTAATTTAAATTCTAAATCCACACTTCAGTCACAGAATAAAATATTAAAATATTATTTTTCTTAAAGGTGTTCCTGATTTCATTTTGTTAAATTTTCTAATTTTTATTTCATTACTGAATTAGAGTCAATTGATATTATTTTATCAAAGTATTTTGTATATTTTTTTAAGAAATTTGTTTCTTTACAATTTCTATTTTTCATTAATTTATTGTAAATTCTGTTTGGTATATTTTGATAAATCAAGGAATTATTCTAAAATCTAATAGGCCATTAAATTAAGTCAATCTTCGATATGGCTGTTAAACATAGTCTTCTTAAGAGTTTGTAATAGATCTTGAAATTCAAACTACTGTCCTTTAACTCTTAATATGAAAATTGAATCGTTTGTTGGGTTGTACTATTGGAATCGCTGTATTTTGCTTCTGATTTTTCATTTTTTCTGCACCTAATTATGTCAAACCACAGTTTCGGGAGTTACACTCATTCCAATAAAAGATTTAAATTAATTATTGAATGATGTGATCCAGAAGAAAGATTTTACTGAATAATAGTTCATTTCTATCTCACCTTGTAATTGATTTAAATTTATAAATACAAGCCACCAATTCCCCTAATCCTCCTAACTATTCTTTAAAGTAGGGCACACATAAAAAAATATAGAAAATCATTTATATTACTTGATTAAAATAACAATCTCACAACTGAGAAAAATTGAATATGCTTCAATAATCATAATAATAATATTATGTTTAAAGTAGGTTCAATATTTTTACTACATTGATCTAATCCAAATAAATTATTTTAGCATAATATTTTAAAGTTATGTCTTATTTGCCAATTTTTTTAATGCAGGTTATTTCAATTGGAGAGGTTTTTCTATTCTTAATTTACATAATTATAGAAAATTTTTAGAGTTACTTTGTTTTAAGGGTATTTATCTTTTGTCACAGAACTAAAGTTCTATTTTATAGTACAATTTCAATATTTAAAAAGATAACTGAAGGTTCATAGAATTTAGTCACTCAGTGTATGGTTAAGTTTTGTCTCAGGATTAGTTCTGCATGATAAGGAAAATAAAACATTTCATATAATTCAAAAGTGTTAAGTCTTAGGATGATAGGCTATTGTCAACAAATTTAGTTGTCAAAATAATTCACAGATTATCAAATCAGATAATCAACCACAATTACTACAATGAAAGCCAGAATATATTAATTTAGAGTTCCTCAATATATTTAAAATCTCTTAATATAAAAAATAATTGTGTTATAATTTTAAATATTTAGCATCTTTATAAACTAAGCAGAATTTAATTTCCATAATGATTGTTGATTAATTTTTTAATTCTTAGGTTATAGAGCAAGTAGATTGTTAATTTTAACACTATTATTATTATTTTCACTTATTATTTAAAAAAATGAAGATAGAATCACTATTTACATTATGTTAAAACCTACCAAATAAGAATACATGAGATAATAAAAGGAATTAGAATCAATATTAATTAGAAATCACAAGAATGTGCTATAAAAATAAGCTGGAGTATTGATTTCACAATTGATATTGTGAAACTCTTAAATCCTAATTTAATGTAATCCCAAACTTATTTATTTGAAAGTTAGGTTTTAAAAACAATAATGAGTTTATATTTTGAAAAAAATTTCTTCACAGTCTAACAGCATTTATGACTTTTCCTGTAAAAATGAATTCTCATAAAATCTTAAGAAGAACAACATAAAGTATTCCTATAATCACATTTTTTGTTAAAGAATATCAAATTTGAAGAAAAATTGTAGAAATCGATATGTTTAATTTTCAGAAATCGAATTTCAATGAACAAGTTTTGGGAAAGATTGTGATTTAAAAAAAATACTATGTATTTTTAACCTGACTTTATTTCTACTACCATTTGTTAGAATGTATTTTTTAATTGTAGTGAAAATTTTGTATTTATACATCTTCATGGTTGATAATTTACGTAAAAAAGTGGTAAGATAATAGATAGTCTGTGTTGAGAGCAGATTCTCCAATCGCATTAGATAATAATTTATTATAAAATAATTTTTAGAAAAATGCCTATTAATCAGTTAAATGATGATTATTTATTAATATAAATTTATCGTAAACACACTCTTTCCTGCAAAAACAAATTTATAAAAAAAATTCCTGAATTGATCGTGAAGCTGATTCTAATAAGGTTTCAAAATCAAAACAAATTGTAAAAAGAAAAGCAACTAAAATACTTCCAAGTAGTTTGACTAGATAAGTTGAGGCTGCCTATGGATTTCAATCAAATAAATGGATGAATAAGAATTTATAATCAACGCAACACTGATCATTTAATTAAGTTATAAATTAATTATTGAATTTAGCATCAATTTGCTTTAAGGTTGGCCATACTTACTTTATTTTTTTATAATACTTTATTTGGTTCTTATCCTTTTCCATAAGATCTTGATCCTCATTATTTATCATGCTGTTATATATATTTGGATATTGGAAGGCATCTAAGACCTCAGGTCAAATGCAATTAATATTATCTTTTCTTTTTGATCATATAAAAATGATGCTTTGATCGTTTGGTTGAAGAATTTTAATTGATTGGTACTTGTTTTCTTACTGTAAATCTAATACAACTTCTCAACTTTAAGCATCATTATCTTCTAAAAAATCTTCTATTTCCGATGTTAATCAAATAATTACATGAATCACAGAATTTTTCTTTTTACTAATAGAAATTTTCATCCTTTTTGAAAGTTTTGTTTTAAAATTTCAAATTAATACCTTTAGAAAGTCAGTCCTTATACTCTTATTCTTAGCAGTTATCGATTATTTTATGTTTAACTTCGATAAAGTTTCTGGAGCTTATTTGGGTTTCGAAAAATTAGGAAGTAAGAAATCCTCACATCAAATTACTGTTTACATAAATATGCTTTAAATATATCTAATGTTAAAATTTCAAAAAAAAAATAGGAATGACCTTTTTTTTCATTTTTTATATCTTATTTTATGTGAAGCGAAACTATAAAAAGAAGAATAATGATATTGAGCAGGTTAGTGATATTATTTAATTAGAAGTGAATGGCATTTTGATCTTTAGATAATTTTTTCGTTATCTCACTTGAATTTCCAGTTGAGGAAATTCACTTATATATTTATATATCGGTGAATTTATTTTAATGGCAACTCACCCTTTCATATTTTGCAAAAATAAAGAATATCTTTTTGTATTTTATTATAAAATATCAAATATATAATGTATAGTACGAGTCTTTATCTAAAATCCATTTTAATTCTATTTAAATTCCTAAATATTGATTTGATCAATTTCTTTGTTAGTTATGGTACTATTTCGGATTTTTTTTATTAATTCTGAATTTCTATGATGTAGATAACTTTGTAATTGAAATAAAAACTTCTTAATTTTTGATTTTTTAAGAGTATAAACAAAAACATCAGCGTAACCTAAAAACAAAATTAAATTGATTTTGGATTTAATATCTCTTAAAAACCATCCATATAAATGTTAAATAGACAAGGTGATATTGAAGAACCTTGTGGCACACCATCTTAATAATAGTAACAGTCGTTATATCATATGGGTTGATATAAATAATTCTCCTATGACTTGCTTCGAAATACTATTCTTCTAGTAATTAATCTAATCTTTAATTTAAAGGTCTCTTCGTTCCATAGATTAGCTAATGTTTACCAATTCCAAGATTTATTATATTAGTGGGTTAAACAATAATACGATTTGCTTTATCTTTCCTAATTCCTTTTACAAGCTCTCAACTTCATTCTTATATAATGTAGGTACTTGATCACCTAAAATAATATTATTGGTTTAATCTAGATTACTATTGAATATACCATCTTCTCGCTTATTCATATTCATTATTATCGTTTTTTTAAATAAAGAAAAGCACTCTTTCTTATTGGTTGAAAAAGTTTTATAAAATAATTTTGTTAAATTCTATTCTGCACTATAAGGTTGTATTTTTTCTTACTCTTATACTTCTTTTATTCAAATATGATGTTTTTGATTACCTTTTCATAGGCTTTGTAAAATAAGGTAAAGTTATTGAATTTATCTTATAATTTTTAATATTTCTTTTCTTTAATTACTATTTACATAAAAGCAATTTATATCCTAGTTAAAGTATGATAAATCATTTCATTATGCATTAATTAGATGTGGTAAATTCTTGTTTATTATTATATAATCAGTTTAAGACTAAAATATTTTTCTCTAATTTAACTTCTAAATGGGATCATATTTTTATTACAGCCAATATCAAAGCAATTTTGAATTGGCTTCATATATAATATACCAATATTATTGACTCAATATAATTCATTTTAGACTAAAACTACTTTGTGTTGTGAAAAAGAAGACCTCTTTTTCACAGAGGTTATTTGTATTGTGAAAAAAAGATGCTTCTTTTTCACAGTATGAATTTTTCATTTCAAATTAAGATAAATTTTTTGGACATATAGATGATTAATTATAATTGTGTGAAAAAGAAATGTTCTTTTTCACAATGTTAATATTAATTCCTAATATAAATGAATTAGATTGAGTCAATAAATTTGGCATATTTTATTGACTCAACATAATAATTTAACTTATATTATGAAGCCAATTCAAAATTTCTTTTGATATTGGCTATTGTAAGAATAAAGTAAGGAATAGGATTACTTTTATAATTAAAATCTCAGCGTATTATGAAATATTTTATATTTTAAAGGCATTTAATATTCTTTAATTGAACTTACATTTCAAGAAATGAATTGTATATTAATGGTTATACAAATTCAGATGGAATTGAATAGAATCTCTAAATATAGAGATTTTAATCGAATTCGAACTATGTAAACTGTTGATATTTTAGCGATAATGTATAAATCTCTAATTTTTAAATACTTGAATATTAATTCATTATATAATGTAACAATACTGCAGAGGTAGTTTGGATTTAACTCCTAACGATAATATTCGATCAATTTTTAATCATAGTAATTTAAAATATAGCCCAATTATATACATAGTATCAACTGTAATGTGATTTTATTCTTGAAAATTTCTTATCGCAAAAAAGGGTAATCTAATGATTAATTTGAATTGTTAACTTAATTGCATAAATTGTAATATTACTAAAATATGTGGTCCATATTTGCTTGAAGTTATATTCCCTAATTTTGATCTAAATTCCTTCAATATAAAGGGGGTTAAATTATTCTTTAGATATTTGTGTTGTCCTTACATTTGATATTATAAAAAATAATTTTTCTAATAATTTACACTAGAATTAGCAGATGTTATTTCCTAACTTCAAAATACAAAATGAAAATCCTTAAAATACATGTATTTTTGATTAAATTTTATAAAATAATATATTTCGATCTTTTGTTATAGACAGTCATATTGTTGAATCTTCCTTTTATATTTAATTTTTTAAAGGTGGATAATAGACAATAACATTCAAAACTTAATCCTCAAAAGTGACCCCAACAAGTAAGTGCTTATCCTTTAGACTTTTCGAATTCCAATAAGAGATACTCATTGATAACAGTCGTTATGAATTACATGAAAAATATTTTTCACTTGGCGCTGTTGTGAAAAAAGTTCAAATTTGTAAAAAAGGCTTTGATTTTTCCCATTCAAATTGTGTTTACTTAATTTTTTATTAGTTAAGTTGAATGAAAATATGCTAAAATAATACTTAATTTTAACAAGCCATTTATACCCTCCCTTAATTAATGATATCAATAATTAATTAGGTTCACTGATTAATAAGGTCCCTACCGTTAAATTAGTTTGGATGAGCTTGCTGTGATCTTTTAGGTAAAATTGTGGCAGTTTATATTATATGAAAAAATTTATTTCCTGAATCCATATTGTAGGCTTATTTTTATATGATTTATTGGAGACGTTATTTATGAGTTGGTTTATCAGAAAGTACCAGAATAAGTGGAAGTATGATCTAAGGCTTTTGAAATTATTTTAAATATCCTATTCTACAGCCTCAAAATCTGTTTGGAGTAGATGAAATTTATAGGTTTTTGATCAAAAATTGTGTTTTATGATGTCTTTAATTTCTACTTAATTTAATTAAGTAAAAGACAATTTTCTTTATATCTAAATATGTATTACATATAGTAGTGTAATGAAATTGTGAAAAAAACGAGTATTTATTTTCATCTTTACTCTTTTACAATAAAACCTCCCAAAGAATTCTAATTAAGTCGTTATTGGAGAGATTTTATATGTGACTTGTGATCTATTTATTTGTCAAAGTTTTATATAACAATATAATAATAAATTTCTCCCATAATAAACTTTTATATCATTCAATAATCCCCTTATTGGAATGAACTGTGTTTTGCGGGAGTTGGAATGATTTATATAGATTGGTTTTATGTTTGATAAAGTTAGACATATAGAAGAACTAGAAACTGATTAGATGTTTAGTAATTTTCAGATCTAATTTCTTTATTCACATGCTAATAAAGATATCATTATAAACTTATAATAACAACACTATATAGGAACTTTTTTATTTAATCTAAATGGCACAAAAAAAACTTTGGCACTCATTGGTCAAAATGGCAAAATTTTCTCAATTTGAAATATGTATAGAATTTTCTGCACCAACTTCTCAATAACATCTTCCTGTTGAAGGTATTTGGAAATTATTCGATAGTAATATCAAAAGAAATCATAATTATTTTATATATATTTAATAAACTAGAATTGATAATCTAATTCAAAATAATTGGAAATATACAGTGACATGGATGAAATTGAATATCAAGTTTTCTCCTAAATATACTGTTTCTAGGGTAGTCTCATAAGCTACTCTTTTGGATTCCCTGAACGAAGAAATAAGCCTACGTCTGGCCTAATTGATGTTAATGACTTGTTTCCTATATCTAGCGGCTATGTTACAAAAAGTATTGAAGACAAGGGATGAGAGATAGATTTTATGTGATTTAATTTAATTTGTCTACTTATTATTTAACTTCTATATTTAAAGGTAGAAAGTTGTTTTCATTTCTTTATTTTTGAATTATATATGTTAACAAAATTATTGATTCAAAATGTGTTTTTAAACTCAGTATGCAATGCTCTTGAATTAGAAATTTGTAAGTCCCAATTAGTTGCTTTTTTAGTTAAAATTGAAATAATTTTGTCTTAAAAAAATTCACTCATTTATTTTAACAATAGTAGATGTATGGGACTAAAATAAATATATATATTTATCTCCTAAATGACCCTATAATTAGAAACAGGCATTATCGAATAATTGTTATTGATCGAAACATAAGGATTATCAATTAAATGTTTTTTTAAGAATTTAATAGGATATCTAAGAATTTTTTTTTTTCACTTCAATAGATTCTGCCAAAAATTTTACTCAACACTTTTGCGATAAATTTTTAGTTGACAAACATAAATATTGAAAAAAACAAATAATAGAATTCAATAATAATTGTAAAATAAAATAATGAGTTGCCCTTCTCATATACAAAATCAAATATCGTATATATGCATAGCTCCTCATAAGTGTTCATAATAAAGGAAATTGTGTGTTGAATGCCTCTAAGAACACGGAATGAACCCCAAAGATTAAGTTCGGATTGATCAATTCCAAAAAATGGTTTTAAATAAATTTTAACAATTTAAACTAGATGATGCATCAGAATTTCTTAAGCAGAATAAATTAATACTCTCTCAAACTGAAGCAATTTTGAGGTAAATTTTGGATGTAATATCTGAATCTATAAACTCGCCTTATAATTAGCTCGAAAGGAAAACTCAATTTTACAGAAATCTAATCAACAACTTTAAAAATATAGATGAATGCACCTATGCTGATATAGAACAATTCGTTTCAATTTTAAAAGGGGATGCAATAAAGGACTTGATTGATGAGAAAAATTCTTATTTGATCAAATTTGAAAAGAATAAGAATTTATTGAAATATGAAGTTAGTTCCTTTTATGAGAGATTGAGAAAATTAATGAGGGAGCAAGACTAAGTGTATGTTTGGTAAGAAGATTTATATGGATTATTAGAATTGACAGAAAATATTGATTAAGAATACCTTAATGGCATTATTGAAATTTTTAGGAAAGAGAAAATCACAGATTGTCTGGGATATCTAAACAATCCTCCTAATAACAACAATTAAGAAGAATCTAAGATAAAGTTGGTCACTAATGTTCTCAAAAATATTAGTGAGATTGATTTTAATAAGAAGAATTATTCAATCGAAGAATATAAAGAAATTCGAAAGAAATTGATTAAAAAAATAGCAAATAGAAACCAAATTTTTCAATTTTTTAAATTTCTTGTTCAGCTAACTGCAATAGATGAGAAATTTATTTAATGTGGATCCAATTCCCTCAATTTACTAGTAGAAATGAAGGTTGATGTCAGAGAATAAAATTTTGAAAATATTCGGATAAGTGATACTTCATTAATTGCAGCTAATTTTGTTAGGTGCAATTTAAGTGGATCGATATTTGAAAATGTAGATATTAGTGGAATAAATTTAAACGGAGCTCAATTATTTAATTGTAGATGGAAGAATTTAAAATTAAATGAAATATGTTAATTAGATGGACATAGCAGTGGTGTTAGATCTCTATGCTTTTCTCCTGATTGCGCTACATTAGCATCTGGTAGTGGAGATAATTCTATTCGTTTATGGAATGTTAAGACTGGAGAATAAAAAGTCAAATTAAAGGGCCATACTAATTAGGTTTATTCAGTTTGTTTTTCTCCTGATGGTACTTCATTAGCATCTGGTAGCCATGATAAGACTATTTGGTTATGGGATGTATAGACTGGAAATAAAATAACAGAGTTAAGAGGTCATACGAATGATATCAATACAGTATGTTTTTCTCCTGATGGTACAACATTAGCATCTGGTAGTTGGGATTAATCTATTCGTTTATGGGATGTTAAGAATTGGTAATAGAAATTAAAATTAGATGGTCATCGTAGTGGAGTCCTATCAGTTTTCTTTTCTCCTGATGGGCTTACATTAGCATCTGCTTGTTGGGATAAATCTATCAGTTTATGGAATTTACAAACAAGATAAAAAGGCCTGCTGGAGGGTCATGATAATGATGTCAATACGGTTTGCTTTTCTCCTGATGGTACAACATTAGCATCAGGTAGTAGTGATAACTCTATTATTTTATGGGATGTTAAGACTGGATAATAGAAAGCCAAGTTAGATGGTCATCGTAGCGGAGTCCTATCAGTTTTCTTTTCTCCTGATGGTACATTATTAGCATCTGGTAGTAGTGATAACTCTATCAGTTTATGGAATGTTCAAACTGGAAAGTAAACATGCATTTTGGAAGGACATAGCGGAGGAGTTTTATCAGTATGTTTCTCTCCTGATGGTACTATTTTAGCATCTGGTAGCAGTGATAACTCTATCCGTTTATGGGGAGTTAAAACAGGACAAAAAATTAAGCCCTTTGAAAATAGTCGTTAAGATATTTAAGCCAAATTACATTCACTCAATTAGGACAATCATTTTTTTGAAAGTACAATTTATCCTGATAATAAAGATAACGAAATTGTTACTATAAATCTTATCTCTCAAACACACCCAAAATTTTAAGTATAAGCAACTTTGATTGTGGGTGGAGAATTTATGACTAGCCAAAGTGTTGATTTAAGATAACTTTTTTAATAAAGTGGATGTTATGTTTTTGAACAGAATGAAAATAAGACGAGTAAAATTGTAAATTGAAAATTATCATAACATTATTATCATGAAATTTCAACGTAATTTGAAATTTTAGTAATTGTGCATTACATATTAAAATTTTTATTCGTTTATAAAATAATATTATAACATAATTATAGAGAAATCAGTAATTATTTATTCAGATTTTAATATTATTCATTAACATCATTTATAAAATAAAATGATGAAATAGATCAGAGAAATTTATAATCTTTGATATACTTTCTGATATATTACTTGAATATGTTTTAATGTGAATTAGATGATAATATTTTAAGATTTTAATATCTACAAATGTTGATAATGCTATCACAATGAATGAAAATTTTATTAATATTTTTATGTCTAATTTTTAAGCTAATATCACAAAGAAATGAGCGAATATTAATAATATTAAAATACACCTAGTCAAAAATCAATTTCTTTTTACTTTTCACAAGAACAGACATCATTGAAGGAGATGCACGTCATATACCAGCATATTAAACCAATTTTAACTCATCAGATAATGAAATTGATAATTTCTGATTTGTGCAGTATCATCATCAGCAATAAATTGCCATAATTTCCGAGATGGTTGCTTACGAATATATCTTGAAGGTGGTTAGTGAGTGCATTTTAGCCAATTAACACTGCCTAACATCGATAAGTAGTTTGTTCTTGTTTTTCATTTTTAATTTATATGTGCTTTGCGATCCTTCAGTTTGTATTTTTGGCTGCTTTTAATTGGTTAACTTGCCTTTAAACTTTTTTTAAATCTCTAATTCTTCTAAATTTAAAGTTACTTTCTTAAAAAGTTCTCGTGACCATTATGCCCACTAGTTTTAAAAAAGCAAAGAAATGAACTTTATAATAATATGCTAAATTCCATAAGGAAATTTGTTTTTTAAATTTGATCATTGAATGTATATGTAGATCAAATACTCAATGAAAAAGGATATTGTTAATTTGTTGAAAAAAATAAGTAATCAACACTACACTTGGGATGAAAAATGTAACCCTGCATTAATATAAAATATCTAATTCAGAATTTCTAGAATTTGATTATCATTATTGCTGGATAATTAGTATTAAAGAGAGGATAAATTAAATTTCTTTTGAGATGACTGATATTTTTCATAACCCATCTAAACAAGAATGATTGACCAATAGTTTTAAAATATTAGTAATATATTGGAATAGTTGAGATCATTTTAGGGAGTATATGAACAATTTATGGAACCAAAGTACATAGATTTCTAATTAAAAAACTTGTATTATTTATTTTGACTTAATTGTAATTATTCTTTCTAGTAATATATCAAATAGCTTTCAAAAGTGATGAAATAATTTTTATTTGTATTTATTATTTTATTTTTGAATATATTGTTATTTTTTGTATGAATTTAACTTTGTATTACAAACGCTTCCTCTTTACTTAAAATTTCATTTATAATTGAAACTTATGATAGATGAATATTGTTATATGAATATTGATTTCCTATTGCTTCTAATGAGTTAAATTTTAGTTTGCCTATAATTTGAGCTTTACAAATTTGTTTAATTAATCTGATTATTTATTGGATTGTTATCTATACAGCACTCAACTTAGTTTTAAAATGCAAAGTCTTTTTGTTCTAACATTCAACCTTTATATTTTCTTAAATGAAGAAGGTTCAAATACTATATATCTTATTAAGTAGGACCAATTAACATATTTGTATTGAGTTATCTGATATACAAATAATTTTTGGAAGAGAAGTAGAGCATATTGATCATCCACTCTCTACCTGGTAACCTTTTTGGTTGTAAAACCTAGGTCTATTTTTATACTTACGAATTTAATTCTGGCTTGTTTAATTAAGAACGCTACTTAATAATTTAAGCAAATCATTTATACCAAATGTTTATAATTGATATATATGTTAAAGGCCGTAATAGAATAAGTATTTCATCCTCGAAGCAAAAGAGATTATTAAGCAGCTTTCTAAAATTGAAAACCTATAAGTAATTGATTCCCAACAACAATAATTTAGATGAGTGATCAAGATAACATTTTGAACCTACTGCATTGTCTTTTATTAAGATTCATGTAAATTTGAGATTCTTTTTAGTTTACTTAATCTTAATATTGATTCGGCATAATGATTGGTCCTTCCCATGGGCCAGAATTTCATGAAAAAAAATACAATTTTATTAGTCTCTTTTTGGATTTAATAATGGAGAATATGCTCGCAGAATAAATGCTCTAAATTCATAAAAATTTTGGATTTTTAGCTTTGTAAATACTACAATGTGGAAACAAACACAAAACTATCTAAGTGATCTTAATAATTTTACTAGATCAAAAACTACTCTTCATATTTCAATCATCAATTGAGCAAAGCACACATAGGTATTTCTAAAAAAATTCTTATCGACCAAAGTATTGAAAAATTGGTTTAAATTAAGAAAAATTGTAACAATTATGAAGATTAAAAATTTAATTGTTTAAATGTAATTTGCAGCTTATTATAAAAGAATGATTTTACTTGAATTAAAATAAGAGAACATTGGATTGAAAATTCAAACCTTTGACTATATCAAATTTGGTTTAAAACTGAAAATATACAAGAATTTTACAAATTTAAAACTAATGAAATGATTTCTAACTCTTTTCACTTTTCAGGATTAAAACAGGATTTTTATTCACTTTTGATTAGATATTTCCCAATGAGCCTGCTAGAAATCTAGTTTAACAGTATTTCCTAATGTTGCAATATGTTGATTTCCTTTAAAAATCAATGAAGGAGGGAGTATTAACATACTTCAGTTGCAACTTCATTTTACCTGAATCCTTTCCTTGTGAAAATTTTGGGAGTACCATGAAAAAATCATTCAAACACTTCCTACTTCTTGTTTATTTGAGGTTTTTTTTCTCTTTTATTTGCTGAATAAAATTATTGGCAGTCATTGTTGTATGAATTCCTTCATATGGTACTTTAAAGGAATGGTCTAGCAAATAAACACAAATGAAGATGCTATTGTTTCTAATTATGTTCTATTTCTAAAAAATAATTCTTAATTCAATTAATATTTCAAATCTACTGGAAAAAAGACATGTAGAACCGGAGCTATATATGAAGTTTGGTGTTCACATACATATGTGTCTGAGGAACTGTCAACCAATATCTTATTGGAAAATTTTTGCTTGAGCATATAAGGTTGCTGTAATAATGCGATGAGGACAACAATTTTGTTAGAGCTGTAAATAAGCTCACAATATTTGAGCTTCTTATTTAAAATTCTGCAAATGTTATTGTGAATTAAAATTCAACTGAATTTTCCAATTGCACCAAACTAATTTGGTCGTAGTTTAGTTTCAAATTACAAGAATGTAAAGGATCTAAAACACCCAACTTGTAATATATACATCAACATTTAGAAGATGAAAAAGTATTTATGAGTTTGTGTTATCCAAAAATTATATTAAACAATATATATTCTCTAATATGTAAATGATAAAAAATATCTAAATTATTTAAAATTGTAACAATAGGTTTTAAAAATTACAAATTATTTATTTTTATAGATTTTATTTTATAAATAATAATATATTATTAATTAATGAAATTATTACTATTCCCCTTTAATAGATTTTATCTAAAATTTATATTAACAGACTTTAATTTTATAGTTCTCCTATTTGTGGCAGATTTTCATTAAATATAGGTATTGTGAGCATCCATTAAAGTCTTGATCTTAAGATTTCTGGGATAATAACACCATATACAATATAAATGTAATTCAAAATTTTATCACAATCGAATAATGATTAGATTGATTAAATTTAATTCAAAATTTCCCTATTTTACTGTTGATAAGTATTGCTTATGTATTAATATTTGAGACCAAGATTTAGGCCTAGACAGGACTTGTACAATATTTTAATGTTAAAGTAGTTTTCAGACTGAGGTCTTTATTCTATATTTTATATTTTGAATATCCATAGTTTTATGCAAAACTCCTTGCATAAATTTTATACTAGAATAGATATATTTTGTAGTTATTCATAATATTAACTTTTTGAAGCTCTTGTTTGAATTTGTAATTAATTAATTTTTGATTGGATAACAGTTGGAATAATTTTAATATATTCATGAAATTAAATTTATTATATTTTTTGTTGACAGCATAAAACATAATAATAATATTAAAGAATTACCAAATATAAAATGTTGTCAGTAAAAATATATCTCATACTATGAATGACAAATTAATCACAATGAAATTTTATTAGTCATATAAAAATTGTTTAAATAATTTCTTAATTAAAAAATGTAGGTATTAACACCAGCAGATCTAAAATCAGATAAAAAAGTGATTTTATATGGAGCAACACACTGTCCCTATTGTTCTAAAGCAAAAGCTCTTTTAACAAGCCTTAATGTAGAATTTGAGTATCGTGGAACTGATGTATCAGCCTAATTTGAAAAAGAAAGAGAAGCATTAGGAAAACACCTAGAATATGAGACTATTCCTATGATTTTTGTTAACAATTAATTCATAGGTGGTAACTCAGATTTGCATGAGCTTCATGAAAAAGGAGGCCTGTTGCCATTGTTAAAATGAGAAAGTATTATCCATATAAAGAAAAAATTTATATATTAATCAGCATGCCAATTCTTCAAGAATAAATATTACTTTCTTGAATTATTTTATGGTATTAAAAGATGTAAATGTTCTTCAATGCTGTATTTTCATTATTTAATTTTTGAATTTAATTATTTATACAATAAATCATGGCCTTTACTCTCAGACATATTTTTATATCAATTACATAAAATATCTAGTTGAATATAAATCTAAAATTCATGAGTAAATGTTCAATGTTAATGTAAGGTTGTTCTTTTTTGATTAATACTTTTCTCATTTGTAATATTTAATTTTTTTCGAGTGGAAGTAAATTTCAAATGACTTTTTTATGAAAATGGAATAATTTCCCAATTAGAAAATCGTTGAATAAACAGCACTATATTAATTAAATCTAATTCTGAGAAAGTACTTAGATTAAATCTTTGTTAGATAGTATTTCAACTTAATGATGATGATTTTGTTATGTTTAGACTTTTTTATATTGGCTTTTATAAAATATCTCTACAACAATAAAGTGAAAAAAATATTTTTTCTTTCCTAATCTAATATATTTCTCATTATTATAAATGTTTCCAACAGTTATCATTTATTTTTACTAAATTTTATGATAAGGGTATAATCAAATAAGTTGTAATTTATTGTTTTTCAATGAGATGCACAACATAAGGCTTTCATTTTAGGAGTAGCTTTAAACTTTGTATTTTCAAACAGAAACGAAGCATTTTAGATATAAAAAATATATAATTCCTCATATATTTTTATTTATGTTTACAATTAAATCATCGTTCAAATCAACAGTTTCTCAACCATTATTCTAAATATCATAAAAATTTAATAATTAACGATAAAAAAATTAGAGTATTATTTTAAATTAATAATGAGTAGGAACTTTAAATTAGGTATAATTTCGATAATATAGAGTAGGAGAGATAGAAAATCAAACTAAAATAAAATTAGCGAAGTTTTCAGGACAGAATAGCAGATTATTTACATTCGTTGATGATATAAATTAAATTTTCATCAACAAGATTGAATTTTCAAAAAATTTAAGTGATTTGAGTATATAGAATCCCTTTTATAAACAATTTGGGATAAGTTAGAATGAGATTTCATCTATAATTTTTTCTTAGTCAGAAAACGAATTAGTGAACGGGTCTAATAAAGGAATAATAACTTATTGGGATATATCTACATAAAAAAGTATAAATTATCAACGATTTTAGTTATCCAAAATATCAAAGCACATTTATCTGGTATTAGTTGTTTGAGTGTATTTCCAAATGATAATAATTTATTGATATCTGGAGGAATGGATAGTTAAATAAAGATTTGGGATTCACGACAATAAAATAATGGATTGACATTAAGATCTCACAAATTATCAATCAATAGCATGATGGTATCTAAGGATGGGAAATTATTGGCTTCAGGCTCAAATGATGGAAGTGTTAAGATTTGGGAAATGAATACTTAAAAATAATTGGTGTCGTTTAATGAATCAGATTGGCCTATATGTTGCGTTTAATTTAATCCTGTTGATAAGGCTGTTGCAGCATGTTCAGATGACGGTTGTATCAGATATTGGGATGTTGATAGATTGAGTCTCATATCTCAAACAATCCCAGACAAATAATGTATTTATCAGATAAAATTTTGTGAAAATGGTCAATAGTTATTTTCGGCCTAAAACTTCTCCTTAAAAGCGTGGGATATGGAAAGAGATGGCTTATTATTGGATTATATTGATAGTCAATGGAAATATATTTTAGATTTAAATGTTTTTGACTCCAAAGACATTATTGGGTTGACAACCCAAAATTCTACAGGTCTGAGTATATTTGGAACAAAGATGAACAATATTAACAATGAAAAACACATATATCGAAATCATAGTGAGAAAGTGCATGGGTGTTAGATTAGTGATTAGGGTTATGAACGACATAGCGTAAATGTATTGAAACCAAAAAACAATTAGATACAGAGTTATGGAAATATATTAGAAAAACAAGGCTTTTAATTGTGTAGTAATAATTCAAACAAATTTTTACCGACAAGCCAAGTTGCATAGAGAATTAATTATGAAAGTGTAATTTAAGAGGAAGATATAAAATAGAGTTGCTTGGATTTAATAATTAGTCATGATGAGGTGAATTTATCTAGTTTTGTCATTGACGATTCAAATAAATAAAAATTTAAATAAATGGATTAAATCAACGACATTTCAAAAGATCATAGTAAAGTTATTTAAATATTAAATTAAAGAATCAATTATATGAAACCAATTATGCATTGGTGGAGTAATAATAATATAAAATCTGCAGTAAATGCAATAAATTAATTAAGTGAGCCTTCCATTTTATTTGATGCATTATTGATGTGTGCTTAGAGTTCAAAGTACAAATCCATTCCTATGGAACAACTACCTTAGCTATTAGAAAAATGTAAGATTTTAATAGACTCAAAATACTTATCTCATATTAGAGGAGGCCTACTTTTTTGTTATAGAACATTCACTACCTATAGAGACGTACAATTTTGTAATCCATAAATTTTAGGATATTCAAACTATTAAGAGTTTCAATTAGATGTCCAAAGTAGATTTGAGTAGAGAAGAGAGAATAGCGAAATATGATAAAATAGTAGAATAATTAAAATAAATTATTTAAATGTCTAAATTGACTAAATTAATTGAAAGAAATAAAATGGAAGTTAGTGAATTAGCTAAAAAGTTACAAATAGAGATGTAAAGTTTGCTTAAAAGAATTAATTAATAATGAACACTCAATTATAATATTCTTATTATTTTGTATATAATAATTATCACAAAAACTTGGTTTCTGAATGTTTTTCCAAAAATAGGCCACTTTTTAAATAAATATTATATATCCTTCACCTGCAAAGAATGGATGCGCACAGTCACTAGAATTGCATTGTATAATGAAAGTTGAACTGATATACTATTCTTCAACTGAAGTACTATACATATCTCCTTCGACATATCATAAATAAGTCTTCCCTCTTTTAGAGATTCTTGTCATCAACTATAATTGAAACCAGATCCATATCTTCATTATAGTATCGACTCTATTTTAACGCTGCAACATTGATAATTAAATAACACATCAGGATAGTATAACTTTTATATGTCCTAACAAGAACCAGAGGTATCCTCTTTCTCCAAAGAAATAGCCTAATCCTATTTCATTTTCTTAATACTGTTTTTCTTATTCACAAAATGAATATCAGACAATAAGTGTTGATCGTTAATTTTATGACTTTTTTCATATTCATTTTGATGCCAATAGTTACTATACTTAAGTAATTTTCATCAAAAGGAGTACAATCAAATAACTACTGATTTCAGATCAATAGATTCTATTTATTTATACTTATACCTATAATAAATATACTGTAGAAGCATCTAAACCTTAGTTAAGGAAGACATTATTATTAAGAAATTTACTTATAGGTTAGTTGTATTATGGGTTAGTTGAGCAATTTAGTATTGCTCTCCATTGGAGAATGGATGACTTCACTTGGATGCTAACCTGTTAGAAATTTGGTACTATTTTTAAACTTATCAAGAGGCACAATCATCATCAGATAGGATTTTGCCATAATCATTTAATTATGCGTCGTATTTAAGTGCAATTGATTAAATACTTATTGTTTTAACTCTAGGAACTAGAGCTGCTTCACATTCTTTGACTGGATATACAGGCATCTTTGCTGCTGCAATAAAATATTTATTTCGAATTGATATAGAAGAGCATTATTTTATATTGGATCTATTTCGCAGGATGGAGCTAAATTTGTTTTGCATCTCATGTTACTCAAGTTGTAAGTGAAAGGCGAAATTGCTTAAATAGTTACTTCAAAAGTAAACATTTCTTAGCATTATTTTGTGTCTTCTTAATAACAATAAATGATAATTTATAAATTGATATCCTTACCACTCCAAATCATATTGTATATGTGAGATCATATAATTCCCCCTTTTTTTATATTGCTGTTGTAATTACTCAAAAAATGTACCTACCTGCAAATGTAATGCAGTGAAAGCCATTATGGAATATAAATGAATCCAAAGAACAATCCAATAATAAAACCTACTTTAGTTCATACAGTTATAAACCATATCTAAATATTATTAATAGTAAAATACAGTTGCTAATAAGAATAGGAGAAATAAAGTCACTGCATAAATCAATTAATTATAGAACATTCCAATCGCTACATTTGATATTTGCATACATCCATAAGCAAACTCACTTGCATAGTTATACCTTACCTATTCTGATTTGATTGAATATCAACTCTCTCTCACAATCCTCCACAGTAGATATGCCATATCAATGATAATAAGGATGCTATATTATCAACATAATTGGCCAATCTACTACGACATCATTGCCAACTGCTGAAGCTGTAAAAACACCAAGACCCAATGCACAAAAAGATATTTTGTACAAGTTACTATTGCACCTAAAATATCACGGACAAAAATTTAGAAAAATTGAATTTAATATAATCTTAATATTCTATACATAATTTCATTTAGTGTTAAAGTTTCCATTGTTATAAAGACAACCTATGGCTTTATGATTTAATTCTTGGTATTTTAATCCTTTGGGATTTCCCTAAATGAAATTGATAATATTGATACTTAATTATTATTTTCATTAAATTTTTCTTCTGATGTCACTGGTTCATATTATAGTTTTGAATTTTCTTGAATTAATTTTTATTACATTTTCTCTTGATTTTTTCTGCTTTCCTTCCATTTTCTAAATTCATATGACTAATTTAGTTTATTTTAATTATGTACTTATGATAGATTCTTTATTATTTCAATAGAAATTCCACTAAAATTACTGACGCAAATTCCTTATTATTATTATTTTAATGTGATTACAAAACCCAAAGTTGATATATAATTGTCGAATTATTTAAAAATCTCATCCTATTTGATTAGATGCTATTTCAAAATAATTTCTTCTAATTTAAAATTGCTAAAAAGATCAGATCTCAACATCTATTCGTGATGCATCAAATAAACGATTGTATCAACCAACTTATACTCCAATATTCTGTGATCTTTCAATAAGTCTTCACTTACCCTATTTAAAGCCTCTAAATCTTGCAATCTTTCTGGTACTATTTACCCTGATATAACTTATAATCTATTTTATTTTGATATAGTTTCTATTTCTTTTAAAATATATTCTTATTCTTGATAATTGGAAATCTTTAGATCTTAAATCAATTTTGGGAATTTATTGTATCTTAATTCTGTTTGATGACTAAAATAATCAATGGTGAAAGTGGATCCATCAGGTAAAACTAATTTAGAGCCATTTTGACCTATTTTTGTTAATTTGTCTCCATAAATATATGGATTAATCTAGATTAAATTAAGCATATTAATTTACATCTTTTTTGGTTAAAAATGTTTTGAGATCCTTCTCTTCTTCTTTTTGAATTCCTTTATTCTTTGGAACTAACTTAAATTCTGAAGATCCTTAAGATACTGAATCTTAACTGGATGAGATGCTGGATTATCCTTAATTTTATTCTTTAGGTTTTGGTTGTTATTTTTAATTTGATGAGACTGATACTATTTATTATTTCTATTATTGCTGTTAATATTATGATTCTTGCAATTTATGTATCAGTAAACATGAATTGTTTAATTGCTGATTCTATTTATCCAATTTTACATTTTACTATTACAATGGCTGTTGTTTTTATATTGTTGATAGAGTTTAAGATTTAAGTCTAATCTTTTATGTCTATAATGTATTATTGTTCTTAATTTACGATAAAGAATTTACATCCAATTACCTAACCTATTTATATTTATCTTCACATTTTTATAATTTACCATCTTAATATTTTTACATGGCCCTTGCGGTAGTTTCTAGATTAATTTATGCAGAGAATAATTGTTTAGAATAATTTGGAAACTTTTACAACTCTCGATATGTTTCTATAATTAACTACATCACTTCTTCATATTCTAAATATAAATACATAGCAGTACTTGATTTATTTTTGACATACTCTCCAAACTATTAATTTTCAATTTCTTTCACTTTATCACTCAAATCTTTTCTATCTTTTAAAATTGGGACTTATTTCATAGCAGTTAATAATTCATGTCTTTTTTCAATTCTTAACTTTTCATAATAATTGTCATAACTAGACTTCTTAACCTTTTTGATAGACTATTCTGGCTTGTCTTTTGCTGCGGATGGAATTACCCTTTTCTTTTATTTCATCTAAATTTTATCTAGATATTGATTAATATCATCAAATGGTTTCTTTGGTTACAAATCTTTTAATTTTTCTTATTTTTGGTAGCTAGAAGTATGCTAAAGTTCTAACAATAATTATGAAATATCTATCTTTCCTTCTATTAATTAGTTCCCATTGGTACTACTTGTCACGACATTAATGATTTTATTCATTAATTATTCTAGGTATATGATATATCCTTTTAACTTCTCAACCTATAATTTTTAATTATTTAATAATGTTGAATCTAGAATCTCATATCCTTAATGTACAAGATTTTGAAAAGAAGAGAAACCTTGTTTTCCAGATTATCCACTTTTAAATTAATTAACTTATTTAATCCAAATAACCATTCTTACCCTTTCATATTAATCTCCCCATCTAAGATTAGTTTTTAATTCATTAAATTCTCTTTAAGCTTGATCTGATAATGGATTACTTTCTATTTATTCTAATCTTTTATTAAATTCTTAGTAGTCTCTCAATAAATTCTCAGTTTCAGGGTGAATGATAATGCAATCCTCATTTTATACCTAAAGCTTCTTCATAAGTTCAGTCAATTATCTACAAATTTGTGATGTCTTCTATTTTTATAACATCTATTTAATAGTAGAATAATTTCCTTTCAACTACTCATACTAATTTAACCATGCCTATACTAATTATTTTTCTTCTTATAGTGGTAGTTGTTCCAATTTTTCCATAAGATTCTATACCACCATCTCCTTGCTTTTGACTGATGAATTTTTTATTAGATTTATATCCTTTTTCACCTATTAGCATTCCTGGTACTTTATTAATAAATCTTCTTTATTATTTATCTCAATATTTGATATTTTTCCCAAATCTTCTAAACATGATTCCAACTCTTCGAATGTGTAATCTTATTCGTTCTTTAACTTATCAACAATATTTTGAACATTTTCTGCAATTGCTAAGATCTTGTTGAATTATGAAGCATACTCTTCAAATTCATTGTCAACCTCTTCCATTAAATTCATTAAACTTGTATATTATTTTTTTGCCTTTTATAATTCAACTGTTTTTTTTCCCTTAACAATGTCCTTGATCTTCGATTAATATATCTTTATTTTCAATTGATCTAATAGCAAATCGTCCTATATAAATGACGAAGTCAATCTTTAATATAACTATGAATATATTTAGATATCATCATTTTTACAATTATTGAAATCATCTTATATTTGTTTAATATATTCTAAGTCTGTACAAAATTCTTTTGAAAAGAAATCATGCACCATATTATTTATTTTTTTAAGTTTTTAGTCTAAATCGATAGCATCTAAAATAGAGAAATGTAATTTTTATTTTGATGATGACTCTTACATCGATTTCTTCTTTTCTAAAAATAATTATTTTCTTTATCCATATTCTTTAAATTTATCCACTAAATTGTTAAAATTATTGACTTTTTGATTTATTATTTGAATAATTGCTGAATACTTGGGCATATGAGACATTTAAATTATTTCTTATATCAACTTGAGACTCTCATATGTGTATAATTCAGAGTTTTCAATTTCTTAAAATTTCTTAATGATTGTTACCCATACATTATAAATTTTCACTTAATCCCAAATTCCACCTTTGACATTTAAAGTTATTTAGTTATAACCCTCAAACCAATCGGATAATGAGATTTCTTTTGGTTATTTATTTATGTAATCTTACAATGGTGCAACTATCTAATTCAGTATAACAAATTATTTATTAAACAATTCAGTGAATTAATCCAATTTAGCTTATTCTATATGATCTTATAATTGAAACTTCTTTGTTATTGCAGATTCTATTAATTGATTACTTATTTCTTACTTTTACTCATATAACGATAATAATATTTTGACTTATTTTTACCATAAAAAGTTTGAATATTAATTAAAAACATTATTGATTCTTTTATCGAGTATGTATTGCTATTTATTTAGGATGGCTTCTAAATCATAAATCATTGATTCTTGATCATTTTTAAATATGATAGAAAAAGGATTGCTAATTTATTTAATTTTGAATTGCAAATCTGGATATTTATCATCTTCAATTTCCATTTCCTAATCAGGAGATTTATATTTTTCATAAAACTCATACATTGATTATACAAATTAACAAGCTTTATTTAAACTTTATAATTGCTATTTCTCTTCAAATAAGATTTTACTTTAGGATATTTCTTGTAAATATATCTTGGCTTAATCTAATTATTCACTTTCATAAATTTCATTTTCTAATAATCTTTTAATTTCTTTCTTCTTTTAGTTATATTTATTCATTTCACATTCAAATTAATGAATTATTTTATCATCAAAATGATATTGTTTTGATTTTTCTAAACACATTTCTAATTATTAAAATGTTTGTGTTTTAGCTAGTCTTATTCTTTCAACTTCTTAAAATATTTCTAATTTTTATTGAAGTTCTTTAATTTCTGGTACATCATATAATTTATTCATTTAAAGTTCTGCTTGGTATTTTTTTCTTAATTATTCATTTAGCCCTTTTTAAAGTGTTATATTTCTTAATCTTTATCTATATTCATTCATTTATTATTCGACTCTATTCAAAAGTTGAACCTCCTTCTAAGGAGCTTTAGTTTCTTTTTATAAGTCTTTAAGCATTTGTAAATGTGGAATGGAGATTTTAATCTAAATTTCCTTTGTTATTTATTATAATTCGCTGTCGTCATCATCATCATCTCTATCTTAATAATAGTCAAGATCTTGAATGTATAGTTCATATAATTTGATTTAAGATAGAAAAGCATAATGTTTCGGAAAATCTTTGTAGTAACAGAATGTTTGTTCCATTTTGTTGATTAGAATTTGAATGCCATTATTTTAATTATTTAATTTGGTATCTTCTAATTATCCAATAATATGTTATCCTTAATTTACTTCTTATTCTATGTATGAAATCCAAGATACTTAAATGGATAAGTTTTCAATTTATTTTAATATCCTATTAACATACTCTACATTAATTTTAAATTAATTTAATTTAATTCTGGATTGGGACATGAGATTGAAGAATTCTTAATAATTTTGAATTGGCTTGATTTCTAATTCAAAATATTTTTGTAATTTTTTATACTCATCATCATCTTCATCATCTTCTTCTTCAGAAGAGTCAATAATTCTATTAAATTTAGTTTCAAAATCTGAGAATCTATCTTGAGATTTTTTTAATGTTGATATAAACTCTCTTTTTATTTTTTTATATGTTGGTATTTATTTTTGTAAATAAATGAATTCTTGAAATGCATTTGATTTATATTCCATTAATATTGTAGTCTTAGTTATTTTCGATTTCATTATAATGATGTCAAAGGCCTTTTGTAAATGATTCAATTTTTGTAATAATTCCTGATAATATTAGCATTCTTCAAAATCTTTAAACAAAGTTATAACTTGTAATAGTTTATTTTTTAAAGCATTATTATGTTGAATATTTTCAGGAATAGTGTTATTTTTTTCATCTAATTAAGATCTGACTATCCATTAGTTTTCATCTCTATAAGGAATCTTTTAAGAAAAAATAAAATTCATCAAATCAACCAATTTAGATTTCTCCTCAATTTGGCTAAGCTGTGTTTGTAGAGAATTTGGAAATGGGAGATTCGAAAGAATAAATTAAAGTATTTGGTATTCAACTTCATTATCTAAATATTTAACTTATTTTTACATTTTGATTTCATACTATCTAGAGTTCTTTCGCAATAGATTCCAATGATTAGGAGTGAAATGAAATTCAATTTCAAAACAGGGGGAAATAATTGATTTAAATTAGAAATTGGATTAAATCTTAAGATATGATTTAATTTATTTTTTGCCCATCTAATACAGAATGGACAACAATATATGTCTTTACTCTTTTGTTCTTGAAAATCTTTTTAGTATTTTCTTACACATTGATCATGAAACCATTCAGTACATGTTTCACATTACACCATATCATCTGAATCAACTTCTTGTTTACAATAACAATAAGATTTCGCAGATTTGTGTTTGAAACAAACCCATGATAAGATAGATCTAATATGATAATCATTAATTACTCTTTTTCTTCTTCAATTCTATCAGTTTAAAAGTATTGTTTAAATAATACATCTAATTTGATTTACTTAGAATTTCCTTCTATTTTCGTATATTAATCAAATATATTTTAGACATTATTTTTTAGTAATTATTTGTCTCTATTTGTTTGAATCATATTATCAATTGCAAGCATTTGTTTATAATTAAAATAGAATTACCATTAATTCTCTTTGCTGCTTTCTGAATAATCTAATTTAAATCCTCCAGAGTCTGTGACTTTTAATATAATGCAATAAACGTGAGCATATGCATTACATTTGTTGCATTTTATGGTTCCAGTAGATCCTTTACAATATACACAAGCCTATGAGTTTTACTTTAATTTTTCTGGATTTAATTTATCAATTTATGGAATATTTTAATTATTTAGTTTGTTAAATTTCATTTCAATAAATGAGATTATTTCTATTTATTTAGAGAACTATGCACATAATGGATGTACAAATTCATTAGAATTAAACAATTTTTTTTTGAGACCTAATTTTTAATTACAAACAAGGCATGGACAATCTTGGAGTTTATTTGACTTGCACTTGTCACATTAAAAATACCCTTAATTATTGGAATTTGACAATTTTTCAACTTCTGTTGATATTCCATAACAATAGTAATGACAGGTTGATAGACATCCATAACATGTTATCATCATCATACCTAGATGTAAATTTGAGAATATACCAATTTCAGGCTATTAAATTTGTCTATCAAATCCGATTCCGCAAATCTCACAACATTCAGCCTAATAACAGTTGTAATTATATATACCTTTTTGTCTTTGAAATGAGGTTGTTTCTTCAGTCTGAATCCCTAGTGCTGCTTATTTAAGTGGTGTTAAACTAAAGATAAAATAGGAATTATAATTATTATATAATCGTATATAAAGCGAATAAATATATATAGATAACACACCTACTGAAAGATCTAATTGTTTATTGCCTACTTGGTTCATTTCCCTGCTTGAATCGTCTTAAATATTTAAAAAAAATAATCAAAATTTATAATCAGAAATCCTTTTAATTATTAATATTGCATATAAAATATTGGTCACTTCGGTACTATCCCAAAAAATTAATCATATCTTTTGTCGATAAACACACTGGCTCTCCGATTATACATCTGTCCTGTTGTTGATCCTTACATTTCAGCCAAAACTTATAAGAAGTTCGCCAAAATATGATGGAATTTAGCAGTTTCCAAAGCCCTCATTTGTCCCATCCTAACGAATTTCTTTGCATAAACTTTAATTCTAAAATCAATCATCTAATTTATTTCTTCCTGCAATTAATGATTCATAAAAGCATACATCTCCCTTATTTCATTTACTTGCTTTGTTTCATTAGGTAACATATATTTGAAGGCTTCTCCCTTATTAAACTAGAGTTCTTTGAGTGTTTTTGGAATATCAGGGGGTAATTCCCATTTAGTAGGATCTCCTTTGATATATAATTACTCTTTCTTTTCATTTACCTTGTTCTTAAGATTTTAATATTTCTGTTGCAACTAATTCTTACTCTGTAAATAATCATATGCTGATGATTACATCTTTTTATGATATCTAAAGAACTCGTAAAAGTTTTCCTATATTTGATATGAGAATTAATTACTTTTACATTCTTCATTTAAAAATTGACTCCGTATTGCCAACCTGTAACAAACTTTGATAATTCTTAATAAACTAATTAGATTTATTCAATTGCTCCTTAAGATTTAGTTTATTTAATAAACCCATCTGTCAATTTGTCTAAAGTATTAAAGTTTTCTGTTATTGCAGTCAATGTATTACTAAGGTTTTCCAAATCTGTGCATAATTTACTGAAGTTGTTGCCAGTCTTTTTATAGATATCTTATGAATTCTTTAAGTAATCACTTAAAGAATTTGAATAATTCTATAATTCATTGGATATCTCCAAAACACAAGAACCATTTGTGGTTATATATTCACCTGGTTTGGATGGTCCCTTCTATTTTTCGTATTAATTGAATTTTTCTTTCAATTTAGCTTCATCACTAATTTCTAAAAAGTCAGAAAATAATGGATGAGTCTTAAATAATGGATGATATAAGCAATTCTATAAAAATAATTCCATGATTCTCATTCTTTTTTCTAGATAGGCTGCCCCTGTTTAAGATTTCCTATATAAAATGTATAATATCGATACAATTTCTTTCCAGGAATAGGAGGAACCAAATGGCATGGGTACGTCATTACTAAAATATCTCTCAACTTCAAAAAGTCAGTAAATCTTCTATTAACAACCCATCCAATTGGTTTCGTCTCAATTTTAAATGAAATATATGATGATATGATGCCATCAGATTTACTTATATATTCACTCATTATTATTTCCACTTGCTTATGATAAAATCAAATAGTACTTTATGTGTATTCTCCATTATGAAATCTGTTAATTTTGTTCTTCCTGGCAATTAGCATTGTACTTCTGTAATAAAGTTGCTATCATCCTAAATTTTCTGAATTTAAAATTGTTGATTCGTGGTTTATTAAATAGGTTGCTTTTCAAGCTCTTTCGAACTAAATACTTAATTTGATTTCTTACTCTTCTTTCTTGATGAAATCCTGTATTGTTTTTTACAATTCTTCAAATGTCCATAAATCGATCTCTTGACTCCCATTTTACTTTATTTATTCACAATACACCTAGAATGCAATAGTATCGTATCCAGCATCCACTATTTATGAAACCAATAGATCTTATTTTCTCTATCTTTCTTATTCTATGTCTTACATTTTATTAATAATATTAATTAATCGTTATTGATTCTCTTAAAAATACTCAAATCAATATTATAAACTAAAGAGATCTTAGATTAAAAATGACTCAAAGCAATTTTGGTTTACATAACAATTTTTTGAGTGAAATATTCAAAACTAAATGCTCTATCACTCAAATTTATGAGAATACAACAATATATTAATATTCTGTATAATTTTCTAAAAATATAGATTTGAACCTAATTTAATATGAACTGCCCTTTATTAAAAATTAAGATTAAATTAAAAAGAAAATCTTTTATTTGAAATGCTTGATTATTTAAAACTAATCAATAATTATTCAATGATATGTTGCTCCGTAAAAAAAGAATGAAACTTTAGGAACAACATAATATTTTTGATATAATAGAAAAATGTTATTTAATTAATTGTTAACATAAGTGTATATTGAATATTATATTTATATCATTTAATATTCAAAAGTATTTAGCCTGTGAGTGAGGTTAGAACAATTTTACAAAGCTGCTAATGTCTAAACTTTGTTAAGTAAGGAATTTAAACACAATGTCTGCACTTGGAAATCTCGATTTAAAATCTGCATATGATAAAATGCCATCCCTGTCAAAATCTAACCAATTGAAAACATAATCTAATTTTAACGCCATGTATTAGAATTTCTATCTGTAATATTCTAAATGAGTATAGGTTTAAATTATCATGGCAATGACTCTAGCTTATATATAGTCTATATGTTCATCTTCTTCTTATTTTGTAAGGAAATCCTTCCCTATTAGGTTTTATAATTTAAGTTTCCTAAAAGAATAATTGAATAAACATACGAAATTTAATCTTGTTGAACTTGTTGGTTTATAGAATTGAAGAATAGTTCAATATCACTCTTTTTAATTTATTTAAGATCATATGAGTGTAAGTATTCTAATAAGTCAATGACTGTTATATTGTTTTATAATTTTTGAAGGTTGATATAAACAATGTTGGATTTACATCTTTCGATATCACGTAATTACAAAGCAATTTCATGGATCATTTATTAAAACAATTCTCTTTCTTCAATATATGAAACTGATAATGTTTCAATTCTTTTGAAATATAAGAATAGTTTACTTATTTTTTAAAGTTTGAAAATCAAATTCTAAATTCTTATTGAGTTTACTCATGTATTCATAATGTTATTCTTTCTGGATTTAAAATAGTTAACGATCTGCTTAGGGATAATATTGTTTTTCTTAATAATAACAGTCATTATAATATTTTTGATTGGCCTATTATTATAAATATGTAGGTTTATTAGTATAGGATTGATAACTTAATGTTGAATATGGATGATAATAGTGATCTGATTAAGCGTGATTAATTTGGGGTGCGACTTAAATTTTATAATTATACATATTTTAATATCTCACATATACATTGTTCTTTTTGCATATTTTTTTTTGATTTCATCTCTCTTCTCTTTTTCTTACAACTTGATTTATTGTTCTCTAGGTAAAGACAATAACTTCTATTTTTCCTTTTGTAATTTTTCTGTCTTCTTTTTTTAGGCTTCCTAAAATGGGTTAAAGAAATCAAATACTTCAATTTTCTTTTATTTTTCATCCTTAGATTTGATCTCTTCAAATTTAGCTCTTTCTTCTTCATTTTACTATCGAGCAGATTATGACAATTTGAAGTTAGCAATCTTATCAACAATTTAAAGAATCAATTATATGAATTCTGTGTAATCTTCAAGCGATTCAATATTTATTAAGGTAGCTCTAAGATGATATGGACTAAAAGATGGATTAAGAGGATTAATACTTAGCTAAGAGTGTTTTTTAATCAGTGAAATGAATATTTTGAATGTATTTGTCATATTTCCTTAAGGCTTGACATAATTTGGAATCAAAAATAGTCGTCAAAGGTTCTTTGCCTTCACCAAGGGTGACAAGTGTTAAACTAAATATAAAGTATTGAATTACTTGTCATCAATTTTATCAATGGACAACTTTTCACAAAGATATTTAAGATCTATATTGGCTTCTTTGTATGATTTAGCATCTCTTTTTTTGACCAAAGCAAAACAAATGGGTTATGGTGTAGCTGCTATAGGGATATCAATAGTGATGGTGTCTCTTTCAGGCCAGATGAATGAAAAGAATAGCATTGACAAAAGATCTTATCTTTTCTTTAGATCAATAGTGACTGCTAAACAATTTAAATTGTTTCTTCCTTAAGCCATAAATCTAAGAAATATATATGTGATTGTTTACCCAAAGGAATTACTTGATATTGATTACAGGAGTGGTCCATTTTCTTTGTTTGTGATTCCAACAGATGTGAAGTTGGTTTTAAAGAAGTCATAGGTTGTTGATGCAAACTTTAATGCTAATTTTTTATTGGTTGTGCTTCCTGTGATGTACATAAAGATGTAAAAGAGGAAAAGTATAAATCCCATGCATTCATAAGGGTAATTATGCGGTAGGTTTTTGAAAAAGGCTACATAATCAAATGCAATTTATGTTTAATTTTCTTCCATTTGATAAATATTTTATCAATTAAATTTTGGATATTTACAAATATATTGATGGATTAGAATTTTATATAATTAACACCAGATTAGAAAGCTAAATTGCATTAATTAAAATAGAGTGTTTACATAGAGGCACAAAAGCTATTGAGAGATGATTTAATACAAAAATATACTGATTAGGCCCACTTGTATAGATTATTGATAGCAAAAGATTGGAAATTAGATGAGGCTTGGGAACAATGGAATAGATGGGTAGAATGGAGGAAATAATATAAGGCAGATGATATTAAAATTGAAGAAATTAAAAAGGAACTTGATATGAACAAAACATTTTGGAATGGATAAGATAAATTGGGGAATCCTTGTTTAGTCATCAAGGCTAGAAGACATTTCCCTGGATAAAGTGATCCTGATACTCTAATACGATATATGCTGTATATGATTGACGTTGGAATTGAAAGGGCAGAATAGGTAGGCACAGGTAAAATCACTGTCATTTGGGATAGAGAAGGAGTTAGTACAAAGAATTTTGATTCATCCATGTTCAAAATCATTAAAAGAATGATAACTCTTGTTTAAGACAACTATGCTGAGCGATTGCATCAGGCTTACATACTATATCCAAACTTTTTATATAAAACTGTGATGACTATCGTCAAACCTTTCTTAAGTGAGAGAACTAAATAGAAAATTATTTTGTGTAATGAATATAAGGATCTATATCCATATTTTGGAGAGAACTTCATTATTTCTGATGGAATTGGGGATGAACAAATCTAATAATTGTAGGATAACATATAAGATTAATAGTAGATCGAGTCCTTTATATAATAATAATTATTACAATAATGAATTATGCTATTTATATAATGGAAATAATCAATTATGTAATACTCATTTATTTTATTTAATATTATTTTATTATGCATAAGATTTTAAGATCAATCAAGTCATTCAAAGGGTCGAGGTTTACCAACAAATTGCCTACTTATCTAGAAAGATTACAATAATAGGAGGAAATGGATCGTAAGACTAATTTAGATGTTTTAAGAAGAGAAGTCTTTAATGATTCAATCTAATTACCCATCAAATTTGCTGCTTATTATATTACTAAGTATACTGAATTTTATTAATAGCCAATAGACCTTTTGGGCTGAATTAACTAGATCTATGATTGATGCAAGCAATCATGTGATTTTATTTGCAACCAATTATATTAATTATGGTTATTTTATCATTAATACAATAGGTCCAAATAAATAATTTCCATATGGAATAGAAAAAGTTAAGCATCTAGTTGCTTTGATACCCTCTGCCTTATTTTTATACTTCGGAGCCTCTATTTCCTATGAATCATTTCTTAATATTTATAATTATGGTCATTACGTTGGTGAAATACACAGTAATGCTTGGGGATTGGCAGTATACCTATTTAATTATTGGATAGCTATATTTATTATCAATAGGTGTAGAAACAAGCGTAGTTTTCAAAAATATAAGAGATGCATAAGCTGTAGATTCAAATGATGAAACTAAAAAGGGGTTGTTTAAATAATTCCTATCAGTATTTCAAAAGAAGGATCCAGTCTTATAAGCTATTCTTTATGAGAATGCAATAACAATGGGATCTACTTTAATACCTTTATTATCCTCTGCATTCACTCTCATATACCCAACACATGCATTTGAAATTGTAGGATCTTTGGCAATCGGCTTAATATAATTGTATTATCAAATCCTTTATATCATTTAGATAACTAGCATATCACTTGAGTGCCAAGAACTTAAGTTCTTTGATGGGTGAACAATCTATAAGTGATCTGGAAGTCAAGAAAATATTAGAGATTATTAAGCAGAATCAATATGTTGAAAAGATTTAGAACGAAAAGGCTGTAATGTTAGGGAGCAGAAAATTTAGATTTTCAGCTGAAATAACATTTAATATTAAGGTATGTCTTCATATAGATTCAAATTAGCAAATAAATTAAGATACTGAATCTAAGTATTTAGAGAGATTTGACAAGGTTATTTATAGTGAGTCTTATAGAGATCGAGAGGAGTATCTATAAGAATTATTAAGGGAAATATAAGAATATGTTCTTGCCAGTTTACATATTCAAGTATTATTATGAATAACTAATTAGATACAAAAAATTGAAAGTGCTATTAGAAATGAGTTTCCCAATTGTATCCATTTGGATTTTGAAATTAACAACAAATCATTGGCTGAAACCTATTCTATTGATGATGGCAATTGGCTATTTAGAGAAACATTATTAAAATCACCTTTTAAGGTTGAAAAATGGATGCTTGATGAAGTAGATAGATTAATAAAGAAAACTACAAAGAAAAAAACTGAAACCTATATTGAAACGTAATAATTATCAAGATATTTGTTAGCTATTAATCCTTATGTTCATCAATTGAATATAATTAATGGCATGATTTAGAAGACGATGATGAATAACTAAAAATAATAGAGGATTACAGATTTGAAGAATTGTAGAATGAATTAAAAGGCATGGACCAAATATTGTAAATCAATAATCAATCTAAAGGATAATGAATATATAAAAATAACAGCTATTAATAATCATATAAAAATACTCCTTGCTTCTCTTAGTATTCATTTAGGAGAATGCTTATCATTTAGGAGATTTTTACAAACTAAGCAAGAAGTATAAGTAATTATCAAAATCTGAAGAAGTGTTTTATTAATTGAAAATGAGATAATACCACTTAAATGAGCAATACCTTATATTAAAAGAGAAATAAATAATCCTAAAACTGAAATTAAATTCAATTAATTACTAATTTATGTGCCTTATGATTAGCGTAATAGCATGGCTAGATTAAGATAATTCCTATAGGATATATTCTAATACCATTTTATTTATTAATTATTAATATTATCAAAATTCAGTCAAATATTCCAAACTCTGTAATTTTCTTGTTTTCTATGTAAGATTTAAGTGAAATTGATTGGTTTCAAAATTACATAGTTTGATGTAGAGTCCTTGGATCCTTTAAATCTCTTTTGTAATTATTCCACTTGAGCCAACAATAAGGGATTCTATTGAATGTTACCTAAGTCAGTTAATGTTGTATTTTCAGGTCCAATAACATTCAATAAAGGCTTTATTTCAGAAATTGAATTGTAGCCCAATTTTAGTGAATTCAATACGTTATTCCTCTTTAAAGCCACACTGATCAATTAGATAAAGTCATTTCCTAATTGGTTGTGTTCCAGATCTATTGAATATAAATAATAATTTGTTTATATCATTTAGGCAAGGTATTTCCCTGATAGATCATTTAAACCATTGTGTTGTAAATTCAAATAGATCAAAGATTGATTATTTGCTAATCCTTAAGCCAATACACTTATATGTTCGGATGTTAGAAAACAATATTTCAAAGTCAATTCAGTCAGATGACATTACAAAGATGATAGAGATTGACTCAACTTTTAGAGGTCTTAAATGATGGAATCTTGTATTATTACGCTCCTTAATGATTTCTAATTAATAACCAATTTAATTAAGACATCAGCACCTTTATAATCTTACTAGCCAGATTTGAATGCATCTAGACAAACATGATATAAGTCAGTCTATTGAATTAAAGCATTATATAATTAATTTAATGTAATTAGACTATGAGAGAAATTATTCCTTGAAAAACTAATCATAGTAATTTGTATTACTCAAATGATTTAAAATAAGTAACTTCTTTAATACTGCCCAAAAATATTTCCATTCCTTTTGGACCTAGTTCATTATGACTTAAATCCAAACTCTTTACGTGAGTATTAGAAACTATAAATTTCAATTCATCACTGTATGAATCATCAATCCCATTGTTTTTTAATTTCAATGTGTGCAATGTTCTCATATCTTATATCTATTCTAAGAACTCTTTAAATGCCAATCTATTGAATTTCTTACTACCAAAATTGCTTAAATCAATTACCTATTAGTTTAATAATTAATATACCTCAATTAAATGATAATGATTTTTAAAATCAATATTAGTCTTTAGATTATTCTTAGGTCTTGTTTTAGATGGCAATAATTTTGTAGGCAATTTTAAATTACTAACAGCATCATAAAATGTTTAGAATTATTCTAATTGTTTTTCTTCTTCATTTTACTAGGTAAATATTATTGATTTGGCTTAAGGTAATGTAATTGAATGAGGATTAATTTTTGATTATGTAACAACCTCATTCTATGTTTACATAAGGGGTGCTTCAAAACCAGTGGTTTCTTTATATTTAATTTTAAGGAACTCGATCATTTTTTCTTATTCTTCTATCTTCTGTAGATATTTCAAATTGGGTCCCAATGATTTATTCATTTATAAAAATTATTTAATAATAAATATTTATTAGAAATGAATGAATAAGAGAAACTTGCATCACCTGTCACAAAGAAATTTTCTGAAGATGAAATGATTAATGAGAAAGAAGTTGTTTAAGCTCTTTCTTATATTAATTTTAAGCTTCTTAACGTATGAATAATTGCTTAGTTTAGACATTAATACTATAGAATAAACAAGAAAACAATGTAATAATTCTATTCAAAGCATTGTTAACTATTTTTTAAGAGTCTGAAAATTGGATTCCCAAAAATATTAAAGACTGGGCAACCATCTAAAGAACAATTGGACACACATCAAAATTCATCCAAATGTTATAAAATTTTAAAAAATATTACATTTCAGAGTGCAAAATACTACAAACTTAAGTCTTATTGCAAGAAGTTCAGATTTAAAAACTATCACAAAGGGCAAACAATTTATTAAAAATTGTTAAGTCACTTCTCAAATATTATAGTAATCCCTTCTTCAATCAATCTTTACATGAAGACTCATAATTAACATACCAATTTCAGAATGAACCTCCCTTAAGTCCAATAAAAAATTCAAATCTCTTGGATTAAGACTCTGAAATCATTATGCAAGAATTAATAAAAAAAGAAAAACTGAGTACAGTTCCAAATGAGATGAAACGATCATGTCAAATTAGCAAGATAAGATCAAGGAGTCCAACCACTGCCTCTTCAGGAAGTAAGAGCAGAACTATTCAGTCATGTTAACCTCATAGAATGTCCATCCCTGTAGGCAATCCCATTAGATAATTAAGTAGTTCCCAATAGAAATCGAATTTTACTATCAAATAGTTTAGCAAAACAATTAATAATACGCTTTCTCTGAAATCTAGTGGCATTTATTTTAGAGAAAGATCGCAAACTAATACTCAAAATAAATTCGATTAAGTTGAGAAATCCCCATTGCAATAAACAAAATAGCAATGTCTTAAAGATTCCTTGTTCACAAAAAAATCAACTGTAAAAAATAACAAATGATTATAATTTTTCATTTTAGTATTACTAACAAAAATGTATTAATCATAAACACCAATAATGCGAGGGCTAAAAAATAACAAAAATAAGTACTAAATATTGTTTAAAAGATAGAACATATTGTAAATGAGAATTTGCAACACTTATAATTAATGTTTATCCTGTCCTCCATTATGTAATCAAATTCTTCACCTTCTTAATTTAGAAATGGCTTATTGACCTTTTGATACTGAAATATTGGAATTTCTGTTTGTTGCATTAGGCTCTATATTCTATAATATATTAAATATTAAAGTACTATTATATATATAGATAATAAGAATTGTATGTGTATTTATATTCATTTCAGCATTTCTTATAACAACTCATCTATTTCCAATAGACTTTAATCGCATGCTGATCCTCTAGTTGTTGCTTTGATTGATGCTTTCACAAAACTTTCATCATATGGATTTCTTATTTATGGTGTCATGTCAGTTATTTTATACTTTATCTAAGTGCTTTGATTCAATTATTCATCATCACTTATGGTCTTAGAATTCAATATAGAATAATCAACTCCTAATAATTTTTATTCCTAACTTTAAATAAACATTAAGCAAATACTTCTTCATTGTCTGAATGTTTTTAAGGTCGAAATAAAATACATAATTTTATAATGCACCAAATAAATGATGAAAAAACCGATACTACAAACAAGCACAATAACACTTCTTTATAGTGTAGTTTAATCAATAATTATTTTACTTTCTGGAACTCTTACTTATATGCACTTTGCTTTTCCTCACTCGACTTTTCAAACTTTGGAATCGTGTAATTTTATTTTGGAAATTCAGAGACGTCTTCCTCTATTAATTCTTGCTACAACACTAAATTAGAATCGAACTCTAATCTCTCTATCTAAAATTGGTTAACCCTTTCTTATCCTATCAGAGGTTCTTGTATCAATTATAAAATTGAAATCGGTTTCTGAACTATTCCAATATGCTTTTTTGGATGCTAAATCCTGCAATCAGAAAAAGCAATTTAGTGCATAATCATAATCAAAATTATCATCTTAAGCTTTGTTTATTTATTAAATAAACAATTAAAATATTATTATGAAACGATGTTAATCATCAATAACTATTAATAATCACTCATAAAAACAGACTATCAAATCAAAATCTGCCTCTTAATTTTACCTAAATCCCTGCCTTTAACCCTTATAATAAACGCTGAAAAAATACTAAAATTTTAGTTTGATTTATCATAATAAAAAGGATTTCTTTTATCCATATTGTCATAAGAGATTACGCCTTTTTGGGAACTCTAACTAATCTTCTATCTCAAGTCTTAACAAAGAAAATAATCTAATGCTCTCTAAAAACAAACCATACATTCCTCCTTTATAAATTAAGAACAATTTCTCAAATTACTAGAAGATCTCAAATCAATATACTACTGATAGAATTTACAAAAAATTGACATCAAGAAGTATCTAAAGCTTACTTTGTGAATCAAATTATCCTAAGAGTACTTCTCGTTAATTATAATTAAATTGATGAAATTATTGATTATATTATTTGATTATAGAATTATAGTAATTATACATTAATTTGTTAATTACTTTTATAAACAACTTTTTTTCATTTAATTAGAAACATTTATAAATTATAAAATCATCAACTGCAAGTTCCTATCAAAAAGTAATTGTCTCAGACTTCATATTTACTAAATATTCTCTGAAATAAACAAAGGTTCACAATTTCTTGTGAAACAATTTAAAAACTTAACGATTTAGAAAATTTAATTTTCTCTCATATTTTTCTGAAATAAGAAAGAAACTAGAGGAAGGAACTGATTAAATATGTATTTCTTTATTACTCTTTCTATTGAATTGGTTCCACCATTTTAACTCAGATACGGATTTTCAAAATATAAATGGACAATGGTGAATATTTATTTTGATAATGAGAAACTATCATTGTTTGTTTGAGAGTCTTAGTTTCTAAACTAGGCGATAATATTAATTAATTATATAAATAAATTATATTAAGAGTGTTCACTTTGGAAATGTTTAAATTTTCTGATCTCTTTTATTTAATACTTAATTATGAAATAACTTAGTGTATAATTATTCATGTTTATTTATGTTAATATACATTAGAGTGAGGATTTTTTATTAATATTTGAGTACTCATTCATTATTTTATATTTTGTTGTGAAAAATGTTCAGTAAAATTATGAAATTTATTATTTTATTATTGGAAGATGAATGATAAAATCACCATCCCAATGTGCTCTGTCTATTTTAAGATGAATTCTCAATTTTTTCAAAACAAAAATTACAGAATTGCATACTGGTTGGATGATTTAGTACAATAACTTCTTAATACAAAAGTTTAAATTTTTTGAATTAGTAATGCTTGTGATTAATGCTAAGGGAAGGAATTCTAAAAATAGCATGAAATTTAAATTCAAGTAATTAGATAGAAACTAAAAATTTGTTTAGGTTTCAATGGTAATTAATAGCTTTTTAGAGGCTACCTGTGGAGAAGGAGTAAATATACAAAAAAATAAGGTATGATTGGTGTAATAATTACAATTTAATTGCCAGGAATTAGATAGAACAAAAAATAGAATGAATGAAGTAAAATTTTGTAAGATCAAGAATGATAGTCATTAAGAATTAGCATTAGGAGTGTTCCAATATGTTTAAAGGTAGGAAAGAAGGAGAATGATGAATATTAATTTGAGATTATTGTGTGAGAAATATTTGAATCGAATTCATGAGAGAATGAATGATTTAATTAAAGTAATTAATTTTAATAAATCATCAATGAGAAAACAGAATGAGTATGGTTTTAATTTGTGGTAAATATACATCAGTTTTAGAAAATGCTGGTGTAGAAGGTCTTATCTTAAGTTGAAGAAAGAATTCAGAGTCAAAAGAAAGACAATAATTATAAATTTAAATTGTTGTTACAACTAATTAAATAAATATAATAATTATTTTTCTTGTTTTGATATTCAATAGCAATTAACATTAATAATCAAGAATTAACTCGTGGCAACATCATGGCATATGTTGGTTAGTAAATATGTGGTTGAATTTGAAGAGGGTATTGTGTTAGTGTTGGAGACACAGGCTCATATTCTTGTTTTACGTGGATTTACTATTTAACTTCAAGGAGTTGCTTGAATATTAGTTGTGATGCCAAATATAAATTTTGAATAGTCGTGTAATAATATGGATTCTAAGTTTCTGCAGCCTTCTAATATTATTATGATAATGTAGAAAATAGTTTTTGACAATGCTATTGAAGAAGAGAACGTTATTCTTATATCAAATTAGCTTAGTCTTCCTTTGAGGGTTGTTTATCAATATATATCTACATAAATTATTTTAAAATACCTGACTAACTTCCGATGATACAATAGGCTCAGACAATTAGAAAGTGAGGGGATTCATTATTGAAATCTTCAAGATATTCTCCACCTTGAGCTTTTTCTTTCTTGTCTCTTTCTTACCTATCCTACCTTCTTTCTCATAGGCCTTTTGTATCGTCCGTACAGTACAGTATTTTAGCTTCAACCTATTGGCGACCTAAAAAGATTAATGATCAAGATATCATATATATTGGTATTGTATAAGCACAGATTTGGGATTAATTTGATACCTCTTGTAACGAGAGCTTGTCATGCAAAAGTAGCTTTAAAACTAGCTTTCTTTCTTCCTTATTGATTTTCTGGTACTTTCTACTCGATTTCGCTTGTGCTTCCTAATTTTCAGATTTGGTCATGAGGTTAGAATCTTTGTTTTTATTATATTTATATAAAATTTAAAATCAATACTTAACAAATTTGAATTAAGATTTCATTATTTTATATATTATTTCTTTTGATTATCTAATTTATTAAAAAGACATTCTGCACACCTCATCATACAATTCATCCTCTAAAATATTCTTTCTATCTGACTTTATTAATTACACTTAACAAATCATTCCTACTTTTACACTTTATATGTATTTTGTTAAGCTAAAATTTGAAAGTAAATCAAATTATGTCTAATTTATATACATTAGGTTAATAATCAATTTCAAATTTACTTCCAATCTAAAGTATTCAATGTTATATATTATCAATGCATATCAATAAGGAAAAATACTAAAACTGCTTTACATTGATTTTTAAATGATTAGAATCCCATCACTCATCTCTTCCTCAATTTTCAAGTTAATCTCTCTTTCTCATTTCATAATGTATACAAACCTTTTACTTTCTATAACATATAAGCTTGCTTCTCCAGATTTATTACATAAAGTCACAATTTCAACAGGCAAATTTTATGAATAAAATTACTTGAACTCAAAGTGGCTCATCTATTCAAAAATCTTCTGTAAAAGGAATGATCACACTATTCTCCACTAAATAATTAGGTTTGCAATCAAAATTATATAGATTCCTTATCATTTATATTATGATGCTGGAGATTTTATTTCTTCATTACAAATGGTATTTCAACCAATATTGTGAGATGGTATTAACACTCTAAATGAATTTTGATATTAGAATCAATCAAATGCAGCTCTAACTTTTTTAGATTATATTTCTTCTAATGAAACGAAATCCATATTCTCAAAGTAATATAATCTAAGTTAATGCTTTTCTTCTCTTTGTGAGTGTTATAAATGGCTACTATTTTGAGATTACCATTTAATTTGAAGAGAATGAAGTCATTTAAAATGGTTAGATTGAACCATTTACTTCTATTATTAGTTCAGGCATCGATAAATGAGATGTCAATTCAGAGGATAGTTGATGGTGGCTTAAGGGATTATGAGAGTTTTAATGAAATGTTTGGCCTCTAGTCTGACATTTACCAAGAATAATTAAGAATTAAATGTTCTTAAAATAGTTTAAATTAGGATGATGCAAATTTATGAAACAAGACTAATTTTTATTTAGTCAATACAATAACCATATGAATATGTCTAAATAATCAATCGATTTTCTTCATCATCGCAAAGAATTCTTCCAATGAAATCTAGCCATCAGAATTAGAATCAAAGTCTTATACAACTTATTTCCACATTTCCTCTGGTATTCCACTAAATATCTCTTTCAATTCATCTATAGTTATACTTCCACTTTTATCCTAAATAAATGTATCAAATACTTTGTCAAACATATGAAAAGTTACTTGTAATCTTTATTTCGATAACAATTATTATCTATCAATTGTTGCTACTACAAACTCTTGAATATTATAAGATATCAATATATACCTGTATAATCAATGGAACCAGAATTATTTTTGTCAACTTATTAAAATATGCAATTAACTTCTTCGGCAGCTTCAATCGGTTTCATAACCTTTGAATACCCCACCAATAATTCCTGTTTACTCAATTTTCCATCTTGATTTGTATCTAAACATTGAAATATCTTTAGCAACTCAGCTTTCTCTTCCTTAGTAGCCAATTGAACGACAATAAATTTGAAAACAGCTTCCTGTAATTTTTGTTATTTTGTGAACTTTCTCATATTTGTTAAGACTTCGGTCATCAAGGGTCTATCAAATTCAGTTGGATTTGTGAATCTCTTAATCCATGGATCATTTAAAGCTTATTGAGCATTAATTCTCTTATCTAAACGATAACTTGACATATTAAATACTAGGTTCAAATTGCAGCATTTTTCGAACGAATTCTTTGGCTTCTTTTGTAACTTCTTCCCATTCTTATGAATCAAATGAATAAACACCTTTCGATACTTTTTCCATAATCCTTCCTTCAGATCTCGCATCAAAAGGAGGGTATCTCAAAATGATAAATTAGTTTACCCACATAACAAAATATATAGTATGACTCCACAAGACCAAATGTCACATTTTTCATCATATTTCCTTTTTAGAACTTCAGGGGCAATGTAAGTGGTAATACCTAATTTCTGATTCAACTTTTATTTGGGAACGAATTCTTTGGAAGTTCCAAAGTCTATTATTTTGAGCATGGAATTTTCCTTATCAGATTCATAAAGAAGATTCTCCGGTTTCAAATCCCTAAGGTGTGGATATTTATAGTGAATTTACCTGTGTACAATCTTCTCATTATGACAATAATTGATAGCCGATAATATTTGTTTCATGATTTCAGCGGCTTTCTTTTCAGATAAACTACCCTCTTGACTGAGTTTATCAAAGAGATCTCCTCCAGTACAAAGCTCTGTTACGATATAAAAGAAACTTTCATCTTAATAAAATTCATGAATTTTAATGATGTTTGGATGATCCTCTAATAGTTAAGAATGATTACTAATTTTTAGAGTATTTTAACCTCATTCATCAATCTCTCCTATTCTTCCATACTTGTTTAAGCCTTGTGGATAATTTTAACTGCTCTCATCATATTTGTGCTCTTGTGGATAGCTTTTCTGACTTCCCCATATGCTCCTAAAAGTGTTTGAATAATTTGAATACCGCTTCCCAAGGGTGGATTCAAGAGGGTATAATCCTTTGTGATAAGTCCGACCTTTTCGTTTGTGATGATCAAATTGCCTAGACAGGCTTATTCTTTATCTGTATTATTATAGTTATACCATCAATATGTTAGAATTTTTATGGTGAAGAATTATCTGTTTCAGGTTAGTTATCTATGTTCTATGTACCATAATCACTTTGAGAACGCTTTCCGTAGCAAGATCCCATAAGTTATTATAAATAATAATGTAAATGGGCACTGCAGTTAAGGAAAGAACATTAAGATGTTAAGGGAAGTGAAAGAACATTAAAGAAGTTAGTCGGGTATTTTTACAGTATCTCTGTGCAACAACATCCAGACATTGACAGTTTAGTAATTACTAAATTGGAAGAATCTCATTGAAGAAATTGTAATCTTTCTAAATTCTCGTAAGATCAGAAATAAGGAATAAGATGATTTACTAGATCATTTCAATCATGTTTACGATTAATCTTTTAACAAAGTGAATGACTTTAATACCAATCTTTGGAAGATGATATTGATTATAACACATTTATAATAAGATATGTAAGTACTCCAATGAAGTCTATTAATGTTATAAGTCTCTTGAAATGGGAGGGATGACACCAGTAGATGTATGGTGGGTAGAAGATCACTTATTATGGAGGTATTGCTAATTATGGATCAGTACAAGGTTGAATATGACAATTTTTCGGATTTTAATTGTCTGATCAAATTTATGTATCTTTTGAAGGAGTTCACACGAATAGAATTGAAATAATTGATCAATTTCATAAAGACTGATCATTCTTAATAATAAGAATTGCCAAACGCAGCGAGAAGTGTAGATAGTTTTCGTCCAAAACAGAAAAGATTAGATACCTTTTGAATACTTATATTCATTAATCAAATTCGGAATACATTTTGTATCTTCCTGGACCTGGAGTCACTTTATTTATTTCATATGGTCCTTTTCTTGTAGACTTACTAAAAGTCTATTACACTGCAGATCTCATTCCATTCTTAGGGTATACGCCTGATTGATTGATACCAATATTTTCAAGTGAGTAACGTCCTGGTTCAGGATAATCATTCACTAATTCAGATGTTAACAATTACCTCCTAAAGTCTTAAATCTCTCTTGATCTTTTCCGATGATGCAAGCACCTGAGTTTTGAAACTTGGAGAGTGGATAAACTCCTTTCTGTGTTATGGCTTATACATATTCATAATTTCCAGGTCCTTTTTATATGAATTTAATGATGTGTACCTGGAGTGTTAAACTTTTATAGGGATTATGTCCTTTAACCAAATGTAAACTTTTATCTTCTTGTAACTGTGCTTGGTATTTGATAGCGATCTGGAGGAGGGGTGGTTTAAGTAAGAGTTGCCCAAATCCCTTGAAGCCAAGTGTCTTCTCTACCCAAAGCAAATTGAATTCCTTTCTTCTCTTCCATGTTCAATTCTGCGAAACTCTTGATTTCATATTTGTTTGGAGCTGGAACTTATTTAACATGTTTGGTAAAATCATGTCTAGGATGTTATTGGGATGAATTTACTTGTATCCATAACCGATGCCAGCCATTCTCTTGCTTAAACTATCTGGAAGGTTGTACATAGATCCATTACTAGGTTAGAATAAAGAGATTACGTTTATTTGGTTGAATAGGTTTCACGAGGAGCTTTGGAAAAGGTGTATCTTTATTTTGAAATTGAATTATTGAGAGGTTGATCAAATATACTTTTAGAGGTATTCATTTATATTATTTTATAATTGTGCGTATATATATCTATTTTTGATTATTTTTATTTAACTAATATTCAACGAATGAGTTAGGAGAAATAACAAGAGGAACCTACTAAATTTGGAAAGGCAATGTATGACTATCATTATTACATTCTTCAGAAATGAGCAAATAGGAGAATTGATGGATCATCTCGACAGAGAACACGACAGTGAAGATGAAGGCATGGAAGATTATAAAATTGGAGGTTGCTTTTATCAATAAGGTTTTTAGGTTATCATCCAGTGCATATTGGTGAGATATTACTTAACCGATACGTGATTATTTAAAAATTAGGTTGGGGACACTTCTCTACAGTCTGGTTGGCAAAGGATTTCAAATATGATACATATGTTGCATTAAAAATTCAAAAGAGTGCTTCTCATTATTTGGAAGCAGCATATGATGAAGTACATAAACTAATTTATCAATTAGGTTGAAATTCTTCAAAAAGTTGCTTAGAATGTTCAAAATCCCGTTTGGATTCAGTCTTTAAAAGAATATTATGCAGATGTAAAATTATAGTATATAAATTGATAGTAAGGAAGAACATCTTTCAACAGGGATGACACTCACACTGTTTAATTGTTAAATTCATTTGTCTATAAGGGACCCTATGGTCATCATTTCTGTATGGTTTTTGAGATTTTGGGTGTCAATTTGCTAGAAATCATTAAACGATATGAATACAAAGGAGTAATCAATTCATTTCATTTTAGTGTCCAATGGATATCACTAGAAGAATGGCTAAATAAATTTTAATAGGATTAGATTATCTTCATAGAATATGTGGAGTAATTCATACAGATTTGAAACCTGAAAATGTTTTACTCTGTTTATCAGACGAAGAGATAAAAGATATTGTTGAGAACGGATAGTTGACTTCTAATTAATTATTTTCAGATAGAATTCACATCTACAGATAAATGTTAGGAATTGAGAAACCAACTGTTCCAGAACCAACTGCAAAAAAGGATGATGATGAATTAAGTGAAAGCACTACACATTTATCCAAGACTCAAAAGAGAAAATTATTAAGGAAAAAGAAATAGAAGCAATAAAATGAAGAATCAAGGAAGGAATCACATGAAGTTCAGGTTGATTAAATTGAAATGCCAAAATCCATTAAGGAATTATTTTAACAATAAAAGAAGTAAATTATCCCAATATTTTATAAGAATATCTTTTACTTAATAAAAGAAATTACCAGATAATTTTCGTTTGAAAATAGCTGATCTCGGAAATGCATGTTGGATTCATCACCATTTTTCAACCTTAATTTAAACGAGATAGTATAGATCACCTGAAGTTTTACTGGGTATCAAATACAATCCCACAGCTGACATATGGAGTTTTGCTTGCATGATCTTTGAAATGCTCACAGGAGATTACTTATTCGAACCAAGATAAGGACCTAATTTTTCAAAGAATGAGGATCATTTAGCCTAGATTCAAGAATTACTCGGCAAATTCCCATATGAATATAGTACAAGGGGAGCCAAAGCGAAGGTATTTAACATCCTAAATAAATAGAGGTATTTCTAATAAAATGGACAAATGAAAAGAATACCACAGTTGCATTTCTGGAATTTGCATAATGTTTTGACTGAGAAATACAGATTTAAGTAAGAAGAGGCTTTGTCTTTTGCTTCATTCATGATGCCCATGTTACATCAATTACCAGAGTATAGAACTACAGCTCAAGAAGCTTTAAAGAGAGAATTATGTTAGAACAATTTAGATCCATAAATAAGGAAATCTCTACTTAAGAAATACATCGATTAGATATTCTAATTTTAGAATTTCAGAGACCTAATTCCCAGTTCTGGCTGGTTGTAATAAAAAACAGATCCTGGAGTGGGGCACAAAATGAATGAGGATGAATACAAAAAGTATACAAAATAAAAGAAAGTCAATGAAGAAGTAGAATAATTGGATTAGGCTGTTGATGGCATTTAACCTACTTTGTTGTCGAATTATAGAAGAGTATTTACTCCTTATTAATCATTAGGCTTCAACCAGATCATATAATGGTTCTAATTCTTAGACTCCTTAATAGGATAAATTTAAAAAGCAGGATGGAAAGTATGTAGATCACAGGGTTATTGACAGATCATTTACAGATTTGGGATATATTGGATACGGAGATGGAATCGATTTAGAATAATTAGACAGTACAGGAAATTGGTAATTTAGTTGATCTATGTGGTTAATTGTACATGTTTATTTAAATAAATATTCTTTTGATTTCTATTATGATAACCAATCTTCATTAATTGTGATGGCCTTCGAATGCTCTGATGTTGTGAGCTGTGTTTATTACAAAATTAGAGGTGTCTATTACATATCCCTTAGTTGCTGCTTCAAACAATTCTGGGTGATGTACTACTCCTTCCTATTTCACATTAATTATCCATATACCTTCATGAAATAAATTACTTCGTCTTATACTGTTGTACCCAATTCTTGGATATGATCAAGTTGACATGCTAACTCATATTTTAATTGACCTTCCTCTGTTAAATAATCAGCATTGTCTCTATCATCAAATTGTTTAAGATCTGCTGTTAATGGATGAAATTAATAGGTTTCAACCCAATAAACATTTTTATCATTAGCAAGAGTATTTGTCTCAATCTTGAGTACTTTCCCTCCTCTCAACAAAGAAAGTCTTTGAATTTTATATTATAATGATCTCCAATACCTAATTTAATAGAAGTTGTTGCTTACCACATTCTAGGAATCCACAAAAATGATGGTGCATATATAAATAGATTATTCCAATACCAAGCAATATCCAATGGGTTTTTGAACCAGAGGTAAATTGATAAGGGGATGGCTGTCTCGTAAAGTACATATGGGTATTTTAGGAATATTGTAAGATGCTTATGAGGATCGCATGAGTAACTAATTATGATTGATGAAGGTACAGCAACACTTCTCCAATTCTATCAAACTCAATTGTATAGGTTGGTTTATAAATTCGATCTGTTTTTACAACATATTGTGATTCGTCATTCATAACTTATGCTTTATGAGCTATGGTTGCATTATGGAAACTTTTTATGTGATTCAATTAATAGAGATTCTTAATACCCAATCTAGCAGTATTCGTAATCCTAGGCAGCATTAATTTAAAGATATGAATAATATTAATTTTGTATTGTTCTGATAACAAAATACTACATCCATTTTTATACCATTGTTTAATATATTGTCTAACTATATTATAAATTATGCTTCATTCTTCAATTTAAGTAATGTCATATTCATTATTTGTTGTTATTTGCACACTAGTAACAATCATATATCAAATATAAATATTAAATGAAAATTAAATCGTTTTTGAGATGTATCGTTTTTTAGTTAATAAATAAATGAAAGGAATTATTGCTATTATTCTTGCATTGGCTGTGGTCTCAAATGCCACCAGCACAAAAGATTAAATCTTGGCTCTCCTTTAAACAGGAACAAAGGCCAGTGATGCCATTGACACAGTCTTTGGATTGCTGAATGATTTAAAACAATCTAACATCGATGCCCAATTTGCTGCTGACCAAAAGAACGAAACAGACGAATGGGTTGGTGCCTAAACCATTGAATAATTCACTAAAATTAAGGCTCTTAACCAAAAATTGTTCCAATAGGCTGTCGAAAACAGAGCTGAGTATGAAAACGTACTTCAATAAACCAAAAATTATTTGGCATGGAATGAAGCCAGAAGAGATTCAATTGCTGCTAAAATTGAAACACTCCAAGACAACTAATGTTTCTCCAACTAATTATTTGTTAAATCCATCAAGCACAATTAAGAAGCCTTAGAAGTCATCAGACTCCTCAAATAAGATGTCGCTGGATACATCATCAATGGAGATTCTTTTGAATTCACATAGGTCTAAGCCTAATCAGTTGCTGAAAAATTGAAGTAATACAGCAACTTATTCTAAGAACACTAAATCAAATCATTCTTGGCTCTTGCCTAAGAAGGATAAGTAATTATATCATTTATACAATTCTTAGGCTTCAGAATCATCTGGACATGGATAAACATTAGCTGAAAGAGTCTTGGGTGTCCTTGAAGGATTAGAATCTGAATTAGCTGCCTCATTAGAAAATTTGAAATAAAATGAAATCAATGCCTCATGGGAATTGGCTGGATGGGTCTCATTGTCTGAAGCTGAAATCACCTCATTGGAAGTTGAATATGAAAGAAAATAAGTCTTTGCTGATAGAACTGCCACTGTATTATATAATCCACTAATCAATTCTAGCAAATCTAAGCCGCTTTAGCCCAATAAGCCAAATCAAAGATCATCTTATAAGAATCTTAAGATGCCNGTATAGGTTGGTTTATAAATTCGATCTGTTTTTACAACATATTGTGATTCGTCATTCATAACTTATGCTTTATGAGCTATGGTTGCATTATGGAAACTTTTTATGTGATTCAATTAATAGAGATTCTTAATACCCAATCTAGCAGTATTCGTAATCCTAGGCAGCATTAATTTAAAGATATGAATAATATTAATTTTGTATTGTTCTGATAACAAAATACTACATCCATTTTTATACCATTGTTTAATATATTGTCTAACTATATTATAAATTATGCTTCATTCTTCAATTTAAGTAATGTCATATTCATTATTTGTTGTTATTTGCACACTAGTAACAATCATATATCAAATATAAATATTAAATGAAAATTAAATCGTTTTTGAGATGTATCGTTTTTTAGTTAATAAATAAATGAAAGGAATTATTGCTATTATTCTTGCATTGGCTGTGGTCTCAAATGCCACCAGCACAAAAGATTAAATCTTGGCTCTCCTTTAAACAGGAACAAAGGCCAGTGATGCCATTGACACAGTCTTTGGATTGCTGAATGATTTAAAACAATCTAACATCGATGCCCAATTTGCTGCTGACCAAAAGAACGAAACAGACGAATGGGTTGGTGCCTAAACCATTGAATAATTCACTAAAATTAAGGCTCTTAACCAAAAATTGTTCCAATAGGCTGTCGAAAACAGAGCTGAGTATGAAAACGTACTTCAATAAACCAAAAATTATTTGGCATGGAATGAAGCCAGAAGAGATTCAATTGCTGCTAAAATTGAAACACTCCAAGACAACTAATGTTTCTCCAACTAATTATTTGTTAAATCCATCAAGCACAATTAAGAAGCCTTAGAAGTCATCAGACTCCTCAAACAAGATGTTGCTGGATACATCATCAATGGAGATTCTTTTGAATTCACATAGGTCTAAGCCTAATCAGTTGCTGAAAAATTGAAGTAATACAGCAACTTATTCTAAGAACACTAAATCAAATCATTCTTAGCTCTTGCCTAAGAAGGATAAGTAATTATATCATTTATACAATTCTTAGGCTTCAGAATCATCTGGACATGGATAAACATTAGCTGAAAGAGTCTTGGGTGTCCTTGAAGGATTAGAATCTGAATTAGCTGCCTCATTAGAAAATTTGAAATAAAATGAAATCAATGCCTCATGGGAATTGGCTGGATGGGTCTCATTGTCTGAAGCTGAAATTACCTCATTGGAAGTTGAATATGAAAGAAAATAAGTCTTTGCTGATAGAACTGCCACTGTATTATATTATTCACTAATCAATTCTAGCAAATCTAAGCTGCTTTAGCCCAATAAGCCAAATCAAAGATCATCTTATAAGAATCTTAAGATGCCTTAGATTAAGCATAAGCTGATTTGGAATCAAAGAGAGCTGATTATGCCGAAGCCAAGGCCAAGAGACAAGAAGAGAATGCCATCTTGGATGAAGTAATCATCATGTTCAAGAAATAAGTTGCCTCCTGGTCTGGAAGATGATATTCTTTTTAAATACAAAATTAGTCAATCACAAAATTAAAGTTTTATTTTAACATTGCTCTTCCCAAGAGCTACAATTATTGAAATCATTTAAAAATATGGAGTTTTCTTTTCCTCTAAGAACTCTAAACTATCCATTATGTTGCGTATTTTTAATCAATATTAATTTAATAACAAAAGAAATAATTATGTTTTTAAATTCTAATAATTCAAATAATATATAAGGATAATATTTATTATGGCTGTCTAATTTTACTTAATTCAATTTATTAAATATTATCAAAGATGTTCTTGAAATTGTATTTCAATACAAAAATGGCAATGCGTTTGTGCAATCATAGATCAAAGCTATTATAAAGCTATAGTAGATAAATGGAAAGAATTTACCCAAGAACCTATTGATCCATTTTTCCCTTAATGGACTAATATAGTCGTAATACGTTACCTAAAATACAACAATATATTATAATAAAACACCAATGCAACATATATTATATTTAACACAAAAATGAATGGATATTTCATTAAGAGCGTATGAGTTGCCATGATCATAGTATCCTGCCATTCATATTCTTTTCTTAGTATGATAGCAGTTACAACAATAATGGAAATCTAATTGTAATGTAATTATTGTACCACATGATGATACCATAAACAAAATCTACATGGTTCAAAAAGTGAACCCTCAAAAATAGAGATTGCTAGATCTATAAAATAATATATTGGAATAGGGACAGCCTATACATAGAGCGATGCATTACAAAATAGTGAACTATCTTTTGATCAAATGAGTGTTTGTTGATGTATTAATAGTAATTGGGGATTGTAAAATGTTTGTAGAGTTGATAAAATGCCACCAGAAAAATGGGAAACATTTATATTAGACTCCAAATGTACCTAAAATAAATGAAGATTAGTGCGTACCATAGCATGTCATTATGATATCTGAGTGAGTAAGATGTCCATTAAAAAGGTATGTTGGCCCAATGAAACGTCATAAATTTATTTATGTTTTAATCCGATAGTGAAGAAGAAGATTCACTAATAGTAAGTTTATAAAATCTAGTAATTTAGATAGGAGACATCATTCAGGGTCGATTTGAGATCCATTCGAAGATAGGCTACGGTTCTTTCGGCTAGGTTTACAAGGTGATCGATTAAAAATATGGGAATACTCCATATGCAATGAAGGTGGAATTTGCCAATTAGGAATGCAATTTGTTGGAAAAGGAAATAAAGGTTTTGATAGATTTGAGGTATAAATGAGAATTGATATGTTTAAGAAAAAAAGTTGGATTTCCAGAGATAAAGTTTTATGGGAAGGAAAAGAGATTTACATTTTGTGTGATGAATATCTTGGGGAAGAATTTGGAATCCGTGATTAGAAAATGCGGGGGTTCGTTCTCTCTTTAAACTGTTTTGCGATTGGCAATCTAAGTTATTACACAGTCAAATTTAGATGATAGAAAGAATTGAAGCCCTCCATTCTTGCAAGTATTTGCATCGAGACCTCAAACCTGATAATTTTGTACTAGAAAATACGACCAGTCCAAAAATAATAAACTTAATTGATTTTGGGTTATCAAAAAAATATGCTGTATTAATAAATTTGATTAATAGAATTCAAAAGGAGATCATATCAAATTAATCAAAAAACCAGGATTAATTGGTACAGCTAGATATGCAAGTATCAATGCTCATGAGTCTCTTGAGTAAGGAAGGAGAGATGATCTCTAAAGTTTAGGATATGTTTTACTGTATCTACTTACTGGGCATCTTCCATGGATGAATGTTAAGATCGAAATGAAAAATCTTAAATATGCTAAAATTCATCAAATGAAGAAAAACATGAAATTGGAATAGCTCTTCTCCAAATAACCAAAGTGTTTTATTAAGTTTATGTAAGATGTATAAACCTTAGATTTTGCATAATAACCCAATTATAAATAACTCAAAGGTCATTTCTAAGATGAATTGTCTTAGCTCTCTCTTAATTATTTAAATTATGGTTATGATTGGGAAAAGCTACCAGAATATTCCAGTAAAAAGAAGAAGCATTAAACCATCGCAATCATGAATAGTTCAGGAAGAGATGAAATCATGAATATTCAATTCTAAAAGTTTGATCCCAATAAACATGAATAATTGTTGAAGAAAAGTACAAAAAAATTGGATAATAAACCATTCCTCATTAATGTGGCTGAACCATCCGAACATCAAAAGCAATTAGACGTTTAACCTCAACACATATCTGGGAACCCATTTCTCCAAATCCCTTAATATAATTCTTGTACCAAAATAGATTAATTATCCTCTCTAAATTAATCTAATCATACATCCAAAACCAATAATTACTTATAGAGTGATGATGTGATGAGCGAAGAATTGCTCCCAAATATCGAAATGAAAGAAAGTTCTCTCCCAGGATTCAAAAAAATGATTGATTATGAAATGATAGGCATCAAAAAGCCTTTAGTTCTCAATAAAAAAACCTCACGTATTTATACATCATTATTCATTAGAAATGGATACTATACGAATTATGCAACAAACCTTTGTCAAACCTTAAGTAATTAAGGATGAAGAAGAAAATCCTGAGTTAGAGCTTAGTGATTGATAAATTATATGTTATTTCTAATTTAATTATAACACAATATCTTTCATCCCTTAACACTTGTTACAAAGAATACATCCATCTTAATTGGCTCAAATTCAATCTTTTCATTCTTTTTGGCCTTTACAATCAGCTTTTTCATCAAAAAGTTTTATTATATATAATGTAAATCTTAATCTGTAATTTTACCATGAATTCCGTTAAAAAGAGGCTAGATTTATAGAAATTCAACTTACATTTCTTAATTTTCTGAATGGTGAAATGAAAGATGTATCTACCTAACGACAATGTTCGAAAGAAGATTGGGTCTTTATTTCATGAGTATTTTCAAATACTTTTATTAATTTAAAAGTATTTTATTTCATCTCTTTCATATTCTAATTAATCTGATCTAGCATTCTACCTGAAATCTTTGTCTAATCATATTATTTCTCTTTACGTTCTTCCCCAAGTTGTTATTAATAATTATCATTTTTAATAGGTAAACTTTTAAGAGTTATTGTATTTTGTGGATATGCCTCTAATTCTGATTGTAATACTGGAACCACATTAGAAGATTGTTATATACCAGAGTTCAATTTTAGTTTTTAAGTTATATCCACGATTTGTTTGTCAATAGACTTAAATTCTGTGATATTTTTGGGTGAAGGTTTTGAGATTTCAAATTTAAAAGAGATTTACCTATCTGACATATTTTTATGTTTTTCATCTTTTTCTCTATTTGATACAAAAGGAGTGGTATATTGTATTCTACTTCCAAAACCAATTGCCTTGTTATGCATTCCACCTGAAAATGCAGGTGTGTTGACTCCTGACATTGATTAAACTTTATTTTGTTTAGGTGAAGGGAGTACAGCTGGCTATGAATTTATCCTATGATGGGCTTTAGTGTTCTTTCCTAAGTTAATCATTTTTCTTTCAATTTCCTACAAATTAGAATCAGGTTTAATGCTTAACAAGTAGAGCTAATCGAGTTATCCTTTCAACTTTGTTTCCGTGACAAAGTTAGAAACTACAGAAATGAGATTACATATAGCTAGTCGTATATCCATAATTTAAATTACCAATTAAGAAGATCTGATTTTCTATATTATTCTTTAATATAAAATCCAGTCTAAGGATTTCTTGTTACACTTACATTCTATTATAATAATACAGATTACTAAAGAGAAGAGGATGATCAAATTATAATTTACATAGATATCATTTGTCCTTTATTCGTTTAAAAAGTGTTTTTATTATAATTGTATTGTTATATTATGAGCTCTTTAAATTTATATTTAATGAAAAGTGTAGAACAGTTATTTCCGCAATTTTAGGTTGTCAACATAGTGAGATAAAACCATTATAAAAAATCAGTGATTGTGAAAAGGAATGGATATAATTATATGCTCAGAATTTTTTGTCTTGAGGGAATACCAAAGGATAGAGTTCAATCGATCATTAAAATGCTTAACAAATTATCTAGTCACAAGAATCCTCATATTGTTAAATTTTATGAGGCATCCTTTGATCATGATATGACATACTTGGGGTAATGATAAAAATTTGAAGATTAGTATTGTCAGTCAATACTTAGATAAATAATACGAATACCCTTTGAAAGAAGTGGAAATTTGGAATATCATTCAAGAGGTATCCTACATATCCTATGTAGTTGTCAATTGCATTACAATAATTTCACCCAAAAAGAGTCCATGGAAAATTATTATCTTCAAACTTATTTCAAAGTAAAGGAATGACTATTTTGGGTGAGTTGAATGTTCTCTATTATTTACATAAATAAAACTATTAAGACATTTATTTACTAGCACCAGAATTTATTAGGACACAAATTTACGATCACAAATCAGATATATGGATGGTTGGTTATATGCTCTATTAGATGATGTTCAAGGATCCACCAATAATTACAAACAATGTTGAAATTTTACATAAAAAAATACTCAAAGGCATTCAAATTACATATAATCCAAATTATAGTCTCAATTTGAACAACCTATTGAGATTGATGATGTGTTATGATGCTGAACTTAGACCCAATGTTGAATAGATTCAGTATTTCTGTCAACAATCTAAATTGTCTAATGAAGAAATCAGCATCAATAGAATATTACCCAAATTTAAAGTAGATAAAGCAGCATTACCTAAAAAGAGAACAGAAAAGAAATCAGAACCTATATAAAGTGTTTTGTATTTGATTGAGGATCAATTTAGATAACCTTATTTCCCACCATCCAAAATAAAAAAATAAAAAAGATGCTTATAATAAAAATAAACAACCTCTGTCATGGATTTTGCCCAATCTCAAAAAACCAATTACTCTGTCTAATTGCCAAAAATGTTAGATTCTTAACTTAGTAAGTTGAAAGTCAAGGAGGCTAGCACAATTTCAGGATCCATAGAAAAAATTAATGAACAAGAAAAGTACTATATTCTTTAATTTCAGATTGAACAATAAAACTTACCTTAATAAATTAGAACTTGATAGTATTTTTCCGCAAACAAAAATAACTTTACAAACTTAGAGAAAATCTCCCAATAGAATACAATTACAATAAGAATTTTAAAATAGACAAAAAAGTTAAAGGTTTTTTTATTGATCATTAAAAATTCATTATCTATTATTACAAATTGTATCATAAAACGAAATTCTAAAAGTTTCTTAAATACGTACAATTAAAACGATCTTACACTAATATGAAAGATAAAAATCATTTAAGCCTTGTAAATGGAAAGCTAATTATATGGAAATATGTTAATATCATATTAAATGAAATAAATTATTACAACATAACCAATCTTAAATTAAAAATTAAGAACTTAAATAACTAATTATTTGGAATAGAATGATATTTTGGTATCCAATCGAATTGAGAAATCTTGAAAAGAATGGTGATCACAGAGATTTCAAAGAAGGTTTTTAACTTTCAATTGAAAAAGAAACTAAGATTGGAATTTAATACTCATATAATATATATTATCTGTATATTGATATCTTCCTATTTGAACAAACAATACATATTTAATTATTTACCATAACAAAAGCTATGTCTATTCATTTTATAAAGATTATAAAATAAGATGGTTTAACATTTTAATTTTTTGTAATAATACAGATGTAAATGTAAAATTCTCATATGGGATCAATTCAATTCCTGATCTACTCTTTTCTTACCCTCTGGGGTCAATGCTAATGTGACGATAAGTTTCACCTTTTTCCTCTCATCATTTTCCAAAGTGAATGAATTGATCTTAGTTATTGTTGCAATCCCTATTTGCTATATTAGGAAATATTACCTTATTTTTATAGAGTATCAGCAACTCTAACACCGTTTTTAGAGGCTTCTCCAAGAGCGTGTAATTCTACATTGCCAAATTTCTTCAAGAATATCTTGGCTATGAACACTTACGCTTTAAGGGATTTCCTCGTTAAGATTTAGAGATTATTATCTTAAGGATCTAATTTTTATTTGGATATCTGTTGTTCTTATTATTAATGCTATCTGTCCATTTAATTAAATAAAATAAATTCTAATAATAATTATTGATTCTCTTGAAAAAACTTTCAATATTCTATTATTCTAAATATTTTGGACTGATTTAAGAAAGTAACCATAAATAACTAATTAAATAGATTTAAATTAGTTTATTATATTGATGTAAGCTTAGATCAATAAGAATAAAAGATTTGAATTTCTTTTTGGAATGAATAGATTTCCAAAGTGAATCTAATTAATAAAAATGAAGCTAAAAAAATGGATTAGATTTTATTAGAATTGAAGAATATGAAAGCATCAATATTATTTTTATTGAAATCAATAATGTACAAGAAAAGGAAAAGAATTGGAAGATAGAGGTATGAATTATTTTAATAAACTTTGATATCATTATCCTCTTTCAATAATTTTAGATCTAACTCTGTCAACTAAATCTAATTCTTATTTTCTAACAGAGGTGGCCTTTTCATATTCAGAAGCGAAATCGTTACACATTCTAGTAGCACTGTCAAAGATTTCACCATTTCTAACCTTAACACATTAGATATGAAGCATACCTTCTTTCCTCTTGCGCTATCAATGATGGCTGATTATTAATCTTAGCAAATGTCCATTGTGGTGATGTGATCTCTTAATTTATTTTCAGTTCTCTTCAAGTTGTTGTAATATTCAACCAAATGAACTCTTCTGTCATCATATTCTTAGATGGATTGATCTTCTTCTTCAGAAATCTTTTATAAGTTTGTGTACAAATTCTACTCCAAGTTTTATAAAAGTTACTTAAGTCTTTCAAATACTTCAATGTAGCTATTCAATTATAATAATATATACCCTCCATTTTATGTGAGCATTTAAGCGAAGATGCTTGAAATTTGACTCATGATGTTGGTTGTCTTCAATTTGACTGCATCTTAAATCATTCTCAAAGAGATCTCTGACATTTAAGCCAAAGAGGCACCACCTGATTAGAAACTATCTAAAATTTTCAAACTTTCTTAGATTGATCTCAAAGCATCAATGTGGTCTTATTTTTTGGCATTATAATTTTAGGCACCTGCTTATCTGATTGAATCTAAGATCTTAATATCAGTATCAGTTGCCTAATGTGATATTTATATGAATTACTTTTTGACTATCCAAATTGTTATCTAATTCAGCATCAGCCTTCTTTTTTGAGGTTGAACAATTTTCATATTATTCAGTTGCTCTGTTCAAGACTTATTCAGCATCTTTGACGTCTTTAGTTCTTAATTCTAATTCAGCACTGCATTGATTTCTTTGATCTGTGTATAATTAATCGTGTCTGATTTATTCTGAATCAATAGATGCTCTTAAGCTATCCAAAAAGTTGACTGCTGTATCAACAGAACCACCAGAAGTCAATTTGCTTTCCAATTCTGTCAAAATGCTTACCAAGGATGGCTTACTCTTGCCAATGATTGGATATCTATTGTTGTTATGAATAGAACTCACTTATGGATGAGATCGCCAGCAAAGGCATTTCCTGACAACAATAACACTAAGGTCACTGCAATTACTTTCATTATTATAATTAAAATAAAAACGGATTATGTTAACTACTTATATAATCATAGAAGTTATTAATAAAACAATATATATCCTTATTGTTAGAGTACATCAATGTTGTTTACTTATTTAATCTTTTGATCATTGAATAGCCACCATTTATTTTATCTCTTGCAATAAGAATAATAGTGACCTTACTCTAGAGAACCAGAATGGACAATAATTCCAACTAAACTGTATTTGATACCACAAAAAGTAGATTCCAGTGAAAACTTCACATGTTAGATTATTTTGTTTGATTTTGGAAAAAACTTGAATCTTTTTAGATGTAGAATTAAATATTAAGGTAATTTAATAATTCTTGTTTTTTTGATGGCTGTTTTTTTTTTATGGCAGGAATCACATTTGTAATCCTGGATCAATTCATCTTTAAGAAATTCATCCAAGGATTGATTAATGGAATTGATTTTATTCAAAGCCAATGATAAAGTCAAGAAATCTTCAGTTATTGAGGACTTATGTGAACAATTTTTGCAAATAATTTCACTTATCGTCTATCCTTTAAGATATTTCTCAATAATATTCGGCAATTTTGGATGTTGTTGCCCTTGTTTTTTATTGAAGTTGTTTATTTCATCTTCCAAACTCGATATCAAAAACAACAAAAATTCTTAGGCATCATGTTGGTGTCTTGGATTGAATTTCTTACTGATAGTATTGCGCAAAGAATTAATTTTGATATAATCATATTGGGTATCTTTGAGCTATCGAAGAAGTTCTTGATAATTACGACATAATGTCATAGATTATGAGTGTTATCTATTGATACTATTTAAAATGAAGTTGTTGAGTTCCTAAATACTCATCATGCATTATAATGTTGAATGCATGTAGCAAAAGTACAATTCATTCTTCAACCCTTTGATTGGAATCTCAGGATTTATATCCAATTGTGACACGCTTGAAATTATGCTGATATCAACGGACTTTGCTCTGTCTGTTGTTGAACTGGCATTGGAGGTTGGAGATGGAGGAATTTTCTCATCCAGAATTTCAGGACCTCCACTATACTCTTCAAGAAGGAACTTCCAAACTGTCTCATTGACCACAAAGAAATCCACATTTCTCACCTGATTCTTATTCTGTAACAAGTCAGTATTGTCAATTGGACCAGGCAATGTGCTTGAATTATCATATAAGTATGTTGTGTATTTCTATGCCCATACTCCATTCAATCTGTACCAATCCGAATCGGTATTCTTTTTCAGATCAACCAACCTTTTTATTAATTGACATTCCAATTCTCGACGAGTGTTTCCTTGAGCATTTCTGAATTAATTTTATAATTTAAGTATTTGAGGGACTTCACGAGAATATGAGGGTGCCTTCTTCTAAGGGAACTACGGGACCTGCTGATTTATTGAACTGCTTGAGTTATACACAATATTACATTACTTATCTTCTTCATTCAAGTTTTCACTATTATTATCAGTGTCTTAAAATGATTGCATTTAATGAAATTAAATAAAAACAATATAATATCAAAAAATCAAAACAGTTCATTTATATCTATCTATCCATCAAATGTTGTCATAAGTGATCACAAGTAAATCTTGCCTAATTTCAGTATTCTATCGTAGCCAAATCTAAAACTACTGCCCACAATTGATATAGAAAGTATAAATATATATGCTCAGAAATTGCAAATATTAACAAATTGTTTAGATTATTTATTTTTAAATTAATAGTATTTCTAATACTATTTTAGGTTAATGGAAATAGTACATTGTTAAGTATTGTGACTGATATCATTTTCAATTAATTAATAATTAAAGCTCAACCGTGTTGACGAAATCGAATTATATTGTTGGAATGACTGAATTCATAAACTTCAAAAATATTGTTAAAGAATTATCAGGATGTATTTTAACTTCAGGACATCCATTTTCTCTCATTTAATCCCCAAAGAATTTAAGAGTATCAGCATGTTTACAAGGGTGAATAGTAGGCAGTTTGATATTCAATTCAAGAAAATTCTCTTCAGTCACAGTTTTATCAGCGTACTCTCCCTGAGACATCCTAACAAATATACTAAATTAAATTTATACCTCTTTGACCTCTTAATAAGATAATTGCCTATCATCTACTTTGCCACTCAAATACAATCTAGGAGTGAAATAATAGAGATCATAAGTAATGTACAAAGTGTAATATCTATCTTGGCTTTATGTAATCTGTTATGTTGGCTGATCTTTATCCGAATAACTGTGAGTTCCTCTCCCTCTTATTATTCAAAGAAAGTGCTTTGGCTATTTAAATCTTTAATTCTCTTATATGAGATTATATTTTCTTGAATTAAAAACTATTTGTCATCTGGCAAATACTTGTTTTTATTTTGATCATTAATTGCCTTACACCATTTCCAATTACCTCTTTTACTTATCAGACGATCCCCAGCCTAATATTCATTTAAAATATTTTTACATTAATAAATTCTTCTGGAATTAACATTCCTTTTGTGAGATAAACCGATTATTTAGGAGGTGCTATAAAAGTAGGCACAAGGGATTATTTGAACCAATTTTATATCATGCAATTAATTAAAATATCAAAAAATTAATTAGATGGGTTGTGCTTAAAGTAGATAAAATGAGAAATCCAACATGATCTCATGTGAAATTAAATATCTTTTACCAGAATTGGTCTAGGCAATCAAATTAGGATAACAATGTCTTTACACTGAAGAGTCTCCAATTAAAGTATGTTTTATAGTAAATATCACCATAGTTGACTCCCATAAAGGAGATAGAAGGAATTTATTGTAAATTGGAGAGTCTCTTACCATCTGGCTCTGTCAAAATGAGAGCCATGTATCATATGTTGTATAGGTTGCAGCAAAAAAAACGGCATAAAGGAATAGAATAATTGAATCTCGTTATTTGTTCTTCTGGAAATGCTGCTATGGCTTGCATAGAGTGTCTTAAATTAATGAAATAAGAAAAGAAATAGGAATTATAGGCCGAATAAACAGTTAGCGAATTTCTTTAAGACGATACACCAACTGACCCAGGATAATCAGCTCTCATTAAGGATTAGTAATTATCATCTAAAATAAAACCATATGAATTACTTGGATAAGTTTTTATATTTTGTAAGCATTTAAATGAGTTGCATCATTTTTATGATTTACCGAATGTTAAAGTCATCAATTCTCAATTAAATAGATCAGAAACCGAAATTGAAGCATTTAAATATGCTGAAGATAATGGCTACGACTATCTAGATCTATATAACGATGTAGATGTTTTCGGAGGTTACGCAACGATTGGATTTGAAATTGATTAATGGCAAGTTCTAACAAAAACTAAAATTGACTATGTCTTCGTAACCTTAAAGGGTGGAGCCTTAATTGCAGCCATTGCGTTTTACTTAAAATACATAGCCAAAAATTAACTCAAAGTAATTGGTGTTATGTTATATGGTTCCAGCAGAAAAGAATCGACCTTATGTTCTCAAATTATTGAAGGATTTATCGATGAAATCATGTTTGTTACTACTTATGAAGTCGAAAAAGCGTAATGCGAATTAGCAAAAGCAGAAGAAATTGCAGAATTCAATTCTGCTATCGCTTATGCTGGATGCAAAAAAACATAATATAAAAATAGTCTTGTCGTTCTCTCAGGAAGCAACGTCCCAGTGAGTGATTTATCTAAACTCATATCTAAATACGAATGATAATTCTATTCAATATATTATCTTATTATTCATTAATTTGCTAAATAGAATTGCATTTCATCATAATCATCCTAACTATGAAACTTTATCACTACGCTCTCCTTTGAATTGTACATAAATCCTGGAGTCACCTATTTTAATTCGGCCACTAATGCTTACTTTGGCTTCAAAATCAATTGAGTATGTTCCAATACAAATTTTATCGAAGCCTAAAACAATTAGAATCAATACTTACCTTTTGATTCGGAATGGTCATGTCCTCACTATCATACAATAAAATGTTTCTGTCTATTGATACTATCGCTAAACAATTTTACCATTTCGTCAACACTGATCCAACATCTCTTTATAATCTAGAAAAAAACTTTAATATAAATGGATTTGTCTAAGGCATCGTGGGTTTTAATAATGTTCCTGGAAACTAAGTTAAATAATATTTTATTTGAGGAAACCCAATCTCTTGTGATTTTAAAACCTCCTTAATAAATCCCACGTCTTTAAAAACTATTTAACTACTTTCCTCTATTGAATTATACTCTTTAAATTTCTATAAGACCAATTAAACCTAGGCACTTGGAGTTGTACCTGAATATGTTTCATGAAATTTCTCCAAATAATATCTCATTCCTACAGATATAATTTCTAATCTTTAAGATTCTTATTTGATAATCTCATTATAATAGGCAATAATATCCTCTCCTAATTAAGTCAATTAAATGACTTGTTAATGCATAGCGTTCTTAAACTTTCTTTCTTAATTAAACAAGTCCTTAGACCTTTTCTTATGGTTACCTCCATTGCTCATCATTTCATTGTACAACTTATAAAATTTCTTGCTTCTTTCAGTAAGAATAGCCAGCTATTCCCTCCCCGACTTTCTTTTCGCTTTGATTTTAGCAACTATTCCATTGATATTGTTAGAATATGCACTGAGGTTTGTTTCGAATTTCTCCTTTATCATTTTTTCCATATTTGTTACCAATATTGAAAGTGATTTGCCTTGGGCCTAATGCAACTAGTTGAGATGCTCTAATGATGCTGAAAATTTAGGATAGATGACTTAATCTTAATCTTTAAAGATTGAGAGAAATGAAGGATTTTTATGAGTTAATAATTTCACATTATTTTATTCTTAGGCGATACGATCCTTTAAAAAGGATATTATTGCTTAGAGACTCCTGTCTGAGATCAGTACTCTCAGGTCTAGTTATTCAATGACAGTATCTGAGCAAAGTAAGTGTTACCTTGCATTAGTAAGGATAAATTCTTCGGATTATTTGAATTATTGAAATCCTTCACTTTTTCTATTAATGCTCATCTCACGAAAGATCTTTTTTAGTGGATTTATAATACATTGCCTTTTAACTCTGGATTAATAGGTTTTAATGGAGGTGGGAGAGGGTTTTATGGTGGGAGATGATTCTCCAGAGTTTGTTATGTAATGAGGTCTCTATCAATATCTCGTACTGACTCAAATTAACCATCAGGGTTATAAGTTTGCATACAAAAATTCCCTTATAAATTAAAATTAATATTAAAATAAATTCAATAAGGGGAGGAGAGGAGATTTGCTTATTCTTATAAGGTTTATTATTCCTTTGAATTGAAATTGGTGTTGTAAAAGGAGTATGCGTATGTAAATAATATATTTTTTTGAATATTAAATTAAAATGGCTTCTCATTTTTTCTAAGGTTTTTCAACTTTTCTTTTAGTTTTTCTTTTCTTGTCTTATAAAAATATAATGATTGCATTACTGTCTTCATCCTCTTAATTGTTCAGCTAATAAGCTAAAGTTTCTTTGATAAGGGGTCTTTGGATATCAATAGGTTTATCAATAATCTTGGCGTTAGCATTAACTATTTAATCGTTTATAGTCAATTATAAATGGACTGGAGGACGTAAAGCCTCCTGCAATTATGAGGACGATGAATACAAGAGTAAATAACTTGATAATTAAAATTTCTTCAATACTTCCTATTTAACTAAAAAACATAAATCCCAATAAGATCTCCATACTTTTTAAACTCCTAATACACATTAAAAGCAAGCACATCCTTATCGAGTTCAACCTGAACCTCATAATTTCTTAACAATTCCTAAACAGGACGCTATTTTTTAGCGACTACCAAAAGCGGTATGCCCTTAACATGTAAGCAGGGCCTCAAGTTGCATAGAAATTGAGCAGTATTTTCATCTTAAAACTATAATTCCAAAAATTGCATCTTATCTAAAGTGTCTTAATATTTAAAATATATAATAACTCCAAACGTGACTAATAGGAGCACTCTATTTATGTAGCTACACAATTTCTTAAATCACTTCATTCTCATTAACTTCTTATGGGATAGAAAAGATGTACACAGTATTCTTATCTGTAAAGACTTATTAAGGCTTAATGGGTTAGACACTCTCTTTTTTGGAATCTCTGGATGAACTTTGGGAAGAATGCCTGTTCTTTTTTGTCTTTTTGACTCTTTTTGGCTCACTCGAAGAAGATGGAGATCTTCTCTTAGATCCTTGCCATACTTGTTTGTTATCCACCCTCTTGCTTTTATTCTTTTTGCTTGTGCTCCTGCTCTTGTATCTCCTTGAGGATTCACTACTGTCACTTCTGCCCCTTGATTATTGCTAGGATGAAATTGAAATTTAAAACATTTCTTCTTAAAGAACGTTCCAAGTGTTCTTTGTCTAACATTTTCTTATTTTCCAAATAATTTTTGAAAGCATCACTTAACTCTACAGTCTCCTTCTATCTTCCTATATGAATAACATCCAAGAAACCAATTACCATTGCGTCCAAAATTGAAATGCTTTTTTCCAATATATACTAATTTAGCATTGTCGTCATTTGTCATTCCTATAGCTACATCACAAAATGACCCTTACTAATTAAACATTTACACAATTTCACATGATCCAGCCAAATTCACTAAATATGGCAATTCTTACCTTTCCTCTTAATGAAACTCAAGAATTCATTATCGCTCATGCCATTCATATGCACATGACGTACGTAAAAATGCACCTTGAATTCGCTATTGGATTAATAACGCTTTCCGATCTTATTCTCAAAAGATGATGAAGGAGATGAATCATTAGAAGAGGTACGCTTGTTAGTTGAAGTCTTATGAGCAGGATCATTTCGACTTTCAGGATACTAAGCTACGATACCTGTCTCCTTAATTTCTTATTTTGCTCCATCCTCTTACTGCTAAATCATATTCATTATTTAAATATTTATGGGTAAGTTGTAACTATGCACATCCTATATTGAATTAAATAAAAATATAATTATGTTTACAACTCCAGAACTAAATCTTGATCATCCCTATAATATCAATCATTATCATTATTTATTCTTGAAGTGCCATCCGAATATAATCATTGGCGAAGGTTTCTAAAGAACCAACTCATACGAATCTTTAATTACAGAACAACAAATTCTGAAAAAAAGAAATGAATATTGGGTTATTCTTCAAGGACTTTTTAGAGACTTAAATTTTTGGAGATCAGGAGGTGTGGTTAAAAACTAAAACAAGTTTTAGATATGGATGAAGGTAATTATCCCTTTAAAATTGTGTCAGAGAATGAAATGAGACATTTAGAGGATGCTAACTTAACTCTGGTAGAAAACAGCATTTAGATGGTCTATGATTAGTGTGGTAACTGATACCCATGTATCTTGAGGTAATCGATATTGGATCCCCATCTTTGTCATCAACCTACCGGTATCATACAGCGATTCTGGAATCATTACACTGAATAATGACTTCGAGGGAAAGGATGTTACAGTAATTGATGATTTTATTTTTAGTTTAAAATTAGAAGTGTTAGAAGGGATCAGGATCTGGTTGCGACCTATAATACCAAAGATAGTGTTGATTTATTGGTTTAGGAATTGAAGATGAAAGAAAATGTTGAAATCGTGAGATTATTCATATAAGGGAAATAAATGACTCAGACTTTTGGAAATTACGATATCACTGATGAGTCGATAGTACAAGCATTCCTATTTTGATTATTATTAAAATATAATATATAATGAATAAATAGAGACGTTAGAAAATATTGCCAATACAATAGATTTAGGCCAAACTGAAATAGCTGAAACAAAGTATAAGAGCTAGCGAGATCAAGTCTTTGAGATCATCTTGTCTATTCACTGAAACCACTCCCAATGAGAAATTTGATATTCTTAAACCAAAGCAGAATCAGAATAGCAGTCTTGATGAAAGGACCATGTACATTAAACCTACTTTCAAGAAGAAGATGAAAACCACCAAAAGGTAATTTAAGGTATAACAGAAGTCCTCAATCCATGAAGGCTAAAACAAGCTCAATTCTAACCAAATCTAAAACTACTGTGTCGCCCCAGAAACATATCAAAGATATATTGCAAAGTTACATTAAGAGCAAATTCCCAAAAAGTAGAACCACATCCAAATCGAAATCACCTCCAAAGTTAAAAAAAGTCTAAAGTCCTCAATAAAGATAGATCAGAAGTTAAAGCAAAAAGAAGCAAAAATAAAAACAAAAAACGACTGTAAGTCCCCAAATGAAGAAATCTAAGAAATTAAAAACTCAAGTGCAATACTATCAACCTCAAATAAGTAAGATCAGTTCGATTAGATTAAATACCTTCTCTGTAAGTGAAGATCCTCATAAAATGATATTGAATTCAATAATCGAAGAATTACAGTTGATGAATGAGAAACAAATGATCGAATTACAATAGTACCTAAGAAACATCAAATAGGAGAAGAAGGATGAAGCCTTGTAAACGAGCATACATGAAAGATTTGACATGCAGAAGAAGCACCAGTAAGTTGCATCTCAAGAAAGCCTCCCTTTAAATATCATTAATGAGATCTGTCACCAAAGAGAGGAAGGTATCAAATTGAGAGTTGCTATGCAAATGGATGCATTTAACAATTTATTATAACAACAAAAAATATCTCCCAGGTCTTTTAACAACAATAATCAAGTACTTTAATAATGGGAAGTTCAATAGACTCAAAAATTGAATCGGTATCAAGAACAACTCAAGAATATCCAAAATGTTACTAATAAAATACAATAAAAAACATTAAAAGACTTTTAATGCATAGAAGAACTAGAATTAAACAAATCTATTGTAGTTTAATAGTTATGTACTAGAATCAGTATTATTTAGAATAAATTTCATTCGAATCTAGTTATTTAGATTAATCGGATCTCTAATTAGGCACACCAATGTAACAGAAGAATATCAATTTCAAGAGGAAAGATATTGTTATCGACGTTGACTTTTAACCCTAGCAAAATATAGTTGAAATTTAAACTAATGTTGGAACCATCAGTCTATTCGTTGAAATTCTCTGTTAATATATTATAGGTATTTCATATAAAACATTACAGAAACCTATTTGAGTTCATTCATCAGAAGGATGAACTATCCCTTTGGCCTGTAACCCTTCAGCAAACTAAGACAAATACATGGACATGAAGTAATAGAGGATGACAAGTATTTATACCCAATCTAGGAGTATATCTTCACTGAATTATAAGTAAGATTTTATCATAGAATAAGCAAAATAGTTCCTTATATGAAAAGATTCATAATAGAGCCATTTTTGATACTTTTAATGAAATACTGAATTAATATCGGCCATTCTATTACAGTAATGGTTAGCCATACCCTTGGGAGTATAATAGGAATCTAGTGGTTGTCTTATATGACGATGAGAATATCAATTTATTGTTAATGAAGGCCAAAGAAAAACTGATATTTTATGCATCAATCCTGTGTGGCTTAATAAATGAGGATGATGAAGAAAATGGTGAACAATTGCTAAATTACGAACAAGTCTTGTAGAACTTGGTCAATTCGGATTATTTGTCTTAATTGCGAAACGAAAGGTTATAGTTATGTATAAGCAATGAAGTAATGATAAATCTCATATTTAATAGTTACAAGAATATGAGTACATGTGGTCATATACGGACACAACTGAAACTTTAGTTGAAATAACTGATCACATTTTCGAAGATTTAATAAATGAATTAACACTTGAATTATAATGAAAATATAAATCAATTTCTCAGGTTTCTATCTTGTTCATTCATAGCATAATATTAAGCTAAGTTTATATTGACTTGCTAGTTGATTTCTTCATTTGTTTTCTTAATGAAGAGTCTTTTGTATAAGTACATAGTGCAAATCATTAAAATGCCCATGATAGTCAAAACAACAAACCATACTACCCATGTATCAGTCTCCTAAGTGTAATTAATCTATCAAAGATAGGACATATATCATACCCAACTTCCATCATCATCCAAATAACCAACCATTCTCTTCTTGCAAATATCAGGAAGTGAACTAATAGTGAAACTCTTGCAAATAGCTTAAAATGGTCCAAAACGAGAACTATCATATATCTCTTAATCTCCTTAATCAAAGTTTGACTTGTAACCTGATACTGTTAGACTACCTCTATATTTTATATCATTAATGTAGAGTATTGGCCAAGCCCTAATTTGTAATTATTCAGTTCTTTCATATTCTTTGGCAAGTAATTTATTATCATCCAAATCATCATTCTATCCTGAGAAGCTCTCCTTATAACATTTCTCTATTTACTGCTGGTCAATCTCAACTTATTCAAGGACATATTAATAGCACAAATTTGCAATTGAAATAGAGGACCCTAAACATTATTAACTGTATTTGATGGCATATTTCCACCATTTAATTTTATCCATTTTGTATATGCAGAGTTGTCTCACCACTTCTCTTACTGCATCTTGACCATCCAAAGGACCATCACCATCAGGATCTGGAGCACAATATCTTCCTCCAGAGAGACATAGTGAGTCTTTTTTATTGAAATTTGTCTTGGCACATTATGCACAACGTCCTAAGGTGTAATGCGGAGTGAATTATAAGGATTCATTCATTTGCATGTGAAAAGAGTAAAATTGCCTTAAAAATTTATAGCTTTTCTAATCCATTGAGCTAAACCAATACTCATACTTCACTTTATCTGTTTAATAAAAGTCTGGGAATAGAACTTGCACATACAGATTCTTGTGATTGTTTTACATTAAAAATTCCTTAAGCTCATTTCCCTATTTTTTAGATATCATAATGGTTGGAATGCGTATATCCAAATTACTTTCAGAATCATTTCTTGCTCCAACATTGAGTTCCTAATTGGTATCATCAACTATGATCAACATTACATATCCATAATTCTAAGCATTTATTGCCTTATTGATATATATTTAGTTTACTTTTTTGTAGTTCAAGCATTCTCCCCTCTCAACAAGTAGAATTTTTGAATTGGCATAATCATTATTGTAATTGCCAATCTTTTCGTCATGAAGTTCGCAAAAATTGTAAGGCTAGGCCAATTCCAACTCGGCTGAAATCTTCTATCCATATGGAACGTATCCAAAATTAGCTATATTAAATTGTATCTCTTAGAGGGTCTCTTGAGATGCCAAGGTTGGTGGACTCAAGATTTTAAAATATTGGTCTGCCTAAACTATGATTAATAATGACAATAGCAACATATAAAAAATATAATTATTCAGAAAGTGTCGTAATCAAGAAATTTGAATAATTAAAAGTGGACATTATTTTGAAATCATATAGACTTAAAGTATTCATAAAGCTATCTATATAGTTTGTAGAATTTATTTAATTTCAATGGTACTAATTGGTTTTTATAAGAAATAGTCCATACCCACTTCATTGCACATTTGTTTAGTCTACATGTCAGTGTAAGCAGTTTGGGCAATGATGATGGGAGGATCCAAGTCTGCGGAACGACAAAATTCGAGTATCTGTTGAGTGGCCTAGATGCCATTCATGATCGGCATTTCGATATCCATAAGGATGACCTGATAGTTGTGTTGTTTGAATTTTTCTAGTCCTTCTTTGCCATTATGTGCTGAATCACACTTAATGTTCAATCTTGTAAGCATAGTAGTAAGTGCATAGATATTAACAAATTCATCATCGACAATAAGGATTCTAGCTCTTTCTTCTGCATACTCACTGACAACTTGATCAATAGAGTATTTCTGCTTTTTAGGTTTCTTTGGTCCTTCTCTAAAGACATAAGGTGCACAAATGACATCATCTGGTTCAGAAAAATCTTTTAGTATAAGAATTAATAAGCATACTTTCTGATTATTTTTCAATTAGTTTTTATTTGCCCTTTAATGAGAATGTAAAGGAGGATTACCTCTTCTTATCACTTGGACTAATGATAAAGCTTTATTCCAGAAAGCTTCTACCTGAACTGTGTATTTTATTGTATTTGATGGTTCTCCTGCTAACAACATCAGGTAGATCCATAGTTTTGAGATCCTCTAGGTAGAACCAAAATATAGTGCCAGTCTTATTATTGGATTGAAAATGTATACCAGACTCGTAATTGGGAGACAAACCGTTACAAATAGTATTACTTATCATTAAACCCAACCCGAAATTAAGATTGGACTTGCGTTTATGTGGTTGTTTGAGGAACTCTTATAATCGATTCTGAGTGTTCTAATCCATCCCAGAGCCTGTATCTTAGACGCTGACTTTAATAAAGGATTAATCGTGTATGATTTACTCTTGAACATCGATGTTGACACTACCAGAAAATGTGAACTTTTAGGCATTGGACAGGAGATTATTAAGTACTTATTTAAAGCGTTGACCGTCAGTATGAATCAAGTACTCATTCATCTTAACATTAAGTTGCACACCTTTCATATTGAGTTGTTATCGATACAATTCAGAGACTTCATGGATGAGCAAGTATATGTTTTATATTTAAATGGTGAGTATGAAGTTCTTAGACAAGATCAAACTGAAATCCCTAACATCTTGAACTATGGAATTGAGAATGTAACAGGAATTCAAAATGGGTTAGATACAAGTATTCACAATATAATCATCATCGATATCTTCAATAGCATTTTCTGCTAGAATCCTTATGCAATTTAATGAAGTACTGAATTCGTGACTGAAGCTGCGAAACAGTTAATTCATAAGTTACTTAGTTACTTTCCTCTCCCAATAATCTCTCGATTCAAACATGTCATGGAATCTCAGACCCACATTATCGTTAATGAGTGCCAATTCAATCATGTAATTGTCACCAAAAGGAGCAGAACAATCCAGTACTTTGCATTTAATAAGATCTGTTGTTTCGATCAATTGTAAAAGAGTGCCAATTTTATATTTCTTGAGTTGTTTGTTAAGTTTATGGATTTCTATCTCCTTAAGTATTTATTAAATGATCACAGGATCATCAGAACCCAATAATTTCTGCTGTTCTAATGTCTGACTGATCATTTTGCCTTAGCGAGTGACCACTAGATCATATTTGTCACTCTGACTGATTATCAAACTATCTGATGGATTGATCCAAGTCTTGGAGTAACTATGATTCTTTGAAGCCTGACGGACTTTCTCGCCAGGACGATTGATCGACAACCAAACCATCAAAATGAATGCGTAACCGACCAAGGTGTGCTCATAGCTGAACTCTAATTTGGCACTAACCACCACAGCTATGAAAGGCAGACAAAGAAACATTTTTTTAGGATGCTGATGATTCTAGATTGGAATGATATAAAGCAACCTTTTTGGGAATAATGCAAAATACATCTCACTGATATGTGTAGAACCTATGGTTCTTAATGAATTGCCAACAAGCAACAGTATAAGCAATTCAATCCGATCGTTCTTAAAGTTCCTTCTCATGAAACGCCAACCAAACCACATGCTTAAAACACCCAATGATGATATCATCGCATATACTTGGTAACTTCTCTGTAAATCGAAGAAATATTCTGCCAACGATGCTCCACCTATTCCTACAATATACAAAAAATCAATAATAATCATATTTATAGTAAACCATTCAAATATTCTCTAATCTATCGGCTCTAGTAACGGACTCTGTCGTTTTCACTCCCCTCTTCCATTTCAGATCAAATTATTTGAATATCTCTAAATTTATTATCCTCCTTCATAGCATATATATCTCTTTCATACATCCAATATAATCTCTATAACTCTTCATCAATCAATTTTAAACCTCTTGCAGAACACTTGTTTATTTCTGCTATTATTAAATCTATTTGTTCAATTCCAATATATATCATTTTAAATCATTATCATTTATACCAACCTGTCTTGACTTATTAATATGTAGAAACAATAATTAAAAGTAAAACTTAAATTACCCTAGTACATCAATTTCTATTGAATCTTATAGATCTATTAAAACAAACAATTGTAACAATTACTCGATTCATGCAATTGAAATCATAAATAATACCTTTTTTCTCATTATTACTTACATTAACATGACTGCTTCAATAAATCCATTATTGAGTAATACTATTAAATTACTCATTTTCTTAAAATCTATTAATTTAATCCATCCTCATTCATTTTTAACTTCCCCAATTTTAACCACATATTATAGTCAAAATTCATATAATTAGCATCGTTATTAAACAGAGTACTCAAAATAACTATGAATAGTATAACTAAATATTAATTTGCATCTTTCAAATAAATTTCTGCATTAAATACTAAATGGAGTTTTATTAACTTAAAATTAAAAATTCTTCATTATAAGATCATAAACAACTCACTTCTAATTTAGTACAATTCAGAAAAATATCGTCTTCTCTTTTTTTGTTGTTATTATTATTTTGTAATATAATTGTGTCATATACTTTTGAATCAACACATAAGATTGAACATGTGAATTGCTCTAGATATTTCAATCTGATATTAACAAAGTACAATTTCTTTTGAGTTTTACTCAGAAAATAATGTAGATCAAATTCCCATCTCTGAGTAAGATTCAAACTATTAAGATCCCTATCTTCAGGAAATAATAACAAAATTCTCTTTCTTGATGTTAGTAATTCAGTACTTTTAGCATTTATATATATGGATTCTATTATTTAAAGTAATCTTGATTCTAAGTCAAATATTTATTCAATCAATAAACTTCAGGTTTATTAATGAAACTCCTGATTGCTTGATTACAATGGTATTATTATTTATGAATATGAATGTGAACTTTCTTTTTTTGACAAATATTATTAATATATTTGATTTATCATTATATTGATTGTAAAAACATAAACATTTATTCCTCTAATCTAAGTTATTTGACTCCATAATCACTATTTCCATATCTATATACATGATCGAATTTCCCATAAATATCCTCCTTGGATAACTAAAGACAGATATTAAGTTCTTTACTTTCGATTTTTCATCATTTTCTGTAAAATCAGTAATCTTTTGCAAACCAGAGAATAGTAACAATAATTTTAATGGTTGTTGAGACAATTGGCAGGGATTAAAAGCAGTTGTCTATTAAGCTTCATCACTTTTCTCTGTTTCAATCAAGATCTTCATGTCGAAATCATCTATAGATAATAGGAAACTAATTTCTTACCTCTGTCTAATAACCTATGAAATTTGGACTCTATTGTGACCGTGTAACCCCAGTAATAGCCGTCCTTCTTAGCATCTTAACTTGAGACGGGAGCACCTGTCAGATGAGTGGCAGTAGGATCATCTAGTTTCAAAGTGACTCTAGTTCCTGGTTGCAATGGATAATTAATTAAGACTTATCTTTTGAGGCCAATTTCCACCCAAGATGTGTCACCTTTACTAGGTCTTTCAACAACAACACCTTCTCTAAAGGGACATACCTATTCTGTAAGTAAATGATGTTTTGATTCGATTGGATTCATGAGACCAACATTTTTTAAGTCGGAGTGAATTGGAAACAAGTACTTTCTCAGATATTGTGGTGTTTCCAAATATTGTAGGTTTCTAACAACATAGGATGCCACATCGAATTATTTGCTTTTTGGTATGCTAGAATGTAAATATGGAGATACTATGAATAATCTCTTAGGATGATCACTTCATCTACTTAAAAGATGGCAAACATCCTTGCCAATTGAGACATAAAATAACTTCTCAATTCAGATGATTAAGCATTAGAGATAATTGAATCTGGGATGGCAATAGTGACATGTCTCTATTCAACTGCTAATTTCTTCTTTTATTATTCCTTCTTCTTCTTCTTTTCCTTCTTAATCTGTTGTACTTCTTCGATTACTGGTTCTGGCTCCTTTTCATCATCGAACTTGACAATAGATTTCACTTTATTCTTTTTATCCATAATTAAGATATATATATTTATCACATGAAATCATCATCATCATCAACATTATCAAAGTCCTCTTCTTCATCTTCCACAATGTTTTTAGTCTTTCCAAATGAAACTCCCTTAGGTGGTCCTTGCATTTGACTCTTCTTCTTTATGGCTTCTTCTGCTTCAAATTGCTTCCTTTTTTTAATGTAAATTTCCTCCACTGCTTTGAACAATTCCTCGTAATGATTCAACAATAATTTTCCTTCCAACTTAGTTAACAAGGTCTTCAAGAACTCGGTTGTATAGTTAGGACCCACATTTTACAAAGCTGCAGCAAAATTCTCACCAATTTTCTTCAGATCCACTTATCCAATATTCCTCTTAACTGGTTTGTCTCCTCCGAATAAATCGAAAACATTATTCATATCCGATTCCTTTGATTGCACTTCTGATTTCTACTATTAGGTTTAGGGTTATTTGGACTTGTCGTCTTCCTTCTATTCTTACTTTTCCGGCTGTTCTTCGTCAGCGTATTATTCCCAATCCTCTACGTCTGACATTTGGATAATTAAATTAAAGAATAATCACAATTTTAATTCCCACTATTATATATATATATGGGTGTGTGCTCCTATTTTATTTTTATTTTAAATTCCGCACTATTATTAAAAATCTTACAATTATTAAAATCAAACACACTAAATATTCTACTATTTTTAAATAAGAACCACTTCATTTTTAATTAATATTAATATCAAATTCTACACAACATGGCCAGAACCAAGTAAGGAAAACCAAGCAATAACAAATTCAGTCTTTCACCCCAAAGTATTTGTAATGACTCCTTGGAAAACAAAAAGTACACTCATAAAAACCAATAAAAGAGGAAACACAAATTCAGACCTGGAACTGTCTCTCTGAGAGAAATCAGAAAGTATGTCTCATCTAAAATTGTAGATATCAATCATCCACTCAACTCCTAATTAGGAAATTGCCATTCTAAAGACTAGTGAGAGAAGTGTCATAAAGATCTGAGAAAGATTTCAGATTTACCCAATCTGCCCTTTATGCTTTACAGGAAGCCACAGAAGGCTTCATTACTCACCTATTTGAAGATGCCAACCTCTGTTCCCATCATGCGAAGAGAGTCACCTTGCTTACTCGAGACTTGCAATTGGCCATCAGAATCTAAGGAATAGAATATTGATTTGTGATAAAATAAATACTGTCAACAACGATCAAATTATTATTATATAAACTTTTGCATGTCTCCTCCCATCTTGACATAATCCTCATAAAGATCTGAAACCATTATATTCCTACCTGGATGGTTGGAAGGCAATTTGTTCTTTTGAGTCAGAGCAGCATCAAAAAACAACCTCTTCATAGTCTATTCAGAGGGTCTTTGCATATCAGATTGTCTCTGCACTTCAGATATCCTTTCCTGAATAAACTTTTATTAGGATTCCTAAAAGGAATTTTGTTCAGATCTCCTTTAATATTCAGTTGCATAATAAATGTTTTTGGGCTCATTACTTGAGTATCTCTACTCTATGTTGATGCTAGGTCTCGATTCGAATTGCAATTAATAACTCAAACGAGCATCCTGAGAGTATGGTTTATGATCTTCTGACTTCCTTTCATAATTAACTGATCCTCTAGATTCATAGTTGACTTAATTTACAAATGATTGTTATTTAGGTTTTGGAATGTCTGGTTTATTGATATTGCTTAATCTTTAATCAAAATATAAGTTGTTTTCCTCTAGGTGACGTTAATCTCTTGCTTTTTTATCGAAATTGCGATCGACATCAATTTATTGAGTGATCATAGTGTTGCTACTTTCTACTTTGGAAGGAGTTTAATAGTTATTAAGAGAAGACTTAGTGGTAGTAGAACTGTTTCGTTGTTCTGGCAGAGCATGTACAGGCATGGAGGCTCTTTGTGTGAACAAATCTGTCTTCATTTTCGAATTAAGCAAAGCTTTATTGATGTACTTATAGAGATTGATGGATCCTTCCTTATTGTTTGATAACTATTGAATGCCTTGTTCGATTCTGAAAATGATGGTTTTGACCAATTAATAATCTTGAGTATTTATTATTTCTTATAAACTAGAGATCATTTCGCCTAAGATCTTTTATGTGTAAGGCATATTCTCCTTTTAGAGTTCCTATTGCAATTTCTACTTCAATGCTGCTAATTTCGAATTAATTCTTTGCATTGACACCTATTTCTGATCATAGAAGGAATCTTCCATTTTTGGGAACTATGTATAAACTGTCATGTCTAATTGAGTTATGGGTTGCTAAGCGGGAATTGACTTCTGTTCATAAGAGGGGATTGTAGTGGGGACAGGTGGATACGTAGGAGTTTTGGTTGGACTTTGTTATTGACTTCCATTGGTTTTACTGAAATTCTACTCATAATTGTTGGAAGTGAGATTGGATTGACCAACTGTTATTGATTGAGCAAATTGTGCCTGAGCCTTGTTTTTAACAGCTTGACTTGAATGCTTACTAGATTGATTAGATTAAAATGTAAACTGTTTATCTGATTCTGCTGCCTTATTCGATTAAGGTTGGAGTTGAGATTCCCCTGCATTGATACGTGATCGTAACAACTAAGACTTCTCTTATTACACTTAGGATATATTCTTGAATTTAGTAAGGAATTCTTCCACTAGATTGAACATCTGAGTCAATTGTTGTTCCTAATGGAATGATATTCAATCTGATACTTTGTATGCTGGTATTGTACTGTCTGCAATTGAAATGGCTGACAAATCTGGGTTGTTAAATTTGTCTACAATTTAAGAATATTCCTAGGCTACTTGATTGGCATCCAATTCTAATTGATGTTTGATAGTGTTCTTCTTATTCTATTGTTCTGGAGCTTTCAGAGCCACAGAATACCTCTCCAACATGTCTTTGATATAATGATGATTGGATACTTAATACTTTATCTTTCAAGTGAGACATGTCATCAAAGAGATCATTCTCATTCAGCAATCGCTAATTTTGTAATTTCTGAGATTCAAATTTCTTGTTCTCCTCTCCAAAGGTGAGTCGAGCAATTGCATCCTTTTTTGGTGGTGGATCTAAATCAAACTATGGTTAGATTGGATTTAGAAACATCTTGTCATGTCTTGATTGTTCATTTAAAAACTATAATTTGTTATTAATTCACTACATTTGAGGATTCGTTAAGACTCCCTAATATTTATTCATCAACATGAGATACTCTTTCTGACGGATTATATTTGTATTTATTCATGATGTCCTACACCGATGGTCTTTATTGTGTTGATTACATATTATTCTTTGGACTCGAAGCCCCACTGTTTTTGAAAAAAGGATTCGAAAACATATTTTATTTATTATATATATTTCTTCTGTTTTTTCAATCGAATAAACATATTTTTGATTGAATATTTGTTAATTGTATTTTAAATATCAGCAGTCCACTGTTGAACTCCATCCCATATAACTCAAGTGATCTTGAATTGATGGAACAAGGACTGAATCTGAGCAATTGGGATCCTCATCCAATTAGCAGATAGTGTATGAACTTCTGTGATACCAGATTTCTCTGTCAACGTGATTGAATCCGAAGTTCTCAGGTGGGACCTAATTGTTATTTTACATAATCATACATGAGGAACAACATCCTTATCATGGACAACTCTGAAATGAGTGACCTTGGTGAATGATGAGAAATAGTTATAATAAGCTGTGTCTCCCACTCTTGGTAAACCAAAGGTGCTCAATTGAACTGTGTATCCTGCAATAGCTAATTCAGTTGTGTATAAGGTGGCCATAGCAGCTCCCAAAGAGTGACCAGTTACATGGATGATGGCTTTTGGATACATTCCTCTGTATTTGGTGAACAAGGAGTCGACTTGGGGCTTGATGGAGTTGAAGGCATCCAAAAATCCACTGTGAACTTGGCAATTACATGCTGTGTTGTAATCGACCTTATCAAATTGGATGTTGTCCAACCAGTTTTGAATGTTGCTAGATCCTCTGAACACAACAGTGATGGCGTTGTATGTGGGGTTGTAGGCTATGTATCCTTTGGTACCCTAGAATTATAGATGACTTCAAATCTTACGGCAATATTGTTCTCGAAAACTAAGGGTTTTTCGATATTGGGATAGTTGGTGGTAACATATCCGACAGTCCATGTGTTGATGGCTGTGTCTGGACAATAAGCAGCAAAGGAAAGGGCAGCCTCCTCAGTTGCTAAGGCTTCATTGTAAACGAAAGCACAATTGACTGTTGCAGCTAGGACAACCAAAATCAAAACTGATGATCTCATTTAGATTTTATTTATTTAAATATACTCACAAATTCAAATCTCTCCTTTTAATATTCATATTATCAATATATTAATTACTTAAATATCACAAGATATGCAATTTAATCCGATTAAGAATACATCGAATGTAGTTACTGATTGAAATTCAGAATTCCTTCAAGTAATAGAATTTTAACTACATTTTATGCCCTAAATTTCGGTAAAAAGATTAATATCGAATTCTATAAAATTTATTATGATTCAAAAATAATTTAATTTTATGAATATGTATGCTCCTTCTATTAAACTTCTATCAAATCTCATATGTAAGTGATACAATTGTTATACAGTAATAAAATTGTTAAATTTAATATTGCAATTAATTTGAGCTTGTGCACTTAAATTTAAGTGAAATAACTCCAACTGATTAATAACAGTAAAATTATATATAATTTAAAGTGTGTATGATAAATAAGATATTCCATAAAGGTAGAGAATATTTATAATAAAAAATTTTAATTATATTAAAGCACAATAGAACGTAATTAATAGATGATGTCATATAAAAATTGATTTTATCATTCTGTTGTTTAAGCATCACAAGAATTATTAGACCATCCTAAATAGGTTAAATGGTCTGTTAAATTTGGATTCAAGACTGATGCTGAACATTTTTGATCCTCTCCCTTTACTTCTTGACAAATCACATAATTTACTCCGTCTTTATACCAGATTTCAGTATTAACGTGTTCAAATTCGTATTTAACAGGTGGCAAATGAGGAGCTATATCTTTCTTATTTGTCAATCTGGAATGAGTAACCTTTAATGTTGAAAACCAATCATAAAAATCAGAATCGCCCACTCTTGGAGAACCAACGGTCACAAGTGTTACCTTAATTCCTACCATTGATAGTTCACTTGCAAACAATGTTGCCATTGCTCCTCCCAACGAATGTCCTGTAACATGATATTTTGCATATGGATATTTCATCCTATACTCCCCAAGTAACACATCCAATTGAACTTTTAGGGATGTGTAGGCAGCAAAGAATCCTTCGTGGACCTAACATTTGCAAATGGTGTTGAACTCAATCTTCTTGTAATCTATGTCAGCAATGAAATTCTTCATGTTGTTGGACCCCCTGAACACTACGGTGATGGCTTGACTAGCGGAATTGTAAGCGATATAGCCTCTTGTTTCCTAAGGATAGTTTGATATGATACAAGTTCTATGTTCTCGAATATTTATATTTTGCTTAGGTGAGGATATTATTGGCTTATAGTGCCAACATCCCAACTTAAGATGTTCTCTGGGTTACAATAAGCAGCAAACGAAAATGCAGTCAGTTGGTTAGCTAGAGCTGGATCATAGTCGAAAGCCGAAACGATTGCTATGAGAACAAGCAAATATTTCATTTTTTAAATATTTATCTTCATGACATATTCTGTACAGAATTTATACCTAACAATTAATATTATATAATATTATTAATTTTGATTTGCTAATAACTTTATTTGCATAACAATTATGGAATTGTCTATTCCCCCCACCCCGTCACAGGTCTGCTAAATTAATTTTAACACCATTGAAATCTCAATTTTAATTAAAAATTATCAATTAATCAATTGATTCAATATGAGGGGTTCTGAAATTTGTATCCATATCACTTATGAATCTTGAAATGTTGTATCCATCTACTTGGAAGAGGTGTCTAGTGAATATTGGATTATTGCATTACAGCCATTGTTAATTCCTATTCCGAGACCTGATTTGCTTAGCAACTCTTTATAAAGGAATAATTATTTTAATTGCATGAATAATTAATAAATTATTTTTCTGTTATTAACATAAATGAACCGCAGTTATTACAATAAATCCAACAGTAATTTAACTCCTGGTAAAGCAAAGTCGTAACACGTAACTTAGATTTAGTTGTAAGACATATAGTTTATTCTGAGAAACATTAGCAAATATATTAGAGATTCATCTAATGAAAACAACAAAAGAGGTGATAATTTGTTGAACACTTTAATCCAGCAGTCTCAACAAGCTATTCAATCAGCTAGACAATTTAGTGTCGATAGACCAATCAAGACTTCTCCCATTGAATCGTAAATTAGCCAATCATCTCATAGGTCTCCTCATATTCAAAAAAAAGTGATCAGCAGTTCCTAAAACTTGTAATTAAGAAAAAGCACAGATCAACAATAAAGAAGCAGTGCATAGTTTGATAGACTACTTAATGAAAACACTTCATTGTTGATGCGCATATAGGAATTAGAACAAAAAGTAAGAAATTGATGTTAACAAGTGAGAATCAATTATTATAAATGAAATGTTAGTGCAGCAATCAGAGCAATAAAAGATCACAAGAAAATGAACTCAAAATCACACATTAAAACAAGGGGGATATAGATGTCTTCTTGCAATCTCATCATTGTAATGAAAATGAAAATAGAATATTAAAGGAATTAATTAATAGGTAATCCTCAATTATGCACATCCCCTCAGTTATCCAAACACTTTCACTCATTAAATGAAATTATAGTATATAAATAATTTTATAACAACTTTAAAGGGTTCATTGTAAGCCCAAATGCTTATAAAATTGTCTTGTCTTATTACATAGTAATCCTATCTATTTCTACTTCAATTCGAATATGCCAATCAGTTCAGTCAACAACCTTGGCTATAATGCCAGCAATCCTAAGATCTACACAGATGTAAATTGCATAAATTATTCCTAAGATACAGAATTTCGTATTCTATATAGCAATCATTAGAAATACATTGAATCCGCAATAGATGATCCATTCAAATCAGTCTTCTATCGTGAATCAATTAGATCAATCATTATTTACTATAATGTATCATATAAAATATTTTATATTTTTCTCTCTTTTATGATACTGCTTTCATTCTTGCTAATATTGAGCGTACTCATGTCAAAATATATAGAATTTGCATAACCATTTTTATTAGTTATCTTTTATCTATTTTTGAAGTTCTATATTGAAATCATAGCACATTCACTCATTAGCTTTTTTATTTAGCAATACTTATTTGTGACTTACTAAATTATCTAGGTTGATTATGCTGCTTTCTTTCTTAATTGCTAAACCTGATTATACACCAACACTATGTCTTTGATTTTCTATTACTCTAAATTGAAATACCTCTTATTGATTAGGAGATTGAGCATTTCTCATTATATGTAACAAAGTACTCTTTGATTTATGTTTTAATGGGATGTTGGGCAGATTAGAAGGTTTGGGTATGTTAGTTGCAGGCATGGTGAGAAACATATCAGCACTATCCCTAACAACTGGTTAGTAATAATAAAATACTCGAAATTGCTCTTTTTTCTTACCTTGCTTTCTTTATTTCATCCTGCAATCTGAATGAATCTCTTACAACATCTCTTATTTCAACTCGTTTTTAATATACTGTTTATTTCAACTACTAAATAGTTAAATTGTTTAGTTTAATCTGTTCCACCATTTTTGCATGGTTATCTTATAAGGCTTTTTAATACTTCTGCAATTTATGCAACTCATAAACCATTTCCTTCACTGCGGGATGGTTATCAAGACTAATTAAACTGGAGAACATACTCTTTTTGTTATTGCTTCTTTTCCTCAAGCTTTTAGATCTAGAACATCAATCTTTCCAATTAGTTCATCAAATGAAAATATCTCTGATTCACTCTTTCTTCCTAAATTAATATTTTAAATAACTTCTCTTTCTATTGCTATAACAGTTTTTTAATCAACTTACTCCACATAACTTTATACTGCCTGATGTTTCTCTTACACTTTATCCATTCCATCATTAATCCTAGTTATTGAATAACCAAAACTTACGGCTCTATCAAAGTCATAGATCCTCTCTTCTACAATGTATGAAGCATTGCTTTCATATTTTAATCTTAATATAAATTTAATTTTATTTTATAATCCTCAAAATAGATATGACTTTATTCAGAAGTGAAAATTTGAATATGATGAATGAATCTTAAATCTAATTAACCTTTACCAACTATCAGCTTGAAATAAATTATAAATTCTTCATCAACTCATTCTAATGAATAGAATCTATTTATGCTAAAGAATCTTTCTCTATTTTTATATTAATATCTGAATTGATTGATTGAGATTATTTATTTTTTGTAAGTTATTTGGTGATCTTTTTCTTACAAACAAGATGTCTAGTATTTCATTTTTCCTTTTAGAATTACTTCCCCATGCATTATCATATTTAAGTTATATATTTTTTTATTCTTATTGCTCATGTATATCCAATCGCAATTTTAATGTATGTAGAAATTACGATTGGATATATCCTAAGCGACCTTCATTTAGACGATAGCTTAATATAAACTTGGAGAGATAACAATGGAACGCCAATTGATGGGAATCCTTAAATCCCAGCCATGTTTAATAGCATTTAGATATATACTTATTATAATTTTTTATCAAATTTATATTCAGTGATTTTCCCCTAATAATCAAATTCGTTATTCTAATTTCCTCTTTTTTAAGGTGGCAATCTCTTTAAATTTGGTTTCAACAATATGCTTAAACTTCTTTTCCTAAGATGATTTATTTTTTAAACTATTTCTGGCATTTATAAACCAATTTAAAACCTATATATGATAGAGGATTCCAATTTACTTATTTGTTGGTGAGATTCGTTTATTGAACTAATTATTCAACCTACTATTGTTTTGGATATGGATTATTGTAGTTTTCAATTAGCCATTTCTTAAGGACCATGTTTGCTTATTTGGAATAAGTCCTCTTAGTATTAGCTAAGAAATGTATAATAATGGAATTGTACTTGGATAATTAGACAATAATTTTAGTTTCTGTATGTCTTCATAGAGTTTTATTTTGTTTTAAATTTGAGTTGTGACTTCTTCAAAAAATTAGGTTGTTTGGGTTTGAGTCAACGTACTGTATATTTTATCATCTATCATTCTCTATTTCAAGGTTTCGAAAAACTTTTTAAGTTAATTATTCTTGTCAACACTCTATGATATTATGTAACAATCGATACATTAGTTTCCTAGGTGCATTCTACATCGATCGAATCGCTCTTTCTAACCATTTCCTCGGCCAAGCTTTGTCCTGACTATTGTTGAGTCATCCAACTGAGCCAAATGCGTTCTAGACTTTATATCTCTGATAAAGCTTTTTGTGCCTTTGATTCATTAACTAAAAGGTTACAAAATCTTATTATACCTTATTATTAAAGTTGTAGGTATGATGATTCTTTCATACCCTCTTCCATGATACTCTAAAAATGCATTATTGAACGGGGGAGGATCTTATTTTATTTTTTAAAATTGATTAAATTCAAGTCAAAATTTTACTGATTAATAGCATATCAGAGGTGTAGAAGGATGACGTCTGTTTGAGTCTTTTTATAAATACGCAAACTATATTGAAATTCAATTAGTGATACAAAAGACTACATATTTGTCTCTAAATATCATTTACTTTGCAAATGTTTATAGATCATTAATTTTTCATAGATTAATTAACAATAATTGAATTGTTATAGTAATTTATCATTAATTAAAATATGTGTGTTAAAGAGACTTCTTCAATAAATATAGCTTATTTGAGGAACGTAATATGTAAAAAATTGTATTCAATTTTATTATTTTTAATACACGTATATAAATATTAAATTTATGGAAAATATAATTTTCTATTAAATAATTCGGGCATTCTCTTTTAAAAATAACTATTAATACGCTTAGCAAATTCATAAACAAAATGTCTCATTTTTGATAATCTATGACTCGATAAGATAGAAGATCGCAATTTTTATTTAAAAGAAAGTTTAATGTCAAAAAAAGATAGAATTTTTAAATAGTATGATTATAATTGGTTTATTTTAAAATATTGGAGTAGAGTTAAGCCCAAAAGGATTTAGTAAAGTATAAGGTTTGGTTGTATAACATAAATAATTCATTTTGGTGTGTCTAATTTCACTGGATATTTAATATTAATTGAAATCAATTGTTATTCAATCATATAGGACTTGGATTTTTTATGAAATCACTCTTATAAGTCTTGAATACTTCTATTAAATTAGATCAATCTGTTCCATGCTTATTGTATTTTAAGAATTCAGATTGCTTAATTTGAAATTAGGACCTTTGTTTGAATTTAAAAAAATTGAAAATTACTATAAATTTAGATTATGAAAAATTTTGTTGGCGACTAGTCGTATCAGTTACTCAGTTAAAATTTAGTAAAACAAGAAAAGCAAAGGTGTCATCAATAAGATTTAAGAACAAAGATGTATTATATAATTGAAGCTAGTAAAGAGGGAGAAATGAGAGAAGGCAAGTTATTTTTCATGGAGTGATATTATGGCTTATTAAAGTAAGGCAATATTCTAAGATAGTATAAAAATGATTATATCACCAATATATGGTTCAAGATAAGAGGAAGATAGTCAGATTTATCAAATTTGAGTTCCCTAATAGCAGAAAATAAATTATTGGAATCTATTTTCTGAAATAATTTGGTGGCTTAAGTTAATATCCTTAAATATTGCCTATTCTTAAATTTAAAGAATATAGATCAATAATTGTTGATACATCATCATATAATAATGTTATAAATGTCAAAAAAACAATTTTATTTGAATTTTGATTATAACACAGTTATATTATCAAACACATCTAAACTATAAATTGAATTTACAACATTATGCTAGATATTAATTAAATTTTTTCAGCAAAGAGTAGAGAGTATATGATATACAACATATTGTTTAATGTGAATATATTTCAATAAGGTCTTGGTCTAATCATTTATTCATATTATTTCTATATGTAGGGATTCTGATTATTAAATGGAATAGGATTTGTAAGGGGATTGTGACTTTAATGAATAGCATTTTATCCTGCCCCCCTTAAAGCCTGTCCTCGACTCACTTGAGAAACACTACTCAAATTTTAATTAATTGTATTCATCTCATCCTACTTTAATTAAGCTAGAGATTGTTATTTTAATAAGTAGTCTTATTTTGGTGGTAATTAACTATGTAAAATGAAAAGATAATATACCCAACTTATGGTGACCATCCAATAATCTTAGCATTTAATTATGATTCTTAATTTTTATAGGCCTATAAATCTAACATATTCATAGACTTTTCTTGTCTTCCCATCCTTTGTTGTTTCAGTCTTTATTCCTCTCTATAATATTGGATGATTGATACTTTTCTATTCGTTATTGATCTAAATATTCTTTGTATTATCTTTGTTATTCTACTTAATCAACCTTTCTTTAAACTAAGAATTAGTTGTAATTTTAAAGCTAATTATAATAAGATAGCAGTACGTCTTCCAATCTTTATTTATTTAACTCTTATTTAACACTCTTCTCCTGCACTTTCCCTTATTCTCTTTCATCCAACATCTTTTTATTAACATTCAATGTTTATCTATATTCTTCTTGTCTCCTCAATACACGATCCAATTCTTCTTAAAGTAATTTTCTTTAATATGCATCCATATTTTTAGAGATCATTGATTCCAACTAAGCTTGTCTTTCCAATAAAGGTTGAAGGACATTGTCAATATGCATTTTCTATAATTATGCTTGATTTTGAGAACATAGTTTATAGAACTAATTAGATATGGTTTTGATACATTTTTATAGTTTTCCTCTTTGATTAATTCTTTTTCAGCATTTCTTCTATTCAACTCTTGAATTTCAATTTAATCATTTCTAAATCTTTCTCTTTCTTCCATATGTCTTAACTAGGATAGTTTAAGGTCTGCATCTTATTCTTTAGCCCATTGTTCCTTTTGCAATCTCCTCTACAGGAAATCCTATTCCATTCGCCTTCTATTCTCATCCAAAGCCTGCTGTTCCCAATCTAACTTTTATTGTCTCAAATCCATTTCTCTAATCAAGGAGTCTTATTTTTATTTGTCATATATGGAAGAGATGCCTTTTTGCAATACTGCCTTGTCTTCTAAGAACTTTTTTTATTCCTCTTAGAATTTCATTTATCTCCTTTTCATTTCTTGTGCATCTTCATATTTCTACTCCAATTCTTTCTGTTTAATTTGCAATTACTCAAGCATTTTACGATCCAATTCAGTCCTAATAGAATCAAATAATAATCTGGTACAATAATTCCTTCTTTCTCAGATTCAAAATTTCTCTTTCATTGCGTTAAATGTCTTATCCAATCTCATACATATGATGTTCAATTCCATACCATTCAGATTTTAAACCCTTTTTATCACAAAAATTTAGTTACTTAAACATCTTTTGGATAATGACGCCTTGTTTAAGTTTGATTTTGTGTAACATTCATTGGATCAGTTTCCATTTTTAATAATAATAATTAATAATAAATAAAGTATGTTAATTCTTCATAACACATATGTATAAAACCAAACAAAGTGATGATGTAAACAAATCATTTTAATTTTCTAAATTAACTAAATTAACCGTTGTCCCTAATTGATGTCGTCTGCAACAATCCTCATGAAAATGTAATCTTTTCAAATTCCGATTAGTCTTCTATCCTCAATTGTATTCCTCTAATTAAATTTTGATCCTTTGTATCTTAATTCATTAAGCTTTTTTCAATACCAAGAAATTTAAACTATTATAACTCCTCACTATTAACATTTTGAGCATTACCTTGCAATTCAAGTAAGAATAGTTCTGTATCTCCTTTTTCAAGGTTTCCAAAGTCTTCCTTAAATTCTATCACATGCAGATTATGTATTGGAAGACTGTAGCTTCCTTATCATTTTGCTTTCAATCATTCTAATATGTACCTTATAAATAAAGAATCGTTTCTAATATTTTATATAGGCTAAGAAACTTAGTTGCATATTTCTTAAAAATTAAACATGCTGTCTTAAAATATAGAAAAATTAATAAAATTAATTAATTATTTGAGATTAATATATGGTGACAAGTCATAAAATTATATTCATTGTTTTGGGAATGGTGTTTTATAAAATTTTCGATGTGTTCTCTTTTGTAATGGAGTTTGAAATTGAACTTTAACAGCTGAGCTCTAGTGTGCAGATTATGATTGCCTTTTTCTTTATTAATGTGTTGACATCTCTGTTTTTTTAACTGATTAACAATTTCTTTCAGACTACTTTCTTTGTTACTTTTCTTAATCCTTATAATCTTTGTGATGACTATCTCTTTCTTCAGTATTCAGTGAAATGTAAGAATTAAAAATATTCACTTCATCACACCCTTCTTTAACTTTCATTTGCTTAGATTTTGAAAGAATTTGCAATTAGCTTTTTTGAATTTTTTAGCTCATTATTTTTAATTATGTATATTCTACAAATAAAAACAAGCTGTTAAAATTATTTATGTTTTATTTGAACAATTATGATTGCAATTGGGTAGCTTATTGCTCAAATTGCAATTTTATAGAATTCTAAATTATGGACAAAATGAGGATGGTTTGGTGTGAAGCACATTAATAATATATTACTTCTGGTTATGTAAATTCATTTAAATTCAACTTCATTATTATCTAATAAACCTTTATTATATCATATGGTTTAGGTAATATCTAATTTTATCCATTCTTATTTTAACACATCCTAATATTGTTCCTTATTATTAATATTCTTTTCATTTTATTAGTTGTATATAAGATTGCATTTTTATGTAAACCTTACATAAATCTTCCATTAATGTCTATGATTTGTTCAAATTATTATTTGGATGCAAATTTGATCCATTATAATTATGTAAACTGAATATTAGCAAAAATGTATAAAAATATTATGTTTCATGATTGATAGTACGATTTTGCTCTAATTTTGGTAATGATTCTTGGATCCTACAATCAATAGAAAATGATACCAATTATCGAGAGTATGTCGAACTCAACTATTAAGATGTTTAAAGTTCTTAGATCAATAATTGTTCCTTCTATTCGAGTTTACGAATAGACTATTCTGTTTATATTCTTTTTTAACATTCAACCTCTAATAATTGAGAGTACTCTTTATTTCTGAGTTCTTCATTTGACTTTTGCCTGATCCTCATTTTAACTTGTGATTGTGCCCTTTCTTGTTTCAGTTTGTTGTATCTGACAATGTTTTTAATTAGTTCAGATTCTTTTTATTGCTGTACTTGCCTTTCTAATTCTAGATATTTAATTTTCATCTTCTGAGTCTCCTGAAGTCTGAATTGCTTCTATTGTTCTTAGCTTTTCTTGCGTCCCTCTTCACTCTAATGTTTTTTTGTCTTGGCCATAAGTTGAACTTGGTGTATTTTCTGTAGTTTTTGCATGTTGATAATATTTCTCTATCATAATAATGTGTATATAACACTCTAATTAAATTGGTCGTGCTCAGATTGTATGAATTGCTTCATTTCAACAGACTTCTATTGTTATTTGATTCTTCTAATGACTTTGAGTTGATTCTGTTGAATGAGGTTGATTCTATTCATTAAGAGACCCAGGTGTTATTCGGACTGTTTACGACTAAATTATATTGTTAAATTCCTACCCTTCACGTGCTTATAACAGAATATCGCGATTTTTCATTTATTTTAATTATTAATGGGGCAAACTTGTAATGGATGTTAGTGTTAGCACCGTTCCAATGAGTGCATTCAAGAGATCAATGTGAAAAAGAAACCCAAGAAGAAGGCAGAGAAGATAGAGAAGCCTGAGAAATAGGAACATCGATCCAATGAGGAAAAGCAAATTGAAAATAGTTAACAACAAAACAAGAAAATCTCATAGGGAGATGCAGCACTTAAAATACAAAGGAATTGGAAGAAGCACAAGAAATCGAAGGAAATTAGAGTTGAAAAGGCTGGAGCGCATACAAAGTAGTAATACTTTCAAGAAGAGACTGCCAATGCACAACCTCCCCAAGATCCGAATAGAGTGAAAAACCCCCCTTTTATGTAAGAGATCCTATTGAATTTAGATTCCGTTCTGGAGCCATATATGAAGGAGAATGGAAAGATAAAAAGAGAGATGGATTTGGTATTCAAAAATGGACTGATGGAGCTAGGTATGAGGGTTAATGGGTGGAGAATAAGGCGTGTGGATAGGGGAAGTTTTTTCATGCTGACGGAGATCTTTTTGAAGGAGAATGGAGAGATGACAAAGCCAATGGCTGGGGAATCTATAGTCATTTTAATGGTGCTAAGTATGAAGGGGAATGGAAAGATGATTTGTAACATGGAAAGGGAACAGAAACTTGTAAGATTATTGTATCTTATGAAAGGGTAAGATAAATCGAAATATTGTGGTGATTACGTTAATGGAAAAAAGCATGGCAAAGGGAGATATGATTGGGCTGACGGATCTTACTATGATGGAGAATGGAGAGATAATAAAATCAATGGATTTGGAACATATAAATGGGCTGATGGTCGAGGATATACTGGACAATGGTTGGACAATAATATGAATGGAGTGGGAGTTTATTAATGGAAGGATGGGAGAAAATATGATGGGTAATATTTGAATGATAAAAAACATGGTTAAGGAACATATTATTGGGCAGATGGCAGAAAATATGAAGGAGGATGGAGAAATGGTAAATAGCATGGTACTTCTAAATACTATTTGAATGATGGAACAATCAAAATAGGAATTTGGGAGGATGGTAAAAGACTCAGATGGTTAGAAGATGCATGATCTAAATTTATTATTTTCTTGCTGTTACTATCTATTTAATGTAACTCTTGCTATACAAAAATCAATAATATATTGACAAGGTTCTATGGTGTGGCACTATGTCGAATCGTTATTCTTCACCCATCTACCATAGCATCCAATCCACTTCTATACTATTTAATTTCTATCCTAACTTCTAGAACTCCTCCTTTATGTATTCTACTGCTATTACACTATTGGCCCTTATTTCAATCTCATATTCAGATCCATGAGTAATTTCGACTTCATTTTTAATCTTATTCGCCAATTCTTCATCATATTCCAAAACATTTAATTAATTTAAAATTTATGGTACTCTATAATCTGGGAACATCGTTAAGATTTCGATGTCATCAAATTTACCTAGTCCTTACCCTTTTAGTGCAGCATATATGTCTCCTATTAAGATTTGTGATCGCTTGTAAAAAAAGGTCTATCTCCCCTTATATATTGCATGATCCTAAAATCCTAGAAATTGGGTTGTCAATATATTAAGTAATTTGGCAGCAGAATTTTTAGCAGCTTTGATTACATTCACAAATTCTCCTTCAAAAAATGTCACCAATACTTCTGAGGCATGTTTCAATAATCTATATCTCTCTGTGATCAATGGGAAATCAGGGTGATTTGGGAAGAGCAACTATTGAAATTCCTCAAATGTCATTTATAATATGGATTCTGCTTTGAATTGTTGGGGAGATTTCTAAAAACATTCCTTTATGGCTGATGACAAATTTTCGTATTCATAATCTTTTTGTGGCCAAAAACAAAAGTTTAGGGAATCCAATATAAACAAAAAGTCAACCACTTATTCCTCATCACCTGCAAGATGACATTCATATTCATCAAATTCTTTGTATTTGTGTTTATTCTTAATATACCATTCATTGACTTATTTTTGTAATTCCTCCTTGTTGATTTTCACATGTTTGGAATTCTCACTCACAAACTGACAAGAATTTCTTACTAAACTCATTTATTAAATATTATATTAATATAGATGTAAAATAAAAGCCCTTAAATATAGAAGAGTACATTTACAGAATTGAAAGAGTATAGATAAATGCAGAGAGTCATCTATTGTTTGATTGTCTATGTCCTTTATGGAGAATGCTTGATTCTTCTCTTCCAATGCATTTGCCTGTCCATTATCTTATTTTATGAAGTACCCCCTGTCATTATAAGTAGTTTATTGGAATAATTATATTCTAATGTCTCATTGTTGTAATTTTATTGAGATTGTTCAATAATGTATAAAGTAATTAAAGTTAAATAATAGGATTGTTGATCATCCAATAAGAGTGCAAAACTTGTAAATAATTAATCTTCTGTTAAATTTGCCATCATTGCGACTCAATAGTACTTCACATTGGATTCTTGGAAATGTGTTTAGTCGAAGATTAAATTAAGTAACAGCCTTTTACATTTAAGACTCCTCAAAAATATAGTGGGCGTGTTCTTAACTAAAATAATTGCATAGGTGATCATCCAAACTTATGCAGCTATGATAATTGAGAAGCCTATGCAATTTTACTCTGCTTTCTTAACAATAATAATAACTATCTTATTTTTTAACATAGTTCTTTTATTATTTCTTATATTTCTTGCATGGAAGGTATCTTTTGAAATTCGGAACAAATAACAAATCAAAACTCCTCAAGATGAATTTAAAATGATTGAATAAGACGTTGATAAATGTCATCAATTCGTAAATCAAAAAGTGGAATAAAAGAATCCAACCCCAGATCAATAGGAAATTGAAGATAAAGGATCTATAAACGTATCTATCAATGAGGACATAAGTCCAGCCATGCTGAAATTAGTACTATCAAAATTAATCAAGAAATCGAGTTTAAGTCCTAGTCCTGGTAGATACCGCTCTGGCAAAATACTTGATTTTCTAGAAAAGAAATTAAGCCATGCCAAATTAAGTCAAAAAGAATTACATAATGGATACAGCAAAGAGTACAGTAGAAAATATAATACCAACTAAGGTAATTTCTATTTATCTATGACAGCATTATAAATTAGTGTAGATTTTGGAGAACAAGAAGATGTCTCCCTAAAAAACAAAATCGAACTAGAAATCAACAATCATAACTTCTTTAAATAAACTAAATTCATATCTTGATACTCATTTTTTCTTTATACTAAATTACAACACTACATAAAAGCCTAAAATAACGACTGCAAAGATCCCCAACATCACAAGTCTATTCTTTGTGTCTTCCTTCTTCTATAAGATCTCCTTATTAGCTTCTGCCTCTTTTTATCTTTTCTTAGCTTCTTTTTCTTCACTGATCTAATTCTCGACTTCCTTAGCTCTTTACTGTTGTCTCTCTTTCTAATCAATTAATTAAATACATACTCTGTCTTCTGCAATTTGTCTTTTTCTAACTTATTATTCCTATTATTCTAATTCAATCTTCTTTTTTCTATCTTCAATTATCTATAAATATGTTAATCCAGCTCTATTTAATTTATTGACATCTAAGTTGACATTGTCCTTATTTGAAAGTAATACCTTCAAGAATAGTTACTTATCATTAATGGCAGCAATATGCAATGGTGCATTTCCTTCTTTATTTTACTAATTCCAAATGTCAATTTATAATGCATTATCTCTATGTCTTTTAATTATGGCATTAAGCAATTCGGCATTGCCACTAAAGGCTAATATATGCAACACATTCTCTTGATCTTCATCCTGATTCAATAATCCAATCTCATTTTATATTAAGTATAATGCGTTTTCATCCTATTCTGCATTTATTGCCAAATGTAATAAGTTCCCTTTTGTGGGTACCTTGTATTCTAAATTTAAATAACTAATTACTTATCAACAATTAGATCATCTAAACTGTTCCAATCACAACTGCATGTTCCAAATAAGATCTACCTTCAATCTCCACTTCTACATCAACTTAATGAGTCTGTAATAAGGCTTATGCTCCTTCCAAGAAATTCAATTAAATTGATGTAAATAAAGGAGTGCTTTTATCAATAAGATTCATAAAGTTAACATCGGCTTTCTTTGCCAATAATGCTTTCACTAATTTTAAATTGTTATTTGTTAATGCAATTTGTAATAAAGATTTGCCAGTCTTCTTATCTATCTCATCAAGATTCTCCCCCTTGTCTATCAGATCTAAACAGCTCTCTGTGTTATCCTTTAAGAATTCTCTAATCATTTTATTATTTCTTATAAAATTTATGTATGAATAAAAATAAATCAAATATTTATCGATCATAAATAATTAATCTTCTAATTCTTAGCATTTTCTCTAATTTTCTATAAGCATTTTTTTCTTCCAACCTCAAAATTTTTGTCATAAGTCTCCATTTCATTCTAAATAAAATTCTTCAATTCTATAATTTAGACATATTTAACAATATTATTCCATTTCAATATTTGAATATCTCTATTTACAATATCAATTATAGAGCGTCTAAATTCTAAGAAGAATAAAAATTATTCTTCATCATTTTCATTACGTCCAAATGATCTATTAAATTTAACATAACTGTAGTTTATTAATTTCTTTATAATCTCTTTAACAAGTAGAACTTTTGCTTATTCATCAATTACTGGAAAACCTTAAAACAATCTTTTGGATTAAATATATATGTCTCCTAGTATTTCTAACAGTTCAAAATATAAGAATTAATTATAATCACACTATTAAAAGCTAAGTAATTCACTTTCAGTAAGTTACATTTTTTAAGGTTGATCTTTAATCTCTGAATCGAATAATTCACAAAGTGTTTCTCCAGAATCCTCCCTAGAAGCAAAAATTATAGATTTTATTCCTGCTTTATGATAATATTCTGTTAATTAACGTTGTTCCCTTTCTTTGTCATCAGAAAAATCAAAATGAGTAATCACTATTGTAATTCTATCTTGATATCTTTCAAATGCTAGTAATAACCATTTGCAAGTATCTTTTATAATATCAAATCGTGCATAACGCACAACAACCATTATTCTTGATATCCATATATTTTCAATTAAATTTAAAATTTTTGAAGATGTGCCAATACAATCTTCATCTTTTAAACCAGGTGTATCAATTAATGTAAATCCTTATCCATATTTTGAGTCTTTAACGTAAACTTCACGAGTTACAACCCTTCCTCCAGCTTAAACTTCTTAATTAGAATTAGTAATTTTATTAAACAGAGTCGTCTTACCATCTCCAGATTGACTAACCAGTAATGCAACTTTTTTCATTTTAATTCTTTTATTGACATCCCCACCGATTCGTTCTTAAATACTCAAATATTCTATTAAAAATTCTATTAAATTATTTTTATATTTAGATCATTTTATAGTTTGATATAATTTGAATGTATTTAAAGTAAAGTATACAATTCAATAAATATGATAATTTTTTGGATCCACTCTTTGTTAAAAATACAATAAGTATATTATTAAATTATTTGTTTTATAAAATATGAAAGGTTTACGCAACCTCCTTAATAAGGACTATGAAGATTTTCTTTAACAAAAACTTGAATAGAATAATCCAAACAAATTGATAACTAAAAGAACTGTTGCAACTAGGGAATCAGGTAGACCTGTTGGATCTCGAATGTACTAAAGACTTTAAAAACCGGAATCAGCAAGTTAGAGCATGGGAAATCTATTTGCAAATGTTAAAGGAAATTTATTCGCAAATCCGAAACATTCGCTTTAATAGGAGGCTAATCCCTACCTAACTGAATAATAAGAAAAGTTTATTGTTAAGTAATATTGGAGATCCTTACTCCGTTGGCAAGGATTCGATGATTATCTATTCTTGAGAGATCCACTTAGTATAAAGCATATAAAAGGGAGGGATATTTTAACAAAGAATGATGTAATTGAGGAATTGAATTCATCAAATATGCATATGCAAGTCATGTATTAAGCAGACAGTGGGATGCAAGAGTACAAGGATTAACATAGGAGATTACAGATGCAACAATTGTAGAAATTGTATCAACCTGGAGAAGCTAATTATTAGAAATTCAATCCAGATAAATATAAATAAACATTTTTCGGTGGGAGAGATGCAGCCAAGTTGTAGTAGATAGTGTTTGAGAATCCAAAGTTCGTAGAGTTTATAGAAAAGATACAGAAGTTATTATAGATAATGAATGAGAAGATGGTTGTCGAGGAAGTCAATTAGATTTCACCTATTGGGGAGAGGATGATTAGATTATTATGGAAGATAGGGTGTTTGAACATGTTTTTAGTTGGTTATTACATTCATAATATGATATTGGAGATATATGGCAAGGAGAAATTGGCATATTCCAATTGGATAAAGGTATTGAGAATTTGTAATATGCAAGGGAATCATTGTCATAAATATAAATTAATAGCATATAAGCACATATCTAAGATTTGTATTAAGCTATAGCAGTACGACAAAAGTTTAATTTACCTCAAGAAGATGCTAAAATTGTCATGGATAGTTAATGATACCAATTATGAGATCTTTACTTATGATAAAATCTCATTGTGCTATTATTACAAATAAGACATGAATAAAGCCATTTATTATCATGAGAAATTTGCTTAAGGGGAGTACGAAGAACCAGGAAAAGGCATGAGAAATGTGGGTGAAGCAGCATATTTATTGGATGCTAAAACCAAAGAAGGATTTATTGATCAAAATTCGTATTCCGAAGATGAATATGATTTAGATGTATTGTTACAGAATGGTAATCTTAATAAGTGGGAAACTGAGAACAAGAGGAAGGATCTCAAAATATTGGTCAAGAAATTACCCATGGAATATAAAAAAGGACATAGTTTTGGTAAGATACATAGGCCAACCAATAAGGTCATTGATTTTAAACATGCTATGTTAATACTGCATCAATTTTAAAATAAATAATAAGTTCCATTGGGACCTATTTATTCGAAAGAAGTACAGGAGTAGTAAGAACAGACTGTCAAGAAATTTAAAAAGAAAGATTAAACTCAATCATGTCAATATTTGTTTAATTAAAAAAGTACCAATAGAGTGGCATCTAACTTTTTATTGCAAGAAGAAATTAAGGACTAAACCACCAATGACACTTTATGTTTTAAACCATCTGAAAACGTTTACTACATCAAAAAAATGATCAGGGTCTTTTAATATGATCTTAAGTATTTATTATAGAAACAATCTCTTTTTAAAAACTCCACTGATTGTATATGATATTATATATATAATAAGTTATTTAATGCATTAACATATTACACTTAATTGTCAAAATACCAAAAAGGGATATCTGATCTAGAGAACAGGAAACAAACCTGGGGATAGAATCAGTGAAAGACAATCTTTTGCACAATATGTAAATTAATTGTCAGAAACTTAACAATAACTACTAACCCAAATTAAGTCAACTCCACGGAAAAACTCTTAATTTAATAGTCATCCTAATCTTCCCAAGTTACATTCTCCTGACATCATGAGTAGACGGTTTGTTTTGAATGTTGCCAAATGTCCAATCAATAATTATTAATCTCCCATTTTTAGACCTAATGGAGTCCCACAACAATAACAGTTTTATCATCCCGTTTAATCGTCTAGACATTCATCCCTTGATATAAGGAAATCAATGCTTATATAAAATAAGCTAGCACCTATCTAAAAGAGTTCAATTATCAATCTGAGTGGAAGAAGTGTCAGAGATGAGGATATGAGTTTGTTTTATTATAAAATTGGTGGAGACGAGGTAGTTGATTAATTAAATGAAGAATTTTTCCATTTTTCAAGCCAGCATGACATGATTAAAAGTATGTAAATAGCATTTATTAATTTAAGACATTGAAGATCATGAATAATATAAGGCTCATTTTAAGATATTTTTAGAATATATTATGGGGAAACCAGTGTTTTATAATCTTGAATAGCTTAAAGATAAACATAAAAATCTAGGACTTAAAAATAATGATTTCAACCAATTTAAAAATTATCTTATTGTATTTTTTATCACTTAACTTTTAGACATGCTTTTTAAAAGTTAATAAAACTTAGCCAGAGCATGTCTTTGAATTTAGTTCTATGATTGAACAATATCGATACTGTATAATCAACAGCGATACTCCATTTGCTATTATATACAATCAAAAAACTGAGAAACTAAGCACAAAAGAAGTTCCAGACACTATTCTGTGTATGGCTGAAAGCAGTTATCAGAAGATATTTGCTGACAATACATTGGCTCATTACTTTATAGGAATTCAACTCCATGAATAGGCTAAAAAATTAGGTAGAATACTGCACCAAATGATGGGTTGGGACTAGACTTCTGATTAAGCTTTATTAGATATGAGGGAGTCTCATAAGAGTATGCATTTAAACAATGTACATTTTACATTATTTAAATAACATATGATTGAGTCCATGAGATAATTGCACATCCAAGAGAAATAAATAGAACTTGTTACCTCGAGAATGGATGGATATAGAAGTTACATCATTAACCAAGATTCCTTACTTGAATTTTACAGAGATCAACCAACATTGCTTTAGGTTTAACAGAAAAAGTATGTCCAACTGCTTAGAAGNTAAAAACTCCACTGATTGTATATGATATTATATATATAATAAGTTATTTAATGCATTAACATATTACACTTAATTGTCAAAATACCAAAAAGGGATATCTGATCTAGAGAACAGGAAACAAACCTGGGGATAGAATCAGTGAAAGACAATCTTTTGCACAATATGTAAATTAATTGTCAGAAACTTAACAATAACTACTAACCCAAATTAAGTCAACTCCACGGAAAAACTCTTAATTTAATAGTCATCCTAATCTTCCCAAGTTACATTCTCCTGACATCATGAGTAGACGGTTTGTTTTGAATGTTGCCAAATGTCCAATCAATAATTATTAATCTCCCATTTTTAGACCTAATGGAGTCCCACAACAATAACAGTTTTATCATCCCGTTTAATCGTCTAGACATTCATCCCTTGATATAAGGAAATCAATGCTTATATAAAATAAGCTAGCACCTATCTAAAAGAGTTCAATTATCAATCTGAGTGGAAGAAGTGTCAGAGATGAGGATATGAGTTTGTTTTATTATAAAATTGGTGGAGACGAGGTAGTTGATTAATTAAATGAAGAATTTTTCCATTTTTCAAGCCAGCATGACATGATTAAAAGTATGTAAATAGCATTTATTAATTTAAGACATTGAAGATCATGAATAATATAAGGCTCATTTTAAGATATTTTTAGAATATATTATGGGGAAACCAGTGTTTTATAATCTTGAATAGCTTAAAGATAAACATAAAAATCTAGGACTTAAAAATAATGATTTCAACCAATTTAAAAATTATCTTATTGTATTTTTTATCACTTAACTTTTAGACATGCTTTTTAAAAGTTAATAAAACTTAGCCAGAGCATGTCTTTGAATTTAGTTCTATGATTGAACAATATCGATACTGTATAATCAACAGCGATACTCCATTTGCTATTATATACAATCAAAAAACTGAGAAACTAAGCACAAAAGAAGTTCCAGACACTATTCTGTGTATGGCTGAAAGCAGTTATCAGAAGATATTTGCTGACAATACATTGGCTCATTACTTTATAGGAATTCAACTCCATGAATAGGCTAAAAAATTAGGTAGAATACTGCACCAAATGATGGGTTGGGACTAGACTTCTGATTAAGCTTTATTAGATATGAGGGAGTCTCATAAGAGTATGCATTTAAACAATGTACATTTTACATTATTTAAATAACATATGATTGAGTCCATGAGATAATTGCACATCCAAGAGAAATAAATAGAACTTGTTACCTCGAGAATGGATGGATATAGAAGTTACATCATTAACCAAGATTCCTTACTTGAATTTTACAGAGATCAACCAACATTGCTTTAGGTTTAACAGAAAAAGTATGTCCAACTGCTTAGAAGAGATCATAGAATGCAGAACTTCCCTTAAGAGGCATTTAGCAGACATGCCTAATTTATTCTCAGGTATCTCACACATTAACACCTACCTACTCTTACTCATAATGACTTGTGGACCATTCATTCTAAATACAATATAGCTATTGAATGGATTGAATCTTTTCAGGATAATTTCTTTCTCTTAATTCAAAATCTCAACTTAAATCCTCTTGTTATCCAAGATTACGAGGATATATGGTTTAAACTAAAAAGTAATCTTACTCAATAATATTCTGTCTAAAATCTTATTGGCAAACAGAAAGTTGACTAAATCCTCACAAAAGTTTAATTTAAAATGCAAGACAATGAGAATTTTAATGAATATTTCAAAAATGCCAATTACTAAATGAGTTAACATCTTCAAAGGATCATGACATTCATATTTAAAGATCAACATCTATATAAATCAAATGACTTGAAGGTTATTCATTAATCACTTAAGATCAAAGAACCCACATTTGATTTGTTTGTTATATTTTTAAAAGATGCTATGAAAGAAGAATAAATCAATCATCATTTAATAAAAACAGCTGAAGAGACTTGTGAATTTTATAAGAAAAGCATATGTAATTGATTACTTGCAATTTTAATAAATTAAATTTCTTAATATAATTAAATACTTTATTTTCTTAAAATTTTGAATATTTTCAATGTTATGCGTCATCATTCAAAATTAAATTAATTTATATATATATTCTACAATGAATAAGAAGTATGATCAATTATTATCAGAATCTCAAATAAACCACTCCTTGCCATAAATCCTCTCAACCCAATCACTAAAAGACACAGGGTCCTTTGAAGAAATTATTTTGGATTCCTCCTTCGTCACCTCCTCATCCAATTATATTGTTGGCAGTCTTGAAGCCCTATTGGCTACTATTCTAAATCCACATTCATGTGGTTTCTTGACCCCTGGCATTGATGGGCCAGGTTCTTGACTTGATGAATAGTGACTCTTCCTCCTATTTTTGTTAGAAACAAAAGGCTTTCTATTTGGTAGCGCAACTACTGGGCTTTTGAACTTTTTGTTTGTCTCCACTCTAAAAACCTATTCTAGATTATCCATTGAATTCCTTGCGTTAAAGTAGTTATTGCTCTTTTGAAAGTTAATTTACTCTTTTATTGGATATTTTAATGAATTCTTTCGTCTAACATAGTCTATCTCCTCCCTCTATGATTATTTGTTCATTATTATTCGATGAAGTTATCCGGATAATAGGTTTCTATTTGATTACACTGATTTATTAAACATTGAAATATTTTAATTTAAATTATTAAAATAACATTATTATCTAAATCTTAATTTAAATGAAAGTTTATTAAGTATAAATAATTATAGAACTACCAATTAAATAATAATTATATTCTACACATGTTTATTTTTTATATAATTATATTCTGATATTTAAAATCATTAATACAAATCTGAGCACCATAATTGCCAAAATAGTTATTTCACAATATATGTATTTCGTATAGTATTATTGATAAATATATCGAAATCAATACTTAAATGTCTAGAATTTTATAATGTTATACTTATTAAAAAATTACATAAATTTTATAACATGAAATTTTAATAACATGAGAAATTCATAGAATTAAGTAGTCTAATGTAAATTGAATTTAAATGCTTGCTTGTATATACGAGAGAATTACAAGAGATATTATGATTTATTCTAAATTTATTCTCATTAGTAATTTTATTTTAGATATATAGTATAGTTAATTTTAATACTATGAGAATTTAAGCTACATCGTTTAGATTGCCATCATTAAAACTATAATCAAAAGACTCTTACTAGTGTCTCAGCAACCGGGATAATAATCTTTCAAGTTCCTCAATGATTAAATACTAAAGTAGTCTCCTATGGAATTATGATCCAACTCCAATTAAGAAGAGAGTTAGAGGAATGACCATAATCATTTACAATAGTCATGAAAAGCTAAAAACAGCAGATTATTGCAATCGAGCAGAATCCATTACTTAGATCTAAGAAACTAATTAAAGTACTTCGGTTGTCAATACCTTTAGAAGATATAGAAATAAACTTAAACAATTGACGTAGCCTACCAAAAATGAAGGAGCAAATTCAAGGAATCCTCTTTTATATAATTTTAAAGATCCTGGACCTCCTATTAGATTGGATCGATTGAATAATGATCGCAAAGATCTCCAACTTCAAGAAAAAGCAACACTGTTAATGAGTAAGGTGAGATTGCTCATTTCTTCTTAATAGCTCTATTAAGAGCCAGTTAATCAGGATATATTTCATGTCAAACTTGTAAAACTAAAAGCTGAATATGACTGTTTATACCAAGACTTTAATGACTATTATGTTTAAATTAATAAATTAGATCAACATGTATTGAAATTGCTGAATCATTTGGAAATCATCTAGACTCTATTGAAACCAAAGAAGCCAAATAAAGTTATAAAATAACAACTATAATAACCTTATATACGACAACTAGATGAATAATCTCTTTTTGGAGAGGCATAAGAAATTATAGAAGATACACCTTAACAATCTTAAATTGCTTAGCATCCACAGTTTTCCCCTTTGAAATAAAATGAATAGAATTGCAATGAGCCAAGAGAGTCCAGTGTATTTACTCCTCTCACTTCTAAACAATCTAATGTTGATCAATCTATAAGTGATTTAGAGGATAATCATCAAAAAAAACCAAGTAAACCAAAAAAATTAAAAAATATAAACAACAACTCTTAAATATCTTAAGATATTATTAATGCTGAATAATAGACGCTTGAATCAATAAATTTAGATAAATAACCTTAGGTTACTTAATAAATATAGCATCAACCAAAAGTAAATTAAAGTTCAATTCCTTAAAGTAATTTAACTTAATCCATTCAATAGAATAATCTTTATGAGTAACCAAATATATTATAAGAGCATAATAATTCTTAAGTTGAAAAGCCAACTTTTAAGAGAACAATAAGCAATTTAGGATCAACTAGTAAAAGAAGAAATGCTATGCTGGAAAGTAAGGATGGGCACAGAAATTAAAATAAGGTGGGGACAATTTTAGAATAGGATGATAATAATTTAGAAGATGAAGAAGAACCAGAAGTGTTATAAATAGATAGTTAGAGAGACTTAAATGATGAACAATAATATTAAAGCAAAATGGCCAACTCTAAATTTTCTCTCTTAGATATTTTAATCGAATCTTTAAATATTTATAAATATCCATTTCAAAAAGATTGGGAATTACACATCGATGAAATAACTAAAGGTACTATTTTTTGTGAATATGATATATGATTAAATCTCTTTTGTTTAATTAAGTGATATAAGATTTAATCTATATACGTAATTAATCAAGATAAAATGAAGGAGATTTGCCATTCTTTGCAAATCCTATGAAAATACGATAATATTATTATTATCCAATTATCCCATATATTAGTATGTATTATCTTTATAAATCTTTTGTAATTAAAATAAAATCAAAGGTGGATATTCATTTTATATTTAAAATTATATTATTTTATTAGATAATTTATATTTTATTTTAAGAACCGGTGTTAATATTTTTTGTTAAGTAATCTTTACTTTAATAAAAACTTCAATGATAAAATGTTTATGGTAGAGTTTTATCAAAGAAAATAATTTTTTGGCTCAAAATTCAAAGGTGTGTTTATTAAAATACAAAATCTTATTATTAAATTTTATCGTGAGAATTAAACACATAAAAAATCTGAATCATATTGTGTATTCCATTAATTGAACTTTTGTTCATCTCAGTTCTTCTTGAGACAAAAATGAGCAGTATTAATAATTCATAAAGGAATTTATAAGTTTATTATTTGAGACTCATTATTTTTAATGGTGATATAAAATAGTGTGATATTGAAATGATACTGATTTATAATTCAATAATATTTTTAAATTAAAGAAAATGATGCTTAATGAGTTTACATCATTCTTTGATAATCTTGAAGTTATTCAGAAAATCAAACATATTTGGTCTAAGTTTTAACATAGTACATATGAAGTAAATAAATTATGAAAATCGATAGAAAGATTCAATTATATTCGAATCTGCGTGTCATAAAATTAGCAGAAAAAAAGCAAAGCTAAAACCAATTATAATTCAATTGGGCCAAGAACATTTGTATCTATTTAAGAATATGAATCCTCATGGCATGCTAATTTTGACTGTAGTAGTAATGTCAGTCTATAAACATGACTAAGGAATAGTGATCAGATTGCTGAGAAATGGATAATATATAGATATTTTGACAACAGATGCAACAGTATTGAAACAATTGTTAGTCTATAAATGCCTATAAACCACTTTTCACGATGAGTTTGGAGTAACCAAAATGATAGGCAAAGGCAGTTTTGCTAAAGTTTATTTAGCAGCTAAGAAATAGACTGGAATCCAGTATGCGATAAAGGCATTTAACAAAGAATTTATGTTAGAGCAATTCAAGGGGAAGGAGAGTTTAGAGAATGAAATACGTGTGATGAGAAAATTGAATTAAGAAAATCTAGTTCATTTACACGAGGCTTATGAAACATAGAATTCAATTTACTTTGTAATAGATCTGTTATAAGGGGGGGAACTCCTAGCTAGAGCAAAAACTAATTAATTTTCATTGGATACTCTTCAAAAACTAATGTACAACTTTATAAAAGCTTTGATACATATTCATAATAAGAGATGCATACACAGAGATTTGAAACCAGAAAATTTGTTGCTTAAATCTAAAGACTCTAATGTAGATATAGTCATAGCAGATTTTGGACTCGCAGCATTTCTAGGAGAAGATATACTTTTTAAAAGATGTGGCACTCCTGGATTTGTTGCACCTGAAATACTGATGTATAAAGAGGATGATCCCTTTTATGATGAGAAATGTGATATATTTAGTGCTGGGGTTATATTCTATGTCTTATTGACTGGTAAACAACCCTTTTAAGGACCTGATTATAAGGCAATATTGAGAGCAAATAAAAATTGTGAAATCAATTTTAACATTAAACAAATTCAATAAGTATTTGATTTCTCCTAATTTAGGCATCCCCAAAATTATAAGAATTGATTAAATAAATGTTATAGTAAAATCCAAAAGAAAGACCAAGTGCAGAGGCATGCTTGTAACATCCTTATTTTGAAGAAATCTTTAACAAAAATGATTTATTGGAAATTCATGAAAATTTAATTGAATACGAGATTGAACATGAGCATAGAGTATAAAAGAAGGGAAGCTTTGATAGTTAGGTGGGCTCGATGGAATTGTAAGTTAGAACTCCAATTTTGAATGGAAGAACAGATACTATTGGATCTTTATCTGTTTGCTCAGGCTAAGGATCGACCAGTCGTTTAGAGAAACCATAATAATAATAGTAATCTAAGTTCAGCCAGTTCTGTTAAACTATGAAAACGGTGTAATAAGATACTATCACTAATTCAAATGCTATGGCTTCTCCATAAAATAAAAAAAAAGATTAGCAAGATTTGCATAAATTTGCATTAAAGAATTCTTATCAACAAAAGTAAACGAGCAAGGATGATGACTTTGTAAATGAAGAATCATCACATTTAGATGATGCAATCTAGAAATTGAATAGTTAGGCTCCAAAAATAGGATTATTTAAAAAAAGTGCTTCCTACAAATTACCAAAATCAACTTAGGAATGATTAATCTATTAATGAATTCCTGTTGGATCTAACATATCAATTTCAATGCCATTTTCAAATCCAATGATTCTTAGATCTGTAATTGAACTGTCTATTTCAATTCTAATCACATTTCTTGGTTTTTTCTTATCTTTAGAGAGTAATGACATAATTAATCAGGAGTATCACTCTTAGAAGTCTCTGAAATATCCTATAAGTAAAATTCTGTAAAACTCAACTTCATACTCTAAATTATAAGTATCTATTTTTATTTAAATAAGCTAGTGCAAGTCGCTCTTTGTTTCTCCAATTTCATATCTTCTCCTTTATTATTAATAGCTAACCCACACAATAGTGTTTTTGAATCGCCTTTGAATTACTCTCTTACTACTTCTATCAGTTTATTATTTCTTCTTGTCTATTAATTTCTTAATTGATTTTAGGTTAACTTTTATTATTCATCTCTTCCGTAATTGAATCTTCTAATCTAACCGGGTTTCATTTTTAATATTATTAATCATTAAAATCTAATCTTTAGTCATTTAACCATATTCTATAATCTCTCTTATATCCTTTTATGTTAATAATAATAAAAATACAGATTTAAATCAGTCTTATAAGCTTCAACTATTACAACTTCTGAATCATGTAATGCAATCAATTTATAATATTATCCTATCTAATTCGCTAATTAAAATAATCTCATAAATTATTTTGGAAATTGAGTTAATAAATTAATTAATTATACAATTAAATTTTAACTTATGAGATTACTTTATTATGCACAGACGATTAACGAGCATTCATTTTAAAATTGATAAAAATTATAGTTATTCAAAAGATTACGGTTTATTTATAATTTTTTTATGACTAAATAGAATGGAACAAATGTAATGGATTATTAAGTAGAATTATACATTAATCAAATTAAAATCAAACTTATAATCTTAATTTTAAATGGAATTCTGCATAATTGTAGAGTATAATTGGTTGTTAGAAAAAGATTAAGGGATTTACTAAAAGAAATAGATTCAACGATTTTCAGCAATTCTGAATTTAAGTAATGCTTAAAGGAGTCCAATTCACTTATAAAAATATATATAGTAATTTTAGATTCATGAATTTATTTTAAATTAAGGAAATCTCTCATTTTATCAATAGAATTCCAGGCTGATGCATGCATATAAAATTTTATTTATAAATTTCAATAATAATTAGTTTATATATCATTAGAATAATTAATGAAATTGATAAATGAAAGAGAATTGAATTTCTATATAAAAAATAAGTATGTTTATTTGAAATATTCATTTTTTATTAAATATAGTTTTCATAATTGAATGATTGTTAGTCATTAAATTATTTGAAGTTGTATTATGAGAGCTTAATTGTTTTGTTTTACCTAATCTTGTTTTGCTAAAAAACTATTCTTTTGGTTTTAAGCGTGATGATTATTTTGAGAAATTCAACAAAACTTTACTTAAATTCTTATCCTAATGATAATGGGAAAACTCCATATGTAAATCAAAGTTGTTTAGATCTTCTTTTTTAAAATTTATAAACTCTTGATGCATATTCTCTAAAATAGATTCTTCTTTATTTAGTATTTATTTATTTTCATCTTTTTTCAATAGATTTTTATAGATCATTCGTTTCATTTTTGGTGTAGATGCATGGTGTTCTTGCAATTTTTAGATCACTTTCAAAGATTTGAGTTTTACATCCTCAATCGTTTATTATTTTTCTTCAATGTCAACATACCCAAATTTTTTAAGGGTTGTATCATTAATGCCTTCATTTAACAGTTCATTATCGTACATATAATTGACAGCAGCAGAAAGGTTATATTATGCTGAAACTAAAGTAGATGATGGCATTCTTTATTTTCTTTTGTGACTGTATCTAGGTTAGGTTATGGCTTCACTGTTATCACATACTACCACATCTGTTGGAGGACTATAAAATACAACTGGACATTTTCTAAAATGGTGAAGTTAAGAGCAGATTTCACATTTTAATTGTTCAGTCTAATAGAGTAATTAATCCTTCATTTAACAATATTATTCTTAATGAGATTGTTTTTCTCTAATGATAGCTTTGAAGTCCTAAGGATTGATTAAATATTAATACTTCATACAATATATAAGCTATTTCGGTGAATTGAGTAGCTTTTAAAGAGTAATGTATAGGTTTCTAGAGTAAAAATTCCCTAATCCCTAGAGATCCTTCAGATTGTTATTAGATTGAGACTTTATTAATTTATACATCTACTTCCCCTTAGATAAGAAAGTATGCCTTATTAATTGAGTCATTCTCTTAAAAGATCATCTAACCAGGAATAAATTTTTGTATTTAAACAACACTGCATAATTGATTCAAAAGAGTATCATCAAATTTCTTAAAGAGTTTGCATTTGGTTATAATTGGTTTGTATATGCTGGTTCTAAATTCTAATTTGAGATCTTCATTGAGATTGTCCATAAGTAATTCTGGACTCTCATCAAGAGTGAAGAAATATTCAAAATACTTTCTAATTTTCATTTGTAGAACTGGATTTATTCTATTTTTCTTCATATATGAGTTAATTTTAGCCATCTTATTGCGATGCTAATCAGTTTTCTCTCTTAATTATCCAAAAATATTTTATATGGAGGAAATTGTATAGCCAAAAACAAGTGAAGTTATCAACACCATTATAATTAAGAAGACTTATTCAACTAATGTTTAAGGTACGATATCACCAAAACCAACAGTAAATGAAGTCACAGTACCAAAATATAGAGATACAACATATCTATTAACCCAATCTTTTTCTGAATAGCCATATTTAATGAGCCAGCCTGTATTGTTTTCAAAGAACTCTTGAATGCCTATGTAATGCCATGCACAACCACTAACATGCGCCACAAATATCAAAAATATCATCAATTTCAAGACATCAATAGGGGCTGCGAACTTTTCTCTTATCATAGTTACTTCTTCGATTTATTCAAATATTTTATTGACTCTGGTTATTCTTAATAGCAATACAAAATTAAGGTAAGGGATATTATATTGAGATATAAGGAATGGTATAACCACCAGCAAATCCTTAAAGAAGTCTCCCTTAATGTAGTGTTGAAATATTTTAGTTCGATCTTCATGGATCATGCCTTTATAATAATAGGCAGTGTTGAAATTGATAATGATTTCCATTAAAAATACCCAACTCGGAATTGTACTGAATAAAAAGTCAACAGTTTGAGCATTGTTCTATAATGAAAAGGAGAGTTACATTGGGATATAAAAGATATTCATAACTATTAATATTAGAATTGTGCAGTCGACTAACAATTTGATTTTGCTATCAGGTTTAATGACTCCTATTTGCATTTCAACCCAAAAGTTATAGATCAATAAACTCTTGATGTAAGATTGGAAAGTCCATTTCTAATTTACCAATCCTTTAGCCTAATAGTAAAAATAATCTGAAGCTTTGTCTCCAATTATTTGGTAGATCCTATGAGTAATCTGTCTGAGTCTATAATGATCAACTGCTGTCTTCAACTTCACCATGAATTTTGTGGCCGTACAAAAAATCTTTAAAGAATTCTTCTTCCACATTATGTCGAATCCTTCAACCTATGAGTTCTCGGGTGACTCATCATCAGCATAGTGATGAGTATCAGGTTTTGTGAGTTCTCCGCGGCCAGTGAATATTCTTTCAGTATGAAAACCATTAAAATTCATCATTATTGTTAATAATAACCATATAATGCTTTAAAATTAAATGACATTTTAAATTTTTAAGTTCGTGCCCATTCACTGGTATCTGACAATGTATTTTGACTCAGTTCTTCCAACTTTCTTTGCAATCTCTAAAACCCTTCCTACGACACAGATCCCTAAAATGTCAATGTCATTATTTTAATTAAATTTATCTCATGATTTAATTAATCCAGGAACTTTGCTCTCTTCGCATGTGTGGATACTGCTTCAATATTCTTAAAACATTAACTAACAATAAATGACATAATTGAATCAGTAACCGATTAATCCAAATTAATTTAGGCCAAAACAACAGCCTGCTCATTCAGCACCGTCAACCACTAGATAACATATGGTCTTGGTATCATATCCATACCTTAAGGCTAATCAAGGTTTAATAATTTCACGTAACTCTGGAGACATGGTTAGTAATACTTGGACAAAATTCCATTAATTTATTATTGAATTGGTTCAGCAAATTCTTTAAAGGTTTTTTGTTTCTTTGAATTTGAATACACACTCTAAGCCAACTCTTTGATCTAACTAGAAATCAACTTTAGATTGTGCAAAAATATCAAATAATCTTGGGCCTCCTTGCAACTCGATTAAATGTAATTCAGACTGTCTTGCATTAATTGCAAAAATAGTTATCCATCTACATTTTTATTCTTAGATATTCTATCGCAATATATAAAATCCTTACTTAAATATCTCATTAAATATCTGCAACATGAATTCAGAAAAATTCACCCCGAAAAAGTCTCTTTAAGGAACCACAAAATTGGCTTTTATCTATTTTAATGTGTAATTTGAGAATTGCAGGGATAATGACTAAACCTCTATGTCATTTATACAATTATCTATCTTTGGGGTCTCTCCAAAAAGATTTGCTATTATCTAAGCCATATTCTTAATCGATTCAATATCCTGATTTATTCTTTAACACAATATCGCACTATATTATTAACTAAACCATGACTTTTTAGCCTAATCCAAGAACTATAGCAATTTATTCTCAATATCCTCCTTCAGTTTTTGCAAATTTGGATTTAGATTAAGATCTCGACATAAATTTTAGAACTATTTCACCTGTTTACTGAATTTTCCACTTACAAAACTTTCTAAGGCTTTGCAATTTTATAGTTGCAATTCCTTTTAAGGCAATGAACATTGTTAGAGGAATTCAATAATAAAATCTCCTCTGATCATCTCAACTTAATAGGCTTCATTATCCCTCTATTGCAAAGTCTTATTAAAATAAGCATTGAAGCTTGTCTTTATAGATTGCTAAAGATTATTAACAATATCTTAGGTACTATTCTGGGTCAAATTTAATTCATTTATGTATTCGGTTATTTCTAAAATCTAATTGTACTCTAGATTATCCTACTTTATCTATTGAAGCATGTCATTGTATATTTATTTCATTACTTGATTTATCTATTCATTCAACTATTTAAACAATGATTCATTTTTGTACTAATTTATATTCTCCTTTTATAGTGAAATGAGTTTCATCACTCGTGCATTATTTCTTTGTAGATATGCTTCCTTTAATTAATTTGGCAACTAAACGTACTATTCGCATTTCCTAATGAAATCAATTGCTGATTTCAAATGCTCTTAGCTCATTTTTAGCTTATTCATTGATTATGAAATAGAATTTAATTTAGACAATAACTAAAATGTTCTTTTAGACAGAGATCCAAGTATTAAGATTTGATCAACTTGCATAGGTTGTCCTGACTTATCATTTGATGCCAATGATTTTTTCCTTTTGATTTAATCTGCAAATTCTTTGGAAATGAATTAATTATGAATTTACAAAATGCCTTAGTTAATACAGAAGAAATCATCAATAAAATAGTAGACGATATTCTTATTCATCTCTATATTTTGTTATTAGAGCATAGTCATAGATTGCTTTGTGATTTATGGCTAAACTATTCTTAAGAATGTTTGAGCATCAAATTAAGGAGAGTCAAGATGAATTTTAACAATCAATTTATCCAAATTCTTATTTTATTGTTTAATTTGTTCAACTGATTCTACATCAATAACAGCATTTAAACTTTCAGCTATCTGCTTTTTCTTTAATGCAGCACTTCTATTCTTATTAGATTTAGTCGTTCTCTGTTAAGGAACGAAAGGATTATAGAAGGTCTTAATTAAGTACTCAGGATTACCATCCCATTATAAAGTAATGTGTTCTAATTTCTTCTATCTTTTATTTTGTTCTCTTTATAAGTTCAGATTCTCAGGAGGAGGCTACTCAGATTCTTTCCATGAAGTTTACTTGTTATGCTCTTAAATTTATTAGATCCTAACACTCTTATACCAATTATCGAATTACTCCTTGAGTTTTTTAATTTCAAGGATGCATTCTAGATTGAAATGAGGCCTTTCATCTTTCAGAAACTTAATTATTTTAAAAGCAATAAGCCCTTTATCTTACAACTTTTTATCAGCCAAAACATGAGTAGATAATGAAAGCAATTTGTATTCTTCATCTTCAAGATCTGAAAATGCTTTAATGAATTCAATTCTTTGAGGGTGTTTTTCTAGAATATTCAAAAATAATTCAGCACTATAATATGCAGATTTCCTTAGACTGCCATCCACTTTTGATTTATTTCCTATACAATACAATAATCCATATGGCAATTGATCATTTCCCACTAAATATAATCGAATTTCTTAAGAATTTAATTGCATCTTGAATATGTCTAATTGTTTTAGATATTTGGATGTCTTGACTTTGATTTTCTGTTGGGATTCCTTGATTTTGGTTAGGACAGCTATAATTTATTGCTAATTATTCATTAAATATATATAATGTCATTTATTAATCTTTGGAAGATTGTTTTGGCTTTGACTCATTTATGAACCTGTTTAATAGAACTACTGATTGGCTTGACTATTGGGTCTGTCCTTGTCATTCTGATATCTCTCTTTATCAATTTTATCTCTATTGTTTTTTGATTTTTCTTGCATTTATTTGTAACCAACACCAAACTAAAAATATAATGTTGGATGTATACTCTTCCCATTCTTTCTGGAGAAGTCTCTTTAGGAGGGAAATGAGCCCATCCTCTATAATCTCCCAATTATCCCTTAAATTTATCTAACTCCTTATCACATGAAGCACAGGACCAAAGTTGTTTCTTAGCAAACAAGCCTTCCTAATCCTTGGATCCTCCTTCTCCTTCTAACATCATGAATATTTGATTGATCTATGCGATTAGTAATACAAAAATAATACTCTCTATTCTAGATAGATCAAGGCCTTCTTAGTTTCAGACTTATTAGCCAATTATTTGATGAGAGCTTAAACAACTTCTTCTAATCTGGAGACAAGATCATTTTAAAGTTTCTCCAAATCTTCGAGTTCAGCCTTCTTTTCCAATTTAATTCTCAATTCTTCAATTTATTTAGACAATTCATCTCGAACCTATTTTAATTTAGGTTCAAAGAGGGCCAAAAGATCTTCTCTTGTGACCACTCCATCAATCTTCTTTCCAAATTGAGCTATCTTGGCTTTGTTAGCATCTTAATCCTTTTTCATTTGATCTTGGATTTCTCTTAATTCCTATAGACCAGAAATGATTGAATCAGTTTTAGTTTATTTCATTTTATTTTCTATCTCAGCAATCTTTTATTAAACCTACTATGCATTTTATGAAAATTGAGATTTGTGATTGATTAGTTCTCTAATGATAAGATAAATATAATAATTACTATTCATTTTAAGCTACTTGATCTTGCAGTTCTTTAAAAGTATTTAAAAAGTCTGGACTTAATTAAGGTCCTTTACTTGGACTATTATCTAATTGTGGTTGGGATCCACGTTTAGTTTTGTTCAAGAGATCCTTTATTTGAGTAAGTTCATTCTTGATTTTTTCTTATTCAGTCAAATCACCTTTTTTACCAAGATTTATTTTGAATTCTCTTCTTACCTTTTCAATTTCTTCATCAATATGATCATATGTTTATTTTTATTATAATGCAACTTTTTGACCAAGATTTGTTAGATCTGATTGAGTAGCATAATTTTCTAATTGAGCTCTAATCTTATTGATTTCTGCCAGAATGATGACCATTTGATTTTCTCCGACATTATTGCCCTCTTCACCTGAATTACCAAATGAAGCAAGATTTAGTTACGTTTGTAATTATTCTAATAGAGTAAAGAGCTTTTTGATGTCGTTTTTGATAATCAACAGATCTTCAGCATCAACATTAGATCCTCCTGCTGAAACTCCTTCCCTATTTTTTTTCCTCAATTCATCAAGCAATTCAAATAATTTTTAAATCTCTTCTTCATGATTATCCAACTTTTTATTGATATCCGATAAATCGACTTCAGAATTTGGTTGCTCAACGTAATCCTAGTCTTTCAATGAGATTGGTTATAACAAACTTTTTGGCTGATTGCTCATTTGTTTAAGTAATTCCTTATATTAGGATTCTAAGGTAACACACAAATCAATTACCTAGTTATGCTAATCGATTCTAGACATCCTTTAGAGAATCATCCGATAATGGCTTAGATTAAATTTGGTACACATTGGTATCTGGTTTTTGAGTTGATAAATCTGATAATAATTTATTTTGCTCATTGATTAGTTTACGGAGTTTGTCCAATTCCTCGTTAATTGTATCTATTTATTGCTACTTCTATATGATATCCTCAGCATTCTTATTTATTTACTATTACTCTTATTCCTAAGCCTTAGCAATCTCCTTAATTTAGATATCTTAATCTCTCAAAATGTTATCTACGATAGTTAGATTTCATACCATATCGTTATTTTAATGCTTACAACTCTGCTTTGGTTGCAAAATTCTAATGAATTTCCTTTACTTGAGAATCAATCACATCAACTTTATCTTTTGTGTCAGTCTATTATGATTCCTCTCTCAATTTCTACCATTTAATAGTAAGTTTACCTGCACCCAATCACTATTGTCCTTCACCTATCCGTTTATGAGTATCATGCCCTTATGTAACTGTTTAAGGATGGAAATAATCACAGAAAAATTCTTCTGCAGGATCTCTTCCGAGAATGTAACTTGCATCATCTTATCCAGGCTCATATTAGCTAAATCCTAATCAAAAGAGGTGAAGTTGGGATCAAATATCACATTTATAATTTGTTCATCCATTTTAATTAAATTAATGAATAGATTCTTTTTCACAGGACAAGCCACTCCTCTAGAAAACAGCGAATTCGATGACGAGTACACTCTCAAAGTACCCTCCGAAGAAGAAGTCCGAATTGTGGCTGTTAGATTAAGAAATTGTATTGTCCTCTTCTAATTATATTACTCTAGGCCAATATTTTCTGACAGGTATTGATGTTTGCAGAGAAAAAATCTTCAAAAAGCACCTTGAAGATGAAAAAGCCACTCCCAATGGTTTCTTGCCCTGCAAACCACTTGTAGATAGCTATTACTATTGCATTTCATAAGTATATTTATATCTCATTAATCATTAGGGATCATATGGATAATCAGTCTCAGACGCCCCTACTGAAGCACAAGATAATCTATAAAAATTTCAAAGCTGCTTATTCAACAAATTGAATCCAGCCAACTATTGTAAAGGGTTATAATATATAATTAATGTTCTTAGATTCGCAGGTAAAGCAGTCAGAGATTTGTATCATCTCCCAGGTACCAAAATTAAGGATACAACCATTTGATTCCGCATAATCAATAATTGCATAACAATAAAAAAAATCAAAACTAAAATTATTTAAATTTCAATCACCATCTCCACCATTATCATCATCATCATCTTATTATTTTTTCTTCTGCGTATGTCTCCTATCCCTCTTCTGATTTCTATTCTTCTTATCAAGGCTGTTCTGTCTGTTTCTAGTTCCCCTCTTTTTTTATCTATTTTATTGATCAATCAACTTCATCAAAATTTCATTGTTCAAATCGTTGTCATCAGATTCCTCACTCTATTATTATTGTTATAATTGCATGTTCGGAGGATACATAGGAGGGAACATACCAATAGGATTCTAAAATTGCATCATGCCCTATTACTGCAATAGTTGCTATTAAGGCATTAATCCATACTATTATTATATCATTTATTGTCTAGAGTGATCGAATTCATCTATCCTCTATTTCAATGACTTGATTTCATTCAAAATATGTTATTTTTACAAGTCATCTCTCTCGTTCAATAATTGGGCCAAACTGTCATCCTTCTCTGCATCAAATACTGGTTTCCTACTCCCCACCAAAGTAGACAGTTATTAAATATATTGATTTTGCTCTTCGATTTGTTTCTGCATATTCAGCAATTTCTAGTTCCCTTGAATTGCAGTAGATTAGGGTCTTGACTAGTTCTACTTGCTTTGAATCGATGCCTTCCTTTGCATTTGCTGAGGCTATATTTCTGGATAATCTCCAGCTTACATAGACTTGTTTAATTTTATGTTCTAAACTTATTATTGATCAGTCTATAGAGACTCCATTGGTGCAGTGTTTTAAACATTAAAAGTAGGTTAATAGTTTTTGTAATGTATTTGATTATGTTCATTCCTCTACTTGTCTTTCTGAATCAAATCTCTTTATAATTGCATTGATTGCTATTCCAAATACAATAGTTGATCCTCTTTCTCCTTCATTCTCGTATTATAATCACTAACCTTTTTAAGCAATTTTTAATACTGTCTACTCCTATTATTACATTAACTATATCAGTTAATCAAACTTCTATTTATTTGAATGCGCTTAAATCAGAGGATGATACCCAACACCATAGCCACTAGGCGGAGCTTTTGAAAACATGTTCTGTCCTAACATCTAAAAAGTATTTTAGTATTGATCCATTCAATTAAAATGAAATTTTATTATGCATTAATTTAATGTACAGAAGTAGAGTGATGTGAAATACTTAAAAATATTATTCAATTTGTTTTAGAATTAATACAAATTATATCATATATCATCTACAATTTAATTAATATCAGTTACTCAAATCTTCATTTACCAAGGCAATCCACCCTCATCATTTATAAATGTATTCAAAGATTTGCTATTATAAAATAAAGCGACTTTTCTGATTCTTTATAGCTAAGTTTAATGAATCATTCATTAAAAAATTAATAAGTTTATGCAAATAGTAAGATTGAATTTTAAAGCTGTCACCTCCAGGAATCGACCCCTTAAATCACCAGAGAAACGATAAACTACGACCATTCAGTTTCCCAACTACATTTTCTTGGGCCCCTCAGAAAATATTAAAATTGTGAAATTCTCAAAGACCATTATTTCAAGCAGTATCAAGTTGATAAGATCGACCTCGCCACAAAAAATTCAAAACATAAGCTTAGCTCTGGAATTCGCTCATGCTCAACCCAAACATTTAAAAACCTAAAGTGTTCAACTTAGCTAATAAAATGTTGACTAACTTTTCAAAGCTTAATTCTAGAATCATGAATCAATTCAAGGGAAACCATATCCTTCAACCAAATATAGTTATGGACTTGTGAATAATCATAAATCTGAAATGACTTTGGACACTATAAGTGATTATCCAAATACTCCCACTTTAACCGTTCCTGCGTTAAAAGTAGTTGATAAAACCAGCAATGTTTGGAATGGAAATAGGTTCAATTTATCAAAGAAAATAACTGGATCAATCCAATTCCAAAATGGATTTGTTTATGAGGGAGAATTATTGAATTTTGATGACACAGTCACTCTAGATGGACAAGGAACACTATTTTGTGATGGATCCAAATTACGAGTTATTTATGAAGGAAGATGGAAAAACAACTTATTTCATGGCAAGGGGAAGTATTTCAATCAATACTAAATTGAATCATCCAAAGATTGGCATTTCAATTGGAAAATGATTTAAGGTATGATATTTATATATACATTATAGGAACTTTTAATAATGGAGAAATTATACAATGCAAAATTGATTTTTTCTTAAGTGAAGAGATACTGTTACATAATATCGATTACTAAAAATGAATTAAGCACTATTTAAAATGAAATGATTATATCATCTACTATATAAACTCAATTTATTAGTTTTGTTATGATTTTAATACAGATCCATAATAATCCATTATAGTTTCATATCAATATTCTACTACTTGATGTCGTAATGAATGCTTATTCAATTATCTAACTTATTTCAAAGTAACTGTATGTATGGCATATAATTAGATATTATTATTACTTTAATGTTTATCTGGCACACAACAAATCTAAATTTTGATCTCAAAATATTAGAATGAGAATGGTATCAATTCTTTTTTGAGAACTAACTCTAATTTTAATTTTTAGTATCATATCCAAAATAAGTATGACTTTAGCATTTTTATTTAAATTATTAAAATTAATTTAAGATTAATGTTCAACCATATCCTATTGTTTTAATAATTCAAGTATGTCAATTTCAACTCAACAATATGGTATACAAGCACAATAAGTAATACTTTAATAATAATTCTCTATTTGATAAACTTATAAAGCTATACTTTAAAATTGTCATCTAATTTGAAAAATTTAAGGAATATTGATCTGAATTGATTAATCAAGTCTGTAAACATAATAATAATTAATTAGTCTATGTAAGTTGTTTAAATATATATAAATTCTCTGATTTTAATCAGTTTACAAACTTGGCACTAGGAGGTTTATTTTGTTGTGAGGCACCTTGAGCACCCTATTCGGCAGGCTTTAGTATTTGGAACGAACACATAAGGGATTCATCGATAGTCATCATAGAACCTGCAAATGAGACTGCATACAAATACCTGCATTATCAAACTCACCACAATAATTTGGAGCAGAAAACAGAGTCACCAATTATCTTTTACTAAAGAACTCATAGCCATCTTCAACTACCTATAATAAGAGTTGTGGTTACTTAATGGGCTCTACAAATGAGATCTAATTCATGCTTTTTAAGGAAGACCTGGACAATTTCTTAACTAAACACATATGAAACCCCTCTTTCATTGTCTGCCCATCCTTAGACATCTTTATCTGGATCCGACCAGAGTAAATCACATAGGAGTCCTGTATCTGGGACATCAGTAGGTCTCATAATTCTTCTTATTTGCTCAAGATTGGATAATTCAGGAGACAAGCCTCCATGCATGCACAGAATCTTTTCATCTATCAGAGCTGCCACAGGTAGACAATTAAAGCAATCAGTGAAAGTTTTCCACAATTTAATTGTGTATCGACGTTTACCTTAATATATTGATGTTGTTTTACATTCATCGTAAAAACCGTAGATTCTATTGATGGATGCGCATTCATGATTGCCTCTCAAAAGGAAAAAGTTCTCTGGGTATTTAATTTTGTATGCCAACAGCAAACAAATGGTCTCCAAGGATTGTTTACCTCGATCTACATAATCCCCCAAAAAAAGATAATTGCTCTCAGGAGGATAACCACCATACTCAAATAATCTCAGAAGATCAAAATATTGACCGTGTACATCGCCTATAAAATCATTAAGATCAACACATCACCACAAATCTTCAGAGGTGCCTCTAATTCCAATAATATCGGCTAGCTGATGAAAATGTCCCTTGCTTTAATACAAAGACCTCTAACTTCAGGTTCTGTCAAATTTACATTTTTTCCTGGTTTGCTCCCTCTGACACTGAGTAATCTCTCGATTATGTTGTCCACATCTATTTCCCCCTATTTATCCTTTGCCATTTTGATATTTTCTTTTATTAATAAATATACGATGGCAAATTAAAGCAATGATAGCATCTTGGACCTGAGAGACATTTGTAACAAACCCAAGATTGTCATTCATGATGGTCTTCTCTGGAAATATCAAGATACCCAATTTTCCAGACCCCCTATATCTCAATACAATCCGGAAAGTTGTAAAATTAGCTACACCATTAAGGAGTATTCGATTCAAGGTAAGCTTTTGAACAAGGATTACAAAAATATTAGAAAGATATAGCTTAAGCATGATAGAAAATCGTATTTCGGATTGCATTTAAGCTTGAATTCTATGGGCAATAAAGAGGTAGCTGTGTTTGAAGTTAATCCGAATTTGAGGAAATCAATTATTCAACTAGACACTGAGAACGAATGTCCAGATATCCCAATCATCAATTTCATTGAGAATAAATATAGATAAATAATTGATTAGCCTTAAATATGGATTATTGAAGTTCATGATGTAGAGGAGATTGAGGAAAATGATAAATTAACTTTAGAAGAGAGGGAGTAAAAGGTTAAATAATTGAAACCCTAAGCTACTTAGCTATTCAAAGAGTAGAAATACAAGGAAGCCATTTAAATCTATAGGACTATTCAATCCAAAATTGGATAAATTCCAAAGGCTCTGAAAAATACAATGACCCAAGAATAGAAGACATTTTTTTAGATTGAACTCTCAAGGGTTTATTCTAATTAAGCCATTTGCTATTTACAAATGAATGAATATGCATAAGCCATAGATGCATCAAAATTAGCTATAAATGAATGGGACCAAAATTTTAAAGGTAAACAATTCGATATAAACTATAGCATATTGTATTTAGGCTAAGGTTCATTTTGAAAGAAATTAAAAAAGTGAAGCTCTTGAATAATTCTAGCAAATCATCCAAAAATTCCCCAATGAAGATGTCACAGAAGTATAAAAGTATATAGATAAATGTTAACAACCCAAAAAAACCACCAAAAATGAGCAATAATTATATAAGAAAATATTTGAAAAACTACAAGATAAAGATGAGGATGAAATATAAAGAGAATAGAAAGAGAAATTTGAGAAGGTAGAAAAGAACAGACAGACTGAAAAAATCTTAAATTCAGCCAAAAATGGGTAGTCCATTAATCATGAAGAAATTTAAAAATTATAATGATTTCTTTATCATAAAAATTAACTCTTGCATAAGGGGCAATCGCTTTTGTTGCTACTATGAAACCATTTCTAAATACAAGTTGAATGGAATTTATGTTTGCATGTTCTACAAGCCATCTTTGGTAACTCTCCATTCTAATGGATGATATAATAACAAATAGCACATTCCTCCAAATCTAAATTAATTAGTAAATTGATTTATACCTTAGAATTGTTAATCAATGTTTTTCTTCCATAGTTTCAAAGCTGTTAATATAGTATCATTTTCATTCTGTAAGATCATTCTTATCATCAAACTCCACTTTTTTAATTTGTCTTCACTAATCTTAACTCCTTTCTTAGTTTCCACTTTCAAAGGTTTCAATGGAAAACCAACTGGAACTTAAATAAGGATTTCTATTTTTTATTCTTCCTTTTAATAGGTTGCAGTTATTTCTTATTGATTCTTAGAAATGAAAATATCGAAACCTTCACTACGCCATTCTTCTTAATTTAATTCGATCAATTCAATTTCCCTTGTGTAAATTGCTTTACTGATAATCTAGAGCAAATCCTCTAATTATTTCTTCTAAGTTGTATTGCATTCCTAATTGTACCATTACTTAAAATAACTCTACTATGCAACAATAAACTAATAAAATGAAATGACAATCATCTTTAATAATTCAGATTGGTCATCTTAAATCACCATCAGATTTAAATCCTACTAATAAATTTCCTTATAATTGAATCTCGCCATGACTCCGTTGTCATTTAAGAATTATAATATATATAGAAGGTTGCTCAAGTAGGTAGGATACTTATCTTTGAATTGAACACAATTCTTATTCTACAAAACAACCAGCCAAGCCAATAGATTGGTTAATATTTTACCATCAAGGGGGAATGTTATGATATCTTCCACATCCTCCTCATCTTCTTGTCTCAATCTTCTCATTTCTTCTTTTTTCATATCAAATCCATCCAAAACTGCACTCAAACCACTGTGATCTTATATGTTCTTTAATGCAATAAATGCAGCCTTTTAGATACTAATGAATGGACATTACAATAATTGATAATAAATTGTATCGTCGATCTTTTACCATTGTTCCATCTGAATACAACGTAATAGAGTTTCTGCATATTCTATAAAGAGAGTATCATTTTGTTCATCCATGAACTCTGGATTTGGATTTTCGCAAAATTGAATTATTTATAATAAGGAATCTGTTAATTCGAAATTCAGATAATCTAAGAATTCTATTGGAAATGCTTCAATGAAGTTCAATATCTTTCTCACAAATTAAAGTGCTGACACTATACTGAATGAATAGAATCGTTTCAATTGAACATTCTATTAAAATAGTTATCTAAACAAATTATTAATTTATTTAATGTATGCTGCAAAAGGAGTGATGGTCTTTCTTTCACATATTAAGTTTATAAAGTCAAAGGCAACCATTTTATCATAATTTGATTCCAAATTCATCTCAAATAACAATTTTATAATCTTATCTAATTCCGCCTCATCCTCTAATTCTAAAAGATTTGGTTACTATCTTAGCAAAAGAGTATACAAATCCAAATATGAAATCTTATTACTTTGATAATAAGTCTACAAGACATTTTAGAATTATTGCTTCAAATCTACTACATTTATTATTTGTCTGATGGTTATCAACTTATTCACATTGTTCCCGTCCAAAGCTATTTTAAGTTAATCCACAATTAGTTATGCTAATAAATCGGTTTATTTTGACCTATAGTTGTTCTCTTTCTCCTCGATTGTTATTTGTTTAATTAGGTTTTTAAGAGCCACTCCATAAACTATGTCGGTGTTATTGAACAGCACCTTTATGAGATCCAAACTTTTAGGTTCCTATTGCTCATATGAGTCTAAGAAGATGGGAATTATTTGATTTCCAAGGATATTTTAGATGAATCTCTTCAACTTATGATCATACAACATGATGGATGAATAATTGGAAGCTAAAAATACAGCCAATAATTCCAATTGGTTATTCTAATACATTTTTTTGAAGTAATCCTAGGGAATTTCAATTAAAGACAAGATTTTCCATGATATGGGACTTTAAAAGTTGAAATTCAAAAACTATAATAAATCTTGGCTATTCAATTATGCAAAGAGATCTTGGAAGAAATGAAGATGTTAATTCAAGGTATCAGTTTTAATTGATGGCAAAGTAGTTTAGAAGAACTGAACAAACAAATCCTAATATTTTTTGTTAATTAACTTGAATAGAAAAGTGCCTTTATGACTTTGATTCTTTAAGTACAATTGTAACAGAACATCAAATATTAATTATTATGGCTGCAATTTATTCATAACGTATGATAATTCTTCGAATATTTGGAGGTAATTTTTATCCATAGTCTTGATAACTTATTAGCCTATTTGGGTGTATTTAGTAATCAAGATGTTTAAGATTTATTAATTAGCATTTTGAATGATGCAAGGAATGAATATTTTTTAACTTAAATTTGTGATGCTTAGTGACTAACTTAAAAACTTAGTTACAAAAGTTTCGTTCTATTATAATTGTTAATACTTAACGAATTTCTCAATAAGATTATATTCTTACTGAGAATCCTTCATAGTCAAATACTTTTGATAAAATTGTGGGTCTAGACTTGCATCAACAAGATTGTGTAAGCAAATCCATTATAATTTGAAAGATTGCTATTCTTCTTTTGGAATTACTTGCTTGTACTCTTGAGCAATTATCTTTTATAAAATGGATTCAATTAATTGTTATTCATTTATTCTTTGCAAGTTATAGATGTATATCTTAATCTAGGCACATCTCTTCAATACTTCTTCTGATGAAACAATTTCAATGGAACTAAATAAATTATTGATTATTTCCTAAATCTTTTAACCAAAGTTGTCCCTCTTAAAATTCTTAGAATTTGGAATGATTTCAAAAAGCTAAGACCCTTTGTTGAAATCGTTATTGTTGTAGATTTCATCGAATACTGAAATCAAATACTGTTAAACAGCTTGGTAGGCAGGACTCTCCTCCTTAACTTTGAGTAGCTATTAAATTATGTTCACAAAGACTGAATAGTCATCTAATTGCAGAGTCTTGAACTCCGCCATAATAGCTTTAATAATTTCATTTAAGAATTCTTATTATTCCTCTTTGACCTTTAAAATATTCAAGAACTACAACAAACTAGCTGGTACTTGTTTATAAGGACTATGATTATAGGCTTAAGCACCTTATTGAGACAGAGTATTTTAGAGGACTGATCTGACTGATTGCACAATGATATTTTTAACTTATCCCAAACATTGATTATATTGCATCAGAGGAGGAATCATTCTCTTGCAAATTAGAAAGTAGAGTGTTTCAAAGTAACTATTGATTAAGTTTTCTGAAAAAAACCTACTTTCTTCATGAGTAATACCAGATAGGATGGCATTGAGCAATTTTGTCATGGAGGCTAATTTCTATCTGTAGACTTCTTCCTTTTTGATATCAACCACACTGTAGACAGGATTCAGAGATACAAATACAACCAATTGATCATACAACAATTTACCAACTCCAAAACCTGCCTTGGATATCAATTCCAAGGATTTATTTTCAAGTCCTTAGAGTTTTAAGATCTGATCCTATTGAACTCTTTAGAATAGCTTAGTAACAAATCCTTTCCATAAGGCACTTACAATCAAGCGATCTTTTTGTTCAAAGAGTTACACAGTCTTTTTGAGTAGGGGATCGCTTTTATTGAGGACAAAGGGAGCTGATACTTCGTTGGACAAGAGAAAGTGGAGTGTTTCGATGATAGTTGCTACGATTCTGGTCTTTTGGGTGTTGAGCAATTCCACAATGATGGTAGTCTTGTTGGTAAAATCGAGTAGTTTCATGATTTATTCGATGAAGTCATTATCGGGATTCCATTGTATGGCTGTTTTGATTGAGTTGATTGTGGATACTTTCAATCTTTCATAGATGTGATCAACTTTCTCATCTTCCAGATTGGATTCCTATTTGATGGTGGCTATGGAGAGGGACAGGTACAACTTCAAGTCAATTATGTATTGATCGCTGCACATTTTGATAGCTTGCACTTATTTTTCTTTGGTTGGGAATGCAACTTGAAAGGCGTTCATAGCAGCAGTTGAGATCTAATTAATGAATGAAGTAGATTGGTACTTCGGAATTGTAATCATTCATCATGATAAACCATTGTGGAAACAATTGTTTGAACTTCTTGGACAAGGATTTTTTTCCGTATTCACAAATTAAGGATAGCACTTGATTGGCCAGTTCCAAAACTCTTCTTTCATACTCGTTATCAACATATCTTCTATATATATTTACAAATGTAGGTGTAAATTGATCGAAGAACTCCTGTGATTTGTTTGGCAATAGAGTTTTGAGTTCCGATAATGTTTTGCTTTTGGTTGTCTCACTCTTTTTTTGGAGACCATGAACAATCTTCTGGATTTCTGGATCTGTAATTACATCTTGTTCGATCTCCCCTTTCAAGTATTGATTAGCTAGTTAGCTGAATAAGTTTGTGGTTTGATTGATCATTAATTAATTAATTATTAAAGAAATTTTATATAAGGTATTCAACATTTACAAATATAAATAAGAGAGAATTTGTATAAAATACTCTTTGCTTTAATAATGTAATCAAATTAATAGGAAATTCAAAACAATGAATTTTCTGATTAGCATATGAGGATTAATTAAGTTATCTAAAATATTTAAATGTTTCATTTCTTTTTGAGTACTAAATTTTCAGATAATTTAGATTAGATTAATTTTCCATATCGTGTATTGATGTCTATTAGAAGTGCTTATTTTAATGTCTCTAGATTAATATTGATGTCTTTTTGAATTATACTACTGATAATAATTCACTCACTATTGATATTTATTATTAAAAATGCTCAAAGTGCACGAATTCTTTTCAGTGGCCATTTAATTAGCTTACAATTCAGCTAAAATTATCAATTCAGTCAGATTGTCCAAAGATATTGGTCAGAAATGGAAAGGGGTTGATGATCCTGTCACCATAGCTGATATATAAGCACAAACATACATAGTTTAATAATTGCATAGACATTGGTATTAGTGTTGGATTAACCAAGGCCTAAGTTAACTATAATTGGAGAGGAATCCATTTCGTATACTCAACCCATTGATTTGCCTGATACTCATCTCTAATTGTATGATGAGGATATTTTCAATAAAACACATGAGAGTCATCTGATCAGAACACAATATGAAATTGATGATCTATGTGTTTGGGTTGATCCTCTGGATGGCACATTAGACTTTGTCAAAGGCGATTATGAAAATGTTACGACATTGATTGGAGTTTCCTATAAAAAATAGGCCTTGATGGGAATCATCTCACAACCTTTTATTAAAGTGCAAGAACCTCAAAACTCACATGAATTCAGACCCAAAATCTACTTTGGTCATCATCCACAGCAAAGAGTGTTCTACACATATGATTGCTCCTCAAAAATTCCATAAGAATTGAAGAAACCCCAATTTGACCCATCGAATGTGAGATTGTGTACTCAGAGGAACAGGTTGAGCAATCAAGAATTGCAGAAGATCAAATCTTTGGGTTGCTCATTGTATCAGGTGGGAGGATCAGGGAAAAAGAGTCTTACTGTTCTGGAGGGTGAAACTGACATGTTCATTTGTTTGGGCGTAGGAATGAGTAAATGGGATATTTGTGCTCCTGAAGCATTGTTTAAGACATTTGGTGTAAGAGCTTAAATTGTATGATAAGGGAGATTTCGTTGGATTGGCTGGTTAACATTATGAATACAATCCCAAAGATAAATCCTTTGACAATCCTTATGGAAATTTATCAAGCATCCATTCAGAATTGCTGCAAAAATACTTACCTAAAACTTATGGCATGTTATGATATGTATATTAAATTTAATTAAAATTAATGGGTAACGAATAAATCAAACCAAGTATTGCTCATTCAACTGAATGGACATTTATAAGAGAAATCAAATCACATCCTTTATTTGGACACATCAAGGTTTACAAAGGACCCGCTGATTAATTGCAGTGCCTAAAGACTGTTATTGTGGAGGAGTCCCAATATAAAGATCAAATGGATTCCCTCAAAAAAATGATAGTCAAAGATGTACTATCCTAAAACCAACCAAACTGTTCTTCCTTAATTTGTATCAACCGTTTGGAAACCTAAAAACAAGAGGAGTTCTGCTCAAATTATGTCAAAATATATTTAACAGCCGATTATTCAGATTAACCTATTCAATAACTAAAAGATGTTAAATCATTTATGCTAGACATAATCCAAGCCCTTTCAGTAATGGATTAACAAGGAGTAAACAATTGTCAGTTTTGTCCTGCCAAAATCCTTCAATTTGGAGATCGAGCTAAAGTTGTTAATACTTAATTATTTACAGAAATTTCTGATTATGAATAACTCTACTTTAATGAAGTGTCTAAGGATGACTGGATGATTGCACCTGAAGTAATGAATTCTTTGAAAGTTAATTGTCCTCCTTCATTCAACAGTGAATCAGCTGTTATTTTTAATTTTGGAATCATGATGATAAATCTATTAACTGGAGTTCATCCTAAAGATGCATCAATTTATGATTATAAGAATTTGGCACTCAAAGACAATTTGTCTTCCTATGCTCATTCTATTGAATAATTACAAATACCAAGTAAATAATATTTAGCTATTTCTTAGCTCACATCAAATAATTAATCTAAGATTGCGTTAACGTTAAACCCACTCTAAGACCCACTTTCAAGATGATAACTAATTCATTAAAATAAATTGAAATTCCACTACAAGTTTCACAAATAAAAAATGAGGAACTTCCCACTAATCAAATATTCAATCCTTGTTATGAAGATGTTAAGAAAGTCTTGAGTGAATCTCATGTCAATAAGAACCTTAATTTTCATAATGAGTCCCCTCAGAAGATTGACAAATAGCAGTTTATGACGGATACTCAATAGTCCGCATAATTCAGGAAATCCAAATAAATTTATAATTTAGAAAATGCTTATAACTCTAGAGCTTCAATCTAATAGAAGTAACAGATCTAACAAGCCTCCACCAAAGTGAAGACTCAAGCAAAGGTATCGAAAGTGAAAAGCCCAAACAAAAAGCCTAAACCAATCAGGGCTAATGGGAATCACCAAAAATGATATTATTATATAACTATTTTATTTTCAAATTTATTAGCCTTTCATCTCCAATGTCTGATTATCAGATCAAATATCAAGAAATCAAAGGCAGTCTAGCCCTACTGCTGTAACAAAATTACATTCTCAAATAATAACTCAAAGAAGCCACTCAGGAAGTGCAAGAAAAGTAATAGCTAAAAGAAGAATGGGCCTCGGAAGTCTAAAGAGTATAAGAGACTATACATTAGTTATCTTATGACAACCAAAGTAAAAATGAAATTTACATAAGATTATTAGCAGGAAAATGAGTAGTTAAGTAGGGAGAACTAGGAGTCTTAATATGTGATTGAACAATAAATTGAATAGATTACAACTCTCAAATAATAAAATGAAAAACTCATAGTCTAATTGGATGAGAGTAGACAATAAAATTTGTAAAAGGAAATTACCATCAAATAATAGAGAGATGAATTCAATAAATAGTTAGAAAAGTAGCAGTCACAGCATTACGAGGAAATCAAAAAGTTACAAGGTATCATAGACAATTAAAGTGGATTGATCTAATCATATGAAAAATTGAATGAAATTGAAAAACTAGACACTTAAAATTCCTTTTATTAATAACAAATGGCAATCGAGGATCAGATGATAGAATTAAAAAATAGAAATATCATATTAACAAATAAAATTAATGAGGAGAAGTAGAAGTATGACTAGTTATATGAATAACACAAAGATGAAGTTACTAAATTATAAGGGGTAGTGAAGGATTAGAAGGAATTACTTTCTCAATATGAAAGAATAATTGAAAGGGATAAAAAGCAAATGTAACCTAAACCTGAGAATAATTTACCTTATATCCAATCATAGGTAATTCCACAATCAGCTGTGACTCCATATTAACAAGAACAATAATTACCATAGTAGAACTTTTAACCATAATCACAATAGATGCTGAGTTCACCCTTACAATATGAATAATATATTTAGCCAGCATTATCTATACAAACTTAGCCGACATATTCATAACCTGCATACACATAGCCTTCATATACTTATACACAACCCGTGAATACAAACATCATCTACACGTAGCCTGTTTCACATAGATAACCAAAAACATTTTTTACGAATAATAAAATTAATCATCAATTATAATAGTAATAGTTAAAGGAAACAAAGAATTAAAGGGAGTATCCCTTTTAAAAAAACAGTTTCCATTTGATTGAAGGAGATGATGGCTAGAGATCTGGTAGAGAGTTCCAAGAATAATTTTTATATAAATGTTAAAATGTTATTGGAAGAATGGAAGATAAACTGCAATAAATGTAGAGTGAACTTAATATTTCAGATGTTTCTGATAAGCCAAGAAAACTCAAATGATTAAATTTATATATATTTTTAATTTAGTTATAAATCACAAGAGAAAAATATCTAGGTGTTATGCAAACGTTACTCTTTTTTTTTAATTCTCTATACACTGTTTGGATTTTTTAATATGCCGGATTATTTTAAAAATGAATCTAGATCAAGTAGATTTATTGACTATTACGGCTGTTAATTAATTTATATTGCTTTAGGTAAAGGGCTACTATTATCATACTTCTATTTAATACTACATATTTACATAATTATTTTAAAATCCAAAGTTGAATTGCTGAGGTTGTTGGCTCGATTATTAAAGCTAATAATGGGGTTGAAGATCATCTTATTTTAATTATGATTCTTATTATAATTGATAATATTAATCCTTATTGATATTTATTTAAATTCCCATTTGTTATTTTAAATTTTAATTCTTATTTCAAAGTTCGAATTGTGTTAGGTTCTTCATTTACAACTCTATAATGTTATTACAAATTTGACATCATCGATTTCAGTCTAAAAATCAATCATTTCTTTCTAGGCTTTCAACTATTAAATGTCTTCTTTGATTTAAAGTTCAGTATTTTAGTAAAATTCATTCAATTAATTCTACATTTTCTCATTTGATGGTTCAATACCTATTGAAAAGCTTAAAACTGTTAAATTCCCTCATTGTCATTTGATCCTAATCTTCTTTAAGGCTAAACGAGTAAATTAGGATTGGAACCAAATCTTTATTGAGGAACTGCATTTTGATTTGACCCTGATCTATTCCTTGAGTTAATGGTGATTCTTGCAGCAATCTATAGTAAAGAATCAGGTAAGTTGGTTGGTAAAGGGTGTTTACATTTAGAACACAATTAAACCAAATGCAAAGCAACAATAAATTCTCTTTTTGTTCAAATAGCCCTTTTCCAATATTACATAGATTCCAAATTTCTTTTAATTTATTTTGACTCAATCCAGATTTAGAGAACAAAGCTTTTACATGTTTAACCTTGATTGCTTAAGTGCCATCTTTCATATAAATATTTACTGTCTTATCGCAGATTGTAAAGAAATATTGGAAGGTGAGTTATTCATCAGGAGTATATTAAATCTAGATTTGTTATTTATAAATAATAAGACAATCAATTTTTTTCTATTTGGATATTTCGATTTATCAATTAATGGTAATCGTAAACAGAATAAATATTCTACACGACATATTGAATATAGGGCTTATACATTTCGCCATAAACCTTGACCACTCCCTCCCATCCATACTCAATCATAATGCAAGCAGCCACACTCTCCCAGAGGTCGCTCATAATCTTCGGAATCTAAGTAGAATATTAATTAATTAAGTAGAACTCATTGAATTCTTCCTATCTAAGTGCCTCCAACACTTTCTCTATCTCATTTTAAGTATCCTGACACAACCCTATAGCATATTGATGATATCCATAATACAGAGCCATTGTGCCCATGAATCCGTTATCAAGTAAGGAGATCTTAGCTATATGTAACATGCCTGGACACAACAGCAACTTCGATTCAAATTTACCTTCTCTACACATCTATTACTAATCTTGAGAGTAGTAATATTTCTCACACTCCTTATGTACATTTGCAACAATCAAGAATTCAAGTATTGCATCTCCCAAGAATTCAAGTCTTTCGTAATCTTCAACTGTCATCGCTTCATTGAGTCGAGATAATTTGCAACCCAAAAACTATTCGAACTTATCGAGGGATTGATTGTAAATTGAATTTTGAACAAACGGTTTTATTTACTTCTGTTATTTCAAAGGATATATTCCACTATTTTAGACATCGGGAAATTGAATTAGACAATTGCCAGTGTAGAAATTTGGAAAAACGCCCTGAAATCCAAAATTAGTCAATTTAAAGAATTTGATCACATCACTGAATTCGTAATCTCGAATGTAACAGGCACCACATATAGCCTCGTAAATATCGGCTTATTGTTTTCTTGATAATTTGAAGTCATCCACATCATTTATAGTCATGGTCATATGATTTCTTACTTTTTTGTAATGTATCTTTGAATTCATTGTTCGCATTTGCAGAATTGAATACACATCAGACAAATGTTTGTTGGTGATTAATTTAATTCTAAGGGAAGACAATAGACTTTCATTGTTTAATCCTTTATCTTCAAACAACATCGCTGATGTTAGATACTTAATAACTGAGTCTCCCAACATTTCAAGGTTCTGGTAGTTCCTTTCCAAGTTAAAAGATGGACATGAGATTGCTTCTTCTATTCGTTCTATCTAGGCAATATTATTCATTCTATTATAGACATTCTAAGTTTTTGCATAATGCATCATCTGACATATTAATTAAGAGAACAGTCTACCAATCAAATTCACATATTCAATCGGTACAGGATAAGCGAACAGTTCGCTTTCACCAGCCAAAAATATTTATTAACTTTTAGATACTAGAAATGAACATTTAGAAGTATTCTAACAATCTGGACAAACTAAAATAATCTAAAATATATAATATACTCAAATTTTAATAATCCGCTTAATGGTGCATTTAATTTATGTGTTTCATTTGTTGTAATAAATAGAAGTGTTAATCTCTTGTTTAATTGTTGAACTTCTTACGAATAGCTTAGACCGAGTTCATAGAATTAGGCAGCTCTTTACTATCAAAGAATTTATATAGAGTAATGTCTAAGTTGGTAACTTGATAATGCTGCTAAATGTCACTTAACTCGTTGTAGATTTGATTGTCGATCAGAAATCTAAAATACTCAATCAACAGTGTATTTTTGTCAAAGCGATATAAAACATCGTACAATTTATAGGGACTGTCCATATACGCTAAACTATTGGATTTATAGAGTTATTTGATAGATTTGAATTTGCAATCTAAAAATTGTTGCACTTTTTTAAAGTCAATCTCTTGTTCTCCAGGAACTGTGAGTATATTCACTTAATCGCATTAATTTGGGTTAATAAAAGACTCAACACTTCGAGCTTGTTTGGAATATGTCTTAGCTGAGTTGTTTTAATACAGATCACAAAATAGCAAAATATTGAAACTCACAATTGACTTAAACTATTCCATGGAAACTAATAATTTTTTGGAAGTCCTATATGTAGGTGATATATTTGAACTAAACATGGTGAAGCCTATGAATTTCTTATAAATCTCAGTTACTTAAATTGCTATATTCAAAGTTCCTTGGAGAGATTAAAATTAAGGATTGATCATCAATTTAGAAGTAATTCAGAAACAATAACACCTTTGAACCCTTCTCAAAAGTAATGTAATGGCTTGATATTTACGGTGGCAAATACCCTATGGATTGAACATTAGTAGTTTCAGTCATTAAGTTTATGAATATTATTTATACATAATTTTGAGTAACAAAATACTCAAATTTGCATAACAAAATAAAATAAAATATAATCGTAAAAATTAATACTAAAGCTAAATTTAAATTAAGGATATATTCACTAGATATAGCAATGAAAAAGGGATGATTTTAAAATTTGTTGAACAATTTTAGACTTTCATAAATTAGAGCATAAAAACATGAAAATAGGAATGTTACTAGCTACTAAAGAAGGAGATGATGTTATAACTTGTTTAATCCTCTTCATTATGATTTTTAATTGGTTGATACAAAATAGTGTATTAAGTATTAATTTAGATATATGCTAAAATTGGGGGACTTGCTCTATTGTAATTCCCTTTTTCATATTTCGCTAGGTTTGAAGTTATGCCTAAGGATGATGGAAGAATGATTTTGATTAATTGTATTTTGTGTTCTATAATAATCATTATCTGTATATTAAGTACGGGTTAAATACTTCTGGTACAATGAAGAGACCTGCACCTAAATAACTGAAAATGGTATTCCTTGTTACTTTGATAAATGATGGAGTGACTGCATAATATAATGATTTACATCTTGCTGTTAAGCCTGCTGTGGTCAGGGTTGTCAGACACAATAATACAAATCTTGTATTGACGCTTGCTTTGTCTAGAAGGTATTGCTTTTTGAGAGCTAGGGATTTTAGGATTGGAAATTACTTGTGATGCAATTGGGTAGTTGATCAAAGAATTCAGTGGTAGCTTGATAGGTTTAGCAAACTTATTGTTGAGTGTCAGGCTTGAGAATAAATTGGAAAGAATACTGAGGGATTCTATTGGGACTCTTAATTTTGCATGTGTGTTTATATGTATCTAATAAAAATAATTATGTAGAAACCGGAATTGCTGAGAATTTTTAAAGACCTTGCTGCAAAAGTGCCTAATGAATAAAAGGAGAAGGCAGCCATGGAATTGCAGAGTGTCTACTACAAATACATTCAATAGAGTGATGAATTGTTCAACAAGATTCAGAAACTCATAAATAGTTCTGAGATTCATGAGAAATTCGGTAATGTCACTAAATTCTACAATAATAGGAGGCATTTTGGCCTTGGATCAGTTGACGACAACTGTGTAGGAGGCTCAAGCTTTAACTTTTGTAAACAAGTTTATCCCGAATGTGTCAGGTCAATTCTAGTATAATGATGAAAAGTTTTTGAGGAAGAGTGCAGAAGTCTTTGGAAAATTACTCAGATTAGGTGGAACTAAGATAGCTCAAGTGGTGGATTCACATTTTGTAGAAGCATAAAACTAATTGAAAAGTGATAGGTATAAATTGGCTGGTGTACTATGTTTAAAAGAGATATTGAATGAGGCTGCTTCAATCACTTTTAATAAGCTATTTTAAACTATGCAGACTGATCGCAATTTTACACTCATTCATGGTGCCATCAGATCAAAACAATACTCATTACGAGAAGCAGCCCTCGACTTATTCAGCGAAATCGTTAAACAAATTGCTTAAAGAGAATGTATTCAATTATAGCAACATTATAGAGTCCTATCAAGATTACCTAGTGAAAATATATACTGACGAAATTGAATCTAGAAAAAAATCAAAGGAAGAAGAGTACATTCATGGCAATATTATGATGATCAAAATACTACTCACCTATGCCAAATAAGATGTATTTTGCATCAATATTGTGATTAGGTCTTTTCACAACAACAAATCTATGATTAAGGAGAATATGTTCTCTCAAAAAAAGATCACAAATCAAGCATCATCAATAGGGCTGTAATAGAAACACTGCCAATCCTGGCCAAACATGCTAAACATCATGCAGTCCAGGAATTCATGGAACAAAGCATATCCTTTCTACTATCATAGACTGTTCTAGCCAGATCTGTGAAGGATAAAAGTCTACCCTACATGACCTTGGCCATGCTCATCTCATTTTTGAATGAGAACATGCTTCAGGATCTCATTAAGAAGGTCATCTTGCATATTAGGTAAGAATTACTACAGAAGAACTTTTGCGTTGAAATGATCCACTGTTTATAAGTCATATTTTAGAACTATACGAGAAAATTCGCAGAATTCACATCAGTTGATGTCCTAGTAGATGTATCAATATTTCATATTCTTTCAAGTAAATACTCTTAAATGGTTTACATCCACAATCAGTCTAATTTCTTAATTAATTATGCATATAACAACCCAGACAATCTGATTACATTCAATAAAAGCTCTTATAAACAATTGCAGCCATTCTTCTGAGAAAGATTATCAATTTTGTCAATCCCAAATAACAGAACTTTGATGGCAGCATCCTAAATGATTTTTAAGGATACTTACAAAAAGCCATCACCACAACAGAATTCAGATCTCCTGAAGCCATTGCAAATGCCATTCAAACACTCAGCACTTTCTCATTTGACTTGTAGGACAGTCTTGCAATATTTGTGAAAGATGCCGTACTACCCAATCTTGCTAATTCTAATCCAATCATAAGGAAGGCTACTGCAAAAGCAGGATGTCTACTGTATATAAAGAAAGGGAGATCGACAGGGTAGTAGATGATCTCCAAGAATGTTATGTATGAAATACTCGATAAATTTATGAATGTTGCCATTTCAGATACTGAATAGGATATCAGGTAAACTATGCTTGCATCTCTAAATGAGAATTTTGATCCATATTTAAATTCGCCTAATAATTTGAGAAAATTATTTTTGTGCATGAATGATCCAATCCCAGAGGTTCAAGAAATTGCTTTAACTATTCTTTGCCGTTTATCCATTTTGAATCCCTCAGAAATCATCCCCTTTCTTAAGAAGACACTATTTGAATATCTATAAACTCTGACATTTGACAGCAATCAACCTGAAAAACAAACCATCAATAAATTATACCTATTGACTTCACTAATCAAACATGGCCGTACTATTGTCCAACCCTACACCAGCAATATCGCTAAGGTCATTCAATAACATCTAAAGAACCCCAACACTAATGCTATTGTAACCTCATATTTGTTAAAGGCATTTGCTCAATTAACTGAAACGGCAAATCAAGAAATTCTTGTTAATTTGAAGGAAGTTTTTGATATCATTATAACAGCAATGCAAGATAAGAGTTCTACTCTTAAAAGAGAAGCTGCAGTCAAATCTCTAAATTTAATTATTAAAAATACAGGATTTGTTGTACTCCCTTATTATCGTTTTCCCAATTTAATGGATGTCATATTCTAATTAATCAGAACTGAAACTATCCCCGAAATGAGACAAGAATGTTTGAAATTATTAGGCAATCTTGGAGCTGTAGATTCATTCATTTACAAAAGCGTTTAGGGAGTGCCAACTAAATAAAAATTCAAGTTTCTAAAAAATTATCAAAATGCTCTCAATTCTGTTTCATCAAGTGAGCTAATGAATGAAGTCAGAGGATATAGTGAGGATTTGATACTTATAGGCAATTTCAGTACTAAAATGTTCTTACACCTTGGAAAATTGAAAATGCAAACTGATCAAGATACTTTACTCTATTAAAATAATAATGCCATGATAACAAAATCAATAACGCTGGATGCTCAATCTCATTATCATTAAGCTATAAATTCATAAGATATTGAAGAACTGTTTCAATAAGTTCCTGTTATATAACTAAATGACATCGATTATTATTCAAAAGTGACTCTAAAAACACTATTACAAATTCTGTTGGATCCATCTTTATCAAATAATCATGAATTAGCGCTTGAAACCATTATGTGGATCATAGGAACACTAAAAGCAAAGACAGCTAGTTATTTGAACTATTTAATACCAGTTTTTGCTCGTTTGTTGTAGAGGAATGAAGAAATGAGAGAGAAAGTATTGACATCTTTGTAAAAAGTGATCCATTTGTGTGGAATATAATTCAATCCTCAATACATTGATTAAGTGATTGCTTGTGTAATGCTATTTTGTTAGGGATAAGAGTCATCAAAGTTAGTTTTGATCGGCTTAGAGATAATGGAGACATTGATTAAAAGTAGTAAACAGCACTTGAGACATAAAGTGGAACCATTAGTTAGACTTATAAATTAGGAAATCAGTCAATTTGAAGAGGAGAAGGATCTGGTTCGTAAAGGAATAAAGATATACATATTGTTAGAGAATTTACTAGACTGTCAATTGCACATGTTTATACCATTTATGTGTAAGTTGTTGAGTAAAGAAGTGTCAAGTGTTTTATTGGAAGTTAGAAAGGACATAATTAATTTATTTGTATCTTTATCAAGGAAATGCCCAACTACAGTTCAATATTTATCATTGATTGTAAATTCATTGTTAAATCTAGTGGAATTGAGTGCAAAAACTCATTAGCAATTAGAAATGCATTAGACAGTGTTAAATTGCATTGTCAACCTAATCTTATAACATAAGAATCTGATGCTTGTGTATTTACCAATGATCCATTTGTAAGTACAGAAATATAAGATACACCATTAATAGTATTAAAAATTAGTAGAAATCTTTTTGATGTATGGCAATTTGGAAGATTTGAATAATCTATTGGATGAGGATTGCAAAGCTATTGAACAATTGTTTCCATCTTAAATTACTTAATATTATTCAATCGAGCCTAATGCACCGATGTACAAAAAGATAGAACCTGAGGAATTGGTGGCTAAATTTGATACAGAATAAAGAAATTTGAAGGAAGAATGGTAAGAGTGGATGCGTAATACAAGTGTGGAATTATTGAAGTTATCACCATTTCTGGTATTGAGTCCCTGCTCCTCTATAGCTGAGATGTATTAGACTTTGGCATATGAATTGTTCAATATAGCATTTGATTCAGCTTGGTATTTCTTGAATGATAAGCACAAAGAGTTGATGGTGCAATACTTGGTCAGAGTCATTAAGGCTGACAACATTCCCCTATAGATCTCATAAACAATACTAAATCTGGCAGAATTTATGTAGCATGATAAGGAGGGATTGCAAATTGACATTAGTTCTTTAGGAGAATTGGCTGAAAAATGTATGGCTTATGCCAAGGCTCTCTATTATAGAGAACATGAATTTGAGACTGCTAATTCAAAAGCCATACAATCTCTAATATCTCTTTATACGAATTTGGGATTGTAAGAATCTGCCAATGGTTTATTGACCTATGCTAAATAATCCCTAAAGATTTAGGTGTAAAATACAGATTATGAGCGATTAAAGAAATGGGATGAAGCCTTACAGGAGTACAGACAATAGCAATTGAAGTATGAAAATGATTAGAGAATGGATTTAGCTATAAAGTTGGTGGTTCCTAAGATGAGATGTTTGAATGCATTGATGTAGTGGTAAACATTGATTAGTCAAGCAGAGGAGATATTTAGGAGCAATGAAGATGCTAAACAAAAGGAAATTGCTCATTTAGCTGCAAATGCTGCTATGCACTTAGGACAATGGGATAAATTGGCTACTTATAATGAACAAGTGAATGCTGAGGAGTCAGACAAACCATTTTGGAAAGCTGCTGTTTGTATTTCTAAAGGACAATTGGATGAAGCTAAAATATAAGTAAGAAAGAGCAGAGAGAGATTGGATGGTTTAGTAACAGGATTATTGCAGGAATCATATGATAGAGCTTAAGACGGAGTATTAAAATTGTAATAGTTAGTTGAAATGGAGGAAATAATAGAAATCAAACAATTTGAAAATAAAGTATAGAAAGCAGCCTAAGAGAATGTGGGTGAATATTCATATATTAAATTATTGGATGAATTAGAGATTCGTAAAAAGAAATTAAAAGATATATGGCATGATAGATTAAGTGGAGCACCAAAAGATATTGATGTCTGGTATCGTTTGCTTTCCACTCGACAATTATATTTACCTAAAGTGCATGATCTTGACATTTGGATTAAGTTTGCCAAATTATGCTTAAAGAGATAAAAAATGGTATTATGTAAATCTACCATTGAAATATTGAAAGAATAGTTTTAGAATCAGGGGTTGGCTCCATTGCCTGTCACTCTGCACATTTTCAACATGCAATTTGAATATGTTCATGCCAAACATGAAATCTAAATTCTAGATTAGGTGAGAGAGTATTTCACCAATTAGGAATAGATAAGTTCTATTGACTCTAAATTAAAAGCTAAGACATTTTTCACTCTCGGAAAATGGGCTTATGAAAGAGCAGAATCAACAAGTGATTTAGAATAGATAACTAAATAATTCGATGAATCCTTACAATATAATTCCACTTATGCTAAGGCTTGGCATTATTATGGATTATGCAATTTTGAAGTTATAGAATAATAAGAAAATAGATAATCTATGAATGCGCATGTATTTGCAGCAGTCAAAGGATTCTTGAAATCTATATCCTTAGGAAGCAGAGACATCAAGAAGGGTAGATACATTCTACAAGATACTTTGCGTCTGCTATCCTTGATATTTAAATATGGAATGGAAGCTGCTATATCTGATGAATTTAGATAGAACTACAAATAAATAGATGTTATAGCTTGGATTGATGTCATTCCATAAATTCTAGCCAGAATCCAAATTCAAAATCCAATAATTCAATAGTTATTACAAGATCTATTAATTCACATCAGTCGCATTCACCCTTAAGCTCTTATATATCCATTGACTGTGGCTTGTAAATCCAAAAACCAAATTAAAAGGTTGTAGGTACTTAAGATATTGGATGATATGAAAAAACATTCCCCAATTCTAGTTAATGAAGCCTTAATAATTAGTGAAGAACTCAATCGTACTGCCATACTATTGAAAGAAGCATGGAGAGAAGGAATCCAAGAGGCTTGGACATCGTTTTCATAAGATAAGAATAAAACACATGTCGAGAGAATTTTAAGAGGTTTACATGATAATATGAGAGTTAAACTTGAGAGTTTAAGTGAGATTTCATTCCATCAAACATATGGATAAGAGATATTTGAGGCTGAAGCTTGGTTATAGAGGTATTTAAGAACTGAAGATTAAGTATGTTTATGCGTTGCTTTTGATATCTATACGAGGATCTACCATAAAGTTTAGAAGAGTTTAGAAAAAATGAAGAAGGTTCATCTGGAAAATGTATCACCAAAATTGTTGGCTACTTAAAATTGTGAAATTAGTATTCCTGGATTGTATAAACCCAATAAATAACTCATAACAATTAATGGTTTTGCCCCTAGATTAGATGTTTTATCAAGTAAGTAGCATCCAAGATAGGTTAAGATATTTGGAAATGATTCAAAAGAGTACTAATTTTTATTAAAAGGACATGAGGACTTAAGGTAAGATGAAAGAGTGATGCAATTATTTTCGCTTGTAAATCGATTACTCACGAATGATACTGAAACAGAGAGGAAAGATCTTACAATTACAAGATACTCTGTTATACCCTTATCTCATAATACTGGATTATTAGGATGGGTACAGAATTGTGATACTTTGCAACAATTAGTAAGAGAGTATAGAGATAAATATGCTATCAGGTCTAACGCTGAAAGCACTTTAATGGAATAATTTTGTGCTCAATATCAAAATCTACCTTTGCCTAATAAGGTGGAGATTTATAGACACATTTTAGAAAATACAAGAGGGGAGGATTTGCAAAAAGTTTTGTGGATAAAGTCACCCAATTCTGAAGTTTGGCTTGAAAGAAGAATTAATTATACAAGATCTTTGGCTACGATGTCAATGGTTGGGTATATTCTGGGACTAGGAGACAGACATCCATCGAACTTTATGTTATAAAAACTGACTGGTAAAATAGTACATATAGATTTCGGAGATTGTTTTGGTAATTGATACATACTTATACATTAATAGAGGTGGCAATGAAAAGAGAGAAGTATCCAGAGAGAGTTCCATTCAGACTTACTAGAATGTTGGTAAAAGCAATGGAGGCTTGTGGAATAGAAGGTGTATATAGACATACTTGTAATGTTGTTATGAGAGTATTAAGGGAAAACAAAGAGTATTAATAATTTTACGATTTAGATCTCTGTTGGCTGTGTTAGATTCATTTGTATATGATCCTTTGCTTACTTGGAGACTTTTGAATGCATAAGATCATAAACCTAAAAAAGAGGCTAGGAATGTAGATTTACACAAGTAAATTCCACAACAAATGATCAATTAACTCAATGATAAGGAAATTAACTAGGGAAAGAGTTTGATTCAGGTCATTCCTGAAGCTAAAAGGAGGGGCAGCATTATAGATGACGGAAAGCAGTAGTAAACTCTGAAAAGAAAGGAGAGTGGAAGAGAGAAGGAAATATATTTTGAATTCGCTGACGAAGAGAGGGAAATACCAGATGATTTATAAAATTAGAAGGGGTTAGAGGTTATTGAGAGAATCAAGAAAAAATTGCAAGGAAGAGATTTCAAAGAACATGAAGTGTTGTCGACTGAAAGTCAAGTCAATCAACTCATACTATAAGCAACTAATCATGAAAACATTGCGTAAGCTTACTTGGGATGGTGCCCATTTTGGTGATTATTATGATAATCCATTCCAATATTAGTAATTATAATATTGTTTTATTTTTCAATTTTATTAAAACCATTTCAATTTAAATATCAAATGTTGCAGAAATCAATAAAATATAAGTTGTGTAAATCACAAATACTATGACAATTATTCCTTCTTTATTGGCTTTACTAAAAGGTCATCCATTCCTGCATTTAAACATGCTGTCTTTGTCTTTGGATCTCCATCTGATAAATAATTAATCAATATCTATTCTTACCCCCACTCAATCCTAATATCTTGCATTTAGGCAATCCTTTTGCTTTCTCATGAGCTCTTATTTGTTTGGTCGACTAATAAAATGTTCACTCCCTTACATCATATCCATCCATAACTGGCATATGAATATCCATTAAAACATGAGCGAAATTAGGTGATTTTTAGTAAGTTTCCAGTGCTTCCTTTCCATTAGATACTACTACACATTCTACTTTAAGAGCTCCGTAAAGCATTTTTATCAGATTCTGAGCAAAGGGCTCGTCATCTGCCACCAAAACCTTCTTTCCGTCCATAATAATAAAATATATATTTATTAATCACAATTTATTCTTTCTATGTTTCTTCTCGATCTGTCTACGTTTACCCTTCTCCATATTCTTCAATTTCAAGTTCTTCTTTATTTTTTTAGACTAAAATTATATCATTTATGCAATACCTTCAACAGTTGTTCTGGCCTCTTTATCTCCTACTTCCCTCCTCTCTGTGGTCCCTCCTCTTAATTGAAGTAATATCCTTTGCCTCTCATCTACCTCCTCTTAAACAACTCTTTCGCTCTAGAAACCATTTATTGATCCTAGATTTCAAAAATATCTTTACCTCCTCTTCTCCCACATTCTACAACTAAATGCTAGTTTGTTTCTACCACTTCTTGAAGTTTTGCTTTCCTTTTTCAACCTTCATCCCACGATCCTCCTTATCTTACTACTGAGTTGCCTTTGGGTTCACATACTTCTTCTTATCTTTGTCCCAAACCATCTATTTTCTCTTACGGAGTGCATCAGTCCCATCTGAAATTACAAATGGATTTATATCCTCCAGAGTAATCTTATGTAAGTCTTCAAATTCTGACTTTTTTGTTGGATCCCTTTAAGTTGGAATAAAGAACTTTTAATCCATAAAATTTTCTATATTTAAGGATTTCGGCTATTCCTTTAATTCTATCTTTGGAAGAGGTTTACGTTTTTGCACATCCTTCAAATGAGACACAGCCTTCATAAAAGGATCTGATTTCTAATTTGATTCAAACTTCTTGATTTCTATAACACTCTAAGTGGATTTGAAATTCTTAATTTAATTAAGCATATCTTTTGTGTCCTCCTCCACTTAGATCTTATCCTTAAACAAGGGATGCACCAAACTGGTATCTATATTGGTTTTCACTTTCTTGGCAGATCCTCTGGTTTTACGAAACTTCTCATTAGCTCTGGTTGCTATTTCTTTATAGTTCTAAAACTCAATGTCATCATTCAAGTCATTCAATTTCTCTTGATTTTACATCAACAACTCAATTGGCATATTACCATAAAATGCCAATGAAGGGTCAGTAAAATCTCCCTCATTCACCAATTTCCTACCAACATATATCATTGTTTCTTTAATGTAAAGAATCTCCTCTGATGATATCAATGCATACACATAACCTGCCTTACCTGCTCTTGCTGTACGACCAGATCTGTGTATAAATATTTTAGGATTGGATGGGTAATCATAATGTATGACATTGGCCACAAATGGTAGATCTATACCTCTACTTGCTAAATCAGTAACAATCAACACTTTCACTTGATTCCTTTTGAAGTTATCTAATTATTCTTTTCTGTCCAACTAATCCATTTTACCGTAAACATGAACCGATGAGATGTGGAATTTATTCAAGGCATAAGAGAGCATATCAACCAAAAATCGAGTTGAGGCAAACACCAAACAAGTATCCTCGAGTTATCTAATCAAATAGATGAGAGCACTCAATTTGTTATCATTTGCTGCAAATAAAAAATGCAATTGCATCGAATCTGGCAATTGGAATTCTTTGTCTAATTTACAGAATATGTAATCCTTTAATCCAACAGATGCGAACATACTGAGTTGCTCTGGAATGGTGGCAGAAAACATCAATGATTGTTTTTAAGAAGGTAGATGGGTTAAGATTTATTTGAGTTGATCTGCCAAACCCATTTCAAATAGAAAATCTGCCTCATCATAAATGACCATTTGGACTCTGGACAGTTTCAGTCTATCTTCCAAGAGATGTTGTAACACTCTTCCAGGAGTACAAATTAAAATATCTGGATTTGCAGCCAAACTCTCAAATTAACCTTCGAAGCCATGTCCTCCAACCATTATGGAGTATTGGATGTCTGAGAATTTCAATAGGGCTTTTAACACTGATGCAATTTGCAAGGCCAATTCTCTTGTTGGGAGGAGAATTAATCCCCTTATACCGACAACTGTACTATGGTTCTGGAGCTTGTTGATGAGGGGGATCAGGAAGGCTGCTGTTTTACCTGAGCCGGTTTTCGAACAAGCCACAATGTCACGTCCTGCCAATATTTGGGGTATTGCCTAGATTGGATAAATGGGCATTATACTTTTCTTTAAATTGGAGTGGGAACATTAAATCCTTGATTCTTGATAGCTCTATAAAGTTCTGGGATTAATCCCATTGATTCGAATCCTCCAGATTTTTTGACTTTAGTTTAATCCATATATTAAATTATTAAATGCGATTTGGATGTTAATATTTATGATATTCCTTTGAATTTGATATTGAAAGTATTAAAATTTAAATGAAATTTATAGGCTTAGAAATGATTTAAATGATGTGAACCATTATTGTATAATGAATTGGTTTCTAAAATATTTAAATTAATTTTTCTCCATAATTAATAATTAAAAAATGGAAAGAGCTGCAAATCTCATCTTAACAGCAGGATCTCTACTTGTCGGAGGTGGAATGCTATTCAAGTCCTTCTTCTATACCGTGGATGGAGGACAAAGAGGATTAATATTCGATCGATTTTAAGGAGTGAAAGAATCTGTCTACGGAGAAGGAATGCACTTTTTCATCCCAGTTATTTAAGTATTGAATTCCATCACGATTTCTCTAGTCACCAATAGTGGCTGAAGTGCGTCTCTAACCAAAAACTGTGGCTTCTCACACAGGTACCAAGGACTTACAAACTGTGGATATCGCTATCAGAATGCTTCATAAACCAATTGAATAATATTTACCTGAAATTTATAAGTAGAATTACAATTAATATTTTTCTTAGAACTATTGGTTTAAATTACGAAGAGAAGATTCTTCCTTCCATTGCTAATGAAGTCTTGAAGGCAGTTGTGGCCTAATATGATGCAGATCAATTGATCAAAATGAGAGAGAAGATATCCTAGGAAATTAAAGAAGGTTTGATTGAAAGAGCTAAGGAATTCAAAATTGTCTTGGAAGATGTATCAATTACTCATTTGGGATTCATGAAAGAATATGCACAAGCCATTGAAGCAAAATAGGTGGCTTAGTAATTGGCTGAAAGATAAAAGTTCATTGTGTTGAGAGATGAAGAAGAGAAGAATGCAAAGATCATATTATCAGAAGGAGAATCAGAAGCTGCAAGATTGATCAATGAAGCAGTGAAATCTTATGGAACAGGTACTAACTTTTTTTTAATTTAATAGCCTAGATTGAAATCAAGAAATTAGAGACTGCCAAACATATTGCTGAAACCTTAGCTAAAAGTCCAAACATTAGTTGGATTCCAACTGGAAATGGAGTTTCAAATCTATTGAATTTGAAAACATTTTGAGAATGTAATTTATATTATTTGAATGCATATATATCATGCTTTGACGAGTTTTCTTAACACATATTATAAGATTCCTCCATGTTTGTAATATTCAATTTCAACCTCAGTGTCTAATCTAGATTTGGCCTAGAATTTCTTGCCAGTTGCTAAAGATAATAGAAATAAATGATTACATGTTTCAACAGTGTATGTCTAACCAAGAGTTAAATTGCTTTCATTGACATTGATAGTGAATTATTCTTTTCCAGTTAATCCAAGAGTATCAGCACTTTCTCCCTTTAAGAATTCAAGTGGTAAAATACCCATTCCAACTAGGTTGGATCTGTGGATTCTCTCAAATGATTATGCGATGACACATTTAACACCTTATAAATATGGTCCTCTAAGAAATATGATATAAATTATTACTTTGCTGCCCAATCTCTGCTACTTCCTGAACCATATTCTTGACCAGCCAAAACAATAGTTTGATTTCCCTCTTTCATGTGTTTATCAGCTGCATCAAAGACATCCATGACTTCTCCATTTGGAACATAGACAGTTTAAGGTCCAACCTTGCTAACCAATTTGTTGATGATACGAGTGTTAGCAAATGTACCTCTGGCCATGATTTCATCATTTCCTCTTCTGGCACCATAAGTGTTGAAATCCTTTTTGGAAACACCTTTGCTTTTAAGATAACGTCCAGCAGGGGAGTTTTCAGAAATGGAACCAGCTGGTGAGATGTGATCTGTAGTGATGAAATCACCTAAATTCAAAAGACAATAAGCATTCTTGATTGGTTAAACTTATTTTGGATTCAATTCTGTAGTTTAGAAGAATGGTGGGTTGTGAATATAAGTGGATTCTGGTTTCCATTAATAAAGATCTGTCTTATTGACTTTCAATTAATTCCATCTTTCTGTTCCTTATGCGATTCTTGAGTAGATATCTCTGAACATTTATGGTTTGAGTGCTTATTCAACAGCCTTACTGCTTTATTCTCTGCTTGGCCAGATATCTTTCAAAAATACTGGTTTTCCATTTTTATCAGTTCCAATTGGTGTTGTATCAAAATCAATGTTGACAGTACCAGCTAATGCATAAGCAACAACCAATGGTGGAGATGCAAGATAATTGGCTCTAACTTACTAGTGAATTCTGGCTTCAAAGTTACGATTTCCTGAGAGGACAGCTGCAGCAACTAAATCCTTGTTTTTAATGGCTTCTGCAACTTCATTATCTAATTCTCCAGTGTTACCAATGCAGGTCATGCATCCATAACCAGCAGTTGTGAAACCCAATTAATCAAGATATTTGCTGACACCAGATTCCTCGAAATATTTAGTAACAACATTAGATCCTGGAGAAAGAGTGGTTTTGATGTATGGTTTAACTTTCAATCCCTTTTCAATAGCATTCTTAGCCAAAAGTCCAGCACCAATCATACTTTCTGGATTACTTGTATTTGTGCATGATGTAATAGCAGCAATAACAACACTTCCATGTTGAAGAGAATATTTCTATCCTTGATAAGTGAATTCAGCAACATCTGCTTATTTTTCTTATGGAATTCCAAATCCTTTGAATCCAACCTTATTGTTGAGACAAGAAGCCCAATCTTTCTTCATTTCAGCCAATGGTACTCTATCATGAGGTCTCTTTGGTCCTGAGAGTGATGGTTAGACTGATGCAAGATCCAAATCTAAAACTTCGCCAGAGAAGTGAGGATCATTTCCACTCTTGTAATCACGGAACAATCCTTATTCTCTGAGATAAGCTTCAATTTATCTAACTTTTGTTTCTGGTCTACCTGTTAAGTTCAAGTAATCAATAGTCTTGTGATCAATTGGGAAGTATCCCATGGTAGCACCATATTCTGGAGCCATGTTGGCAATGGTTGCTCTATCAGCAAGAGATAAGGTCTCAACTCCTGGTCCGAAGAATTCAACGAATTTACCAACAACACCTCTTTTTCTTAACATTTATGTGCATGTAAGGACTAGATCTGTGGCTGTGACATTTGATGGTAATTTTCCATGTAATCTGAAACCTACGACTTCTGGTAAGACCATTGATATTGTTTATCCAAGCATAACAGCTTCGGCTTCAATTCCTCCAACTCCCCATCCTGTCACTCCCAAACCATTAATCATTGTTGTGTGTGAATCTGTTCCTACGACTGAGTCTGGGAATAAGTATCCTTATTCTTCCATTACAACTCTTGCCAAGTATTCCAAATTCACTTAATGAACAATTCCTGATCCTGGTGGAACAATCAAGAAGTTCTTGAAGGCTGTTGATCCCCATTTCAAGAATTCAAAACGCTCATAGTTACGGCTGAATTCAATTTTCTCATTCTCTTCATATGCTCTTGGCACTCTTGATACATCTGCTTGAACTGAGTGATCAATGACTAAGTCAACTGGGCACAATGGATTAATCTTTTATGGGTCTCCACCTAGTCTCTTCATTGCATCTCTCATTGCAGCCAAATCTACTACGGCTGGCACTCCTGTAAAATCTTGCAAAATGACACGTGCTGGCTTGAATGGAATTTCTATCTATTTTGGAGCATTTGTCTCCCAATTCAAGATATTCTAAACATCCTTCTATGTCACTGCAAACTCATCACAATTACGCACTGCTGATTCCAACAACACTCTGATCGAATAGGGTAAATGGTCTATACAATATACATCTCAAACTTACTTAATTTAGAATCTCCCAAAGCTGGTAAACTAAAGAATTTATACTCCTTTCCGTCAACCTTGAGTGTTTTCTAAGCCTTAATGTATGGGTTTGCTCTTGCTCCGAACCTGAATCTGGAAGTGAATCTTATCATAATTAAAAATTTATTTTAGGCATCACTCAGCATTAATAATCACATAAATACTCCATTTTTTATAATAATTATTCAAAGATACAAAATATTTATGCATTTTATAAATAATGACGAAATATTTTATAATAACTATTTTTGGAATTTTAATTATGAGACAATTTTTTCCGTCCTTCAATGCGATTGATAATATAAAACATTTCATTTTAATAGTTATAATATTTGTCAAATCAATAAGAATTAAGCAAAATTATTATTTCACTTTAATAATTCGTTCATTTTGGGATCAACTCACTTTGTCTTAACAGTCATTTCATAGTATTTCATAATGATTTGATTCCAGATTTAAAATCAAACTTTCCTTAATTTAAGTCGGCCAAGATTAAGCTAATTGATATCAATAAATAAATTCATTGAATTCTATCAGAAGCTTTGACAATCTAATCATTCAAAACATTTTACTTGAAACACTCCCTTATTTTGAAGAGAAATCAACATCTTTTTAGGTACTAAAAGAGAATACATTATAGTAATATTAAAAATATACTTAGACTTAATTCAATCACTAATTGATACTTCTATTAATATTATGCATTAATGTAATATGAATTAGCCTAAATTAAATTTTAAATTAATATAGATTAATACATTTTTAATAGAATTAATACCCATGATATAAGAAGGTTTTAATAATCATCATAATTTTAAAATGAATTCATCAGAGATCTAAAAAGAGAATTATATACAAACGATAGCTATGCTACGAAAAGAAATAAGGTTTCATCAAAAACAAGATTCTAAGTTATCTAAATCGAATAACTCTTCATTATCACTTTACAATATCAATAATCAATAATAATTAGAGGATCACCAATCAGTAAATGGCTACGAATAATAGAACCATATAAATAAATCAGGAGATTAGTTTGATTCAAAAATTACTCAAATTGAGAATCAACCTTACTTCGATATGCTATCATAAGCTGAAAAATACATGAAGTTAGTATTAAATATAGGCTACAATCTATAACCATTAGCTTTAGAAAAAATATTAGAAGGATTTGAAACAATACCATGCAGACTGATAAAATAAGTCTCGAAACCTGAAATTTGCCAAGTCTTCTCCTTTAATTCAAATAATACTTTACTGGCAACATCATAAGGAAAAAATATTTAAATATTCAACTTTATGAATGGAGAATTTGAAGAAAATGTATAGTTCCAAGCTCATAATGCAGATGTAACTTCCTTGGTTTTCAGTAAAAAATCGAATTACTTACTTTCAGGAGGAATGGATGATTATATCTATCTATGGGAAGAATTAAGAGGCCAAAATTAATGGTAAAAAAAAATATCCATAAATACTAAGAGCCCAATTAGCTGTATGATTTTTAACAAATTGGAAAATCTTATCATAGTTGGTAATAAGTATGGTTTCTTATAAATTTGGTCTCTAAATATTGAAAATAATTTAATTAAGATTGTCGATGAAAAGAGACAAGTTCATAAAAATACAATTTATGCAGTTAGTCTTAATTCCTCTGAAAATAGGATAATCACATGCTCAGTTGATAAATAAATAATACTTTGGGGTATAGATGAACGAGGTTGGTTGGAAATGATCGCATCTTAAGAAAGATAAAATTATGTCACTCGCATTCTTTTTTTAAATGATAACAGAATCCTTTTAGCTTAAAATAAAAAAGGATTGATTTAACTAAAGCTTGAAAATGATAAATTCCAAGAAAAAGAATAAATAATAATTGAAGATTTATCAGAGGATCATCATTATTTTCCAATTCAATATAATTAAATTAGAAATATCATAATAATTAAACATAATAGATTTATTTATATACTGAGTAATCTTTAAAAAGATGCATATGAATTATTAAAAAAATTAGAATTTCAATCTATGAAAATATATGGAACATTATCAACTGATAGAAGGCACCTAGTCATTTATAATGAAGAAAAAATTCAAATCTATGAAATTTTTGAATGATTTATATATCTTAAAAGTTATTTTATTAATTCTAAAGAAGGAGACCTATGTTTAAATTATCAATGATATTGATTTGAACAATATTTGAATATAAAATATTTCATTATTATCCATTACACATTCTAAACATGATCCTAATGTAAACAAATTAGAAAATATGTCACAAAATTTATTTAAAAATTTAAAATATAGAATCATTGCAATTCATCAAATATCTTTTGACTTAAGCATACAGTAAATTACTTAAATACCTAAATTAAATACAAAAATTAGTAATTATTTATACCATATTATATATTATGAATACATAAGTTTATGACCTTTTTACTTCGAATGAGAATCCAAAATTTGTAGCTAAAATGTTAGCTTAATATAGGATCATTCAATTTCTAGGTCAAGGAGCGTTCAGTAGCGTATTTAAAGCATTTTGTGATGGTGAGTTTTTCGCAATTAAGGTGATGTATTTTAACATGATGTTAGACAGATAGTTGACAAGATGAAAGGAAACGCAGAGAAATTATAGCAGGAAGCCTTAATTTTAAGTTAACTGAAGCATCCTAACATCGTACGATATCATAGAACATTTGAATCCAAAAGAAGACTATATTTTATATTATCCTACATAGAAGGGAAAACCCTCTAATAATACATAGAAGATGGCAGCGTCAGATTTTCAGAGAAAGAATGCATAGCTTTAATTCGCTAATTGGTTGATATACTAAGCTACCTCCATTCCAATCGGATTATTCATAGAGATATAAAGCCAGGTAAGATCTCTTTTTGACAAGTAGATAACATGATTATAGATAAGAACCTGAACCTCACCTTAATAGACTTTGGCCTCAGTTTTATAACTACCTAGTAAATAACTACACATTAAAATTGCGGAACTTTAATATACATGGCCCCAGAAGTACTGATGAAAAAGGAATACTTTAAATCTGTAGATATTTGGAGTTGTGGCATCATTTAGTATTAATTATTAAAAAATTGCCATCCATTTTGGAAAAATTAAAAAAAAGACAATTATATCAAATAGATGTCAATACCACAGAAAGTAGATTTTAGCGGTATGTCCAAGTATAATTTTAAATTTGAAAGAGCTGCTATTTCGTTTTTTGAAAAAACTGCTGCATTTGAACCTGAAGCAAGGATAACTGCTGAATAAGCTTTGTTGCATCCATGGATTACCTGTTAGTAATCAGAGACCTAGATTATGACAAGCAAAGAAATATTCTAAGCCTACAGAGGAATAATTATATTCACAAAGGTATAAAATTTAAAATATTCTAGTTTTAAAAATTCATAGTTTTTATACAGTTTATTAAATCAAATAGTGAAAAGGCCATAAGAGCAATAGTTTTACCATAAAATTAGCGTTTTTTTTCAAAATAAAAGAGTCCAAAGAAACCAAATTTTATCAAAATACCTACTAGATCTTGTTTAAATTCAAGCAATAGTAGTAGAGAAGTGAATTTTGTTATTTATTTATTTTAGAGCTCTGAGAAACACAAAGTAAAATTACCACCTATTATTCATTCAAAGAGAAGTCCTAAGGGTGAAGCTAGTCCAAATCCTTTTCCTTCCAATTATAAAATTTCTAATCCAACTTAAACAACACTAGAATTTAAAAAATCTCATTTTAGATTGAAGTGAATATCTTTTTTTGTTTAATTTCGATATTCAAATAAATAAAGAGCTCAATTATTTTGATTTTTATTATGAAAATAATAATTAAAAGCAAAGCTATCTTTGGTTAATATTTGTTTAATGAGAATTTAGCAATATAAAATCATTTTTTTTTCTTTTTTTATTCTAAGTCTCTCAATTTCCAATAAGGAATATTTTCATTTTTTATACTCCCTCTTTTCGATCTTATTTTTTAGCATTTCACCTGCAAAGATTCTTCTGTTTTTTATTTCCCTAACTATTCATCCAATCTATCAATTTTCAATGCTTTATCCCAAATTTTACTAGTGGGAGAATTATGAATTTCATTAGGATTCAGAGCAATCTATTCTAATATTTTCTCTTTATCTTAATCCAATATAATCATTATTTTTCTACATTCAAGCCTATTTGTAAAATTTGTATTGGGTATATCTTCCCCTTTATTGGATTCAAAGTAGGGTTTTCCATATTATTATTGAGTTTTTTAAACAGGTTTAAAGTTATCTTCACAACATGAGTGCTTCCTTTTTTCAAAAAAGAAACCAAGGTTCTTTTAGAGTGTAATTGAATTTTCTTATATCTACAGATCCTAAGAAGAGTTGGTTATTTCAAATTGGTTTCTTGGTTCTTATACATTTTCCTCTCTATTCGATTACATGAATTAAGCAGTTCCAGGAGTATCTACTGTTTTTTAAATTAGTTTAGATTCTTCCGTTTGGAGCGAGGCTTGAAATGTAATTCTATTTGAAATAGGATTCATTTCTGGTCCCAAAATTTCAAGAGGATTCGGAACTTTTTCTATTATTTTCTTTTTTAATTCTTGCAACTTAAGAAGTGTGGTATCTCTATCGTTGATGCTCATTCTCTTTCGGTTAATTATAATGTTCTTCAGGGGTAAGGCTTCTTAACTAACTCTAATGGGTGAAGCATCAGTATTATGAAGTGTTTTATGCTTTTTAATTTAATAGTTGCTCGCAACATCCCTCTATTAATTAGGTTGATGTTGGGATTGGTTAGTATGACATTTTTAATATTTCTTAAGTAACTATAAAATATCAGGAGTCGATTTTTGTTTTTGTCTTTCAGGTTTATGTATTTGCGCATAAGAGCTTTGCTTCTAAATTACATATTCAGATAATTTTCTCTTGATTGGAGTGTGTATTTTTGAATAGGAATCTTTATTTCCTTGATGCTGATGCTCACTAAAATTTGAATGATTAGTAGTGGTCATTTGTTTCTGTTAATTTAATTTGAGCATATTATATATATATATATATTAGTATTATCATAACATTTCAAGAAACTTCTAATTAAGGTTCTTACTTGATTTTTGTCGAGGCGGACTTGCCAACGATGTCCCAGATCTCAAATCTATAATTACTGATTCTGATGGAAATCTTAAATGATATGGAGATTGTATTTCTTTGATAGATGTCTATTTTATGATGAATATTTCATCCATCATATCCATTCTGTCTGAGTCCCCTATAACTGAGATAAGTAATGGCTCCAATTTCATTTTATTTGGATAAGTTTAAGATTTATGATTCCCATTATGCTAGTGCTACATAAAGGGTCGATTTTGACAGCAACCCATCTTGTTAAAGTTGAAGAGCTTATAATATTTAATAAATTTCAAATCATTTATTTGTTTATGCAAATTCATTTGATCGTATCTTTTATTTATTTGATGCTATATAATATATTATTTAAGACTTAATAGGTGGATAGTAATAGAAATTAAATTATAATATTCCTAAATGGTATTTTAAACTCCCGAGTTAAACTGCTCAAACACCTTCTTAGTGTTATGAAAATTAGAAGAATATAAATTAATTTTATAATTATATTAAAATTGTTTCCTTATTTGTTACACGGTGAAGTTTAGAAAATGATTTTCTTATATTTTACAATTACATTCAATCAATATTGCTTGTGAAACATTACATTTATGTTGTAAATATGAAAACACATATTATAATAGGTTAAAGTTGAACTAAATGAACATTAAAATTCGTTCACAATCCATAAGAGTGAGGTTTAAAAATAACAGTCACTTCAGAATCTAAATTATTAAAAAAATATAAAATTTTCTGATGTAATGTTTGAAAAAATAAATAATTATTTTTCTAGTATTTGAATTTTGTTGTTTTATTTATCTCTAAAATTAATCAAAAAATACAACTAAATCTTTTGCAACTACTTTCTTTGATGTTAGTAATTAAAATCCTCTTCCTACAAAAATGATTGATTACTGTATGCTATAGTAGTTACTGGAGATCTGGGATTAAATATTTTATTATTTCAACAGTCATTGCCTTCTATGTATATTTTGTGTTTATGATTATATATTTGGCTATTAATTATGATCCTGCTTTAATTAAAGCATTGGGATCCTCGGATAAACAAAAAGCAGAGACAGATTATTCCTTACAAGAGTCTTTTTTGTGTCAACTTGTTTGGGATTCATCAGTCTAGGCACTGTAGTATACTCAATTTATTTGCTAATCTCAGAAATATTCTTCAATTATGGATGCAATGATATTCAAGTTCTACAGGGTTACTACTTGGTTCTTGTAGTTGTATCTATAGGATCCTTAATCTTACCAATACTATCATCAATTTGTTTATTGCCATAGAATATATTCAATGCAGCCTTAACAATGATCCCATACTTTTATTATCAACCGAATTATATGCATTTATTTGTCATCTATTCATTTTGCAGAATTGACGACTTATCTTGGGGGATGAAAGGACTAACTAATAAAGGTTCTAGTTCAGTCAATTCCGACAAGGCATATTAAAAGTTTAAGTTCCTATTAAGATGGATAGTACTTAATACCTTATTCACTGCATGCTTATTGATATTGTTCTAGATACAAATATATTTGCTTACTTAAGGTTTAATCCTATTATCTCAGTCATCTTGACATTACTTACTATTCTAAAAGAATTTTGGCCTTACGATAAAGATTCCAATATTGTGGAGTTTCAAGGCAGATAAATGAATATGTTCATTCCAAATCTTATAGTGACTGCATAGGTTGATTGAAAAGAAAATGTCATCAAATAAGCAATTAATAATGGAAAAGGATTAGAGGGTGTTTTAATGAATGTGAAGCAAGATATATCAACACATAGCGACATAAGAACATCAGCCTTGTTGCACTTTTGAGAATTGTTATAAAGAATGTATAAAGATTATTATTATAAATCAATCAATTGTTGTATTAATTTCTTTTCAAGAATTTTTTCCAAACAAAATAAAATATTATTAAACAATAGTCTATTCCCAAAACAATGCAAACTAGGATCATGTATATCAAATTATATTTATAAATTTATTCTGTCAGCATATCCCTAAGATACTCTAATTATTGTTAAACATAATCATCAGAGCAATTCTTTGAAATTATATCTTCAAGGAAGTTTTTTTCTTACTTAGTTTTTTCGAAACTTAATGTTATGAAATAAAGCTATAAACTAATTAATACGATTTTCATCAGTCCATATGTCTAAATCATCTTACGTTATTTACAACAATTGCTTTTACAGATTATAATTAAACTCGAAAGTACTGATATTATGATGAAATAGATTTTAGATATTGTCATCAGATGTTTCTATTTATTTAATATCTCGTCCAATGTTTGCTCTTGATGAATAAAATTATCAAAAGTTTCTCCTCTACACTACATCTTCCACTCAATATAACCTCGAGCATAAAGACCTTAATTATTAATCTCAATTACCCCATTGATATTATGATGAAATCTCGTACCCTCTCAGTAGATTTTACAATTTTAATTCAATAAAATTGAACTTCATTTGAGGATTCTAATTTAATAAATCTTTTATCAATTTCGCATTCAGTTTTTTCCTCTTTCATTAAAGAATACTCTGTTCTCCCAGAGGTCAACCCTCTCTCATGATTCTTCATGCAAATCCCTTCTCCTTCCGACACTCTCACCTCCACCAATGGTAATTTATAGTCACTCTTTCTATTATATAAAAGTGTAAATCCCTTTTCTGTCTATTCTTACGCATCTTACACTTCAGAAACATCTTTGAAACCGATTTCAAATATCGGACATTGGGGTTAACTAGTACAATAAAAGTAATCGGGCTGGTTTCCACATTTTATTTATCCTTTTGGACACTCCTCTGAATTAGGATGATGAGAATAGAAACTGTTGTCTTTCTCAAGCACAGCACACAGTTTGAACCCTTCTTCTTGTGTTTTTGATGGGAATCTATTAAAATCTATAGGATTTATTGCAACTATTCCAACGCAACTATAATCCATATATTGTTCTTGGCATACTCTATCTTCGTATTCAGCTTTATGGAACAAGAATTAATGCTTCTTATTGTTATGCTTTAATATAGGTGAATCAGGGCAATCACATCCATTGTTAGTTCCAGGCCATTTATATTATATCAAATTTATTTCCTAAGTGATAAATAAAATTCTTACGCCTTAATTGCATTTATCAAAAGTCAATCGTATTGATTCTATGGGTTATTACTGCCAATTCTCTATGATATACTTATAATTATCAAGTGATCCCTCATAGGAATAATAAGATTTATACGCTAACCATATAAAAATGATACCCAATAAAAAAAAAAATAATAAATATAGGAGCACATATTTATTTTAATTATTCCTCTTTGACTCATACTCACACGACACATCATCGCTATCATCTTCATTGTAGGGTAATATATTATGTTTATGATGGTTATTATGCTATTCATCTGTAGAATGTTTTGGATGGTTATTATGCTATTCATCTGTAGAATTTTTTGGAAAAAAGCGTTCAGCATGATAATTTGATTATACATGTGAATTACCATGATTATTGTAATGATCCATATTAAAATGGTGCGAGTGATCCACAAATATGTCGAAATCCATATTATAATTGAAGTTTATATAATATTTTGATTAAAATTATTAATCATTATAAAAGGTTAGAGGGTTTAAAATTTAAATCTATTTACAAGCATAAATCTGTATTTTTATTGGTTCACTAAGTCATGAAGTCTGTTATTATCTAAATATTAAGATACAATAAAGAATTTGACAGAATTTTAGGAAATATATGTTCAGTTAAGGAATAAATAGCAAAACCTAGGAATTTTTTCCTAAAGGAGAATGGATGACTAGTTCTTATTTTTAAGATTAAACATATGAATAATTTATAGAAATTTGACGGTTTTTATTCTATTTATCGGGAAATAAAATAACCTTCCAAATTCCAATTAAAAAAGTTAAGCTTCTTTATCAAAGTTATTTAATGATCAATTTAATCAAAGAGAGTTCAAACTCAAAAATCAAGAAGTTTAAATGAAATCTGCAGCATGTAGGCTTCAATCTATAGGATCGATACTATCCATGTCTCCTTTAATGAGATTTATTGAGAAGGGTTGCATCTGGAGAGCTTTGAGTGAAAATTCTTCTTAAATTGAGACGAATCCTGTAATTTAGTGTTCTTTTTTGCTACTGAGAGTTGCTAACAACACCCCATTCTTTAATTTATTATCTGGAGAGACAAATATATTATTTTAAATTGCTTAATTATAATTTGATTACTCAAGCCAACTAGAACAGAATTTCATTTGTATTTTTGAATTTTTACAGTTTTAGAAATTTCGAAAAAGAAAGAATTAATGGTGAATTTATGATGCTTATCATTAAATATTAATAATATTTTTTATATTTCAAAAATTTAGTATTAAAATATATTATATAGTAAATTAATTTAATTCTTGGTAATTAAGGTGAAAACATTAAATAATTTTTCAAATCTTTATGAGCAATAATTTATTCAACGTACTCAACTTCTCTGACACCGAAGAAGCCCCAGAATAATAATAGAAAAAGTCTAAGAAAAATAATAACAACAAGGAATAGGTTATTCCAGTTGAGTAAGTACAAAAAGAAAATACTAAACATGATAATCCCGCTCCTAAAAACAAAGGCGTGCCTGCTGAGCCACACCCAAAGGATAGATAGTCTGGCACTGGAAGAGGCAAAGAACAACGAAAAGAGGGCGGAGGCAGAAACAATTGGGGAAATTACAAAGATGACCTTAAAGAAGAAAAATATATTGCAAAAGAGAAAAAGCCTTAGGATGCACCAACAGAGGAATAAAACGAATAAACAACACAACCAGTTTAACCTCCTGCCCCTGAAAAGACACTTGCTGATTATTACTAATAAAGAGGAGCTGTAATGATATTTACTATTAATTTAGAATGTTGAAGATGTTCTCAAGAAGACTGAGACCAAACCACAAGTGACCAAGCAAATAGACGAAGAGGCATTGAAAAAGGATAAGCTTTTTGTTATGAAAACAAGAGAAGACGAAAAAAAACAATAAGAACAAAAGTAGAAAAAAACAAGACAATAATAACCATATAGAAGTGAATTAAACACTTAAGCAGCTGAGTACTTGGGATTCACAAATCAAACATAAGAGCCTGAAAGAAAGAATGAAAGAAGAGGAGAAAGAAGATAATAAGATAAATAAGAACCAGTTTAAGAATAATAATAATAATAATAAAGTGAAACTTAAGTTTAAGAAGAAAAAGGAGAAAGAAAGGAAAGAGGTGACAGATAAGACAGACAAGACAGATAAGATAGAGGACCCAGATAAAACAAAGGATATAAGGGAGATAGATAAGATAGACCATAACATGACAGATAACACAGAGATAACAACACAAGAGATCAATAAAGAGGAGATAAACACAGAAAGGGAGATGATAATAGATAAGAAAAGAGACCTCAATAAAGATAATAAGTATTATCATTAATTAATTGTTTTAGGAATAAGGAATTCAATTGGATGACAAGGATTTCCCATCTTTATGAGTGTGATGAGTATTATATATTGGTCATTATTTAAAATATTTATAAATTAAATGCGGAATAAAAAGATTAATTATTTATATGTGTTTATAAATATCATGATTATTTAACTAATAGTCTATGAGATGATGAAGTGACTTTGCCTTTAAGTAATCTCTTTGAAGGTGCAGTGCCTGGTCTTGAAAGTGGTTTAATTGCTTGGCGATCTGACTTGATACTAAATAGATTCAATTTTCTTTATAATTATTCATCAACAATTTAGTTCAGAGTGAATTTCTTATTGATCCAATTATTATCGGAGGGCTGAACCCTGAGTTTGATAGGCATTTATGAGTAGTTCATTTTAGGCTGTGGTGTGCTGAACTTCTTGAATTCACTAAAATAAAATAGTTGAAAATATAAACATCTAGTAGTAAGGAGGGATGAATTAAGACACCAAGTTTTTTTTCCATTAAACTTTTTTGAGACAAATTTCTTTTTTTCTTTTAGGCTCATTAGAGTAATTTCGTTAACTATTAAGATATGTGTTTCTTGCTAATGTTTCATCATCATTATGTGCGACATCCCAATTATTACTGAGTTTGGAGAGTTGAAGCCATTTTTCATAATTGAGGAGCTATTGAAAAACATTGGATTTAATTTCAAAATCGTTTTTGAGATTGTGGATGTATTGTAAAGTCTTTTGTAATGTCCATTTGAATCTAGGAGTAGGATTTGGAGAGAATACTTGCGCATTAAAAATATGACAACGACAAAGACTGAACGATTTAATGCTCTGATAGAATGGACTAAAACAGCTTCTCCTGCTTCGATGGCATCATTTATGAAGGCATAGCAGCGGAGATGATCGAATGCAAATTGGGTTTCACTTTCCAACCACTAATATGACAAATATTCAATGCCGATGGATTCCCAATGATTAGGAATATGTTTGGCAGCACAATTAATTATCTTGGTTATCTTGTTAGTCACCAAGAACTCTAGATCCTCATGTTTTAGATCACATTTACATGGGCTGCACCCTAATCTCCAAGGTAAAGACCATCAATGATACGAGTGGGCAATTACATTAAAATATATATTTATTATATATGCTCTAGGAAAGCGTGCTCAAGTTGAATCAGCTCTTGTAGCAATATAGTTAGACTAATATGAATGATGCATCAGAACTTCTTACTCTGGAATAGCAATTACAAGTAAAACAGTTGGTAAGGGTGCTTTTAGCATACAACCTCAGAGTTTCATGCACTCAAGGTTTCATACGAGAAGTACCACGAGATTTGGAGAGAGCTTCTGTTACAGAATGAGTGCAGACCCACCGATCCCATTGTGATTCGTTAAGCTGGGTCAGGAAAGAAGAGTCTCCTCAAATTATAACTTAGTTCCCCTATCGACCCTCTACTGTATCCAAGCATATAATAACAAGTGCCACGGTTTAACATCTTAATGCTATATCAATTAAAGAGTTGGACACATTAGCCAAATTGATTGAAAGTGAGCCAGATTTTCAAACTCCGACTTTTGTCACTGACTCTGAGATCTAGCTCGATCGATTGATAGAAATGCATAGGAATCAAACCAACAAGGAAACCTCACCAATATGCTCATGGATCATAGATTACTGGTCTTGTATTGAAAGATTTACAAGGATATTCGATCAATACATCAATCTTATTGGCAAGTACGAAGCCAAACTCTAAAATTCTATCAAAACCTCTTCAGAATTAAGCATTCAGAAGCAACTGAGTAACATCACTATTTATTCTAGAACTGTCATCCGATGAAATCAAAAAGAAAAGTATTTCTGATAGAGACATGAATCCCTAAAAAGACTCTTGCATACAATGTTGTTAATTCTGATGAAACAACGCAAATTTCAAATTATGAGTAGGTGTATGTATGTATCTATACAATATTAATATTCAACTATTAAAATTATTTATGAAACAGAATAATTGTAAAGTGAAGGACATATATTCTGAAAAACTTATACAACCTCTCTACGATTTCCAAAAATACCATTTCCAAGTAACTCCCAATATCAATCTACCCTAGAATCCTAAATTAAAGACCCCTCTTCACAAACCTTAAGATAAATAGACTGCGATTAAAACTGTCTCTAAATTTTATGACCAACAAGCCTTTCTATAATAACATAAGACTAATCAGCAAATTCTGCTTTCAATAATTTAGCCATCACATCATAAATTTCTTAAAAAGTAATAACCTAAAATCATTGCTGATCCAAAAAATATTAGTGAATAAAACACTTGCTAAGTTATTAAAATTAATAGTTAACCAATAGTCTAAGATAGGTAAAAGTAAGAAAAAGACAATAGAAAATAAATAAGTGAAGTAGTTTTAATGTAAAAATATCACACTACACGATTGATTGAGCAATAAGATCAAAAGACCTTCTCCATTCTCAATAAATTGACAAACAATAAATTTAATAAAAGCAGATACTGCAATCTCAACTTCCTGTAATCAGTTAATAAATACTCCAAATTCATAATATTTGTTATGCAAAAGTTCGACTTGTTTGGTGTCAAACACGCTTCTTCCTTCATTGGAAAAAATCCACCAACTTATTAGTGTTCATTCTACTCAGACTAAAAGTTGCTATACAAAAGCAAACCTTTTGAATATAATGAATTTCTTGAATCTATTATAGGATTTCAGTGTTAAGAATTTATATCCATATATGTTGTGATTGAAAAGATTAAACAAAACGAATAAGTAAGTTGATTTATTATTTATAATTAGTTTTAAGTTGGAGAAGTTATTTATATTGAAAGTTATTCTCATATAACAACTATGCCTCTGAAAGAGAATATCATCATTAAGGTTAGTGATGAGATAGACGGCGAAATAAAGAAGACTATATCTGATGAATAAGTTACAGTTGGGGTCTTACAATACAAAGTATTATAATTATGTCAGCAAAACAATTAAAACAAGTTATAAGTTCCCTAAGCTTCTTATGCGATACAAATTTAGCATTCAACTCCTCGACACTCTGCAACCTAAATTGAAAACAATGTTTCTATATAATTAAAATGATTATTAAGTTTTAATCAACTAGTTACATTTTTCAATTAAAATAATATTATTATGAGAATATTCTTTCATTTTAAATTTAGATGAAACAAATAATGTGTAATATTATCATATTTGCATTATGTTAAAATCTTATAGGAAATATGAGAACCAAATACTAAATGAATGCATCATTTAATTTATAAACCAAAATTGTGAAACTATTCATACTAAAGATATCTTCAGAATGAGAATTAGTAATTACTTTAAATAAATCAAGGCAGTTTATTAAATTCCACTGTGGTTGTAAGTTCCTGGAGCTGTCTACTATATGAGGAATATTTTGGATTTGGTTAACTTTTGGCAAATATGACTTCTGGGGGCAGAGGTTGACTCTATGGAATTCTTTTCTTTTGTCTTGATCTTTTGAGTATTTTGTCGACGGGGCTATTTTTAACCTCGAAGTTGGTTTCTTATCTTTCAGGCAACAGGAAGAACTTTGCAGTGGATTAAGGAGAAAATCTAAATTTTTCTTTGCGACTGCTTGGCAAGGCTTTGGCTCTGAATTAGTATTATGCTCTTTCTGTTTGAGGGTACTGGATGGATTCAGATTTCTGTTATCTTGTCGATTCCATAGATTTAAGCAAATATCTACGCTGGCTGTAAGTTCCAAATCTTCCATCATCGTTGACTACTCCGATTTGTTTTACAGAGAATGTCAATTTCTCATAATTTTCCTTACTCAATTGAAGATTATTGAGAAGCTCCCTCTGCTTGTTCAGGTACTCCTATCTACGCTTGATGTAATTCATGTATTCGAAAGGACTTTAGACCTTGACCACTCGAGCATTGAGTCTAAGAATTCAATCATTGAAATTACTCTTAGGTATTGTATAATACTTTTGGGTGCACCTTTGAGAGGAGAGTAGGCTGCTTGATTTTTTATGACATTAATTATTAATTTATAAATCACACAGCCATAGAGTAATTATTTAGTTTGTAAAGATGTTAATTCTTAGCAGATTTGATCAAATTGTCGACTTGAATGTACATGGGACTCTTGGGAATCTTGGGAGAGATCAAGGTTACATTTTTTGATTCTCGAAGGACAGAACCTCTGATTAAAAATAAAACATAATACTCAGTGCGAAGTCTCGTTGTGCCATTCTTGCTTTGCGATCTGGATTTATATAATGAAGTGTTGTTGGATCGATTTTCATTGGCTGATGGTTGCTTTTTGGGTTTCAGTAATCGTATCAATAATGTTTTGCTGGTCTTGGGCATAGTACGTTCAGTTTCCATTGATTTATTGCGGATGGGTTTGCATAAATTGTATACTCCTATGTTTCTCAAAGAATCTAATGAATCATCATCTGAAAAGTCATTCCCCTCTCGTTCAAATACATAATTGTGGTTATGACGACTCTTTGCAAATCGCTTCTCTATTTCCTACTTGAACTCGATTGTTTGTAGTCTCACAAGCTCTTCAGACATAATATATCGTTAGAATTTTAATTAAATTAATATCAAATTGAGTGAGCACATAGACATCCATCTATCACACACATAAGTTAAATCATATTAGTTTGGCAGAGGAAAGAAGAAGAGAGTGTAAGAGAATAGAAGGAGCATCAATTAAATCAACTATTACATTTACAGAAGTTCATCATTTATGCTCTTTTTACAGAAGGCAATCTCATGGGTCATTAATCTTCGCAATTGAATTACTCTAATATCAATTAACAGTCTGGTTGACATCTCCATAGAAATGCGCATTGAGATTTAAAGAATTTTAGATAATAATAAAAAAGGGGTCATTCTTATATTAAATATAATAGGAATTAGGATAACTTGAAAAAATTATAAATTTAAAACACTATTGGATGCTATTTAATTATACAAAAATATGTGTACACAGTGATTAATTAAAGAATCTATACATATTTAAATAATGTGTCAAATATTTCCATACATTTAGGCTAATAAAATTTATTTAATTTATTTGACCAAATATTTTAATGAAAATAATGAAATCATAGTAATTGCTAAAAGACTTAGAAGCATTTCAAAAATAGCTAAAATAAGCACTTCCAACAATAATCAATAGAGTGACCAAGGATATAGGGTAAATGCTTTATTTTGAGAAATTGTTTAAAGATCTAAAGCCAAATTCAGTTTAAGAATTATATTTCCAAAGTTTTCTTAGATTGGATCCCCATATAGCAAGACAACAACCATAATTAGATGAACCAATTCAGAACATAAATGAATTGATACATCAATATTTTGAATAGCAAGCAGAGAGATTATAAGAAATGGTATTGTTGGAAAAGGAACTGAAAATGATGAGAGAATTGGAAGAATTGTAAGTAAGTTAGGAGAGTACACAAATATAAAATTCTTTGATTGAGTTAGAATAATAGAAAGGAATGGACGTGGAAAAATAAAACATGGAAGAAGTATGTAATGCAATTAAAAGGAAATATTGGAGATAGGCTTAATCACCAAATTGTGATTAGTGTTTCTGTGGAAATCAATTACATTATAAGTAAATCGTTAGATGTCAATTGTGTGAATAACATTTTCATGTGAATTGTCTAGACAAAAGTTATGATGAAAGATATGTTAAACATTTCACATGTCCAAGATGTACCTTATATCATATGGATTAATTTTGTGAAGTGATCTCAGTTATTATAGAACCATTTTCATTTAAGAAGACAGGGTTAACCAGCACTAAGACTGTTAAATTTAAGTCAGAAACTAATAAAATTGATGTAAGATGTATTAGGATGGATTGTCCTTTGTCAGCAGAAGAAATAACATGGCCAGACTTAGGAGAATTACACATTAATAATAAGAAAGTGGCTGAATTTATTCCATTAGCTTAGTAGAGTTGTCAGCATAAGCGAAAAGATGAGAAATTGATATTCGCGATTCCATAAAATGAAGAGTGTTCTCTAATGATGAAAGAGACGATTCCTGGCATGGAGTAGAAGAGAAAATATAGAATCCAAGGAGAATAGTTGCATTATGTGGCTGCTTACAAAACCAAATAATATTCTGCCAAATAGCTAATAGAGAAGATTACAACATCCAGTGAAAATTGGATGAGTGTAGAATAAGCATAGGATTTTATTATACTTCAGATGAATTACATATCGTCTACTGGTATCAAGTAAATTAAATAAACTATTTCTTTGTTGTGTTGTTTATGTTCCACTTTGATGGTCACACCTGTCAGGGGGATCTATTGCAATCACATCTAATGTTTCTCTCTAGAAAACTATTTAATGATGCTAGAAATGTCAAATCCAAGGAAATGGAGGTGTCCCATCTGTAAAGCTAAGTTATTCAAATTACAAATTGATGCTTTACAATATACAATCTTGTAGACCATTAGACAATACAATTTATAGGAGAAATACTCTGAGATATCATTCGATCATATGGGAAATATATTGGATGATCTCATCTAAAAATTTATAGATTTTAATAATTTACCGGAACATGCCAAGACTAGTAGGAATAGGATATTACAATTAGAAACTTTAAGTAATTAGAGAAGGGAAATCGATAATGAAATGGATGAAGCAGAATAGTTAAATAATAGACCACTTAATCCTAATTCAATTGTNACATCAATATTTTGAATAGCAAGCAGAGAGATTATAAGAAATGGTATTGTTGGAAAAGGAACTGAAAATGATGAGAGAATTGGAAGAATTGTAAGTAAGTTAGGAGAGTACACAAATATAAAATTCTTTGATTGAGTTAGAATAATAGAAAGGAATGGACGTGGAAAAATAAAACATGGAAGAAGTATGTAATGCAATTAAAAGGAAATATTGGAGATAGGCTTAATCACCAAATTGTGATTAGTGTTTCTGTGGAAATCAATTACATTATAAGTAAATCGTTAGATGTCAATTGTGTGAATAACATTTTCATGTGAATTGTCTAGACAAAAGTTATGATGAAAGATATGTTAAACATTTCACATGTCCAAGATGTACCTTATATCATATGGATTAATTTTGTGAAGTGATCTCAGTTATTATAGAACCATTTTCATTTAAGAAGACAGGGTTAACCAGCACTAAGACTGTTAAATTTAAGTCAGAAACTAATAAAATTGATGTAAGATGTATTAGGATGGATTGTCCTTTGTCAGCAGAAGAAATAACATGGCCAGACTTAGGAGAATTACACATTAATAATAAGAAAGTGGCTGAATTTATTCCATTAGCTTAGTAGAGTTGTCAGCATAAGCGAAAAGATGAGAAATTGATATTCGCGATTCCATAAAATGAAGAGTGTTCTCTAATGATGAAAGAGACGATTCCTGGCATGGAGTAGAAGAGAAAATATAGAATCCAAGGAGAATAGTTGCATTATGTGGCTGCTTACAAAACCAAATAATATTCTGCCAAATAGCTAATAGAGAAGATTACAACATCCAGTGAAAATTGGATGAGTGTAGAATAAGCATAGGATTTTATTATACTTCAGATGAATTACATATCGTCTACTGGTATCAAGTAAATTAAATAAACTATTTCTTTGTTGTGTTGTTTATGTTCCACTTTGATGGTCACACCTGTCAGGGGGATCTATTGCAATCACATCTAATGTTTCTCTCTAGAAAACTATTTAATGATGCTAGAAATGTCAAATCCAAGGAAATGGAGGTGTCCCATCTGTAAAGCTAAGTTATTCAAATTACAAATTGATGCTTTACAATATACAATCTTGTAGACCATTAGACAATACAATTTATAGGAGAAATACTCTGAGATATCATTCGATCATATGGGAAATATATTGGATGATCTCATCTAAAAATTTATAGATTTTAATAATTTACCGGAACATGCCAAGACTAGTAGGAATAGGATATTACAATTAGAAACTTTAAGTAATTAGAGAAGGGAAATCGATAATGAAATGGATGAAGCAGAATAGTTAAATAATAGACCACTTAATCCTAATTCAATTGTTATATATAAATTATTAAATTATCATGTTGATCCTAATCTTAATTCCATTCGCTTTCTCTTTAAGTTCTGACTGCTAATATAGAAGCACCACAGATTGTTTGGAATTAAATATGCTCAACCTAAAATATAAGTGTTCGATCAAAAACAATAGATGCTTCGAATAGAGACCTTAGATGAGTCAATTTAAACAATAAGGAACCTTAAAGTTACAATTCTAAAGTCGAAAGGAGAGATTAGAAGCCTAAAAGGATGCTCTAAAAAGGAGATCTAAATTTATCAAAAATAGATTTCAAGATGAATACTCAGAAAAAGATTTTGGATCTTCCTTCTCGATATCTGATTCTCATAGTGGAGAGCTGTTTGATAACTTCAATGGTGATGGTAGTTATTCGGGTTGTATTTAAATTTGATTCAAATTTCTTAGATTACCCAACTTTTGAGGATGAAGAAAGCAGTTTGGAAATTGAATTAGTCTCCAAGAACCCAATTCCAGAAAAGCCTCCCAGGTTCTCCATAAAGCCTAACTTCAATACAAGGCTAATTGTTGATATTTCTTGTGTTCTATTATATATAATGTATTTTTGAATTGTGTCTATCAGTAATGATATATGATATTATGATATATTAATTAAATTAGATTCTAAATTATATCTATTCAACCATAGTAAATCTTTTATTTTTCCCTTATGTGCTAAACTTGATCCTTTATTTCTTGAGGACAAGAGCCACACTCTTCAAGTCCGAAATGATACTTCTACACTTCACAATCAGTGAAGTAGGCAAGCAGTAAGGCATCTGCACTTTGTCCAAACATATCCATAAATAGAGTGGCTATTGACAATGTAATAAATGCAATAATTGCAAAAGTGTACAATTGAAGTACAAAATCGGTCTACTCCTTGACATAAATGAATGTTCCAATCGTGGTTATTAGAAATATGAACATTTTGCTGAAGTGAGTGAATTGTTCTCCCAATCCTGATAGAGTTTCGAAATCTGAATGGTTTCTTTTGATTACAAAATGAACGGCTTTGCTTGACTCAAAGTAATCTGCTGATGTCATCACAATGTACACAAAAGCATAATTGTTGATGTACATAATGAAATTCTCACAAACACAACATAAACACAAAGAAATCGATGCGAAACAATTCAAAATAAAATTGTGTCTCTTCAATCTGCATCGATTCAGTGATTCCTATAAAGTCAATTATAATTTTTACATATATCAAATTGAATGCTTTTGCTATGCCACTGAAGAAGAAACTATAAATTGCTTCGGCTGTGATACTTCCATTATGGTATCGCACAGCTAATTTGAAACTATCATATAAAAACCCTTTGTTGGAAGATGCGTGAAAGTACCAGAGTGTGGCTGTTGAGGCATTTAGGAATCTGGCCAAGGATAGGATATATTGCATTAACCAAATTAAGGCTAATACAGTAATCATCAATTTAATTAAGGTATCGAATTTGAGTTGAATCTTTTCAAACGGATAAATCTATGAATCTAATGAGTAATCCATTTATTGTTCAGAAAGTACTGCCAAAGCACTTGCTATCCATATCAAAAGAGTGGACATTACTAAGAAAAAGAACACTATAGGCACAATGATGATGGTTTTGTTCTAATACAAGAATGTGGTTGCCAATTTAACAAGAGATATCATGAACTTCATCTTCCTTAAGTTCCAACATAATGTAAATATTGCATATACGCATAGCACTGCAAATGTTATTGATGCTGCCAACATATATGGACTCCAAGCATAAATTGACTTGTCGAAATAAGGAAATAAACTAAGTGATATGAGAAGAATATGTACTCTAATGGAGATCTTATGAAATATAGCAAGAAGTATGTGCTAAGAAAACCAGTCAAAGAGATATAGACCAATATGAATACATAAACTATTAGGGTGGTGCACAATCCGATCATTATCGTGAAAAAGAAGGCCAACAAAAAGGCAGCTCCTCCACTTATGGCAATAATTGGCAAATTGGCTTTTGTATTTATCAGGGCTTATTGAATTTCACCAACTAAAATTGCTGGTTGCACTGCTTTTTTTAAATTATCATCAGTTGGTAAACAAATGTTGCCTGAGTAGGAATCAGATTCATAGACCAAGACTCGCTTCTCCGGATCCGATGGACTTGGATTATTGTGGCAGTCATTGATTAATTTATTCGGAGCACATAACAATAGTTTATCTTCTTTTTTAGGACATTTTTCAACACAAACTGTTCTATAAAGATATTTCTAAAGCCAAATATAAAGAAGCTCACCTCTTCTGGAGTTACGAAATAAATCAACGGAAACTTATTCAAATTTCCTTATCCACATTCTCTTCCCTCAGAATCCACAGGAGTGTAGAGTCTCTCGATATGTTGACTGCTGTAAGTCAGGAAATAAAAATATCCCAAAGCTCCAATAGACAGTAAAAATAATAAGCAGCAGCAAAGATTAGTACATGATCTATTTTAGTTTGGACCATTTTTTAAATAAACAGGAGGAATGTAACTCATATTAGTTTATTAAGAGTAAAGTGCTATGACTGTTTCTCCTTACTCTTCTCCCACTTCTGATTTGCGTTGAAACATTAAATTTAATATTATCTCAAGTAATTGTATAAAAATTAAACACAATAAAATTTATATGTAAATAATTGTGATATCCAATACTCATTGGACCAATACATTTATTAATATAATATAATGCTATTAAAAAAAATAGTCTCATAATTTTGCAGTCAATTCGAAAAGAACATCCAAAAAGCAAGAAGGACTCCACAGGTGATTAGTTAGGTCAAAGCAGAAGAAACAACAGAGGAAAAAGAATCAGATTACTCATTAAGAAAAATGCCCTTTTATAGATTCCCTGTCGGACTCTAGAAGAATTTGTATTTAATGTTACAACTATTTGTGAAGCTATTATTTAATAGGTCCATTAATCTTTTTTGATTTGGCCTAATTGTAAAGCCCTTACTTCTCTTACCAACTCACAAATGCATTTTGCTAATTGAATGATATATACATATTTGGCTTTGCTGGAATAGTTGGCGCTATTGCTGGATGTCATTTTGTATCTGGCAAACCTTTTAATTACTTGGGCTTATATAGCTCAAGTTAATTGATATGTCTTTTAGGCAATAGTATGTTAATGTACTGTTTGTCGCCTTATTTGTTTGGCTTTTATTTTGTGAGCGTTCTATCGCATTTGATTTGGTACAACAACACCAAAAGCATAATTGGAGTGCCTAAAACATTCAGCAATCTTTATCTCAAGTCTATGGTGTTTTCGTCGCTATTTATATTTGCAGTACGATTTGTTGTAAATTTCATAGGCAATAGGCGGAATAGTACTCTTGAACTAAGAAATTAAGCATTTAGAGATCAAAATTGAAGAATTACAAAAGCTATCAGATTCCCTAAAATCAGGACTATGAGACAAGTTAATTAATTAAAAAGAAATAAATATAATTTATATTCATATATATCCTAATGAAATTAAGCCAAACTCCATAAACCAAAGTTTCTAGAATGGACGAGACCTTCTCAACTGATATACATAATATGTGCTATAGTCGAGTCAACATCCTCACCAATGAGGTAGAGAAGTTAACAGATGTTTTGGGAACAGCCTCCTAAGAAATGGAAGTTCTCAAAGAACAAAATCGAGATTTGTAAAATCAATTAACAGAGATGGAGCACTCAAATTAAATTGTATATTTACATATCATGATTAGATCAACTAAGAGTTTGATAACATTTGCGAAAGATTGAAATAAAAAAGCATAGAGGCTGAAGAGTATGCCTTCTAGGTCCAAAAATTAACTCTACAAAAACAAGTACTTTATTGTGGTATAAGAATAGGAAATCACTCAAAATTTGAACAAGGTGTTGAATGAATTGGAATAAATAAATTAAGTGATAGACATCAAGGATCAGGAGATCCAAGCTGGAAAGTAGTAATTTATTGCAAAAACAGAGGAATTATAGCAAAGTTTGCAATAGACTTATCATCTGGATTAAGCTTTGAAAGTGGTCAAGGAAGAAAAATTAAAATATATTTATGAATATTAATAGTTGTAAAAATTAGTAGAAGAATAACAATAATAAATAAAAGAATTGAATGAGTACAGAATAGGTTATGAGACATTGAAAGTCGATTTGAATATTCTGAGAGTCAATTATACGAATTTACTTAACTAAAAATTGGAAGAAAAGAAAGAGTTGGAAGCCCAAATTGATGTGTTGAGAGATATGCATACATACACTATTGAAGATGGATAAATAAAATTTGCTGTATAATCAATCTCCTTATATTGATAGGATTAAATTAAATAAGAAATAGAAACATTCAAATAGCTCTACGATGAGTAGTACAAATTTGAAAGGATGACATACGAATCCACATTAGATCAATTGAAAAATTAAGTGGCCACACTTTCAATGCAATTGCAAAACGCTGAAATTTTGGTTAGCACTCATAAGTAAAACTTGATGAATCAAGCTCAATTGAGTATGTTTGAGAAAAGCAATTAAGTAAGTGAATTAAAGGCTTAAAATTATGTCTTGTAAGAATCCCTTATCACAGCCAACAGGGAATTGAATGAATTGAAATCGCAGATGGAGAATGGCAACATTATTAGATTTGATGAGGATGTGAGAAGATAGATTGAATACAAATTAGATCTATGCTAATAATTGCAAAAAGACAAAGAAGAACTCAATAAAGAAAATTAACAACTAAAAAGAGAGAATAAATTGTTAAAAGAAAACAACGAATTGATGTAATAACAATTGTCATAACAGCAATCAAATATCAGTTAATTGCCATAATCTGTTCTACTGAGTTAGATATCACCATCAGGTATTATATAATCTGTATTTCTTTAAGGAATTTCACCTGGACAAAAAATCAACGACAGCGAAAAAATCAAGTTTTTATTGAAGGCTGTTGATCAATTGCAAAATGCCATTAAAGACAGGGATCAAGAGATTACAAAATTATCATAGATGGCTAGTACCAATGTTGGGATGTCTTCGTTGATCAATAAGCCAAATTCAAGAATGCGATTTTACCATCTCAATTCAGATGATTTAAATTCCTTTGATAAATAATTATGAATTATATAATCTATAATTAATGAAAAAGAATAACAATAAGAAAACAACAAATACGAAGGTTAAAGTCAATCCATGTTCAAATGATCGTTACTACATGGATTAATCTATTGATGAAGAGGTCTACATTAAAAATAATTATAAAGTTGTTAGAGAATTGGGGAGAGGTGGTTATGGAGTTGTTTACAAAGCGTATATTAATTATTCTAACTATGTAGTGTTGGATTGAATCAAGGTCAAATTGATAAAAACAAAAAATATGCCATCAAGGTTAATTTTTCTACTGTGTCTCCAGAGCTAATATTTGCTGAAATCGGATTTTTGAAATTAATTTATGGCAAAGAAAATATGCCATAATTGGTTAATTTGTTCCTTATTGATCAAAAAATATATATCGTCATTGAGTACTTTACATACAAACCCTTCATTGTATCACTCCTACTATATTTTAGACCTTCTTTGCTACTTTTGATATGATGGAAATCAGACGATACTTATATGAACTACTTAAAGCCCTGAATGTATTGAAATAGAATGGAATTTATCATCGTGACGTTAAACCTGGAAACTTTCTCTATAATCCAAAGGCAGGCAAAGGAATCCTAATTGATTATGGCCTAAGCGAAATTGATAGGTCCTTCGTTGCCAAATTGATTGAAAAGGAGAAAGAATTATCCAAGAAGGTATGGATATTCTATCAACTTTAAGCATCCCCAATCAGATGAAGTCTAAGAAATTAGAAGGAAGATTAATTTATACAATGAAATCCAAAAAACTATAGATTAAATTGGAAATAATAAAATCGGTACAGAGAGTTTTATGCCCTTAGAAAGCATATTGCATTACCAAGTATTTATAGATAAATAACTATTGAAGGATCAATCATATGAAGTGGATATGTGGGCTGTAGGAGTTATATTCCTACAATTTTTGACCAAGAAGTACAATTTATTCAGTAATGTCCGGATGATCAATAAGCCTGTTGTGAATAAAAACTTTTTTTATGTCAACTTCATACTAGAACTAGCTAGTTTGTTCGGTTCTGAATAAGTGAAATAGATATGTGAACAGTTTGGTAAAAATTACATCATTTATATGAAAATAGAATATGATCTTAAATTGCCTTCAGTTGTTGCAACCAAACCTGTGTAATGGAAATCAATTATACATATTGATGGATTTGATAACGATGCTGAAGATTTGCTTTCAAGATTACTCTGCTTAAATCCAAAATAGAGAATCAAAGTTGAAGATGGATTGACGCATCCCTTTTTTAAGCCTTTATTGGAATAAGAAAAACAAACATAAACAAATTTCTAAGATAATTAAGAAATAATGCAATAAAAACTATAAGAAAATTGAATTTATTTGATATTTTATATAACAAGAGCTTCTCATATTATTTGATAGCAATACATATTTTAACTTGAAATTACTTTTACAAATGAACAAGAGAAAACTATAAAATCTATACCATCTATTTTTATAATTAAATTAGAATGATTGGATTCAATATTTTTTGTATAGATATTCTATATAATTAATTATAATAAATATATAAAATATTAACTTAAAAATAACACATTTGATGGTTAATGGTATAGAATCAGAAGTAGAGAATTATAAAATAATTGTATATATCTCATGTGAAGTTCTGTTTTGTTTATATGGAATGACTCCTGTGAACAGAATGCTCTATTGACTTTCAGTTATTAAAGGGCTAATGTTTTTGAAGGTCTTGTGAAAGGGCATTCTTATTATGGATTATAGAAGGGAGATAATGATCTAGAGCCGGAGATTGCTCTACATCATAATGGTTTCAAATTAGAGTATTTAATTAAGATACTCTTAATTTGAATCCAATTTAGAGTTTGAATGGTTTATGTAATATATGGGTAAGTGATTAAGGGGATTTCTGATATAGATTTGAGATTGAATTATTGCCATATTGTGATTCTGGAGTGCTCACATTAAATTTTATGATTTAATTTAGTGTCTAAATAGGGTGATTTTCTAACAGATTTGACAAGTTTAGATATATGTGAGTAGGATATCGAAAATAACCAGAGGGAAGTAAAATGTCTGTGATTCCAATTATTTTATTTTATAAATATTTGTAATGGCTTCTGAATGAGGATTGAATAAAAAAAAAATTAAAAAATTAATGACTGACCAAGAAAAGAGCAGTGATGTTAGACTGGTTTAGGATGGTTCAAAAAATGTCTAAAAACAAAAGACTGGATTAAAATAGATCAATCTTGATAATCTTGTGTATAACAAGCGAGAACGAAAGCAAACTGGCGGTCCAGGTTCTTAGTTGTTTTAGTCTTAGCACTTTTAGCTATTCCTTAAATTTAATAGAAAAAAATCGTTTAGAATAAGTAAAGTTATAAAAAGAAGAATGCTGAACTGCTGACTCCTCCTCGCGAAGAAGTTCAGCAAGTTCAAGAACCAACTTTGATCAAATAATAACCAATATCCTGCCAATAATTAGTCTTTGAATCTGATAATTCGTCAGATTTTGATCCAAAAGTAAAAGCCAAGAAGTCCAAAAAGTTTAGAAGAACGCATAAACGTTTAGATATAGAAGATTCATCTGATGAGGAGTAGTATAAACGAAGACTCATATTGAAAAGAGTAAATAAAATATTCAAGAAATCTTATGAGTAAAAACAAATCTTAGCTTCAGGAAGTGAATAAGAAAATCTTGTAAAAGAATTATTCAAAAATGTTTTTGTAAAAATATTTTAAGGTATAAAATGATCATATCCTTAAGATATTCCAATAACACCAGCTGAACTCAAGCAATTATCAAATCCAGAATATTCAACTGGTTAAATAAGTGATGGTAAATAATAAGATGAAGAAATTAAACCAGAAGAAGAATAAATTCGAATTTTAACTGAAGATGGAACAGATTTTGAAACCAAACGAAACTTGAAATTGTTGGGAATTGAAAATTAAGAAATTCTATCCAAATTGGGTGAAGTTAAGTCTTATATTAATTGTGATATAAGATATTTTAATTTAGACTTTTTGGTTGAAAAAGTGGGTGGCTTCGATGGTATTCAATAATAATATTCTATTAAGTTGTTTTGATGGATCCACCTTGGAGAATTAAAGGAGGATAATAAAATGATTCCTCATTTATGTTTACTAATAGCAAATTCTCACTTGATTACAACACTATGAGCAATTAAGAGATTATGGATATCAAAATTGAAAAATTGAGTAAGAAAGGGTTTTTATTTCTTTGGATTCTGAACACATAACTAAACATAGCATATGAAATGGCTAGCAAATGGGGGTATGAGATTGTTGATCAAATTATTTGGGTTAAACTAAATCCATAAGGGAATAATGTGTATCTTTCTACAGGATATTATTTTATGCACTCTTTCGAAATATGTTTAGTTGGGTATTATATTATTCAATATATATATAGATATAAGTGCCCTCCAGGGGAACATGTAGAGTATCATTCTAAAATATCTAATAATATAATTTTCAGCCCAGTAAGGAACAAATCACAGAAACCTATAGAAATGTATGAAATCATTGAATTAATGATGCCTGGAGCTAAAAAGGTAGAAATATTTGCTAGAAATAATAATCTAAGACATGGATGGTTTTCTATTGGTAATTAATTGGGAGAAACCTATTAAAAATGGTTAGTGCAGATAAGTTGTAATGTTTGTGGAATTGCATTATAACCTGGAATATGTAGATACAAATCAAAAAAGATAGCTAATTTTGATATTTGTTAATAATGCTATAATAAGAAGATAAGCGAAGGAGAATTTAAAGAGAGTGAAATATTCTTTTTGGCTAATAAGGCTGACGAAGAAGTGTTACATTAATATCATTAATGTAATAGATGTGATTAGAATCCTATTTGGGGTCCAAGATTTGAATGTATCACTTGCGACAACTATGATTGTTGTGAAGCATGCTTTGATAATCTACTTTAATCAGGAGATTTAACTCATAAGGATCATGACTTTAAAGTCATTGAATTACCAACATTTGCTGAAGGCATTCCTTGTCATGATGCAAAATGCAATGGATGTTTTTAGAAACCCATCTTAGGTGTTCAATTTATTTGCAAATAATGTACTAACTTTAGTTTATGTAACATTTATAAATTATGTAGGTTAAAACTGTTTCTTTACAAGAACTCAATCAGAACTAAATGGATCAAGACATAAAGCAGATCATAGATTTGAACCAATATATGAAGTGCAGAATTTCTCTAAGAAAACTTATAAATGTCAAGGATGTGAATTAGAAAAAGCAGGATGCGTTTACAAATGTGAAAATTGTTTTGGATTCTATTTTTGTGAAGAATGTTTTGCCGTAAAGAAAGATGATTGGAAATGTTATGTTGCTACAAGTCATAAAAATTATCATACATTTATTAAGATATGAAATTATTAATTATGAATAAAATTTTAATATCTTATATATCCAAATTCCTATGATAATATTATTATTAGATTATTCTCTTCTGCTTATTTTTTAATCATTTTTATTAAAAGCTTATTCAAAAACATATTTACTTCATGTTACAAATAATATATTAACATTATATTACTTTTTACATATAATAAGTTCATTCTATTTTATTAAATTTATAAAAGAAATAATAATTATATGTTGAAAAAGAAAGGCTCAGAATAATTAGATATCATATTTGAGGCAGGAGAGGACCTTTTGAACTTCTCCAAAAATCAAGTCATCATGATAAAAAATAATTCTATTAAGCTCCCGATTATTAGACCGAGAACATTTTTATCATACAGTCTTGAATTTTGTGGGATTACAGGTCTCAATTACAAGATGCTGAGATTTCAATCTTTAGGCAGAGATATTAGAGTACTTTAACACTATATTAAAAGCCTGAAACTAGTATAATGACATCATGCTTAGTAAAAGTAATACACACAACAGAGTTTTCATAAATGGCATAAAATCCCTTAAAAACTTCATTCTAAGGATTGTTTATACAAGGGTTTCATAGCGATATTCTGCTTTAAATTAATGAAGAAAGTGTATTTGAATTGTTAATAAAAAGCCAATACCATTACACAAATGTATTCTAGCGTGTAGATCACCAAAGTTTAGTGGAATGTTTTCATCGAACATGATTGAAAGCAATCAAACTTTAGTTAAGGTCGAGCACAAGAAACCTGATTTATTTAAGGTCATGTTATAATGGATCTATTGTGGGTATTGGAAAGAAGTACTCTAGTTTTATAATTAGTTTAGTTTCCAGAAGAAATTGAAGATACTTGTGATTTAATGTTACTTGCAGATGAATATTTAATCACCGATCTTAAATAGAAATGCGAAGAAGATATTATTTCTAAATTAGATAGCAGCAATATATTACAAATATTGTTGTTTGTAGAAAAGCACTCAAATATCATATCACAACAACTTTTGGAAAAAACTAATTCTATGTTTATAGATGACTTTGATAAGATCCATAAATTAAATCCAAACTTAGAACAAGATATCACAAGAGTGCCTGGTTTAATGACAAAGCTGTTTGAAAATTTACATTAGAAAAAAATAAGAAAAGGAAGAAAAGTTCATTTTGTTGTTGATGATTTTGAAGAATCCGATTCAGATGACTATGTTAGAAATTATACGCAACATTTCTACTAATGATTATAAGATGATATCAAATTATAAATAATATTTTATAAATTTTGTATTAAGTTTATAATCTCTTTAATATTTATTCATTGAAAGCCAATCGATGAAATTGCTATTTACCCTTGAAAGAGAGCAAGACAAGAATTCTTATAAGATTAGTAAGCTAGTAAATTTTGTGTTCCAATAATTTTTTATCATATATTTGATCAATAGTATTTATTGGTAGATGGGCGTACTTCTTTCATTAGCTAAACTTTCGGATTATTAATAACAAAGTTGATGTGGCCGAGTTGGTCTAAGGCGTTGGATTTAGGCTCCAATCCGCAAGGGCGCGAGTTCAAATCTCGCTGTCAACATAATTTTTTTTTATTCAAAATTAAATATATGGATTTGTAAAAAATGAGATTAATAATAATACTATAAATACATTCTATGTATTTTCTGTTTAAAATGAATAAATAAATAGTATTACGTTAATACATCTCTTCCATTAGAAATCTCTTAAGAATTTAATTAACACTCTCTCATAATAATAATAATCATATTGAAACAATATAAATTTTTATTATTTTTCAATAAAGAAAGTTTCTTTATAAGTTGATAATTAATATAAATATATTAAATGCAAGTTTCTTGTAGGACAAAAAATGTGAATAAGTATTATAAAGTAATAGGTGAAGTTGGATCTGGNTGTTTATACAAGGGTTTCATAGCGATATTCTGCTTTAAATTAATGAAGAAAGTGTATTTGAATTGTTAATAAAAAGCCAATACCATTACACAAATGTATTCTAGCGTGTAGATCACCAAAGTTTAGTGGAATGTTTTCATCGAACATGATTGAAAGCAATCAAACTTTAGTTAAGGTCGAGCACAAGAAACCTGATTTATTTAAGGTCATGTTATAATGGATCTATTGTGGGTATTGGAAAGAAGTACTCTAGTTTTATAATTAGTTTAGTTTCCAGAAGAAATTGAAGATACTTGTGATTTAATGTTACTTGCAGATGAATATTTAATCACCGATCTTAAATAGAAATGCGAAGAAGATATTATTTCTAAATTAGATAGCAGCAATATATTACAAATATTGTTGTTTGTAGAAAAGCACTCAAATATCATATCACAACAACTTTTGGAAAAAACTAATTCTATGTTTATAGATGACTTTGATAAGATCCATAAATTAAATCCAAACTTAGAACAAGATATCACAAGAGTGCCTGGTTTAATGACAAAGCTGTTTGAAAATTTACATTAGAAAAAAATAAGAAAAGGAAGAAAAGTTCATTTTGTTGTTGATGATTTTGAAGAATCCGATTCAGATGACTATGTTAGAAATTATACGCAACATTTCTACTAATGATTATAAGATGATATCAAATTATAAATAATATTTTATAAATTTTGTATTAAGTTTATAATCTCTTTAATATTTATTCATTGAAAGCCAATCGATGAAATTGCTATTTACCCTTGAAAGAGAGCAAGACAAGAATTCTTATAAGATTAGTAAGCTAGTAAATTTTGTGTTCCAATAATTTTTTATCATATATTTGATCAATAGTATTTATTGGTAGATGGGCGTACTTCTTTCATTAGCTAAACTTTCGGATTATTAATAACAAAGTTGATGTGGCCGAGTTGGTCTAAGGCGTTGGATTTAGGCTCCAATCCGCAAGGGCGCGAGTTCAAATCTCGCTGTCAACATAATTTTTTTTTATTCAAAATTAAATATATGGATTTGTAAAAAATGAGATTAATAATAATACTATAAATACATTCTATGTATTTTCTGTTTAAAATGAATAAATAAATAGTATTACGTTAATACATCTCTTCCATTAGAAATCTCTTAAGAATTTAATTAACACTCTCTCATAATAATAATAATCATATTGAAACAATATAAATTTTTATTATTTTTCAATAAAGAAAGTTTCTTTATAAGTTGATAATTAATATAAATATATTAAATGCAAGTTTCTTGTAGGACAAAAAATGTGAATAAGTATTATAAAGTAATAGGTGAAGTTGGATCTGGTACATATGGTAAGGTTTATAAAGCTAGATGTTTAAAAACAAATGATTTTGTGGCTTTGAAGAAAATTGATACTAAAGATCAGAAAATAATGGCTGAAGGTATAATTATTGAGCATTTATTAAGGATTTCCAATAACTGCAATAAGAGAGATCAAACTATTGAAAATAATGAATCACAAAAACATATTACGATTAAGAGAGATAATAATAAGCAAAGCTTCATTTAGAAATAATTTTAGAGGATCTACCTTTTTAGTATTTGATTATTACGATCATGATTTTGCTGGGCTTCATAGACAGAGAAACATCTTTACACTACCACAATTAAAATGCATTTTTCAATAATTATTAGAGGGCGTCAAGTATCTTCATGAAAGCAAGATCATTCATCGAGATTTGAAATGCGCTAACATATTAATGAATAATAAAGGATAGGTGACTCTGGCTGATTTCGGTTTAGCCAGAACACTATCAAATGTGAGTAATCCAAAATATACCTACAAAGTAGTCACCTTATGGTATAGAGCCCCTGAGTTACTCTTGGGATAAACCAATTATAACACTTAGATTGATATGTGGAGTCTTGGTTGTATCTTTGCAGAGTTGATTACAGGGGAAGTGCTTTTCAAAGGAGATATCGAGTTCAGATAAATGGAAAGGATTTATGAGTTGTGCGGGAGTGCAACTGAATCGAATTGGCCCAATTGTGTTAAGTTGCGACAATGGGAAGAGTTTAAACCAAGAAGGAATTACGAACGATTATTAGTCAAGCATATTAAAGAGGTTTGTTCATCTTTAAATAAATAAATTGATTAAGTGACTTTAGATCTCATAGATCATCTCCTGATATTAGATCCTGAAAAAAGGTTAAATGCAGTATAGGCATTGAATCATGATTTTTTCAAACAGGAACCAAAACCTTGTTAAGCTAGTGAAATGCCTTAATTTGAAAAAGAATTCCATGAAACGTTGATAAAAAACGAAATGAGGTTACAATAGCAAAGACTCGAAAGATAATAAATTAGACCATTATCAACTAATACATAGAAATTTTAAAAGGTTCTGCGAGATGAGAGAAATACTTCAAAGCCTTAATAATCATCTCCTTCCAGAAATAAACAAGAACTAGATTTTGAAGATATATTAAAACTTGAACTTGCAGAAGAAAAGAAAAAAGTAAAATTAAATTGAATATGATTTCTATATATCAAATTAATATGTAGCTTGTATTGAGCGACGATGTTCCATTTTGTAACAATCTTGAGTTATTGGTTTAATAGTCAATCTAATAATTACAACTGATAGTGACTTCATTTACTACCTAGTATTGTTCATGATGTTTTTTAATTGTTTGGTAAAACTCTAATAAATAATAAAAAGAAACAAAATAATGATACTAGTAGAAAATTATTACAATTAGCACTAACTTTAAATTTAACTTCACATTTATAGTAGAATGATAAATTATGGAAATTAAGAGTAAGTATTTTTGACTAAAGAAGATCATTAATTTAGATCTATTTTGAATTAGTCAACAATAAAATGTGCTTTTAGTGTTTACATCCTCATCATCTCAAGCATAAGGTCAAGGAGACTATAAGTAGATAAATCATAATATACTTCTTGAAATTAACTAATTGATTTTTCTATCCCTGAGATTATACCATTATAAAAGAGATTTCGTCAAAGTTCAACAGAGAAACACTTTTGTTTATAAATATTTTTGTAAATTTTACCAACTTTTATAACTATCCATCTAAAAATAAGTTGTATAAATTTCTTTTATCATAATGTTCAATGTTTAAAAGTAGAATTAACTTTGATTATAGTTTAGGTTAATATATAATGAATTAGTTTTATCACTTTCTAAATTAACTAGCTCAAAAATCAAGTTTTTCTATAGGATTAACCAATGTTAGTACAACATTTTGATAAAGAGGGAAAAAATAGTGTATTTTAATTAGACATAAAGATTTTAATCATTAACAATTAACAATCACAGATTGGCTCATAATAAAAATTGAAATTACTTTAAAAGGGACACAGATATAATTAATAAGATTTCATCTAAAAGCGAACCAATTTGAGTTTGGATTCATTAATTTTATTTTTACATTGCCTTGTTTTTAATTTAAGTGCCTATAAATTCACAAAATTAAATTATAGAAAATTATTTTTAGTTAAATTATATATTTATAAAAAATCTTATCCTAAATACTTTGTTTAATTAAGAATTTTCTGGTCGATTCATTTGACTAATTTTTTTTATAAGAGTTTGAAAATTATCAATCTGCACCATGAACACCTTTTTGCATTATTTTCAATTTGGGTTTCATTTTAGTCAAATTAAAAATTTAGCACTAATGGCAATTTTTATTTTTAACTTACGTTATACTACGCCCTTATCGAAGACTTTTTTATTTCCTTAATGGGCAATATAAAGATCGTTCATAATATCAATTTCAAGCATCCTAGCTTATCAACATTGAATTAGAATATGTTAAATAAAGATAAGAAAAAAAATGAATTATTTTTTGTCATTCCAACATATGAAGAAATTTTTTATTTAGGTTAATTACTCCTGGGGATAATCCTTACACCTTAATGTCTTCTTTTATTTCTTCAACTGGTTCTTCGTCAATATTTAATAAAACATGACTGACATATTGAACCTCCTGTAAAGGTTTTGAAAAGAAAACCCTAGATTTTATGCTAGTTAAGGATGGATTATAGCTGCTTTTAATTACTTGTTGTATTTCCTTTTCACTCTATAACTTTGCACAGCATGAACTACCCATTTTTTAATTAATTTTATGAATTAACAAAGTGTGTTCAATTCAAAATTGCAATAAGCCCTGGATTGCCTCATTGACGATTCTCTCAAGCCATTTGATCCGTATAGATTTGTAACCATCATGGAAACAAAATAAGTTTAATAAGGGAGTGCTGAATAACCAAATAAAGTTAACAAGGAGATTCCTCACGAATTGAAAAGTTAGAAAACTCGTGAAACACTGTACTTGTTATAAAGTAAGATTAAATAAGAATTGCATGTAAAGAATTGCTAAATGATTTTAGGAAAGATTTTCAAACATAACTGCGAAAACAAATATTCCAACAGTGCTTGAGCAATTTGAGGAGTAATACTATTAAAGGTAGTGTCTAAGAAACTTAGACATATACTAGGATTAGAGAGAATTCCTAATTTGTTCATAGAATTACGATGAAGACAATCTTATTAACTCACTAATTAATGAAGCTATTTTTGATTCAATATAATAAAATTTATGAAACAAATTCAGCATAAATCTCAAATAATAATGCCGTTTTTTTATCTCTTTTAGTTAACAAAAGATCGCAAACTGATATGTTGAATAAAAGAATAATTTAGAAATAGAAAAGCAATTCTATTTTTTTGATTAAAATAAAGAAACAAAGTTAGAAATTAATAATTACATTTTGTATAATTTAAATACAAATTTTATCTCACCAATAGATTCTGTGTATAAAATTATTTAAATACTGAAAGATAAAATGAGTTTGCACTATATAAAAAATCATACAATTATATTATTCTATATTATAAATTTATTTCATTAGCTTGATGATGATATTTCTTCTACTTTGGTAATTGAGTTAGCAGATGGGTTCCAGGGACTAATTTAGAAGGATAATTATACACAACGTATTATAGAACTTCGAAAATTCTTTTTACATCTTCTTTTTCATATTAAACAAGAACTTTATAGTTGATTCCTGCCACGACTTGAGTAGTCACTTGAAGCAACTTTTCATATTGATATCCATCTTTAGATAAATTATATTTATCTTCAACTGCATCTAAAGTTGTTTATATAATGCTATTGTTTTGTTATTCAAATTCATCTAATGGTTACTAATATTTTTAAACTTATATTACTTTGATCCATCCACCAGCCATTTATTTATCTTATAGAGTTGATTGATGTTCTTGAATAATTTAAGATAATTTGTGTCTTAATCCAATTGTTTCAAGACTGCAATTGGCAAAACAAAGGATTAGAGCGATGAATAATATTGCTTTCATAAAATAATAAAAATAATAATATATTAGAATTAAAAATTACATAAATTTGATCAATTTTTGGGAATAGGATCATCATGATCAGCAATCAAATACATAATGCTAGCTATGGCAATGACATTATCATCCATATCATCGGCATCCATCATCCACATGGAGTCTCCAGCAGTATGGTGATATGTGAAATAGAAATCATGGGTCTCATTATCAACTATTTTATTGTTCATAATTGGAGTTCCTGTAACAGCTCTTAATGCCGCACTATCAGCTTAACTTCCAGCATTAGGATATATCTTCTCAGCTCCAATTCCAGTCAAGTACTCTTAGGCCAAATAAGTGACAAGTTGTCTAAACTAGGTTTGATAATTACGTGAATTTTTCTCCTCCTGTGACACCAAAACCATATGGTTTAGTAGATCCAAGATCAGATTCGAATGCAACAATATGGTTTTCCTAAGAATGAGTCTTTGCATAATGTTAAGCACCATTATTAGCCATACCCATTTCTTCTCCACTCCAAGCGATGAATCTGATGGTTCTCTTAGGTTTAATTCCTAAATGCTTCAAAACTTTCAAAGCCTCTAGACACTCCAATACTCCAGCACCATCATCATTGGCACCTGTCTGAGATCCCACATCCCATGAATCCCAATGACCGCCCATTAATAAGATTTCATCTGGGTATTTTGATCCTTTGATTTCTGCCAATATATTATCACTTGTGGTTTTATATTATTATCCACTAGTCATAATCTCAATCACAACTTTCTAGCCTCTCTATCTCATTCTATCTATCATATCTGCATCTTCAACTGTGATTGCAACAGCTGGATACTTGATATTTTGATAATTGGTCATTCCCTATATTTTATAGTATAGTTACATACCGTATGTGGTGACGAAATGGAAACACTTGCAACACTTCTTATAATTGTTCCTACAGCCCCTGCATCTTCTGCCAATTTGGGCCCATTTGTTCTAAATTATACTCCAGAAGAATATCCTTTCCATTCGTAGTTAAAACATACGATCTTTCCTTTAACATCTATATTTTTTAATTCTTCGAACGAATGAACAACTTCAACCTCTGCTTTAACAGTTCCTGCTGGAGTCCATCCCAAACCAATCATATTTAATTTCTAAGGTTACTATCTTGGCTCATATAAAGTCACACTTTCCTCACCTCTTTTCCATGATGTAATTTCTCCCAAATTCTCCTTCCAAACCTTGTCAAATCCATAATCCTGTATCTCTTGCACCAGAGCATCCACCGAATCAGCCATATCTTCAGAACCCCACATTCTAGGACCAAATGTGTCGACATAATACGCCAAACGATTATACGATGAATGGTACAATGGCGAATATGGATTTTTGATAGTTTCTCTAATTTACTAAAGATCTATATAAGAATAATACTTAAATCACATGAGATTTGAGCTAATCCTTTTTGTTTCTAAGCTAATAGGCATTAATGCTTACAAGCAAAACTAAAATTATGATAATTTTCATTTATATCAATTATATAAATTAATGGAAAAAAAATAGAGAATTAAATATTCTAAAATATGATGATTTATAAGGAATTCCTAAAGAAGTTATTTGAATATTATTACTAATTATTAAATATGATTTCTAACATTTTGAAATCGAAGAAATAACAACTCCTATAAGAGGGTCAACAGAATATCACATTGGGCAAATTAGTCAAATTCTCTCACTATGAAACAATTTTCAAATATTCTTTCTTTGCGGTTTTATGTAACTTAGAATTTTATTGTCATAGTTGTTATTTCTTTGTACAGCTTAGACGTCATCCAATTTTAACAATTCTTAAAAGAGAAGAACTTAAGAAGATTCGATTGGGCTGAACTTAAATGGATGGTTATAGGTTTAATCCTTATTCATGTAAACTTAAAATTTTTATAAATTAAGATCACTAAAGAAATCAACAGATATTTGGTTTACGATTATGTTTCAAAAGCATTGGATAAAAAATATGTAGGTTGGGATAGATAATTAAGAGTTTAAAAAATTGTTAAATGGATTTATGATACTTTCTACTATTCAGCGGCCACAATATTTGCATACATCGTCTTCAGAGAGGAGAAATGGTTCCCAACCCAATTGGGTGGCTAAAATTTCACAGAAACTATGTACGATTTCCCCAATATGCCAGATGTATAAATTTAAACAATTCATTTAGAATCCTTGGGTCCCATTTTATTACATGATTTAGACTTCAAGTCACGTCCACGCTCTATTATTATTGATGTTCCATGGTACAAAGATAGAATTAAAGTATTGGGAATATTTACTACACCATTTTCTTGCTGTGAGTTTGCTTTACTTCTCAACTATTTATAATTGTGAAAGCATAGGCATAGTTGTTTTAGTACTCCATGACATAAGCGACATCTTTTTGGCTTATGGAAGAACCTATGCTGATATTGGAAAGAACAAGATCCTTGTTTACGTGAGTTTCTCAGCTATACAAATTTCTTGGCTTTACACTAGAGTCTATGTCTTCCCTCTAAAGATATATGATATCATGGTTAATCATCCTGGCTTTCTACTTTACTGGTATTAATTCAATTCTATCAAAATAGGGAAAATACAAAACATGCTTTATACAATCAGGTGGGTTTGATGGTAGTTTTGTTTGGAATGCACATTTATTGGACCATTTTCATGATTAAAGTAGGCATTGGAATATTCTCAGCTGGTAAATACAAAAATGTATATGATAACAGAGAAAATAAATTAGATCACAAAAAGGAAAAGTGATTAATAAATATCATATATTATTAAATTCATATTTTGACATTTTATTATCATAATCATTACTTCTTTCTTGGTTTTTAGCCAAATTAAGTTACTGTGAAAAAGGCAAACAAAATATAAGTTGTTAAATTAAATACGTAACTAAATTATTTAAAATATTATATACTATACTGATCCATAAAATCTTAAATTGTCTCTTACATTCATCAATTAAAATCCAACTCCAAAACAATTGAATAGAGAATTAACAAAGTAGAATCTTACACATTTGAACAAGATATTTGAATCCCATATCTTTAATACATTAGTATTCTACCCTAGCTTATGGATGTATTTATTGATCATTCCAATTAAATTCCAATGGAAGAAAGAAATATAATAGCCAGGGTAAAATCCATGCCAAAATGCTGAGACAGCAAATGTAATCAATTGAGCCTTTTAGGATTTAGCTGGACTTGATTTTAATACTGATTCAGGATACACTCTCAAATAAACATACTTTTTAAGCCAAACTTAGACAGAAATATTCCACAATTCTATTTTATCCTTTGGATTTGTAGTCAGATCAATTGTAGGGTCAATCGATCTAATTCTTAACCATTTGTCTTTTCCATCCTACTTTCCATTATAGGTAAAACCAGCAGCAGCCAATCCACTTTCTGAGAATAACCAGCCTGAAACATATTTGGTTCTATGTAAAGTGATGGTTAGATTTAACCATAATATTTTGTACAGCAAACAAGCTTCATCATATTCTGCAGACATCAAAGATTCCAAAGACCATCTTGGGTAAACTACAACAATGAAAAAACTGTATATCAGTGCATTTCTAAACAAGCGGAATGTTTCCCAGAATGTACTTGGGATTTTCTCATATACATTAGTCCTCTTAATAAAAATATCATAGTCATAATAGTCAAAAGAGGGCTAAATTCAATATTATAGCTTACTCCAGCCAGACATCCACAGAAGAAGAACATGTATCCAAAATAATCTGTATATGATGGCATTTTTTATAGTTTTCTTTCTTGTTGATCAGAATTCAATTCTTCATCTTTTCTTAATCCATCCTCAAAATTATATGCAAATGAAGTCCACTTTACAGTGTTCATCATTAATATAGTTGTTATATCTAATTTCCTACCCATTATTCAGATATTTACCAGCCACCATAATCTGTATATTGTCTGTAAATGTGATGCACTGCAACATAAATGAGGGTCTCATAAAATACCCATTTTGCCTTTATGCCAATTTTATTCAATGTAATTCGCTTTGTCATTTCATACACTATGATATTCTGTATTATCACGCTAATCAGTTTCTCTTAGTAGAGCATGTACGATAATAACAAACCAATAGTCAAACCAAAATATTTTCTTAATTTAGCACCTAATGAATCATGATTCAATCTAAATACTCTTTAATGATTTAAATAGGAAGCCCAATGGTATTGTGATTATAAATCCGAAAACCATTCTTGCTTAGTCTTCTGGGAGGCCGATCAAACCTCCAAGCCATTCAAAAAATGATAGGAGCATCACTATTTAATTTAATACTTAAATAATATTAATTAGAAAATATCATTCTAACTAATATTGTTCGATTATTGATTTGTCTTCTTAATGCTATGATATTTATAGTTTTTTTTATAAAATTTTACAATTTATCAAAATGGATGTTCCTATCAATAATTTCAAAGGGGTAATGCTCTGCAACAGACCAAATGAAAATGTTATGGTAATAAAAGAAAAGTAAGGATTTGAGAATTATTCAGGCCATTCTGCTCAAGAGTCTAACCTTATGATTAATGGGGATTAACAAAAAAATATGAAGAACCCAAAGTGGTTGTACCTCAAACTAATCCTGTATTAGAGAGACATAAGAAATGGTTAGAGGAGTTCAAACTCTAAAATCAAATTAAAAAACATGCCAAAGAAGAATTATAAGCAAGAGAAGATGAGAAATTTTTAAGAGTGAGAGAATTAGCAAAGAAAGACAGGGAAGTCACAAAGAAAATGAAGGAAGATTACAAATAGATGAATGAGCTTATTAAAAAAGAATTGTAAGAAGAAGCACCAAAAAGTAAAACGTAAAACAATCATAATTATTGTATAGTGTGGCATTAACAGCAGAGAATCTAAAAAAGCTAGAAGAAAAAGATTCTAAATCTGATAGTAAACCAGGCGACAAGAAAAAGAGATATAAAACCAAGCCAGTTTGGGCAATGACTAAAGAAGTAATTAACAGTTATAAATATTATAAATTAGGAAGAAGAGCAACATGTGAAGAACGAGGAAGATGAGCTTTTGAATTTCGTTGAAAACCTTGATTATGATTCGTATGTCAATGACTTAGAAGTACCTAATTCAGATAATTTAGGTTAATGTTATGCTCAAGGCTCTCTAATAAAGAGTTACCGAAATTAAAAAATAAGAGTACTAATAAGATAAACAGGATAATCAACCTGAATAAAAGTAAGAGTAAAGAGAACCTGACATTTACGATAAAATTAGTTAATCCTTAGGCAAAAATGATGAAGCCAGATCAGTGCATTCTGAAAAGACTTAAAGTAAATTTAGTCCTTAAATTAGATTCCATTAATCAACTAAGGAAGAAGCAAGAATAACTAGAATCTGGAAAGTAAGATTGGGATAAGACAACTACAAATGGAGATTAAAAAGCATCATTGGAAGATAGAATTGCAAAGCATGTTGCTGATGAAATCCTTAATCAATATAAGGTAAAGCTAAATTTAAATATTTTAGAATCTGTCAAATATACATTCCAACTCATCAATCAGAAAGATATTAGAAAGAGAAGCCAAAAAGACTCTTCTGGAGACTGGTTTACCTGGACCTGTTATTTCAGTCATAAAAAATGAGAAGATGCCTAGAGATCCAAATACACTACCTTACTTACATCGTAACCCAGCCATTTGATATATCGATTTCATTTTAAAATAGCCATTTTCTGTATATGTAGATTTCATTACTTCAATAAATAAAAAATTTATAACAATTCTTTGAGATACAATTAATCAAATATCTTTGATATTTCCTTCTTCTTGATTATCATAATTTGGAATTTAATCTTCAATATGTGGTGTTAGTGATGTGACTAGTGGAGCATCTCCATATTGAAGCACTCGAACCGTGATATTAAAGTTTTCTTCATCTTGTAAAATAGATGATTTTATTTCTTATTGTTATTCAAAAACCTCCTCAAATCCTACATTCTTTTTATTTTGCATCCTTCTGAAATAAACAGCTAACAACATAACAAATAATCCTACAAAAGAATAATACATCAAAGCAAAAACTGCAACTTAAGAATTATATCTTTCCATTAGAAATCCATATATTGATGGAGCAGGTAGAAAACCGAATAAGTTTTGAAACATTGTTGTACTTGAATTGGCAAATGCTTTTAAATGTTTAGGAACCGAAGAGAGCATGATACCCATCAAAGGTGGCACTATTGCTCCTCCAAAAAATAATAATAGCCAAAGACACAGTGCTCCAAACCAAAATGTCTCAGTAAATGGTACTGGAGCAGCGCTAATACAGCAAAGGGAGCAATATAAGACACATACGTATAAAGATTTAGTTCTTTAGTATCCACCTAATTTCTGGGCTATTAATCCTCCTGTAATACAACCAAATACTGGAGCTGTTATTGAAACTATCGCAAATACAATATTCACTGTTTGTTTCTCTTAATGCATTTCTTTAATCATATAATCTGTCATCCAAAATTAAATACCAGTTACAATAAAGTATAGAATGCTGATCACAATAGTGCAGCATAACCATAGTTTTATAGAATAGAGTTCTTTCATCATTTACCAATAAGTTTTATTTGGTTGATGTGCAAGAAGTGAACCATTTTACTACTCCTCATTAATAGACTTATTTCCAATTTTGTTTTTAGTACTCTTTTTTATGTCAAAGTCTTTATTCTAAACAAAAATTATGAAAATTGTTGCACAGATGGTTAACATAATTACTTATGCGTAGAAAGCCACTTGCCATTACCAAATACTTGAAATCACACTTGATAAAGAATATCCAACAAATATGCCAAGTGGAATGACTCCTTGCAGAATTGTGATCCAAATTGTTTTAGAATCGCCTCCAAAATTATCAACCCAAACAGGAAAGTAAATCATCATAGGGGCCTTTGATATAATAATTATCTACTTTTGAACATCCTGTAAGAAATCTAAAAATATAAAATGGCCAACTTGATCCATAATTCAAGGGAAATAAGGTTAAAGAGGATATCATTCCTAAATAACTTAACATAACTATCAGCTTGGAATTAAAATGGAGAAACAATTTCCCTCCAAACAAACAAACTAAAGTAACACCTGCATAAACTTGTGATCCTAAATATCCTAGCTATTCTGAAGTTAATTCAAGAGAATCCTCAATCTATTATATTGCTTAATAGAATATAGGTCATACCTGCTGGGATGATACCCTAGTCTAGATTAATAATAATGTTGGTGCAAAGAAGCAAACAAAAAATCCATCTTGGTTTAAATTCCATATGTTATTTTAACGAATGTTACGTAACCAAGGCAATTAAGAACTAAAATTTGATTAAAAATGTATACTAGAGATATAGGAATTTAAGAATTTAATATTATTCAAATATTTTATAGATTCATTTGAAATCTCATAAAAGCAGAAGTTGAAAAAAAAACTATTTAAACTAGATGTTGAGGTCAATTATCTTGTGTTTTATAAACGAATGTTATTATTACTCAAACTAACCTATGAAAGTTAGATTTTCATGTTAAAATTTTAACTCCTTTTCCCAGCTTGAAACCTAGTTAGAACATAAGATATTCATTTAAGAATTAAATAATGGGAAGAGTATTAGCTTGTAAAGTCTAAACTTTGAAAAAGTTGTTTTAAAGAAAAATTGAACAATATGCAAAAAATTATAAAAAATTTGTGGAAAATGTTTTAATAATTGACAAAATTATATATCCATTGATTAATGCAAATAATATTATTTTCTTTTCATATATATATCATATAAAGAGTAGAGGACGAAAATTTTTATTGATACAATAGGGAAGTTGGCTTTATAATAATACCAAAAATATCAACTATTCATCATTAACTAAACAATTTAATTGTTTTTCGTTTTTACAAGGCTAATGAGTATAGAACGTTATTTTACAATGTTTATCTTCATTTTAAAAAATATTCACGTATCTTATTCGGTTCATAAAATTGTTAATAAATTGTTTTTTGTTTTTGTATAAATATTCAAAAAGTGAAAATAATTGATCGACTTATAAAGCAAAGTTAGATATTGCTTTTAGAGGATTAGGAGAAGAGTCTATGAAAAATTCGACTTTTACTTAATTCAATAAATTATTTTAACGGATGTTACAGCAATTTTAAGAGTTGGAAAAGCTGGGTTCAGGTTCATTCAGCGAAGTTTGGAAGGTAATTCGAATTATCTAAATAGGTAATAAGGAGAGCTGACCATCAAATTTATGCAATGAAGAAAATAAAAATGGGAACCCTTAATGAGAAAGAAAAATAGAACGCCCTTAATAAAATTCGGTTACTAGCTTCCCTGAATTAAGAATTCATTATAAGGTATAAGGAGGCACTTTACAATGAGGGTATTGGTTATATCAATTTCATAGACACATAAACTTTAGGAATTATTATGGAATATGCAGAGGGAGGAGATGTTGCAAAATAAATCACAAATAAATAGAACTAAACACAAAAGTTCCAAGAATAAGAAATTTGGTAAGCCCTGATTTAGATAACACAGGGTTTGAAAGAATTACATGAAAAATTAATATTTCACAGAGATATCAAATCAGCTAACATTTTCATTTCAAATGGGGTTTATAAATTAGGGGATTTAAACGTTTCAAAAATAGCACTCCATGTAATTTAGTTTAAGTAAATTGAGACTATGCATCACCAGAAATTTGGAGAGATGAACCATATGACAATAAATCGGATATCTGGTCATTAGGGTGTGTTTTATATGAAATGTGCAATTTGCATCCTCCATTTCAAGCTTTGGATATGGAAGGCTTGTATCAAAAGATTTAGAAAGGAATCTGCCCTGTCATAAATGGGTATGGTAATTAATTAGTTTCGTTGATTGGTTAAATGTTGAGGCTTAATGCATCAGCTAGACCTAGATGTGATTAAATTTTAAATAGTAATTTAATGCATTCTGATTTTAGTAGATTGTACATCAATACACACCCTCTATAGCTATTAATAAAAGAATGATGAAAACAATTTAACTTCCCAAAAATCTTAGTACACTCAACGATATTCTACCAACAAAAAAGTACTACAATGAAAATAAAGAAAATGAATATGAATCAGTTAGATATAGCGTTTAAGCTTCTAAACTAATGCCAATAAATAGAAAATCCGTCTTTAATTCTTGCATTGAATATGAGAAAAGATTCTACAGAATTTCTTCTGTTCATGAATAAATACTGCCAACCCTACCTTCTGAATACAAATAACCAAAAATGTTATCGAGACGTAGGCCTAGTAGTTAATATAAAGAAGAGGATATAAATTTAGAAAGAAGAGCCCAAGCCATTGTCCCAAGAAAATAGTTACAAAAATAATTATTTGAATAGCATCCTTTGCCCAAACCTATTCTAAAGAAATAAATGAGCAATCTTCCTCATTTATACCGCAAAGTAAATGATTCTGAAAGATAAGAAAATAATAAATCAAAATATCATTAATCTCCAAATAATTAGGCCCGTAGGAATATTAGAAAATAAATTACTACATAATAATGATTTCTATTTTTTTAAATATAAATGTTTATCATCATATTCCTATTTTTAATAGAAAGTCTTTAAGAGTACTGTGAGCCTTATGGTGTAAGATTATTTTTAGGACATTATTATACAAATTTAAAAATCGACACAGATGCATTAAGAGTAGTCTTCAATACTAAAGTACGATTTAAGTATTATATATAGAATTAATGTAATAATTAGTTTTAGGTACTAATCAAAGGAGATTAAGAATTCAACATTACAACTTATAAAACCAAGTTTCTAAACATGACAGATATTTATGTTGGTACGAAAGCCAATATAGAATATGAAACATACATACATACTTTCCAAATTCCTATATAATAAACTTCAAGAATATTGTATACTTTGAAGAACAATGATAAATTAATTAAAGAAGCTTAAGTTAAATTACCTCAACTTCAACAAGATACTACTAAAGTTCTCTTCTTTGGAGACATGGATTCAAGATGGCTATTCAATAGATCTAAGTAAACCTTTGATTGGTTTGAAGAACAAATAAAACAAAATATTGAGTTTGATAGTTTGCTTTTCACAGGGGACATGGCCTACGATCTTGAATCAGATAATTGTGAAAGAGGAGAACTTTGGATAAGCAGAATAAGTTTATTTACTTCATAATATCCATTTATGATATCTCCTGGAAATCATGATGGTGGTTTTGATTATAAATACACTTTTCTTAGAGAACACTTTTAAATGTTATATCTAACTGAATATGATACTTCAAATTATTAAAATGACTTTTATAGTTTTAATATTGGTTTAGTACATTTTATTTAGTTTGATCCGGTTATGATAGTTTATAATGCTGATCCAAATAAATATGTTTAAGAAAGGTTGCTATCATAATTTAGAAATGACTTAATTAAAGCAGTTTCAAATAGAGAAGAGGTTCCTTGGATTGTTGTATTTACACATTATCCAATTTATTGTAATTATATGGATGATGATCAATGCGTTAATAATTTTAAATATTTAGCTGAATTTGAAAAGTTATTTTAAGAATTTCATGTGGATCTATATGTTTCAGGTCATTAACATAATTATTAGAGAAATTAACCCTATTATTAAAATCATTCAGTTTCATATTAAATGGATGGAAATATCTACTATAACTATGAAAGTCCAATTACAATTATAGAAGGAGCTGGAGGAGCTGACTATGGTCCAGAAATTATGATATGTAAATTATGATGTTAATATTCAGATGATGATTAACCATATACGGTAAAACAATTAGCATAAAATGGTGTTGGTTTGCTGTAGGTGATGAACAAAACACATTTACAATTTTAGCATATAAGAGTTTCAACAAACTAAGTTATGGATGAGATTTGGATAATGAAAATTTATGACAATGATAAAGAAAATGATAATTCTTTTAAGTATTGGATCAGTGCTTTAATTATATGTGCTATAGTTATCGTTCTGGCCTTATTTATTTTTATTTTTGTAAAATATAAAGGTCGAAAATCAAAAACATACTAAAAGGCTTTGGATAATTTAGTTTGAAATAAAATTTGTTTATTTATATTGATTCTTTCATCTACTAGAAAAAATGTAAATTGACCAGTTTTGTTGACATTTTTGCTTTTTTAGATTTAATTTATATTAATTAAAATTGAAAATACTTATATAAAGGATAATTTTATATCTTATGTGTTTATCATCAAAATTAATGACACAATAATAAAGAATAAATTTATAGAATTGATTGAAAAAAGTTAGAGTACTAATTTCGATATTAATTATACCAAGTAAAAGGCCTATTATCTGAGACCTATAAATAAAGATTAAAAGAGTCTTAATAATATCATTTATAATACCTTTTCTAGTTAAACCACTTATTTGTAACTTCTTTTTTGTAAATAATCAGATGTTAAAAAAAAAACAATAAATAATTTCTCTTCTTAATAATTATTGGACCCGAATGGAAGATTCGTTGAAAATCACCTGTTTAATAAATTATCAAATATATTAATTTATATATATATATATAAGATTGTAAAATAATTTTTTAATTAGTTTTACCCTTTCGCTGGTCTGAAACTTAAAAATATGAAATAAGCATTGCAAAATTTGCTAGGATATTCTGATAATCTTATAGTTATAGAATTAATTATAGAATTCAAATAAAATTTAACTTTTTCTTTATCTAAAATATATTGTTTTTTTTTTTTGCTAAATTCAAAAATAGAAAAAATGTAAAAATTAATTTCTGAATTTTTGTAACTAAACTAAGTTTCTATTTTATTAGCAAAGTACGAGTCAGCAACGCCTCGTTCACTTTTAGTGTGGGTACCTTTTGGAGTAAGACAGAGAAAATTTATTGCCCTAAAAAAGAGTGAGGCTAAAATTGGGTTGCTTTTGAACAATTAAATCATAAAAATTCAAGTTTTGGACGAAATAGAACTTTAGAGAAATAAAAATAGATAGCTCTGAATTCAATTTTAATAATTTTGATAAATCTTGGCTAACCACCATTCATTTGATATTTATTCCAGAATTGTATTAAACTTTAATCTGACATTGATTTTGCTTCCTTATGAAAAAAGAATCTTAATCGTAATTTCTTTTTATTATTGAAAAAATTGTGAAATTCGATAACTCAAGCTCCAGCCTGACATAATTCAATCAAAATAAGTATACCAATTCTTTAAGATATTCGATACAAAATTCTTTATTAATTTTATAACTCTGCTCACCTTGATTTATTCTAAAAGGAAGAATAGTAATTATGATTTTAGTAAAAATTAAATTATATTAGAATGAATAAATACTTTCTTTATAATTTATTATTACTAAATTTCTTTATCAGCCTATTATCCTCAGCATAAATAGATCCTATTAATTATTCATCGTAGAATCTCATTTAGAAGCTTTTATTCTAGAACATTACTGTAATTATGAAAAAGTCACTTATATTTGATCAATTGTTTATGAAATAAAATTTATTCTGAAAAATTAAATAATGACCTAAATTTAGTTTAAATATTAATCAAGACATATAAAATAACGATCATAATCAACCATGGTATAATTGAATATTTAAATCTAAAACATCTAAAGTTATTCCTACATTAAAGATTTTAGTCCTAAATTATTCCTCATTCTTCATTACCTAAATATATGTTTTTAATAAAGAGATAATTGGGTTATGTCAACTTAAATCCATAATTTATCATATTATCTGACCACTCCATAATTCTTAATAAAAAATTAGGAGTTATTTATCTACTTCATTTGGTTTAAAATTTTAACTTGCTTTTTATATTAAACCAAATAAACTTATTATTTCGATATTTTGGAGACATGGATGTTGATTTATTTTACCGTTTTGCATATAAAATATATATTTTTTTATGGTTATTAAGTTGATATCCTCCATTGATAAGATAATTTTTGAAAAATTAAATTTATAAGGAAAAAAAATAAATTTATAATATTTATTTACTAAATGAATGTTATTAAAACGCAGTAAGGCTTATAAGAATCTAAGATATTAAGGAGTAAAGAAAACTTGTATGAGGATTTAGCTTCCTTAAAAAATATAGAAAACAAAATATTCAAAGTAATAATTGAAATGCTTAAAAAGGAAGAAATTTCAGATTCTCTAAGCTTTTTATCGCAATTTGAAAATCAAAAGGGTTCAGCAAAATATATTCTTCTCCAAAATTTATTACAAGATAATTAAGACAATTTGATATAGGCATTAGATGATATTTAGGCTATTACTAAAGTTATGAAATTAATTAATGGTCATGACTTCAATTACACTAATTACTCCTCCGAAGATTATATTGAAACTAAGCAAACCCTAATTAATAAAATAAGGGGTCATAAAAGCATAATTGAATTTTTAAAATTTTTAGTGAATATCACATCCCATGATAATAATTTCATCTAAAGTGGATCAAATTCTCTTCATTTATTAGTTGAAATGGAAATTGATATGAAGACACTATCTTTTGAAAAAATTAAAGTTAAAAATACTTCTTTGGTAGGAGCAAATTTTGTTAAATGTGACTTTAGTGGGTCTTAATTCGACAATGTTATTATTAGTGGAATTAACTTAAGTGGAGCTAAATTAATAAACTGTAAATGGATAAATTTAAGAATAAATGAAGTGATGGAGTTAGCTTTTCCCAATAAAGATAGAACATCATTTTGCTTTTCTCTAGATGGTAAAGTATTATGTAGTTGTGGTTATGATATTAATTTATGGGATGTAAAAACAGGAAAATTAAAGTATGCAAAAAGATTCTACAGTCAGGTAACATCAGTTAATTTCTCCCCTAATGGTATTTTAGCATTCTCCATTGAATATTTTGTGTATTTATGGAATGTTAAAACAGGAAAATAATTGAAAATATTAGAAGACCCTAGAAGCTACATAAATTTAGTCTGTTTCTCACCTGATGGTACTACATTACTGTCTGGGGGAGGTTCTATCCGATTATGGGATGTTAAGACAGGAATATAAAAAGGCGAATGTAAAAATACAAGTTAACCAGCCTGGTTCTCTCTTAATGGAACTGCATTACTATCATATGAATATTAAAACTCAATCATGTTATTTGATGTTATGACAGGATAATAAGTGGTCAAAATTGATAATCTTGGTTATAAGAAATTCTGTTTTTCTCCTGATTGTAATATATTAGCAACTGATAATGAAGATGGCATGTCTATCCGTATATGGGATGTTAAGACCCTATCATAAACAGCCTAATTATATGGCCATACTTTAGGTATTGATCATTTTTGTTTCTCTCCTCATGGTACTACATTAGTATCATGGAGTAAGGATGAATCGATCTGTTTTTGGGATGTTAAGACAGCATCACAAAAATTCAAATTCACTAATCTAAACTTTGTTTGTGAAAACCTCTGTTTTTCTCCTGATTAAATGACCTTAGCTTTTCTTATTTCAGATAAATATATCTGTTTGTGGGATACTCAGACAGCATCAAAAAAGGTAGAATTTAAAAATCATTTTAATAAAGTAATGTCAGTCAGTTTCTCTCCTGATGGTAAGACAGTAGCATCAGGTAGTGAGGATAAATCTATCTGTTTATGGGATGTTAAAACAGGATAGTAAAAAGCCATATTACTTGGTCACGATAGAATTGTTTATTCAGTCTGTTTCTCTCCTGATGGTAAAATATTAGCATCCGGCAGTTAAGATAATTCTATCCGTTTATGGAATGTTAATACAGGATAGGAAAAAGCCATATTATTTGGTCATCTTTCAACTGTTTATTCCGTCTGTTTCTCTCCTGATGGTACTACATTAGCATCAGGTAGTAAAGATGCGTCCATCATTTTATGGAATGTTAATACTGGATAGTAAAAAGCCATATTACTTGGTCATGATAGAATTGTTTATTCAGTCTGTTTCTCTCCTGATGGTTAGACATTAGCGTCAGGTGGTAAGGATCAATATATCCGTTTATGGAATGTTAATACAGGATAGTAAAAAGCCTAATTGCTTGATGACAAAAATATTTATTCAGTCTGTTTCTCTCCAGATGGTAAGAAATTAGCATCAGGTGGTAAGCATCACAATATCAATTTATGGGATGTTAAAAAAAAATAGTTAAAAGCCGAGTTATTTGGTTATCATGGAATTGTTTATTCAGTCTGTTTCTCTCCAGATGGCAAGACATTAGCTTTTGGTAGTGATGATAGCTCTATCAATTTATGGGATTTTAAGACATAATAATAAAAAGCCCAATTAGATGGTCATTCAAGATGTGTTAATTCAGTCTGCTTCTCTCCTGATGGTACTACAATAGCCTCGGATGGTGAAGATAATTCTATCCATTTATGGGATTTTAAGACAGGATAAAAAGTTAGATTAGGTGACCATTCAAATTCAGATTAATCAGTCTGCTTCTCTACTAATGGTACAAAATTAGAATCAGGTAATGGGGATGTCGTCACTCTTTGTTTAGGGACAACCAAGACAGTTTCAAAAAAAAAAAAAAAATTAGATACTTACAATAAAACTTCATGGTCAGTCTGTTTCTCTCCTGATAATACTACATTAGCAACTGGCAGTGATGATAACTCTATCCGTTTATGGGACGTTGAGACAGGATTTTAAAGATAATAGTTCAATGGTCATATTCGTGGAGTGTTATCGATATGCTTTTCTCCTTAAGGTAATACATTAGCATCAGGTGGTAGAGATATGTCCATCTATTTATGGGATGTCCAAAAAAAAAAAAAATAATTCAAATTGGATGGTCATACTAATTCAGTTTGGTCAGTATGCTTTTCTCCTGATGGTGCTATATTAGCATCTGGTAGTGTAGATAACTCTATTCTTTTATGGAATGTTAAGACAGGACTTTAAAAGTCAAAATTAGATGGTCATACTAATTCAGTCTGGTCAGTATGCTTCTCTCCAAATGGTACCACATTAGCATCTGGCAGAGAAGATAAATCTATTAGATTATGGAATATTTAAACAGGATAACAAAAATCAAAATTTAATGGCCATTCAAATAGTGTAAATTCAGTATGCTTTTCTCCTGATGGTGCTATATTAGCATCTGGTGGTGCAGATAACTCTATCCGTTTATGGAATGTTAAAACAGGACTTTAAAAGTTAAAATTAGATGCTCATACTAATTCAGTCTCTTCAGTAAGCTTCTCTCCAAATGGTACTTCATTAGTATCTGGTAGTTCAGATAAAACGATTAGATTATGGAATGTTTAAACAGGGCAAGAATAATCAAGATTAAGCGGTCATAGTAATTCAATCAATACAGTATGCTTCTCTCCAAATGGTAGTATAATAGCATCTTGTAGTGAAGATAAATCTATCCGTTTATGGGAAGTTATAATCGGCAGATAAATTCATTTTTATGAAGGCAATTACCATCCTTTTTATTTTCAACTATCTGAATAGGATTCCATCCCAAAAGGTTTCATTTATTTAATTATTCTTTAGTAAGCACTCATTTAACTCAAACGCCAAAATTGTAAATTCAAGGCGCTTTAATTTTGTAAAGTGAATTTATAAATTATTATGGTGTCAATCTTCGATAATTATTCAAAGCTAAAGGATGTGATACTGTCGAAAATTAAATAGAATTCAAATAAGTTGATAGTTGATTATTGTAAGAATGTAACACACACATATATTTTAGTTCCCTTTTTGTGAAAATTCTTCCATCTTATATTACATGATTTTCTCATATTTTCGAAAAAGTTTTAATGTTATCGCTCTGATTCCCATAAAATTAAAGTCTATTTTCGTTTTATTTACTTTTATCATTTTGAAATACCCTGCTTAATATCATATTATTTCAGAGAAGAAGTATATTTAATGATGCCTATCTCTTTGAAATTAGATTATTTTAATTATTTTTGAAAATCTATTCAAAAATAATTTATATNGATGTCGTCACTCTTTGTTTAGGGACAACCAAGACAGTTTCAAAAAAAAAAAAAAAATTAGATACTTACAATAAAACTTCATGGTCAGTCTGTTTCTCTCCTGATAATACTACATTAGCAACTGGCAGTGATGATAACTCTATCCGTTTATGGGACGTTGAGACAGGATTTTAAAGATAATAGTTCAATGGTCATATTCGTGGAGTGTTATCGATATGCTTTTCTCCTTAAGGTAATACATTAGCATCAGGTGGTAGAGATATGTCCATCTATTTATGGGATGTCCAAAAAAAAAAAAAATAATTCAAATTGGATGGTCATACTAATTCAGTTTGGTCAGTATGCTTTTCTCCTGATGGTGCTATATTAGCATCTGGTAGTGTAGATAACTCTATTCTTTTATGGAATGTTAAGACAGGACTTTAAAAGTCAAAATTAGATGGTCATACTAATTCAGTCTGGTCAGTATGCTTCTCTCCAAATGGTACCACATTAGCATCTGGCAGAGAAGATAAATCTATTAGATTATGGAATATTTAAACAGGATAACAAAAATCAAAATTTAATGGCCATTCAAATAGTGTAAATTCAGTATGCTTTTCTCCTGATGGTGCTATATTAGCATCTGGTGGTGCAGATAACTCTATCCGTTTATGGAATGTTAAAACAGGACTTTAAAAGTTAAAATTAGATGCTCATACTAATTCAGTCTCTTCAGTAAGCTTCTCTCCAAATGGTACTTCATTAGTATCTGGTAGTTCAGATAAAACGATTAGATTATGGAATGTTTAAACAGGGCAAGAATAATCAAGATTAAGCGGTCATAGTAATTCAATCAATACAGTATGCTTCTCTCCAAATGGTAGTATAATAGCATCTTGTAGTGAAGATAAATCTATCCGTTTATGGGAAGTTATAATCGGCAGATAAATTCATTTTTATGAAGGCAATTACCATCCTTTTTATTTTCAACTATCTGAATAGGATTCCATCCCAAAAGGTTTCATTTATTTAATTATTCTTTAGTAAGCACTCATTTAACTCAAACGCCAAAATTGTAAATTCAAGGCGCTTTAATTTTGTAAAGTGAATTTATAAATTATTATGGTGTCAATCTTCGATAATTATTCAAAGCTAAAGGATGTGATACTGTCGAAAATTAAATAGAATTCAAATAAGTTGATAGTTGATTATTGTAAGAATGTAACACACACATATATTTTAGTTCCCTTTTTGTGAAAATTCTTCCATCTTATATTACATGATTTTCTCATATTTTCGAAAAAGTTTTAATGTTATCGCTCTGATTCCCATAAAATTAAAGTCTATTTTCGTTTTATTTACTTTTATCATTTTGAAATACCCTGCTTAATATCATATTATTTCAGAGAAGAAGTATATTTAATGATGCCTATCTCTTTGAAATTAGATTATTTTAATTATTTTTGAAAATCTATTCAAAAATAATTTATATACAGTCTTTACAGGGAATTATTTGCAAACTGGAATATTCTTATATATTAGATAATTAAATTTGATTTAAGATTTATTTTCTCAGCAAATATTCTAAAAATAATTTGAATTAATCATTTATGTCTCTTTAAATGCAAAATGGCTTCGTCGTTGTAAGTGCTTTTTTAATTGAATGTTACAAGGCTTAATTTGATCTCGCTCCACTTTTTATAAAACTTTATTTCATAATTCCCCAAATGTTTTCTATTGGGTTAAATTTAGGACTATAAGGAGGGAGAAACAACATGTTAATATTATTGATAATTTCTTAAACAATTATAATGATCTAAGAATCGGAAAGTTATCCATGATTGTGCAGAATTTGTTATCTTTGAACGTTTTTGGCTTTTATTATTATTGAGTTCAAAAAGAACCAAAAATAAATTTATTTCCAGTCCCAAATACTATCAAATATCTAATGAATGGTTTAACCTCTATACTTCCGAAAACAGTTACTCATTCATTAATTTAGACAAATTTCTATATTTAGTATTTGAATTAGCTATCTGCCAGCATTTAAAATTACTTTAGGAGTGAATACCCATTATTTTTAAAAGTGGCCCATTATAAATTATATTCTTGAATGTTATTGCTGATAATTTATTTCAAAAATTATAAAGATTTGAATGGAACTTATCTATATGATATTCCAATTCTTCTCTTATAATTAGAGAAAACACTTAAACTTAATTCTTAAGCATTGATGATAAATTATTTCAAAAAACATGTTTTACATATTCTAACTGCTAGCCTTCCAATTTTTCTATTTTTAAAATACACATATTTGTTGCTCTTATTAGAAAAAAAAATTCTTCTCTATTAGACCAAATTCTTTAGAAGGTCTAAAAAATTAATATATTTAAGTTTTTGGATACTTTAGATAAGCAGGTAGATGTTATAATCAAAACTTTATTTATATAAACTCAAGATGGGCTTGGTGAGTACTAATTTAGATTTATAATTAATTGGATAAACCTTAGGTTTCTCTTTCTTAATTTCTTCCCAAACTAGATTCGCTTAACTATTTTATTCAGATAAGGTATGAGTTCTTCTAGTGATTTATTATTTTTCTCTATTTTATATTAAAAATGGCTATGAAGTATAAATCGTTTAATTATTAATGCGTATTGCTTCTCATCTTGAGTCCATAATTGCTGACTGAAAAGGGAGAATCATTTTCTCTAATATTATGAAGGGATTTCTATTATGGTGAATGGGCTAATACTTTGGTCATAAATAAATAAAATAGAAAGTAAAACTTGGACAAGGATGGCTCATTACTGCATTAATCTTCAATATCTTCTGCATAGCAATAATTCTCACCCCCATTCTAAGTCTGTCTCAGATTCTCAGATAGCAGGACAGGCTCAGGAGGTAAATCCTCATGAAACGCCAATTATGACGTTACAACAAGTTATTTTTAAAAAAAATTTATTTCTTTCTATAAATATCGTGCACAATATAGAACTAATATTTTTAGACTGGGATTTAAATTTTTAATAATAAATAGATTTTCACTTGTAATGAACATACTAAAGACTTTTTCATATTTATATTCTGAGCTCAAACCTTGTATTTTTAAATAGATATTTGATTTTATTCACAGATTAAAAGGCTAAAAAACATATCAACATCCTTGATAACAGGTATTAATATATTCAAAAACACACTAAAACGATAATTCCTTATATTTTTATAATCAATCCAATCATAAGAATAAAACTATTGTACACTTTCAAAATTAAATGATGCTACAGGCTTGATTAAAAGGCTTTCAAATAAGTCTAAGATTATAGTGGATATATTTGCCAGAGTTTCGAACAGATTGTATTTCATATTATTATTTATTGGGAATTGCTTCAAAAAAAAATTTTCGTTTACCATAAATCAGATTACTATTGAGACTTTGTAGAATCATTTAATGAAATTGCAATTATATTTTACATTATAAAAAACTAGCAGACATTTTGAAAGTTGATTAAGGATTTAATACAAAGTATTTGCCGAATAAAAAAGGTCTATCAATGTTATTTACACAATTGACAGTATTTTCAAGGATCCGAAAATGTTTTGCTAAGTTCCGTTATGAAGGAAGAACTAAAGTATATCTTCAATTTAAAAAAGATTAATATAAGATTTGCTTGATCTTTTTGGAAAACTAACCAAGTGAAATTAAAAGAGAAAATAATAATTTTTCTTACTTATAGCAAGAAAATAGGAAAAAAATTTTAATATTTAAAATTCCATACAATATTAAAGAATTTTCTAATTATCATATTAATTAGTAAAAATGTTAATTCAAATATTTTTATTTTCAAAAAAATTGATAAATTTATAACATAAAACGTTGGGGTGAGATAAAAATCGTATTTCCAATAAAACCTATCGTTCATTTATAACATAAAAACTTATTAAAGAATTCTAATCATTTACCCTTTATTTAATAAATTAGGGCGAAAAAACAAAGATTAAAATTTCATTTTGATTTATGAATAGTTTCTATTTGTATCAGAGTTTATATAAAAAAATATCTTTGTTTGTGCATTTTCATAAATTGCTTTCGTCCTTAAGGATATTTTCTTATTGGATTTTAACTTTAGTAATCAATATTAAAATTATCATAATTCAAAAAATTCATAATTTGAAAGATCATATTCACATCAATGAATTAGATTTAATCAATATATCAATATAGATTTGTACTCAATTTATTAATATTCAATCATAGAACAATAGTTAAGGATTTTTTTTAAGAAGTNAAAAAATTTATTTCTTTCTATAAATATCGTGCACAATATAGAACTAATATTTTTAGACTGGGATTTAAATTTTTAATAATAAATAGATTTTCACTTGTAATGAACATACTAAAGACTTTTTCATATTTATATTCTGAGCTCAAACCTTGTATTTTTAAATAGATATTTGATTTTATTCACAGATTAAAAGGCTAAAAAACATATCAACATCCTTGATAACAGGTATTAATATATTCAAAAACACACTAAAACGATAATTCCTTATATTTTTATAATCAATCCAATCATAAGAATAAAACTATTGTACACTTTCAAAATTAAATGATGCTACAGGCTTGATTAAAAGGCTTTCAAATAAGTCTAAGATTATAGTGGATATATTTGCCAGAGTTTCGAACAGATTGTATTTCATATTATTATTTATTGGGAATTGCTTCAAAAAAAAATTTTCGTTTACCATAAATCAGATTACTATTGAGACTTTGTAGAATCATTTAATGAAATTGCAATTATATTTTACATTATAAAAAACTAGCAGACATTTTGAAAGTTGATTAAGGATTTAATACAAAGTATTTGCCGAATAAAAAAGGTCTATCAATGTTATTTACACAATTGACAGTATTTTCAAGGATCCGAAAATGTTTTGCTAAGTTCCGTTATGAAGGAAGAACTAAAGTATATCTTCAATTTAAAAAAGATTAATATAAGATTTGCTTGATCTTTTTGGAAAACTAACCAAGTGAAATTAAAAGAGAAAATAATAATTTTTCTTACTTATAGCAAGAAAATAGGAAAAAAATTTTAATATTTAAAATTCCATACAATATTAAAGAATTTTCTAATTATCATATTAATTAGTAAAAATGTTAATTCAAATATTTTTATTTTCAAAAAAATTGATAAATTTATAACATAAAACGTTGGGGTGAGATAAAAATCGTATTTCCAATAAAACCTATCGTTCATTTATAACATAAAAACTTATTAAAGAATTCTAATCATTTACCCTTTATTTAATAAATTAGGGCGAAAAAACAAAGATTAAAATTTCATTTTGATTTATGAATAGTTTCTATTTGTATCAGAGTTTATATAAAAAAATATCTTTGTTTGTGCATTTTCATAAATTGCTTTCGTCCTTAAGGATATTTTCTTATTGGATTTTAACTTTAGTAATCAATATTAAAATTATCATAATTCAAAAAATTCATAATTTGAAAGATCATATTCACATCAATGAATTAGATTTAATCAATATATCAATATAGATTTGTACTCAATTTATTAATATTCAATCATAGAACAATAGTTAAGGATTTTTTTTAAGAAGTATACTATGTTGCAAATTATTATTATTTAATATTTATTAAAAAATTAATAATAAATATAAATTAATTCATATTAAATTTCATAAAATTCCAAAAAATACTTTTCTTAAGCAAAAGATAGTAAAAATTCTTTTTCATTTAAATCCTTAATTAACTTATAATGAATTATGAAGATTATTTTAAATTATATATGTTTATCATCATATTCCTATTTTTAATAGAAAGTATTTAAGAGTACTGTGAGCCTTATGGCGTAAGATTATTTTTAGGACATTATTATACAAATTTAAAAATCGACACAGATGCATTAAGAGTAGTCTTCAATACTAAAGTACGATTTAAGTATTATATATAGAATTAATGTAATAATTAGTTTTAGGTACTCATCAAAGGAGATTAAGAATTCAACATTACAACTTATAAAACCAAGTATCTAAACATGACAGATATTTATGTTGGTACAAAAGCCAATATAGAATATGAAACATACATACATACTTTCCAAATTCCTATATAATAAACTTCAAGAATATTGTATACTTTGAAGAACAATGATAAATTAATTAAAGAAGCTTAAGTTAAATTACCTCAACTTCAACAAGATACTACTAAAGTTCTCTTCTTTGGAGACATGGATTCAAGATGGCTATTCAATAGATCTAAATAAACCTTTGATTGGTTTGAAGAACAAATAAAACAAAATATTGAGTATGATAGTTTGCTTTTCACTGGAGATATGGCATATAATCTTGAATCAGATAATTGTGAAAGAGGAGAACTTTGGCTAAGCAGAATTAGCTTATTTACTTCTTATTATCCTTTTATGGTAACACCTGGAAATCATGATAGCGGCTACAACCGTAAATAGATATTTCTTCGAGAGCACTTTTAAATGCCCTATATTAATGAGCTTGATCCTTATGAAAATCATAATTATTTTTATAGCTTTAACATTGGTTTTGGGCATTTTATTTAATATGATCCAGTGAAAATTATTTACAAAGAAGATCCAAATAATTATATTAGAGATCAACTTTTACAACAGTTTAGAAATGACTTAATTAAAGCAGTTTCAAATAGAGAAGAGGTTCCTTGGATTGTTGTATTTACACATTATCCAATTTATTGTAATTATATGGATGATGATCAATGTGTTAATAATTTTAAATATTTAGCTGAATTTGAAAAGTTATTTTAAGAATTTCATGTGGATCTGTATGTTTCAGGTCATTAACATAATTATTAGAGAAATTAACCCTATTATTAAAATCATTCAGTTTCATATTAAATGGATGGAAATATCTACTATAACTATGAAAGTCCAATTACAATTATAGAAGGAGCTGGAGGAGCTGATTATGGAGCAGAAATTATGTTACGTAAGATTTTTATGAAAACCTAGTTGAAAATAAGCCATATACAGTAAAACAAATGGATCAAAATGGCGTCGGCCTATTATAAGTAATGAATAAAACACATTTGTAATTCTAATAGGTGAGGGTTTCAACAAATTAGATTATAGATGAATTTTGGATAATATAAAATAGAGACAGTTAAGGTATTTATAATTCTAATTTTGAATACTGGGTCATTTTTCTAATACTGGGGATTTTAGTTTGCTTTTTAATTTTAATATTAGTGTATTAAATTAGACGTCTAAAGTTAATATTCAATAAATAATACTTGCGCACTAACGATTAAATGGTTTGATAAATATTTATATATCTATAAAATTTCAACTTAAAGATTGTTAACTTTAAAAACTCACAAAATAATTTCTATTTAATTGCATTATTAAACAATATAACTATTTATTAGATGTTATAATTATTTTACTAGAATAAATTCTCAATTTAGCATTTATTTAAGTTCATTTACACATCATTTAAAGGATTGTCTTTGAGTAATCATTCTTTCATAATTTCTCCTTATAGTTTGATTTAGTTTGCTAATGGTTCCTATATGTTTAATCGAATTTTCTTAAGAGAAGTGATTTATTTATCTGAAAATATCGGTTCAATCATTATTCAAATGTCTTTATTAGGCATAATAATAATTAATCAATAAACTTTTCAACTTTATGCAATTAATTCAATTCACAAAATGTTAAGTTTCAATTCTGAAAGATTTATATTAAATGACAAATTTAGCTTAAATCCTAATTTATTTCCTTCATAACTTTTTATATAATATTAGTGTAATAGAAACATAGAAAATTAATATCAAAAATAAACATAAATATTGGTCAAGCAATCTTTTTGTATTTGATGAAATGTATTTCTTACAAAGTTTCATAATGCTTACAATGAGATACATGCCTAATTGAATCACAGACTCTCATTAATTATAACTTTAACATTTTTTTCCTTCTTACAATGTTCATCATGTGTTATGGTTTCGAAGGAAATCTATCTGGGTTGCTAGCATTTGAATTTATAAAAGAGAATTAGAGTTTAGCAACTTATCTTTAATCTTACTTACTTTCTTTTGCTTCAGGATGTATTATTGTTTCTTTATTTATACTTAGTGATCTATAATCACAAATCTATGGAAGCAAAATGTGATCTATGTCATTTTAAACAACTAATCTTTTTTTATAATGAATCATAGCAATAGTATAATTGAAAAATTAAATAATGAATATTGATCATCATCAATAAATTCATCTAAAATTAATAATAATTTATATTTCATATTCTGATTTGCAATATCAAAAACAAACCTTAATTTGACTCAACTATATTATGTTCTTGTTCTTTATTGTAATGTAAAATTTAATTTTTTAATCTTAATTCAACCTACTCCAGTAGAATTTAAAAATTGTAGAACCATATAATTTAATTTATAATATCGATATTAGGGATGGGGAAAGAACAAAATGATTTAAAAATGTAATAAAAATACTGTTTTTAGAAAGATTATCAAATTAATGAAATATTTAAAAATAATAATAATTGCTTTTACATGATAAACTCAATTAAGAACTAATTTAAGCAATAGCTTGAATTACTTCAGGATAAGAAGTACAAAAAGCCAGCTTTTGAAGCTTATGATATGAAAAGAGCCTTTGTCACTTTGGATCAAGCCTTTGAATATGTTGGTGACAATTCCAAATATCAATAGAGGATCACATTATTATTATGCATATAATTTTTGTTTTACTCATTTTTTGTTATGGGTATGCCGTATTTGTTATAAAATCCTTCCAAATATTGCACTGATGGAATCTGCATTGAATATCCCAATTGTAACAATAGAATAGATAGTTTAATTGGATTTGACAGTATTGCGAAAGAATTTGGATTATTTTGTAATGGTAGGAAGGCCTTTATAGCTGCATTATTTTTTGTTGGTTAAATGTTTGGAGGCTTTACATTTCCAATATTGGCAAACATTTTTGGAAGAAGAAAGATTTTATTATTTGGAATGAGTTTAGGTTCGATATCTATTTTTGTGGGATCTCTTTGTGATAATTTATTATCTCTTTATGCCCTCTTCTTTATTGCAGGATTTGGGTTGAGTGGCTATGAGACTGTCGTTTATGTGTACATTACAGAAATAAGTGCCTTAAGATTTCGATCTATTGCTAGCTCCTTGTTAATTGTTATATGGAGTTCTTCGATGCTTATATACCCATTTATAGTTGACATTTTATAGTCGTGGCGACTTTTAATGATGTGGAGTATCGGAGTTCCTCTACTAGTAACGATCGTATTGGATTATTTTTACTTTGTAGAATCACCAAGATGGCTTATTTCTAAATAGTAATATGACGAATGCAGAAGAGTATTTAGATTTATGAGTATTTTTAATAAAAGAAGACCATTTGAATTCAACTTCATGGAAGAATTAGATAAATTCAACAACCGTTGTGTAAAGGTGGCTTCAATGAAAAAAGTGGAAACTTAAATTAAATTAATACAACAATCTAATTAGACTGCAGGATATTGGGAATTGTTTAAAAGATCAAAATTACTGACCTAAACTTTAATATTGGTTTAAATGTGGTTTTTGAGATATTTCACATATTATGGTCTACAATTTTCGGTATCTACATTTGGAATATCTATGACAACTACGTTGAGAATACTGGCCTTGGTTGAATTAACGACTGGAATGTCAAGCTGTAAATTTATTTATTTTATCGATTAGTGTATTTTAAGTTGAAATACCCTCGAATCATTTCATTGTAGTTTTGCCTACTCACAATGATTTTGAGTGCCACATTAGCATACATAGATATACCCTTAGAATGCTAGGGTACTTTATGCTGGCAACAAGTCCTTCATTTGGTCAGTGCTATATTAATCAAGGCAAGTATCACTATTTATAATTCAATGCTTAATACCTATACAGGAGAAGCCTATGTGACAACTGTCAGATCATATGGGTATGGAGTTTGCATGACTTTTGGATAACTAGGCAGTACATTTGCTCCTCTGTATGTGTCATATGTGTAGGAGATTTATCAATAAGCAAATGCAATAACAATAGTTGGGTTGTTAGCATTACTTGCTCTTGGATTAACATGGTGTGTACTAATCTTAATAAGCCAAATTTAGGTTTTTACAAGAAACTTACAAAAAGGATATGTATGATAATTTGACAGATGAAGTAATGGCAACCCAAACCCTTCCCCTGATTAATCAGGAAATGTAATTTGATGAAATCGAACTTTAACAAATAAGATGATGATTAATATAATTATATATTTTTTTATGCAACAGTTGAGGAGCAGCCATTTCTAATTAGGCCAAACAGATTAAAGTATACACCTGATACATAACAATATTAGAAAATTAGTTCACTTCAACGATGAAAATGAATTTCAAAGGAGATTAAGTAAATGATTAAGCCACTGGAGTTGGAGATAAATTGAATTTAAGAGGAGTGCATTTTCATTTAGGAGAGTCAAAACGTACAATTTGAATTCCTATTCTAGCTTCTTACAACACAATTTTCAAGACTGACTTTTAGGGTAAACAAATAGGTGAACCTGCTACCTTAAATGAAGAAAAAAAAAATGACTTAAGAACAAATCATTTTGTGCTTGGCCATCAACAGGCTCAACAAGTATCAATTACAAGAGCTACTTATAATGAAAAACCACTCCAACCAGGATTATAAAATGAATAAGAAAGTAAAATGCATATATCCTAAATATGAGTACAAAAAAATAAAATGAGATCACATCATCATAATTTCGCGGAAAGTTCTCATAAGATGATGCAAACAAACTATAACTAACAATATCAACCTCAATAATTAGAACCCAAACAGGATTTAGCCGAAAGAGCAAGACAATTAAGAGTTTCCAATATATTTCTAGGAAAGGAGGTAATTAAGGCCATAAATCATTTATTAGTAAGTTCCCATGATTACAGCCTAATAAGAAGACTACAATAAGAAGGAAGGAGGAGCTTAAGCCTCATTCAAACCAGGATTTTAATCAACTCATTTTAATTTTGGCAATGCGAATTCTGATTTCAAAACCATGAATCAAGAATTCTTCCATTAGCAGGAAATAACATCAAACCCATTTGCAGAAGAAAACCGATAAAATCTAAGAGGTTTTATGATTTATAATCGTTTTAGCAACTCACTTTACATTAGGAAAAGATAATTAACCATATCAGTCTGAACAAATGTCACATTTCAGACCGCATTCAGAAAATAAGATTAACTATATCAATAACACTGCTGCCTTATAAGGAAGTCATTTTACTATTGGAGATCCAAGATTTATGAATCAGAAAACTTAAACATTTTATAATTCCTCTATGAAACCACCTGAATAATAGTAACATTAATAGGCAAGAGATTAGTAAATGGATCGAGGATCTAATTTTAAAGTTGGAACAGATAATATATCATATAGATCAGAAATGCAATCCAAGTAATATTTACATCAATATTCAAGTTTTAAAAATCCATCAGGATAACCTGCATAATTATCTGAAAAATTATTAAAAGATTTACGATCATCTCATTTTGGTTTGAATGATAATGTTAGTAAAAATACTTATCTGACCACAAAATAAGCGGAAGCTTTAAATCAATAATAAGGTTAACCAAATAAACTAGATCCACATGCAAGTGCAAATTTAAGATCTCATCATTTCAACCTTGGTTAGACAAAAGGAGACTTAATTTCATAAACGCATGATATACATCGACCTTTAATAGGAAAGCCTAATACATTAAATTAATAGTAAGCAAATAATCTAAGAAAGCATCATTTCGCATTATCATGATATCATAAGATAATAATAATTTATGAATGCCATCTTCTATTAAAAGGTTTTGGGTTAAATTATAGTAAGTTTAAATCTAAAATTTAGTCTATCTTTTGCCATTTTATTATTGGTTTGACTAAAATTTTGTAAATAGTATTTTACCCTTTTAACACCTACAATTCAATTTTAACAATGAATTTTAATGAAGCATTCATGAGAACTTTTTCATATATTATAATCTCTATTGAACTTCATTATCGGTGCGGTTTACTGAGTAAGCAAATAGAACTTTTGATTATTTTTCTAGTTAGTCAAATAAATATCGTTAATTCAGCAATATAAAATTATGTATACTATTATTTAATGTATTTATTTATCAATTTACTTAATCAAAGATCTAAGTCTTATTTCTTATTTTTTTTAGACTTTTGATTTCTCTTTTCAATTTCTTATTTCACTCTTTCTAAATCCTTAAAATAAGGAATAAAATTACTTTATCAACTTGATGCGAGCCACTTTGTGCTTTTTTAGCTTTTTCTGCTAATACTTTTTTGATGTCTACTTTAACGGCTTATTGTTACTGTTATTGTTATTGTTACTCTTATTATTGTTGTTATTATTATTATTATTGTTATTATTCTGGCTTTTTCTCAGTGGCACCTTAGGCTGGTTATTTATCAGCTTCCTTATTTTTGTTTTTCTTCTTCTTTTTTTTTTCTTAATCTCCAGCCTATTCACCCTCTTTTTAAGTAAATCCTAATTCATTCAATATAACATCTAAATCTTCATTTTCTTTTTTCTTTTAATCTTTCTTCTTTTATTATTATTACTTTTCTTCTTGAGTTTATTTTTGTTTTAAGACTATAGTATAATTAAATAAACATACTTTGATATTAATCGACTTATTCTACTTTAGGCTATTCTTATTCTTTTGTTTATTACTCAGTTTAGACTTATTCTTCAGGTTTCTATTCCTCTTCGTCACTTTCATTCAAAAGTCCTTGGAAATTGTTTTTCTATAGATCTATAAATTTTGAATACACTTGGTTTGATTCTTCGAGCCTCTAATGCAGCTTATTACTCTTTTTAAATTTGTTCAGCCTATTTCTTTTACAACTCCTTGAGTCTAACCCATTCTGGCTTATGATGCTTTTGATATGGTTTTTTTGACTATTTCTTTTGTTCATTATTTTATTCTTATGGTTATTCTTATTTGACTTCTTGGGTCTAATCTTCTTAAGGTTATGTTTCTTAACCTTATGGTTGACTAATTTCTTCATCATCTGAGATTTCTGCCCAATTGACATTTGAAGTGGTACTATCAGCCATTTCAAGATATAAATAATTTTTAAATATTTTACAAAGTTAATAATCGAAATCATCTAGGTACATTTGGATGTAGTGCCAATTCACGAAGATTGCAATCCTCATGATCTTGTACTACAACTAAGATCTTCTCCTTATTAATCATTTATCTGATAACAGCGCCAACCAATCTCTCATATTAATGGACTTCTTCTTCGTGTTCAATTTGATCCAATTTATTTGTAATGTACCATTCAGCTAAATCCTCCCATTTCACACCTTTAGCTTCAGTAATCTCTTCTTACATTTCTCTCTCCTTCTGAATCATGAATGATGTTAACGCTCTTACAATATCCAAATACTCATCTTGAGCCAATTGAATTTTTTATCCTTGTCTTCTCCTCTCTCTTTCCTTCTATTACAATTCCTCCTCAATAATACCCATAGCTCTAGTCTAAATAGGTTATTGCTCTTCTAAATCATCAATAAATTTTGGTGTTTCATCCACTTAAAGAATGGATTAACCTAACAATTTCTCTGCTTCTTGAACATAAGAAACCTTGATGAAATCATCACATTGTACTCTTGCCAAGGCTTCTGATAACCGAATCAAAGATTCCAACTATCTTACTGTGATACGATAACTAGTTCTCTAACTTGTTTGATCGTTCTCTCTCAATCTGATATAAGCCTCCTTTAAATATTATGCACTTTCATGAGTCAGAATTGGCTTAAAAGTTCTAGCATATCTAATGTATTTTCTGAGTTAATCTTAACTAAATCTTGGTTCTATAGCACCTTCCTATTGGCTATGTAACCTAACAATATGAGTAGCAATTTGTTCATCCACGAATGGTCTGCAAGCATCAGTAATAATGAAGAACAAATCAAATCTAGACATAATTGGTTATGTCATATTGACATTGAATTTTAGAGTTTTAGACCTATCATATCTTCCAAATATAGGATTTGCTGCAGCCAAGATAGATGTTCTTGCATTCAAAGTTGCTTATATTCCTGCTTTAGCTATTGAGATAGTTTATTATTCCATTGCTTCATGAATTGCCACCTAATCCTTTGAATCCATTTTATCAAATTCATCAATACAACAAATTCCATTATCTGCCAACATCAAAGCTCCTGCTTCAATACAAAATTCTCCATTCTCAATGTCTCTATGCACTGAGGCAGTCAAACCTGCGGCACTTGAGGCTTTACCAGAAGTATAAACTGATCTGGGCAAAAGATTACAAGTAAACTTCAGAAATTGAGACTTGGCTGTTGAGGGATCACCAACTATACAGACATTGATATCTCCTCTGATATGAACACCTTCTTTGGTAGTCTTATAAACACCTCCCATCAACATTAGGAGAATTCCTTTTTTGATGTCCTCATAACCTTAAACAGCTGGAGCTATTGAATTGGCTAAATTCTTAAAGAGATCTGGTTGTTTTTTCATCTCCAAAATTTCTTATTTTTCATAATCATCAAATTGCTATCCTCTTTTAGCATCCTAATCACTCAAACTCTCAGTATACTCTTTATCATCTATTTGCTGTTTTTAAAGATTGAATCTATTGTTGTTAGTTTCAACACTACAAGCTATAAACACAAATTTATAACATAGGTCTTTCACACCCAATTATTTTAATCCTGTAATTCCATCTTATGTTTAGCCTCTTTAGTTATTTCCTTGATTCTAAGTTGTCATAGAACACTTTAAACCTGGTTTACCTAAACTAAACACATCGGGAATAACAGTCAAATATCCATTAAAAGTGCATTTGTCTCCTGGTTTAGCAGCATCACATTTTTCATTGTGTAATATCACATCTATTGATCTCGGCATGGATCCAGCTGGAATATCTTTAGAGTCTTCCTACACTCTAACCTTTTGAAAGTCTGTAAATTATGACTTATTCAGATTTATCGTCCACTTTGATTTATTATCGCATTTAGTATTTGGGCACTAAAATCTAAAATATGATTACCTTCTTTGGTTCCGTAAATTTAAATTGTTATTCAACATTATCAATAATTCTATCGCACATCTAACATGTAAATTGTGCTGATAGCAACTCAGGTCTCACTTCATATGTACGAGTCACCGTTCCAATGAATGAAGATAATTTACCAATTTTGTTTGCTCTCAAGTCTCTAATCTTTTCTGTTGCTGCCAAGTTAAAAACTGCCAAGAAATAAAGCTTTTCTAAATTTAATTGTTTTCAAAACTTACATTAATCCTCAACATCTTAATGCTAGATAAACATAAATTCTTGGATGGCTCTTCTGAAACTTGGTTCAAATTAATAAAAATCTGTTTGCATTATAATTGACAGATCCTAATATCCTTCAGTCTGAGTGATGTGAGTAAAATCCAAATTTAAGGTAGTACGATCATTATCTCTCATTATACGAGCCTCCTCGTGGTAGTAGTAGAAACTTTCACCTGTTGAGGGATTGATTGTTCTAAACTCTTGTAAAAAGTGTAGAAACCGATTTTAAACCTATTGTTCACGTGTTTCTTACATAATTTAATTATTATTATCCGCGAAATAATATTAAAAGCGCCAATTAATAAGGGAAAATTTTTGTAATTTTATTTCACTAAAAATTTTTATAATAAAATAACTCGATTCTTGGTTCTGATATTTGGACTCGATTATCAATCCATAATACAAGGTATAATCAATTTGATTATCCTAGATGTGTAGTTATTTTGTGCATCTAAAAAGCAACTATTGAATCTACTATCATTTTGGTAGCAAGGATAATTGGGCAAAAAGTATGAAGAAGTTCGATTCTTGTTGATTCCAATTTTTAGAGTTTTATTGTTTCCCGTCTATTTAAAGTTCTGATTAATTTAATTTTTATGAAATAAGCTAATCTCATTGAATTTAGTGTTGAAGATCCTTCATTGAAGCCACTTCTCAAAGAAAATAATTAGAATCCTGTGTTTACTAAATCTTTGCTTATTAAATTTAACTTTGCAAATATTAGTGAAGTTGTTATTAGTAAATATCATTCTTAGATGATGTTTAGAATTAAATCAGAAACCTAGAAATATTATAGCAAAACTATGCAACCTTTCGTAATAATAGACTCAATCAAATTAATATGATTTAGAGTATATAAAATTTTGCTATGTTACTAATGAGAATCAAAAAGTCATTTATTGTAGCTCTGTTAACACAAATCAAGTAACAATAATAGTTAGCAATAAGCTCTATACAAATCTCCTAATAAATCAAGAATAGAATGATGTAGCTTTTTATAGCATCTAAATATATGGTTAGGAACAAGCCCCTAAAGCAAAATAAGGTTTTTTGGATAAGTTCTTTTTTTAACCATTTTCTAATGGTACACACAATCACCATAAAAATACAAATAAAGTTCAGGAAGAAAGAAGGATATAGGAAGTGAATAAAATTGCATAGAAAGAAAAAATGGAACTTGAAAAAGCAGTTGAAAATAGTTTCCTTAGTGCTCAATACGAAGAGATGAATCAGAAATAAATCATAGAGTCTATCAAAGATGCCAAATAATTTTAGTAAAGATAAGTATATCAATTTCAAGAAGATGGACAAATGGGCTAGGAGATTTTGATGGAAAACAATAATTTATAGAAATACTAATATGAAGGGAAGAAATAGCCTAAAGTGAGGAGTGAAAACTTTGGATATACTGATAAGAAAAGTGTTCCTGATTTTGGATTTAAAGGAAATGCTCAAGAAAAATAAGGATAAAGTAGTGATGATCCAATAAAAATATATTTTATGACAAAGTATAAAGCTGATGATATTAATGAGGCTTTTATGAATATGCATTATTTATGTAGAATCATATGATAATTAGTAGTGGAGGAAACAGGTGGAGTGAAGAGAGTTCTAAAAAATGTGATGTATAATTGATATTATAAAATAAATAATGGCACAAAATCCTGCCATCATCGAAGTGGCTGAGAATCCTGAGGAAATCAAAAAGAAGATCAAAGCCTTGCCATTGAAGGAGAAGTTGAAGGCAGTGGCATTGAATTATTACTTGCAATAGAAAAAGAAGTTGGATATTGAATTGGAGAAGGAAATGAAAAAACTTTAAATTCAATTTGATGAGAAGGCAGCAAAAATATACAAAGCAGTAGATATGATGAAATAACAGATAGTCAAATGAAATTATTGAAGGGACGCGTTTGCTTACAGAAGAGGAATTGAAGGATGTTGATTTTTATCTGGAAGGAGAGGAAGCCACATAGAAGAATCAGGCCTTGACAGCTGAGCCAATCAATGGTTATTGGTTTAAGGCATTGAAGAATTCTGATATCATCGCACAAGAAATAAAAGATAGAGACGATCCAATTTTAAAATCGCTTACAAAGATCGAATATGAACCTCAAGAGAAGAGTGACAATTTTTCTTTGAATTTTTATTTTGCTCCAAATGATTACTTCAAAAACTCAGTGCTGAAGAAAAAATTTATATTGAAAGGTGTAAATTATTGATTAATGTTTGAAGATGGTGAAAACCCTGTGAAAAGTGAAGGTACTATAATAGAATGGAATGATGGCAAGAATGTGACTCGAAAGTTGATAAAGAAGAAACAATTAGAAAAGAAGAGCGGTATAGTGAAGACGATCTCTCAGGAAGTGGATGCAGAAAGCTTTTTTATCTTCTTTAAACCAATAAATTTGGAAGACAAAGAACAAATTGAGAAATGGGTGTAAGAGAATAAATTGGATAAATATGCAGAACGTATGGATATCGATTATGATATTGCTCGTATGATAATAGATGAAATCATTCCTTATTCATTGGAGTATTATTTGGGAGTCAAAATTAATGATGCCTTTGATGATATTGAGGAAGTGGACGCTGAATCATCAAAGGGTAGTGATGATGAAGAAGAAAACAAATGAGGAAATATTGGATGAATTGATGAATATAAACAATTAAATTAATTATTATAATTTTTATAATAATTATTATAATATATATTTTAAATAAGATATTGAGGCTGAAATATATTACGTATTATAATGAATATTCATATCCTCAGATAAATATCTTGATATTAATTTATATAAATAAGATTCAAATTTCATGTACGTAAAACCTTTACCCTCTCTAACTCACATTGGTAGATACTATGTCCGCATCATAAAGGACTTGTCAGTCGTCAAATAAATCCCAGCTGGATCCACAGTGCTTGTTGGTGGCTTTGGATTATGTGGTATTCCAGAGTGCAGCATCAATGCCTTAAAGGAAGCAGGCACCAAGAATCTCACTGTAGTCAGCAATAACTGTGGCACTACAGATCTTGGATTAGGATTACTCCTAAACAACGGGTAATTGAAGAGAGTGATAGCTTCATATGCAGGAGAAAATCACAATTTGGCCAAGTAACACAATAATACAATCATCTATAGATAGTACTTTGATGGAACTTTGGAGTTGGAATTAGTCCCTTAAGGCACCTTGGCTGAAAAATTAAGAGCTGCTGGTGCTGGTATTCCTGCATTTTACACACACACCGGAACAGATACAGTTGTAGAGAAGGGTGGAATTCCCATCAAATATAGCAAGGGTGGAGACTCAGTCGAAATTGAATCTAAACCAAAACCTGTAATATCTTCTTATTTGACTCTTTTAGGTTGAATATTTCAATGGCAAGAAGTACATTAGAGAAGATTCTATTTGGGGAGACTATGCTTTGATCAAGGCCAATGTTGCTGATACCAATGGTAATCTTAGATTTGTGGGAACAGCCAGAAATTTCAACCAAGACATGGTTAAAGCAGCTAAAGTTGTTATTGCAGAAGTCGACTCCATAGTGCCAGTTGGAAGCTTTGGATTTGATCAAGCACACGTCAATGGAATATACGTTGACTATCTCTATTAAGGCAATAACTATCTTAAGACTGTCGAGAGACTAGTTTATGATCAAAGCGTATATGATAAGCATAAAGGTATTATACTCATAATACTATTCGTAGATATCAAGCCATAAGGAAAATAGAATGCGATAAGAAATAGAATTGCAAAGAGAGCAGCCTAAGAATTCAAAGATGGCATGTATGTAAATTTGGGTATCGGAATCCCAACTCTCATACCAGCATTTCTTGATAAAAGCATGACAATCCATTTCCACACAGAAATTGGTGCAATTGGAGTTGGTCCATACCCAAAATTAGGCCAAGAATTAGGTGATCTTTAAAATGCAGGAAAAGAGTCATGCACTTTGAATCCTGGTGCTACCACTTTTGAAAGCAGTGAATCCTTTGGCATCATCAGAGGAGGACATTTAGACATGACAGTATTGGGAGCAATGTAAATTACAAAACAAGGAGATATTGCTAATTGGGTTATACCAGGAAAGATGGTTAAAGGAATGGGAGGAGCAATGGATTTAGTTGCTTCTGGATCTAAAGTGTTGGTAGTTATGGAACACACTGCCAAAGGAGAAGTCAAATTTGTTAATCAATTATAATACCCAGCAACAGGAATGAACAAAGTCAGCCAAGTGATCACAGGTATTTAATATAATAATTATTTATAGACAAGGCTGTGTTTGTTAAGAGAGATGGTCAATTGGTCTTGACTGAAATCTCTAGTGATACTACACTTGAATGGGTTAGAGCCAATACCGGATTTGAATTGACAGTTGCTGATGACCTAAAAACCTTCTAAGTTTGATACAATATAATAATATATTAATTATGGTAAAATAATAAAAAAAATCCAGTTTCACTGTTATTCCTCCTCAACCAGATTTCCAAGAATAGGAAATTGAACTTCTACAAGAGGATCTCAATGACGATTTAATTAAAACATTATCCAAAGCAAACACAAATTCAATCGCCACAATTGTATAAAATTCTTGTTTACATTTAGAAAGAAAAAGAGAAAAAGGTCGTGGAATTCAAATCCAGAGTTCTCGAATTAGTTGAGATTTTTGTTTCAAACACAAAGAATCCTACAATATTTATTGAGAGAATTTATCCATTCATCAAAATGATTAGCGATTTTAAGAACCCTTAAAAAATATAGTATATCAATAGAGTTTGTAAATTAATACACTAAATCATACAAAAAGGAGATTTGGGAGAGCACATTGATAATATGAAATAATGTTGTGAAACATTAATTACTTATTTGCATAAATGCTAAGACAAATCTATTAATAAGAGATTCTTTGAATTGCTTGATCTCATTCTCAAATAGATAAGTTAACATGATAAGAAGTCCGTTGCAGACATAATTGTCAAAGGTTTAGTGTTGATGAGAAAGAACAGCAACATTTAAATGCAAAACATCAGAAAACTCATATTCAATTATTAATTTGCACTAGTTCCAGTCATACTTAAGTTATGCCAACTGAGTGAAATTAATGAAAACTATGAAAGAAGCAAATATAATGTATATTGCACAATCCTATCATTTAGTTTAGTCATCTATTATTCACACTTATTTAGAATGAGCAAATAAAGAAGAAGATAGTTTCCAAGGAAAAAGTCAAGCAAGCAATTGTCAAATTAACATAACACACTCTAGAGAACTATGCTTCATAGAACTATAAAAGAGTAGCAATATTTAGATAAATTCTATTGTCATACAAAACATTAGAATTGAATGAACTCTAAGAATAGATTCAGACATTCAAATCAGAAGATTAAAATGTCTAACACATCATTAATAAATTATAATGAGTATATTATTCTATCAAATCATCAGTTTCTTCTCATATAGTGGAACCAATTATCGATTTATCTCCAAGTATCATTAAGAGAGATTATAATCTCTTACTTAAATTTTGCTGTTGCTTCCTAATCAGATATGTTTAAAGCCAATTAATCCTCAATATATTTTACGTTGGAAGCCTATTATAATTCGGGCATGCCAGCTGATAAATTCATTAAGAATATATTAATAAGAAAATGACCATGTTTTCTGACCAGATTATAAGCATTAGTACAATCTTACTAAAACTTTTTAAAGAGATCTCCATCTCTACCTCCCATAACAAATGCCATCTAAAATTAAGTTTAATAAATAATAATACTTCTTCAGTTAACACAAATTTAGTTCTCTCTCTTTTAATACCAAATTTCTATTTGAAATTTCCCAAAAAATGACCAAAATCAATATGAAATAGATGGCCAGTATCAGTAATCATAATATTACCAGAATGTCTGTCTCCTATTCCAAGAACATAGGTTGCAACACAATAACCTGCACAGGATCTTAGAAAATTATCGGTGGCAGTTTCAAATGATTAAGGTTCACTATTTTTCTTTTTCAAATGATTCCATATAGTTTTTTGTTAAAATGCCCCCATAAAGCCTCCTTGGCCATGAATTTTTTCAATAGTCAAAGAATTACTAACAACTTCAATCATACCCACATTGTCTTAGGTAGATATGGTCTTATATGGTTTCATTCTAAAATCTAGACCATCATCCAACCAGATCTTATCCATAATCTTAATTAATTGCAGTGTCAACATATCCTATCTGATGTCATCACCAGTTTTAAAAATGATTTTGAGTAGATGCTATTTGTTTTACTCCTCTTCCTCAATTTCTTCTTTCTATTCCTTTTAATCCTATTACTACTTATTATTGTTATGCAGATTTTCATCTTGAGGTATGATAACTGAGACATTATTTCCATTAAGGTTTTCTTCTTGTTATTTAACATGGATGGGTGGTTGTAATTACAACTCATCATCATTTTCAAGACACTTCGGTATCACTGCTAGCCATAGAGGCATTTTCTTAGAATCCATAACCTTGCACTTATCATATTAGATTGATTAAGCCTCCATTCTTGAGTCTAGAGCAAAGGAGAAGGGTTTAGGCAATTTGGGATAGAGCTGCAATAATTCAGTCTTCAAGAAATGCTAGCGTAAATCTTTGGGTACATTCTCTTCCTTGATCTTTTATGCTATATTAAACAACTCATTATCGACAAGAACTTCATTCATTAATTGCTACCTAAATTCCCCGCAAAGCATTAATAACTGTTCTAACAATAAAGAATATCTTTCATAGGATGGTCGTACATGCAATTAAGCTTTGAGCAACCAGAACAATTCATGTCCAACAACCCATGGATTTTGCAGACTCCTCTCTAACAGCATCTCAGCCAATGGATTGAATAGATGTTTCTCAAACATCAAACATTAGGTCAATTCTAACATGTACAATTGTAATTCATCATCAGATAATATACTCACTCTCTCAACTGCATAGAGTCGAACTGTTTCATCTGCAAATTGTGCATCCAACAAAGGCAAAGCATCTTCAGGTGGCAAGGGTGTCCATAATTTGATCATGTTATGGGCCTCTCTGACTTGTTCAGGATCATCCCATTCAATGGCCATCAAAAAGATTTATAATGCATAAGGCAATGTTTTGTAATGATTCCTACAGATCATCAATATGTATTTATGCTAATCTGTATAATAAGGCCTATTTAACGGATTGTATTTGAGTAATGCTTACAGGATGGCAAGATCCTCAGTCCTTGGAGTAGTTGACCAATTCTTGTAAGGAAATACTTAATTGTAATTTTCTTGAATGCTCTAATTCTGCTATATGCTTTATTATGAGAATTGATGACTTAATTTAAAGGTGCTCAGTTAAGTGCTAGATTAATCATGTACATTAAAGCTGCTGCCCTGATTCATGTGCATCATAGATTATGCAAAATGTGTCTACCTATCTTGCATTTCTCCAAAACGAAGAATAGTGCCTTAATCCTATGAAGAGTATCCGACTTGCATGTATTATTCATATGGATTGGTATGCTATCTTTGATGTACATTATAAAAAGATGCCATTCCTGTTCTTTATTTCTTTAGGAATAATTGGGAATTGCTAAAACTATTAGATTGCGAGTTCGTATTTATTTATTGATACGCAGAATTTTTATTAGTATTTTAGTATGTCGAATTAAATTGATCCTAGGTCAAGGCTGACGATTGAGATTGTTGATAGTTTGAGTAATCTGAATTGGGAATAAACTTGTTTCTCATTTCATAATACCTTTGTGATCTAGCTGATTTCGAGAAACCTAATTCTTCCATCTGCTTTTCATCTCTAAGACTCCATTTCATAGTCTAATTGAACTAATCCAATTGCACTAACAATCTGCCATAAGATCTATTAATAAGTTGGGAAGAGATATAATGTTGATTCTTATTACTATGATGAGGAATGAGCAATTATTGATTCTACTACTTAACCCATCCCCAATATTAACCCATGCAGAGTAATCTAGGGTCAATCTTATAGAATGGCCAGATGTTTAATTGATTTACGGATGATCTGAACTTTCTTTCCTCATAGAAGATGTACATGGTGGTACATCCAATAATTTACTATTATCCAGTAGCACTGTGAGCAATAATGTTGAAACACAATCTAGCTTCTTGTGGCAATTAAGATATTTTGATGCCTTAGAAAGTGATGGTCTAATAAAATTTGGGACATTAACTGAATGGTTATTTTTTGGTTTCAGCTTGACACCAAGGAGTGAGCAATTTGCACCCGTGAAATAAACTTACTTATACTGAGATGAGATAAGGCAAAAAGTCTAGATCATATCTCTCCTGCAAAGTGGCTAATTCATCAAGGTTATCTTAACCTCCAAAGGGGATGTACCTCTTGATGTCGATATTCTTGTTTTCCAAGACTCGTCCAGTTCTCTTGTGCAATTTGAGATGCACCTATTATCTTTTATTAATGTCAGATTCATCGTTTTTCTTATTGCTTTGTTTGTGTTGTTCTTCTTCAACCTTGGTTCCAGCATTCTTTTTGGTTATATACAGTGGAGGTATCAATCCATTATAGGTGGCTCTCTGGTGCTGATTCTCATACTTGTTGTCTTGCTCCAATGTTTACAACAAGTTCTCGATGGAACAAATCTTAACACTGAAAGGCCAATCACACTCTCCAGAATAGAGTACATTCTGCTCAATTTTCAACATGTTTAATTTCTGCAATTCATTTCTCATTGAAATCAAATCATAGATTTATCCACTAGTTTTTTGCTTCTAGGGAATAGTGTTTTCTTGGGATGGAGCACGGATCGGATTTTCATCAATTGACATCCTCTTCATTCTGTCCTCGTGATTGATGAAGATGTCTTGACTATTTGAGACTTTGATCTTGTCGAATTTGATTAATGGGGAGGGTCCAAAGCCTAAAGACAATCGAGTATTGGGTATTTCGGATTCATACTTCTTTAGTGGGATGGGAGAGTACCATAACAAGGCTGGGACATCTCTAAATTTAATCCAGTCAATTTAGGGATAGGGTTCTGCTCCTTTAATTCTATGAATGATTGGAGGGAACAGAAAGGTCTGATTAGACTACTTGGGAATCTCAGTCAAGATCACTTCCAAGTGTTTCATTCCTCTCAATTAGACTCTCACTCGATCATAGGATAGCATAGGATGATTGCCTGTCAAAAACTCTTTGAAACCTGAGATCTGCAAGATGAACTAATTGTTATCGTCCTTTGGCCTCAACTTGACGTTGAATCTCTAATAGACTTCTCTCAGCACACTCTTGATCACTTCATCAGCTCCAGTGACCAAACCTGCCTCGATCTCTACTATATTGGGTTTTTCCATCAATTAGACTTCAGCTGGCATATTTTAGAATAATTCTCGGTATTGATTCAATTTAACTTAGAGCTTGATTGAATTCACTTTGACAAATGCTTGACTAAGAGTTGATTAACATAAATATGTTGGAATCGAGGAAGATTATTTATGCAGCAAGTAAGAGGGTATCTTCCTTCTCCTATATTGATCGATCTGCTTTGAAGCCATGAGCCAAGTACCTAGCAACCTAGAATTTAGACATGATACCTGTCTTCAATTTGAGCATCGATTCAATTTATTGGATTGCTTATAAGGCTTTCTATCGGTAATCTTGATCTACGTCCTGTTCCACTCTCACCTCATTGGTGTTGATGTTCAAGGTGTAGATCTAGCAACTGTCAGGATCGGCACAGATCAACCACTTCTCTTCCACCTACTGCATTTATATTTATTTATATAATTCAGAATCATTGTTTTTCAGAGAATTTGTTTGTTGTCCTAATAGTAGATACCTTATAATAATATATAAACAAAATGATTTATTTTCATTATTTAAATTTAAGTAATTTCTAGAGGTCGTACTCAGTGTTGAATCTTTTGCTCGATGAAGAGTTCCTGAAAGATTGAGTGGAAGCACATTATGAAATTTGGGAATTCTTTACTGACTGAAATCTCGGACATACTGCACTCACTTGTGGAGCTACTCTAATCCTACACAAATCCATACCATTTAAAGACAGAGTCGTGATCTTATTCCTTATAATACTAGTTCGAATCGAAGATCTCAAACTAGCATACTTCATCTTCTCAACGAATTACTCCCTCTTACTCTTAGGCTAATCTGAAACAAAATCGAAATTTTAGAATTCTTTTTCAAATTTGGTTTTTTACTCCCTATGCAAATTGTCTTGCAGCTTTTACTGAAATTCCCGATCGCCCTTACTGAATTCGGCCACATTATAATTCGTTTGGAGTGGCTAAGGTCTATAATGAATGTTGAGCTATTTTTTATAGAGTGCAGTGTAATTGAAATTGCTAAGCCATTAATGATTGAGCACATCCTCGATGCCATTTATTTTCCCCAGTCTTTCATTCTAATCCTTGTTCAGCAGGTGGAACAACAGATGTTTGAGTTGATCACTAATTTTAATATGCTCAGGGAACTCCAATTTATCATATTGAATCGAATTTAGGATGTTTTGCAATTACTAATCATAATATGGGGGATACCCATATATGAACTCATACAAAACAGCCCCTAAACTATAACAGTCTAGCAATTGGCTATGTCCTCTTTTGGATACCATCTCTGGCGACATGTATTCAGGAGAGCCACAAAAGGAGTAGGTTTACTTGTCTCTGGAGATGTTCGGTTTTGAGAGACCGAAGTCAGACAATTTAATATAGCCATCTATATCCAGTAAGATATTTTCTGGCTTCAAATCTCTATAGATCACATTCTATTCATGGAGATAATGGATTGCCAGACATAATTGTCCAAAGTATTGTTTTGCAACTTCTTCATTCAACGTTCCCATTTTTCGAAGATGAAAGAATAATTCACCTCCATGACAATAACTAAAATATTATATACACTCGATTATACTCCATCACAAAAACCAAATAGTATTTAGTTTCAAATGAACAATGCAACCTAGTCAGGAATTGACTATCCAGATTACTCATTATCCACTTCTCATTGTTTATCATACTCTCCTTGCTGTTCTTTATTATGAAAGATTTGTCTATAATTTTCATTGCAAAGAATTGTCCATTCCTTTTCTGCTTCACCAAATACACTCTCGAAAAGCCTCTAAAAAATTCTAACTCTTTACCCTACGCCAATACATTTTATCAAAATGAAATCATCAAAAGAATTGCTCTTACTTTCACTATAGTAGATTGGCATCAATTTCAGAGTCCTCCCCTTGCTGAACACCGACAACGGCTTATCATCCAATGACAAATAGTAATCCACATTGTAATTTTGGGTGTAGCTTTAAAAATATGCTATCTTTTCATAATTCTATGGATCGTACACGCTCATCTTCGTGATCAATTTCTAATACAAGTCTGTCGTAGTTTGATCTAGACCGATGGGAACGATATACCTATTTTACATCTATATATACTATTTATCCTACGTTATCAGTGTAATTATCAGTTCATAATTGTCCCTATCACTATTTAAGGTTCTGATGTGGGAAACCCCTTTTAGTTTCACTGCAGCTGAGACAACTAAGGCAAAATAAGACTCTGATTGCATACTTTTCTAAACATCCAATAATTTTGGAGATTTGAGTCTGCCTATTCTCGGAGGTGATAATTGCTGTCTCGGACTCAGACTTGGGTTTTGTGACTCTGCTTTCTTCTTTTTTTTCAATAGTTCCAATAATTTATTACTTTGCACCATTTGACAACTTTGAGTTCTACTCATTAATTTGTAAATATAAAAAATGCAATATGTATATTATTAATGTATTTTTTGACTTGATTTTTACAAATTGTCAAATCTCTAATTTTTACATTCTGATTATTTGATATATTAANACTCCAATTTATCATATTGAATCGAATTTAGGATGTTTTGCAATTACTAATCATAATATGGGGGATACCCATATATGAACTCATACAAAACAGCCCCTAAACTATAACAGTCTAGCAATTGGCTATGTCCTCTTTTGGATACCATCTCTGGCGACATGTATTCAGGAGAGCCACAAAAGGAGTAGGTTTACTTGTCTCTGGAGATGTTCGGTTTTGAGAGACCGAAGTCAGACAATTTAATATAGCCATCTATATCCAGTAAGATATTTTCTGGCTTCAAATCTCTATAGATCACATTCTATTCATGGAGATAATGGATTGCCAGACATAATTGTCCAAAGTATTGTTTTGCAACTTCTTCATTCAACGTTCCCATTTTTCGAAGATGAAAGAATAATTCACCTCCATGACAATAACTAAAATATTATATACACTCGATTATACTCCATCACAAAAACCAAATAGTATTTAGTTTCAAATGAACAATGCAACCTAGTCAGGAATTGACTATCCAGATTACTCATTATCCACTTCTCATTGTTTATCATACTCTCCTTGCTGTTCTTTATTATGAAAGATTTGTCTATAATTTTCATTGCAAAGAATTGTCCATTCCTTTTCTGCTTCACCAAATACACTCTCGAAAAGCCTCTAAAAAATTCTAACTCTTTACCCTACGCCAATACATTTTATCAAAATGAAATCATCAAAAGAATTGCTCTTACTTTCACTATAGTAGATTGGCATCAATTTCAGAGTCCTCCCCTTGCTGAACACCGACAACGGCTTATCATCCAATGACAAATAGTAATCCACATTGTAATTTTGGGTGTAGCTTTAAAAATATGCTATCTTTTCATAATTCTATGGATCGTACACGCTCATCTTCGTGATCAATTTCTAATACAAGTCTGTCGTAGTTTGATCTAGACCGATGGGAACGATATACCTATTTTACATCTATATATACTATTTATCCTACGTTATCAGTGTAATTATCAGTTCATAATTGTCCCTATCACTATTTAAGGTTCTGATGTGGGAAACCCCTTTTAGTTTCACTGCAGCTGAGACAACTAAGGCAAAATAAGACTCTGATTGCATACTTTTCTAAACATCCAATAATTTTGGAGATTTGAGTCTGCCTATTCTCGGAGGTGATAATTGCTGTCTCGGACTCAGACTTGGGTTTTGTGACTCTGCTTTCTTCTTTTTTTTCAATAGTTCCAATAATTTATTACTTTGCACCATTTGACAACTTTGAGTTCTACTCATTAATTTGTAAATATAAAAAATGCAATATGTATATTATTAATGTATTTTTTGACTTGATTTTTACAAATTGTCAAATCTCTAATTTTTACATTCTGATTATTTGATATATTAATTAACTAACCAAAGATTCGACTCTCTTTTAATATATTCATGCATCCAATCACTATGGAATAATTCATATTGTGCTATTCAAAATTTAAGAATTAGCTAACTCCTCACAATATAAATATAAAACTCAAACTTGACTCAGTCATATCTCAGTTTGAAACTTTGAATTGTCCAAATCTTATTCTGAATAAGAGGTTTGTTGAAAACTTACTAAGATTATAACTTCTCCATCGTTGAATTAATTGATTAATAAATTTATCAAAATATACTTTAAATTCAAATTAGAATAATGGATTAATCACCAGATCTCCCCTAAAACTAAGTGTTGTAAAGAAGTGAAACGCAGGCTATTCCAAAAGATACTACTGGCAGAATAGTTTATTAAACATATTTTTGTTTATTGGGTACCACTCTACTAGTTTTATCAATTATATCTTATTATTTCTACTGCGATGCATTCGATAATTATAAGTTAATCATAGAGAATTGGCAGTAATAACCAATAGAATCCATACGAATGACTTTTGATAATTGCAATGATGGTGTAAGAATGAACATAATGTTTTAGGAAATAAATTTAATCAATTACAAATGGCCTGGAACTGTGGATGGATGCGATTGTCGGTATGGTTTAAGATTATTGGCTGTTTAAACTAATAATCATCACACATGGATCCCAAGAAATAAGATCTACAATAATCATGCTTGTAACATAACACAAAGAGCATGGGGATGTGTTTCCGTATATGCTAAAAACCCTATTGATTTTCATAGATTCCCATCAAAAACACAAAAAGAAGGGTTCAAACTATGTGCTGTGCTTGAGAAAGACAACAGTTTCTATTCTCGCCATCCTGATTCAAATGAATGTCCAAAAGGTTAAATAAAATGTGGAAACCAGCCCGATTACTTTTATTGTACTAGTTAGCCCCAATGTCCGGTATTTGAAATCGGTTTCAAAGGTGCTTCTGAAGTGTAAGATGCGTAAGAATAGACGGAAAAGGGATTTACACTTTTATATAATAGAAAGAGTGAGTACAAACTACCATTGGTGGAGGTTAGGGTGTCAGAAGGAAAAGGGATTTGCATGAAGAATCATGAGAGAGGGTTGACTTCTGGGAGAACAGAGTATTCATTAATGAGAGAGAACAAAACTGAATGCGAAATTGATAACCGATTTATTAAGTTGCAATCCTCAAATGAAGTAGAGTTTTATGAATCCAATAATCAATTGAAATTGTAGGATCAACTGAGAGGGTATGAGATTTCAACATAATATCAATGGGGTAATTGAGATTCTTAATTCAGGTCTTTATGGTCGAGGATATATTGAGTGGAAGATGTCGTGTAGAGGAGAAACCTTTGATAATTTTATTGATCAGGAACAAATATTGGAAGAGATCTTACATACTTAGAAACTTCTGATGATAGTATCTATAATCTACTTCTTCGTAATCTCAGTAATGTGGAGTTGTATACAAGCCCAAACTATATAAGGAGAGGATTGGCCTTGTATTAAAGGACGTGGCACTGAAGAGTCCAACACCATATTTTATTTGGAAATACTAACCAAAGTTTTGTTATAGAGTTTATAGGCTTTCATCATTTTTTCTAGTTTTAGTAAAACCAAGGCGGAAAGTGACTTTTTAGAAGGTGTTCTCCTGCAGAATTGCTCTGACGAATATGTTTAATTACAATTAGAGTACTTAAGGGATATGCTCACTGAAAATATTTATAATTTTAACAAGGGCTGCTTGATTCTATTTTGTGTTACCACAGCCTTTGACTTTTGTGTGGCATTATATCTGGTAGTTTCATTCATAAAGGATAGAAATTCAAAGTAAAGTAGTTTTGAATATCGAGATGAAATTAAATAGGGTTATGAATTAAATTAAATGAATGGGATGACAAATCAAAATTAATAACAATTAAATGATTAATCTCAATACAACAATTGATTGATTTATAATAATAATAACATTTATACAATCATTCTTAATAAAAATACTCCAAAAATGCAACAAAGGCTGATGCTCTTACATAGCTATATATTGATATACCTTGCTTGTCAACACCCTCTAATCCTTTTCCTTCTTTAATTGCTTATTTGATGGCATTTTTCTTCTCATTCAACTCATCCTATTTCAGTATCTAGTTAGATTATTTTGATTGAATATATTGATTTATTTGCCTTGAAATTCCATAATATTTGAACCTATACCACAAGGCCAAACATCCTTTTAGAATAGTAAGTATTGTCAAGATGACTGAGATAAATAGGATTAAACCCTAAGGAAGCAAGTATATTTGAATCTAGAACAAAATCAATAAGCATGCAGTGAATATGGTATTAAGTACTATCCATTTTAATAGGAACTTAAACTTTTAATAGGCCTTGTCTGAATTGACTGAACTAGACCCTGTATTAGTCAGTCCTTTCGTGCCCCATGACAAGTCATCAATTCTGCAAAATGAATAGATGACAAATAAATGCATATAAGTCGGTTGATAATAAAAGTATGGGATCATTGTTAAGGCTGCATTGAATATATTTTATGGCAATAAACAGATTGATGATAGTATTGGTAGGATTATGGATCCTATGGATACAACCACAAGAACCAAATAGTAACTCTGTGGAACTTGAGGTTTCTCCACTATATCATTGAATCCATAATTGAAGAATATTTCCGAGATTAGCAAATAAATTGTGTATACTACAGTGCCTAGACTGATGAATCCCAAACAAGTTGACACAAAAAAGAGTCTTGAGAAGTAATAATCTGTCTCTGCTTTTTGTTTAGCCGAGGATCCCAATTCTCTAATTAAAGCAGGATCATAATTAATAGCCAAATATATAATCATAAACACCAAATATACATAGAAGGCAATGACTGTTGAAATAATAAAATTATTTAATCCCGGATCTCCAGTATCTACTATAGCATACAATATCATATATAGCCAAAGAATTTGAAATGACTCCATAAAGTATATCATGAGTTACTAAATCTTGGCCTAAGTGATAGATAATTTAAATTTTTATTTATCCCACCAAGAATGTTAACTAGCATTTAACTCCTCATCATAATTATCAGATATGTAAGATAACGCATGCCACGATCCATTAATCCACCTCCTTCTTTGTAGAATCAATAATTTCAATGAACTACATGGATCAACATAAACCAAAGAACTCGCTATGTATCTAAGATAGTATCCATTGCAAAATAGTAGTTTACACAAAACTCTGTCTTCAGCTAAAAACATGTTGGCTTCTTCTAATGTTTGATGTTCATAATTTTGATCCAACACCTACTTCAAATATTGATCCAATATAGTTTTTCCTTCTTCTTCTTCTACTTTATAGTTTTGTTCGTTTTTTTTTTTTTCTTCATCATCCTACTCTTCTTTTATTTCTACCTCTCTTTTTTGCGGTATTGCTTAATTCTAATTGCTCATCTTTGCCATACCATCTTAATATTTTTCAGAAAATGCCTTATATCTATATGCGGAAAATGCACCAGGAAGGACATGAATAAAATCAAGTGCTGATTCTGCCTATTTATCAAGCAAATGGGCAATGTCATATTCACAAGATTGACATTTTTGAATTGAAAATACTTTGTTTACCAGAATATTAGTCACAATATCCAATTCTACATCATCTTTATCATCCTCTTCAATCTAAACTCTCATTGTTCCGCACACTCCTCCCAATTTAGGATTCTGTTCCATTGCCATTATTAATTAGAAAATTGCATCCTTTTAAGGATTAGCACCAACATCCATTAATACACAGTAATCTGGATTGAATATTTCGCAAAATCCTTTGAAAAACCACATGTGAGATGATAATTTTGAACCATTGCTAAATTTGAATGTATAAAATATAGGGAGTATACCCTCCAATCCTTAATCTACCAAGTTATCTTAATAGACCCACGCAGTATTTTTTCTATTCTCTATATACATTTTTGCCCTTTTATACTAGTCTTCCATCGCATCAACAATATTCTATTCTATCCATTCATCCTGTGCAACCAAATTATACTCAAATCCTTTTAATCTTATCATTGTCTTTTTCAAAGTCTCTCTATGTTTCTTATATTTTCTCAGTAAGTCATCTGGGTGAGCTCGGAGATATTTAATATTTTCTGGCTTGTAATCTTAGAATCGTTTGAATTATTCCTAATATTTATTGTATTAATAGGTTAAAGTTTACTCCTCTTGAAACCCATACTTCTTATCCTTTTCGCTTGAAAAATAGGCTAAAATAAAACTCAATAAATACGAACAATATTGTCTCGATAGGATCCAGGTACATTATGAAGATTAGAGATTCCATCAAAAATTACAGTCACTGCTATTTAATGAGGTGCTATCCCACTAATTATACAAATATCAAATACATATCTAAGAAGGGGGCTATGTTCTTTGCTATTCCACTCATAGATTTTTCTAATTCCGATAATTTTTCAGAATACATAGTTATGCATATCATAATTTTTATTCTATTTTCATTTTATTTCTCTGTGTTATTTAATAGAACACTTATTAATCCACAGTTCTCTTATAAAGCATTTTTCCCTTGAAAAATATCAACCGCTTTTAAATCAACAGATTGTCTTTTATCAAATTCATCCGATTCCTCTGAATGTTCAAAACCATTATTCACTACCTTAAATTTCCCCTTCTTTTGTAATTCTAATTCTATTGGCTTAAACATTTTTTTATGTGCTAAATTATAATTGGTGTTATCGTAAGCTTTATAGAACTTGCAAGTAATGTTCATGGGATTCTAAATAAAGAATTATTATTAATATTACTATATTATAATTAATCAAGGATTTTAATGTCAATGGAATTATATATTCTATCTAAGAATGCAATTGGCAATTTCACTTTAAACGCAAAATTTCAATCTCTTTTATAATGATATAATGATATATATTATTATTTGATCAATCAATATGTATATCAACTTCTAAACTTTGTTGGATTAGAAGGCCTAGTTTCCTTCTCTTCGAATATTGCCCCCCATATTTCAATCGATGTTAACTAATTCAAAACACTCAATCATACATTTAAAAACTCTATGTGTGGCTCCAATATATAGCCCATTTCGTAGGTTTAATCGCATGAATTATTAATACGATTTGTGGCATTCCCTTTGAGGTTCTCGTCGATCCAAATCCTGAAATTTCCTTTGCCGTCCCCTCCAAACCCTAGACCATAAGGCTATGGCACCTTCAGATTGAAAGCTCGGCTATTTATATAACCAAAACATTATTTTGATTTGATATCAAATGTACTCATGAATAATTGATATTTAGGCAGTAACGAAAAGAGGAAGCTTTTCTCGTCTCCAAAGTAAAGTGACACCAAGTCATTAGGATTATAGAGGATTCCTAGATAATGAATACTCAACAATTACCCATGGGATCCTTCTGCTGCTTTCTAACAAAATGAGTCTCAATTGTTTAATCAATACTAATATAGGCTCCAAAAACCTATTATTAGAAAGTATCATTTTAGGTTTCATCTTCGCGATTTCTAAAAATAAACAGCAATGGCTATTGGGATTCTATTATTATCTCTGTAATATGCTCTAAATCATCATATCCTACAGAGGATGAAAATTTGAGATCCAACTACTTAATTCGATTAAAGTCAGGAGAACTCATTTATAATAGTGCAAGTATTTAATCATTCAATATAAAACTAGAAGACGTCAAAGCTGGAATACCATATTTAAGATGAGGATCAATAAATTTTTTTGTAAAATACTATTTGCACATTTTGTTAGCGTATATTAATTGTTATTTTGCTAAGCCGATAAACTAGTTAAATGGCAAGGAGGCCTTTTAATCAAAAATAGAATTGGCTACGCTTCTGGCAGCCAAATCATTTCTTTAGCTATTTGTTACTTCCTTATTAAAGTAATAGACGTTCAATAACTCCTTAATCACTGTACTTCCTTGAGAGTAACTTACTTGAAATCTGAATACAATGAATTTGAGTACCTGTTTATTGCTTCCTTCTCATTTTCCAAACAACCCAAACTTATCAATGCAAATAACTCAAATTTCTCAAGGACTCTGAATTTGTAATCACTTAAATAATATTCCTACTATTCTTTTAAGAGGAGTTCCACTAGAGTTTTAGATTGATTGTTTACATGTGATCACAAAATTAGTGTAATCTATCTGCTAATTCTTGCAGCGTTCCCTCATCCAATTATAGAGTTTGATTGAGAAGTCAGGGTTTTCGGGAAACTCTGGGACCATTGATTTCTGGGTCAGATATCCGTTTCTATTTAGATCATATTGTGTTGAAATTGTACAATGAATCATGACATTTCAATAGTTCGAAATAGACTTCCAGAATGTCAAGTTCAGAATCAGAGAATGCCACTTTGGCATGCTTCTTGATGGCCTTAGACTTTGATCCTCCCATTCTAAAAATAAAATATTTATTTATTAAAATATAAATTATTTCAATCATCATCCTCACTACTCTCATCCTCTTCAGATTCTTATTTCTTCTACTTCTTGTTTTATGGTTTTTTGGTGACTTTGGCATCATCCTTCTTCTTCTTTCTTTCATTCTTAATCTTTCCATGTACATCCTCGTAGGCTCTATAAATATATAAATAGATATGAGAACTTCTTTTCTTTTTCAAAGATAGCCTTACTATCCTTGTACTTTTATTCGTATTAATCAATTTTATCCTTGGCCAGTTGTTTATACTATTCAGAAATGATTTTTGTGATATCAGTCATTTTCTTGCCGGGATTGGCATCCTTGACTTATTAATACACCTCCTATTTGTAAATAAAGAAAGCGCATTATGGTCTTTTGGGTGGTGCCTCCTAAACAAATTATTAATTTATATATATACCTTTTTAGTATTATTATCTGTCATTTGTTTTATGCTAATGTATTTTGTTATTTAAATTGAGATTCAATGCTTTTGTTTTAATTAAAATTTCAATACAAAAAAATCCCTATATAATTATAATCAACCAATAAAATTACATAAAACATTCCAACAACTCCTCCCCCTTTAAAATCCATTCATTTCCCGCCAATTTGCTGCAATTACAAACATAAAATTTTATCTGATCAATTATTTTCCTTCCCAATCCCTTTTCCCATCCACCGACCTCCTAAATGCCCCCTTCACTGCCCCTTCTTCAATTCTATCCCCCATTTTTCAGACCTCAATCAATCATAAATTAATTCCCTCGGACTTAATCTTTCCAAATTTTTTATTAATACTTTCAAATACATAAAAACTACAATGAGAATATTTACATACAAAAATTACTCATATTATCAGAAATTTATACATATCAATTAAATATTTAAAGACAATAAATATCATAAATACCAATCTAATAATTTCATCATCACATCCCTCTAGACACTCTTATCATGGACCCAAAAACCTTTATATATAATAAATAATGCTTTTTAAATAAGAAAATGCAAACTAACAGAACTTATTAGATAATTAGAATAATTTTATATAAAATCCGCTTTTTAATAAAAATAATTAAGCATAATTTGCAGGTCTATTCATTCAAATAATCTTCTTTAACCTTGATTCATCGAAGCCTCTCTTTTGAATAATATTTTATTTTCATTATGATACTCTCTACCTTTCCAATTATTAAATAGAGTTTCTGCAGGCTAAAGCAAGTCTACTTCAATTAATATAATGAATTGAAGGTTTCACTTTATACATTGGTATGAAAGAAGGTCCAATAATGTATTTCTACTAATTGATATTGCTAATACCTGTTCTTTCCCAATATTATTTTTTTAAATTATCCTCATTATTCTATTTAGCCTATCCTAATAATCATTAACCTAATTTATTATTAATATTATATCCCTTTACATCCAGGTTAAACAAAAAGAAAAGCTCAGCCTGAATTGTTACGTTAATGTGAAATACTTGTTATATTTGAATTAAAAAATTACAAATAAATTAAGATACAATGAGAAATAATTATATTTTTCATTTTATTCTTTAGATTTACCACTACCTTTGAAGAGAGAGATCTAAAACTTCATATCCATTTAAACATTACATAATAATTTAAATATTCAATATCTTTCATAATATGTCAAATTTAGAAAAGCGATCTATTTTTCTTAATGTTTTTGGATTTACAATTCTAACTTAGGATGTTTTCTTAAACTATGGTGATTTTGAGAACAATACACAAGGAAATACCTCATTGTGAATGTCAAAAGGAATGCACTAAAATTAAGGGTAAACATATACAAATATAGACTGGTGGTTGTACTTTTTCCATTTTATATATTACTTTTAGAAATCAAAAATTACTATAATAATATTTGATTCTTCGAATTCAAAAGATTATCCTTACATCACTTGATTTTCTCTATTAGGATACACTCTACCAAAGTTATCGAGTAGATACAGACTAAATATTATATAAATGAAATACCCTTGAGTTTGATTGGAATCTGTGTGTTAATAATTTTGCTGAGCCAATATATCTTTATTACAAAGGCCAATTGCAATATTACCATCAATTTTTTTAATTTTGAATGCAAATTTTGTAACAAATGCTTGACTTAAGCTCTCTTCACATATAGCACATCCATATAACTTTGATGTGGCTGATCGTCTCGCTTTATCAAGTTTGATAGATTCATGTTTATAAGTTTCAGAAAACCTAATCAGTGGATGTTCAACGTGTTAATTTAAAAGTATGTTATCTAACATCAAACTATTTTAAGCTGGAATCAAACTTTGACTAAAAAAATTATTTTGTTTTTCAGAAAATTAATTAGGATGGCTGGATTCAACAAATGTGAATTATAATAGACATCCAATCAAGCAATTGTACAAATTATCAATACTTATTTCTTACTTTTAGATCAATAATTTATTATCATCATTAGGTTCTTATTATTATTGTTTCACAAAGTTATCAACATCACAAAGCATATTTCTTAGTGTTTCACTATATTCTAAGATTTTGCGTAATGTTTCTTCTCTGGGATGGCGTGCCCAGTTTGTTCCTAAATTATTAATTGGGACTTATTCTTTCATACAATTATTTAATTGGATTCTGGCTTTTTTTTTGTTTGGCTTCAAAGCCATAGTCTATTTAAATTGATTAAGCTTCTTGTTTTATTTTATTCCCCTTTTGGAAATATTACTTTTTATTTATATAATTGAATCCTTCACATCATTTACTTTTTATGGCTGTACTAATGGCTATTATTGTTATTCTTCATAACCGAATAGGTTAGATAAATCCATGAGATTATATTAATGGGATGGTTCTTTTAAATAATATTTGATAAATCATAAGATTTATTTTTCCGATGAATACTTGCGGATACGTAAAATTAATATAGATAATATAATAAGTTACAAAGGTACTTTTAACTCCAAGAAGAAGGGTCACTCAAGCTAAATTACTATACTTGGATTTAGTCTTGTTTTGAGCTGTCAACTAAAATGTAAGAGTTACCTATAATTCAGTTCTGTGATATGGACATGATGGAGAGTTTATTTAGGTTTGAATGATTTTTAAAAATCCTGCAACTGACTACTTTTCAGAAATCTTAATGAACTAACTTTTTTCAATTATTCTCTTTTTTTTTAAGGTTGTTCTATTTTTCAATTAATTTGTGAGTAAAATGGAATTGGCTTTCAATACAATTATATTTTATAACAACAACTTGAGCAACCAATTCATTCAATTTCTCCATTTAGTTCTTGGCTACTAAATCTTTCCAACCATGTTAATTATTTGAATTTATAATATGGGGCTAGTGCTCTTATGGAAGTACCTCAATTATAAAAAATATAATTAATTCATTTAGATTTTTAATCATATTTGCAAGAAATTATCACATTTAGAACTACATATTATAATTATTATAATATTATTGATCAATCCATGCTCCAAAGTCATTTTTTTCACATTCAATCCAATAGGTGTTACGATTGACAATACTGCTGCTAATTAAAATGTGGTAATTCATTTCTTTGCCATTATTCAGGGTACTTTACATAGAACATCATTATCTTATTTTTGTATTACAAATATTGTCTTAATTTCTATTTCTTCCTTGATTTTAAGATATACAAAGATGCTACAAAATTAAATAAATTGAGCAACCTTTTTTTTATAAAAACTCAATTAAATAGCTTTAGAAGATTCTTTTTCTTTATACGGTTTCACTTGAATCATCCTTATTCAATATTAGATGCTATTTTAATGCTTGAAATCCAATTATTGATGAAGCAATTCTTCTATAATACTTTACTACCTCTTGAGGTAAATCAAAATTTTCCATAGCTTGAATTGCATCTCCAACGATATAACGACATTCATTCTAAAACTTTGATTTTTTTTCCTTCTTTAATTATCTTCGAAATACGTTTTCCAATTTTTCTTTTATTTTGATTCTATGTAAATAAATTTCTTACTTCTCCTCTTAATCACTCTCCATAATTACATCTTCGTTATTCAAATCAAAAAGTACTTCCATTTCAGTTGTGCTAATTAAATTTAAATGATTCAAACTTGTCTTCGTAGTTAAGGTTTTCTTAGAAATTGCAAAAACTTAGTGGCAATGAATCCTGGTTGTTAGATTAAATGTAGTTTGAAATATCTTCAAAACTTTCACTGTTGAAAATTTGATCAGCCATCATTTTAATAATTTACTCTAATTTAATTAATATAAAGCTTCTTTTTGGTCATATGAGTTAAAAATGAAACAAATCAAAAAAATTTGATCCTTTTTATATATTAAATTTGCATCATTCATTGAAATATATTTATTATTGTAGATTGACTTTCATAATAGCAAGAAATGAAGAAAAGTGAGTAAATTTTCAATGATCTTAAAATAGAAATAATTAATGTTTATCTAAAATCTCTCATAAGAACTATGACTGTGCTATCTATATACTTTAAAAAGGATTTTGGTATATAGATTAATTGAATTGATTTTATTAGGCAAAATAAATTTTAAATCGTTCAAATATCGTCGATATCTTTCTTGGTTATTTTTTCTTTATTATCTTTGGCAGGCGCTTAAGCTTTTTATGGCTATGGCTTTTAGGGCTATTATTTTTATGCCTATTTTGGCTCAGAATCAGAGCTATCGTCAGAATCGCTATCACTTAAATCTGAATCAGAACTTGATGATTCTTCTTTATTAACAAATACAACGTTATCTCCAAGATTATCACCTCCTCCTTCTTCTAAATTCTTAATATGATAAACTATAATACTTCTGGTATCTCTTTAAGATTTTTGAGCTATTTGATTTCTTCAGGGAAATATTTATACACAACATCACACTTTTCATCTTAAAATTCTCTCAATGCAACAAGCACAATGTCACCATTCTATATCCAAACCTTACGTCTCATTTTTCCTCTGATGTGTCCAAGTCTTTATTTGCTATCACCCAAACATACACAGATCAATCTTCCATTACCCAACAATTTTATAACTTAAGCATAATCCTGTCCATCCTCTTTTGTCTCCAATTATCTCTTGGTTAAATTTTCATTTTTTCCTCTTCTATAATTCTTACCACCTCTTCCTTTATTTTTAGGCATTATTTAAAATTTAATCTTTTAATAATTTTTATATTTAATTTCTTGAATTATAGCTTATATCAATCTCTGTGCTTAGAAGAATTTTAAAGATTATTATTAGTATGATCACTTAAATTAAAAATTATATTCATACTTTAATTTATATGTCATTCTATTAACGTGGATTAAAAGGATCTGCTTGAATTTGATAATTTTAAATTTACGGACATGGATTGTAGACTCCCGGATTATTTTAACCTTAATTATCTAATTGATTTATTAAAAAAATATACTCGGATCTTGTTATTTACGTTGCTCATTTAATCGTTTTCTTTCCTATATATATTTATAAGCAAGGAACATTCCAATTAGAATATCAATAAAAACTCCAACAAAAAATAGGATAAAATATAGAAAATCAAAGATGTAAGTTGATGTTATTAATAGATCTAAAATCTTTTAAAATTCATCCTATAATATTTTTTAATTTTACTAGTGTAACATTATCGGAACAAACATCATCAATTAATTAATTGAACAAATCCACCTATTTTTGAATTGGAGTAAAAGTAGTAATTATTATAACTGCATTGGCTATTTAAGCTGATTCCTTAAAAAAAAATTAAATATAAAACAAAGTATTAGATTCTTCAGTTCCTTTACCTTTTATGCAAAATAAATCAGCCCCGCACATTGTGCAACAATTTAAAGTAAACATCAAAATGGTGACGCCTACACAAATGATTGAGATAATCATTAAAATGTATTGCAAACTTTCAATATCATCAAATTAATCTGGAGAATCCATTAACTCTTGTTAATAATCTCTTCTGCAAGTCAGACTAAAATTGATGTAATGTCTTCCATATAAACCTATAATAATACTAATTGTATATAACCCCATTCATATTAGCTTGATATTTCATAGCCCGGTGCTTCTTTTGCAATATCTAAAGCATCGTTAGCTTAAAAGAAATCCAATTCATTAAATTTATATATTAATTGAAATCTTGGATCTCTGTCGCATTCAAGTCCAGGATCTGAAATCAATTCATAATTAGGTCTTCCTGGTGTAATACTTCTATCATTAACTTTTCTGCAAACGCCATCCCCTTAAGCAATCTTAAATTCAACCAAAGGTAATGTCCATTAATTTTCTCTAAAAATCTAAAAATACTCCTAAGTTCCACTTTCAACATTAGAATGATTTTTAATCTCAAAAATCGGACATTCATTTTCTCTAGTACAAAAAAAATAATCAGATATTGTTCCACATTTTAATTCATTTTCTTTACATTCATTTTCTTTTGGTGAATTCAATGCAAAACTGTTATTTCCTTATTCCCTTAAACCACAAAGTTTTAATTTCTTAGTACCAGATTCAACTGGTAATATTTTAAAGTCTCTAGAACTCATTTCGTTAATATCTTTACACCCTGCTTCCCTCATCGTATTATTACACTCTTATTTGAATAATTCGTTAGTTCTATCAAATAACATCCTCCTTGGAGTAATGTATTAATCGACAAATCTACAATCGCAACCTTATTCTATGCCAGGCCATATGTAATGATTTATATATTCTTCCTTTCATAAATTGAATACTTACATTTTATAAGCAATCATCTTGAGTATATCTAATCGATTTAACTGGCAATAAACTCCAATTATGATTGATATTATGCAAATAATCTTAGGCATCTATAATTATCATATAACTAACGATTGAAAATGACATTAAAGTAAGATTGAGTAAAAGCAGATATATCTAAAAGATAATACGAGATGCAATATTTCCAGGAGTCCTTGATGTTTTTTATCTCTAAACTACATTATTATTCATCAAAAAAATATAATTATTAATTTCCTCCTAATGTATTTAAATAAAAAGGTAGGTTTGGTTATAAATATTAAATGAAAATTTAATTTCTTTTTGTAGCTAACTTCCAAAGATTTTTGTCTTATTCGGTGATATCTAGTCTGCAACGAAAATCTTGCCGATGGTGGCTAATCTTCTAGGTGTATTAATCTTGTATAGACATATTTAATTATAATTATAAATATATGTATTTAATTTAAAATGAACTGGTCATTTTTAAGACTAAAGGAAGTACTAATAATGTAACCATTTTTATATTTTAATAAATCAATATAATTCAATTCTAAATAGGATATTAATTAAACTATTAATTTTAAATTGGCTGATTTTGGTAGTTTTATTACTATTCTTATTAATAATTGAATTGAGGATATTGTTGTACGTATTCTGTTCCTATATTTTATTATTGTTAAGGATAAAAATTTGGTGGATCTTAAAAATTATTAAATTATGGATTTAAATTTTCTTATTTAAAAATTTCTTATTCAGGATTACTCTAAATATTATTCTGTCCTAAAATTAATTTTGCATATTTACTCCATTCTTATTGCTTTTCTTGATTTCTTATTGAAGCCAATTTCTTTCTTTCTTCATAATAGCTTTTCAAGAGTAAGAATCCAACTATTAAATCTATGCCTGCTCCTATGAAAAACATTGCAATATATGCCAGATTGTATTTATAAATCTTTTTTTCTAACATATCTCGAACGTTTTGAATGTCATCCTATTCCTATATATATTAAAAAGTACTAATGTAACAACGTCAGAACAGCCTTCATCAATTAACTTAGTGTAAAAATTAATTTGTGAGTTTACCGCTGAAAAACTAATAATTGCTATGATTGCTTAAATTAACTAGAAAGTTTCTTTGATTCCAGCTTAAATACAAAATAAGGTATTTGATTCTTAAGTACCTTTTCCTTTTATACAAGGTAGGTCAACTCCCTTCATTGTCTAACAATTTAACAGAAATAAAGTAAAAAAAAGCGCTAAACAAATGATAGAGATTATCATTAAAACTAATTATTTGATACCAATTTCCTCTAAAATATCTACAGAATCGATAAATTCCTATTAATATTCTCTGCAACTTAACGTAAAGTTGATGTAATGTCTACCATATAAACCTATAATAATATTAATTGTATATAACCCCATTCATATTCGCTTGATATTTCATAGCCCAGTGCTTCTTTTGCAATATCTAAGGCATCATTAGCTTAGAAGAATTTATATTCATCAAATTTATAAATTAATTTAAATCTTGGATCTCTTTCGCAATCAACTCCAGGATCTGAAATCAATCCATAATCAGATCTTCCTTGTGAAATACTTCTTTCATTAACTTTTCTGCAAACTCCATCCCCTTAAGCAATCTTAAACTCAACCAAAGGTAATGTATAATCATTTTCTCTTAGAGTTTAGAAATAATCTTAAGTTCCACTTTCAACATTAGAATTATTGTGCATCTAAAAAATCGGACATTCATTTTCTTTAGTACAAAAAAAATAATCAGATATTGTTCCACATTTTAATTCATTTTCTTTACATTCATTTTCTTTTGGTGAATTCAATGCAAAACTGTTATTTCCTTATTCCCTTTAAACACAGAGACTTAATTTTTGATTACCAAATTGAACTGGCAACCTTTTAAAATCTCTTGAACCCATTTCATCAATATCTTCACATCCTGCATCCCTCATGGTATCATTGCACTCTTTTTTAAATAATGTATCAGTTCTCCTAAATAATATTCTCCTTGGAGCTATATATTAATCTCCATCTCTACAATCGCAACCTTATTCTATGCCAGGCCATATGTAATGATTTACATATTCTTCCTTTCATAATTTTAATACTTACATTTTATAAGCAATCCCCCCAAGTTTATCTTATCAATTTGATAGGCAAAGTATTCCAATTTTCAACAATATTTCTAATATAAATTAAATTTTCTGTTAATGAAAAATAAGCAATAATAGATAATACCATTAAGGTGACTCCGAGTGCTAATAAATAACATTAAAATAATATTCTAGCTTTGATGTTGCTTGGAATAAATGATGTTTCAGCCCTCTTTAGAGAATGGTCCATTTTTATTTAAAAATAAAATTAATAATCAAATTTTAAATAGCTAATTCTTATAATCATTTAGATACTATTGTTGTTTGATGATAGAAAGTCTACCCTAAGATATTTAAAGTGTCATAAATCTCAAAAAACAATATTATTAACTAAATTTTAATCTCAAGTTATAATAAATCATATATTATATTTAAACTTAGGAATAGCATTACTTAAAGGGTGTTGGGGGGGATCCTATATTTCTAAATCGGAAGAGGACGAATTATCTATAATTACGATGAATTAGTACTTGAAGAATCAAAATTAGAAGTGTACTTGCTTATTAAAACATCATCTTCTTCATCAATCTAATCGATTTCTTAAATTTTATTTTATATTCTTATTTCTCTTTTTTAATCCAGTACTCTTGAGGAGTGGTTTTATTATTGCTATTTTACTTTTAATTCATTGCCAATTTTTTACAAGATCTATTCAATTTGAATGTTTTAAGGTTTGACAAATTGATTTTTATTTGAATGAAATCTCTTTATTGCTAATGCCTAATTAAAACCATTTTATTTGACAACAGCAGGTCTCACAGTTAAAATTTTAAATAGGGATAAGATTATAGATATTATGCACTTTGCAAAAAGAAATGTCTCCCATAATAAAATTATTGGCCAATTTGAATCAAACACATCATACAACTCGTCAATTTTGGAACTTTAGCTGAAAATCAATACAAAGATGAATAAAATTAATTCTATAAATATCATCCTGTAGGTTTCGATAATAATTTCGTAATTTACTTTTATAGTTTTTGTAAATTAATATCCTTGAACTGGACATAACGTTAATAAAAGATCACTTGAGACAAAATAATTTTAGTAGTAAAGATTTCTTTACAATAAAGATAAATATTTGGCCTAATCATCACTTGGAGTAGCAAATATAAATTTTATTAAATTTATTATTGTTATAATAAGTGAATCAGCAAATCTTCCAAATATAGCAATACTAAACATAATCTGAAATTTTAGAATGTCTTAATTTTCGTTATCATTCCTTAAATTCATTAAGGAAGCCAAAAACATTCTTTCAAGCAAAGTACTTGATTTACTAAAAATTGAGTAAATCATCAAGAATATTTCTCGTTTGTGTGGAAATCTAGTATGAAGATGTTCCAGCATTTTTGGGTGAATAATTTACAAGGCTGGCTAAATTTTCCTTCTTAAAGCTACAGTTAAGATTAGTTGCAATATTTCAATAACAACAATCCCGCTTATTATTGAACAAACATAAATCAAATCCATGTAAAAAATATCAACTTTTAAATTTTTATCATCTATAGGTATTTCTTAGGGGGGTTCATTTTTATTCCCTAAATAGAAAAACAATTTAAAAAATTAAGTTAAATTTACTAAAACAAATCCAATCCAAAAGAGAATAACAATAATCTTTATATTTATGTTGTTTCTTCTAAATTTACCAATAAAGAGAGTGCTTACTATAAAAATTTATGGTTCAATCAAATCTAAGTAAGTCATTAACTTATTTATCTTATGTATAAGCCAAGATCCAAACATGCCTCCGAATATTTTCTCTATTTGTTTCTAAGAACTCTCCTATTACCCTAGAGGTTGTGCTTTTTTCATAGCCTGTCCTAATAGAAAATTCCTAAATCTCAAAGTCAAATAACGCAAAAGTCCATCATCAAATACTTTTCTGGTTTCTTGAGAATCAGATATATGTAGAGCCCTTAATTAATGCTTTTCATAGCAGCAATCGAATAAATGAAAGAATAAATAGACTTTTCCATACATTGTTATATATGGATTATCTGAGACATCAATAAATTCAATGAACCCTAAAAGAGGATAATATTTTCCGAATGATTCGCAAAATTTATCAGTAAGATTGGATTTTGACAATTAAATTTCTTTTAAAAAAGACGGCAATGATGTCTAATCTAGACGATACTTTTAACAAATCCTAGTATACTATTCTAAAATTAGATCTGCATCCTCATCATCTAAATCTTACCAAATATTATCAATAAATAGATCCTTTTAGTAAGAAAGAATTTATGCTAATATTTTCAACCCTTCTTTCTAAAAGTTGTTGTCTCTTAACAATAAAAACTAAATGGAACATTAATGAAATTTTAATTCATCAAGTTTCTTAGCAAATTGATCACCAACCTTATTTTCACTAATATTAATTGTTTTGATTGTTTATGATGCAAAAATACCCTCAAGAATTTAGATCATACCTTTACTGGTAAAGAAGTTTTACTACAAATATAATTCTTACAACTTAGTTGATTAAGTTATTGTTTATTTCAATAACTCTCCTATAGAATCGTCTAACTAATTATTGCTTAAAGACAAGCTAATGATATGCGAAAATAAGAATTATTCCTAATATACTTGATGTTCTACTATTAGATTCTGAAAAAAACTTATTTTTAATTTACAATTCGATAAATTGAGTTGTTTAATTACTATAGGTTATTTTTTTTTATTTATTAATGTTTGAGGAGTAAAAAATTATATTAATTCCTTTTCATCCAAAGGATTGTCAGATAAGTTAAGTTCTTCAAATTATTTGCCTTTATACTCTGAAGCAGCTACAAACTTGCTGTAATATAGTTTATCTACAATATTATTATTAGCTATAGAAACTATTTTTATTGTTGGACTCAAAGAAATAGCCTCCCATAAGGGCTCTAAGTTTAAATTTCCCAGGTTACATTTATTCAAAAATAAATTTTACATAGTTTTGTTTCCTTAAATTCCAATGCTTAATTCATTTAGCCATTCTTATTTGATTACATTGTCACTAAGATCCAACGTAATTAACTTTAATAATAAATAAATATTACATTACAAGTCTCTGGATTCAAAAGCCAATATTTGGCATGAACAAAGGATTCACCAGTAAATGTGACTTAATTGTATTTTAATATTTTCAAATGTTTAAAATGGTTTAACATTGCCTAAGCCTTTTCTAGATCGACATACATTAATGGATTATATGAGACAGTAAACATTTATAATTGCTTACAACTTAATAATTACATTCCGAATTTTTCATATCCGCTTTAACTGAAACTACAATGATTGAAAGTAACCCCTAAAATATTCCTTTTTTATTTTTTGACAATTTTTTCAAGATTCTTTTGATTGCATTTGTCGAAATGTATGTCAGATAATTATAAAAGTTCCATTTTCTCAGTCTAACACAAATTGAAAAACGTTTTCAATTTCTTCATTTAGGGGTTATCAGATATATTGAGATATTATAGATTTTCATTAGAAATTATCTACCCTAAAATTAAACAATCATCAGCACTCATCTATTGATGTGAAAGACTGAAATATATTAAATAAAAAATTATACTTTAAACTTTTTATGCACTTATTCTCAGCCATAACTCTAGAGATTGTTATTAATCCTGTAAAGTCTATGTTATTATGAGATAGGTTTAAGAAAGATAGATTCCTGTAAGATGATATAATTATTTCTATATAACTGGTATGTTTAGATTAAAGCCCATTACAACTCAAATCAATACTCTCAAGTTTGAAGTTTGTGATTATTTCATCGGTTTTGAATTAATTAGCTATTTTAAATAGTTGGTTTTAGCTTAGATCCAATTTTTTCAGACTGCTATTTAGAACACAGTCTCTTAATTTCTTGATAGTTATTAAATTTAAGCTCCCAATATTTAAATCCCTTAAATTTAAATCATGCACAATTGTAGATTTTTTTAAGAAAACACACAATAAATCTAAATCCTATTCTGTTACTGGTTTGCATGAAGATAGATCTAAGATTTCTATTTTATTAAAGTAAGTTGCTAAAGAGCTAATAACAGGAGTAAATATGTTTTCATTTTTTGAAAAATCTAATTCTCTTAGGTTAAATGATATCAATTAAAATTAATTTTAAGCAGATTTAACTGACTTCTCCTCTTCAAGTAATGATGAAAAATTTTGATTAGTGTCCCATAAATCATTTTATTACTTTTATTAAAATTAGCATCGGAAGCAGCGTAGACATCCACTTTTTATAAATTTTAACAAAAAGAATATCAAAGCATATCTTATATTATTATAGGATACATCCAAATGTTCAAATTAAACTTATTCATGATTAATCATATATGTTATTATGGCTTCACCATCCAAATTGTTGTTAGCAACAATAAATTTTTTTAGCATTTTATTATCTCTAAGTCCAAATATAAGAGAATTGAATCCTTCACTCTTTATTTGATTGTTTGAAAGATTGAGTTCTATCCAAAGTGGGTTCTGCCTTAAAATACTAGACAATTAAAATGCTCCATGACTTGTTATATTGTTATTTGTTAAATTGATAACTAGAGTGTTCAAGAAAAACTATTAAGGGAAACAAGAAATTAAATTAGAACTTAAATTCACTTCATACATTTTCCTTGATAATAAATTTTAGCAATTAAATTCCTCTATTTGATTTTGTGATAAATCTAACTTTTATAAGTTATTTATTTTTCTTAGAAATGTTTCTAAATACTGAACTCCCGATTAATTGATAAAGTTTCTTCTTATGTTAAGTTCTTTCAGGTTGATCTTCCTCATGTTCCAACTTACTCTTTAAGCCAACACTTCAACTCCTTGATTTTTTATATTAGTATCTCCAATATTTAAATACTCGAGCACCTTTTTACCTTTATAATGTTGAAGAGCCATTCCTAAACTTGTTAATACGTCAGTTGTAAATTACATCATAGAAATATCAATAGCGTTTATCGATCGGGAGTACCTAACATATCAAACTTTATTTTACTTAAGGTTTCTCAACAGATAACTCATAGCTGTACTAGAGATATTGCAATGAGTTAATTTAAGTTTTTTTAAGTTATTTTTTCCTTTAAAAACAAATTAGTTGATATCATTCATTAGGTCGATATTAAAGCCTTGGTTATTAAACAAATTGATTGACTGTAATGTTTGGTGATTGGATATTGATGAAAATATATATTGTAAACTAAAACTATTTAATTTACACCCAGAAAGGTTGATTTCGTATAAAGAAGAATTTTTTTACAGTCCTTGGCCCAATTCTATAGCTAAAAGGGGATCGATTTCCATTCCTGATAGGTCAAGCGATCTAGACAATTAAAAATTAACTTAACCTCAAACTTCTTGCATTTTCGATTGCAGAACTTAGAAAAGAGAAACATTACTGAATTGAAACTGGAGTCTCACCTGAAAACCCTTCCAAGGTTTTTCGCTTTTTCAAACTAATTATACTCTCTCTCAAATTACTAAATTACCAAAAAAATTTACACATTTTGTTATTGATGGATTAAAATTTTCATATGCTTTGCAAATCTACTCTTTCGAATTTTCGTCACATTTTTATCATTTTCTATCTCTTATCCATCCTGAAGTTGCATATCTTAATGAAATATAGTGTTCTTCTGTGTAGCATTTTTGGAAACTGGGCTCTTAGATACTTGTTAGAATTACATTTGGGAAAATAAATATTTATGATATATTATTGTCGAAAATGTTTAATCGCCCTTAGATTTTAATCAATATCAAAGCAATTATATTTAATCAAATTATTTTTTTATTGAAAAGCTAGTTCAATTATAAGTAGAATCAAATACTTATTATTAATTTATATAAAAGGTTTGAGGGTCTAAAATTTAAATCTATTTAATTTCACATGCATAAATCTTTATTTCTTTTGGTTCACTAAATCTTCTAACTTCTCATGAATTATTTTATTATCGAAATATTAATATATAATAAATAATTTGAGAGATTTTAAGAAATATATGATCACCTTTGGTAAGCAAATACTAAATTTAGTTGAAGGTTAAGGAATAAATACTCAAACCAAGGAATATTTCCCTTAAGGAAAATGGATGACTAGTCCTTATTTTTAAAATTAACCATATGAATAATTTTATAGAAATTTGACGACTTTCTTTCTATTAATAGAGAAATAAAAAAACCCTCCAATCTCCAATTAACAAAGTCAAGTTTCTTTATCAAAGTTATTTAATGATCAATTAAATCAAAGAGAGTTCAAACTCAAAAATTTAGAAGTCTAAATGTCATCCGCAGCAAGTAGGCTTCAACTCTGTATGAGAGTATATTTGATCTCTTCCAATATTGCGTACTCCTATGGTAATAAAGATCACTAAAAGGTTAAAATAATAATAATACAATAATCAGAACCAAATCTATCATTTATTTTTGGACTATAAAATCAAATAATCCATAGCAAGAGTTGTTCGAATTTAACAAACATACTAAATTTAAAGAAACCAGAATTGAAATAGAATATTTAGAATATTTAACAATAAGAGTCTGTTTCTCCTAATAATAGGCAAAATCTAGGGCAATAAAGATATTTGTAAAATTAGAACTTCTAAATGAAGATTTAATAATTTGGTAATCATTAACCCAACCATGCTTAATAAGTATTATAACAAAATCCTTAAACACAGCTATAGGAAATGAATCAAAACCAACCTCCTCAAGTGAACGAAGAAGCCTCAGAACTTCTAACTACATATGAGGTTTCTGAGATTTCAATTAAGTCAGTAGCTCAACCACCAAAGCCTAAATTTATCTATTCTATTACTAAATACTAACAAAATATGCAAATTTAGTGTGATACCTGTTAAGAATTATATCAGAAAAGTCCAGAGTAGTAGATTTCTTTACCTTGTTGCAGAAAAATTGTTCATAAAAGATGCATGGTGTAGGAACTTGAAACTAATGAAGAGATCTTATCGAATATGAAATGCAAGTTTTGTAAAAAAGTTTTTGAGAGAGATTTCTTGATATAAAATGTACGTCCAGAAATTTTTGATTAAACGATAAATAGATTAGAGTACTTAGAGGAATGCCCTATTTGCTTTTAGAAATTAATAATTTTCCCTTGTTAGGAAAAGTAGCCTGTTCGATTGGAATGCAAAAGTTGCAACACAAGTATTTGTACAAGGTGTATGTAAGGTTTTCATGAATCAGATAAACTTGTAATATGTTTTGATATTAAAAGTGTTAGGAGCATCCAAATACTGCTTTCAGAAGATTTTAAAGATAGCCAACTTTATGTTGTACAATTCGCACTTCTGCTCAGCTTAACGAGAATGGAACCGATCAAATTACTAGTAATTAAAACAAAATAGATCTTGTATCTGTGAACAGAAGATCAATTCAATCGGTTGGAAATGTTCAAAACAGATAAAAAACAATAATTCAAGAGAGAGTAAAAATATTTGAATTGTTTATTAGACCACTAAGAATTAGAGTTCCATTCCAAATGAACTTGAGTCTAATAAAAACGGATTTTGAATTAGAATAATTCTTATATTTAATTTCAATTATAAACATAGATAAACATATTAATTTACTGATTTAGATTATACATTTCATCTTTCAATAGTAGTTGAACANCAAGTTTCTTTATCAAAGTTATTTAATGATCAATTAAATCAAAGAGAGTTCAAACTCAAAAATTTAGAAGTCTAAATGTCATCCGCAGCAAGTAGGCTTCAACTCTGTATGAGAGTATATTTGATCTCTTCCAATATTGCGTACTCCTATGGTAATAAAGATCACTAAAAGGTTAAAATAATAATAATACAATAATCAGAACCAAATCTATCATTTATTTTTGGACTATAAAATCAAATAATCCATAGCAAGAGTTGTTCGAATTTAACAAACATACTAAATTTAAAGAAACCAGAATTGAAATAGAATATTTAGAATATTTAACAATAAGAGTCTGTTTCTCCTAATAATAGGCAAAATCTAGGGCAATAAAGATATTTGTAAAATTAGAACTTCTAAATGAAGATTTAATAATTTGGTAATCATTAACCCAACCATGCTTAATAAGTATTATAACAAAATCCTTAAACACAGCTATAGGAAATGAATCAAAACCAACCTCCTCAAGTGAACGAAGAAGCCTCAGAACTTCTAACTACATATGAGGTTTCTGAGATTTCAATTAAGTCAGTAGCTCAACCACCAAAGCCTAAATTTATCTATTCTATTACTAAATACTAACAAAATATGCAAATTTAGTGTGATACCTGTTAAGAATTATATCAGAAAAGTCCAGAGTAGTAGATTTCTTTACCTTGTTGCAGAAAAATTGTTCATAAAAGATGCATGGTGTAGGAACTTGAAACTAATGAAGAGATCTTATCGAATATGAAATGCAAGTTTTGTAAAAAAGTTTTTGAGAGAGATTTCTTGATATAAAATGTACGTCCAGAAATTTTTGATTAAACGATAAATAGATTAGAGTACTTAGAGGAATGCCCTATTTGCTTTTAGAAATTAATAATTTTCCCTTGTTAGGAAAAGTAGCCTGTTCGATTGGAATGCAAAAGTTGCAACACAAGTATTTGTACAAGGTGTATGTAAGGTTTTCATGAATCAGATAAACTTGTAATATGTTTTGATATTAAAAGTGTTAGGAGCATCCAAATACTGCTTTCAGAAGATTTTAAAGATAGCCAACTTTATGTTGTACAATTCGCACTTCTGCTCAGCTTAACGAGAATGGAACCGATCAAATTACTAGTAATTAAAACAAAATAGATCTTGTATCTGTGAACAGAAGATCAATTCAATCGGTTGGAAATGTTCAAAACAGATAAAAAACAATAATTCAAGAGAGAGTAAAAATATTTGAATTGTTTATTAGACCACTAAGAATTAGAGTTCCATTCCAAATGAACTTGAGTCTAATAAAAACGGATTTTGAATTAGAATAATTCTTATATTTAATTTCAATTATAAACATAGATAAACATATTAATTTACTGATTTAGATTATACATTTCATCTTTCAATAGTAGTTGAACAATAATTGAATTTTGACATTTTCAATACTTAACATCTCTATTAATAAATCTTTTTCCTATTTATTTCTCATTCTATCAGTAGATTATAAGATTTCTTTAGTATTAATATAAGAAAGTTTGACTACTTAACTTATTAGAATTGATTCTTATCAATAATGTATTGGAAGGTGTCAAAAGGTGCTTCTCTTTATTTTAATTAATCTATATGTTAATAAGATTTAATATCAACTTTATGATTATATCTATATTATAGAATTTGCTCTACTTATCATTTTAGTTGTTTAATAATTAACCTTGAATTGTCGTTCATAATCGATGAGGTAGTGATGCTATGCTAAACATTTAACTTAGAAATAAAGCTATGCAATATTAAAAGCGTAGTGCTGTAACACATTAAAATTTTTAAAGTTTGCTTAGCTCATTTTCATCCTATACATATCCATGTGAATAACACTGTTAATAGTAATAATTAAACAATTCTCAATGTTTGAAGATGTTATTAGATTGATGTATGAACTTTTGTGATATTAATACTAGATGTATTTAATCATTAATTTTAATGAAATTAAAATCTTAATTGAGTAATAATAATATTATCTATCCCTACAAATTAGAAAAGAAGACTTTGAAAACAGAAGTTTGAAAAACATTTCTATTGCATTCGAAATTTCACAAACATGCCCAATTTCTTCTCTAAGCATTTAACTACTTAATTAAATTTATTAAATCAAATTATAATAGTTCTAATTATGATGTATTGATTTCGACTCCTTTAATAATAAACATACAAGTATCCAGGTATACGGTTCTTAGCTCATTTTTATTATTATTAAAGTTCTTTAAAATTTCCGTATAAATTCTCAATCATTATATTATAATACTAATTCCTTATTTTTACTCACTCTCAACTTTAATTTGCATGAATTCGAATTGTCAATCTTAAGAGTTATCTTAAACATCCTCCTAAAACGATTCATATTGTTTATGAATAAAGGAGNGAATGCAAAAGTTGCAACACAAGTATTTGTACAAGGTGTATGTAAGGTTTTCATGAATCAGATAAACTTGTAATATGTTTTGATATTAAAAGTGTTAGGAGCATCCAAATACTGCTTTCAGAAGATTTTAAAGATAGCCAACTTTATGTTGTACAATTCGCACTTCTGCTCAGCTTAACGAGAATGGAACCGATCAAATTACTAGTAATTAAAACAAAATAGATCTTGTATCTGTGAACAGAAGATCAATTCAATCGGTTGGAAATGTTCAAAACAGATAAAAAACAATAATTCAAGAGAGAGTAAAAATATTTGAATTGTTTATTAGACCACTAAGAATTAGAGTTCCATTCCAAATGAACTTGAGTCTAATAAAAACGGATTTTGAATTAGAATAATTCTTATATTTAATTTCAATTATAAACATAGATAAACATATTAATTTACTGATTTAGATTATACATTTCATCTTTCAATAGTAGTTGAACAATAATTGAATTTTGACATTTTCAATACTTAACATCTCTATTAATAAATCTTTTTCCTATTTATTTCTCATTCTATCAGTAGATTATAAGATTTCTTTAGTATTAATATAAGAAAGTTTGACTACTTAACTTATTAGAATTGATTCTTATCAATAATGTATTGGAAGGTGTCAAAAGGTGCTTCTCTTTATTTTAATTAATCTATATGTTAATAAGATTTAATATCAACTTTATGATTATATCTATATTATAGAATTTGCTCTACTTATCATTTTAGTTGTTTAATAATTAACCTTGAATTGTCGTTCATAATCGATGAGGTAGTGATGCTATGCTAAACATTTAACTTAGAAATAAAGCTATGCAATATTAAAAGCGTAGTGCTGTAACACATTAAAATTTTTAAAGTTTGCTTAGCTCATTTTCATCCTATACATATCCATGTGAATAACACTGTTAATAGTAATAATTAAACAATTCTCAATGTTTGAAGATGTTATTAGATTGATGTATGAACTTTTGTGATATTAATACTAGATGTATTTAATCATTAATTTTAATGAAATTAAAATCTTAATTGAGTAATAATAATATTATCTATCCCTACAAATTAGAAAAGAAGACTTTGAAAACAGAAGTTTGAAAAACATTTCTATTGCATTCGAAATTTCACAAACATGCCCAATTTCTTCTCTAAGCATTTAACTACTTAATTAAATTTATTAAATCAAATTATAATAGTTCTAATTATGATGTATTGATTTCGACTCCTTTAATAATAAACATACAAGTATCCAGGTATACGGTTCTTAGCTCATTTTTATTATTATTAAAGTTCTTTAAAATTTCCGTATAAATTCTCAATCATTATATTATAATACTAATTCCTTATTTTTACTCACTCTCAACTTTAATTTGCATGAATTCGAATTGTCAATCTTAAGAGTTATCTTAAACATCCTCCTAAAACGATTCATATTGTTTATGAATAAAGGAGTTTTTATATTTATTTGATAATTTTTTATTAAAAATAGGGAGTCTTGATGTTAATTTATAAAGAACTCTGCAATTTATTTAAGCTTCTTATTGGGAATAGTAAAAATATTCAAGTATATGTTGATATAAACACTGGAGATGGTGAACTCTTGACTTATCAAAATGGCACTGAAATTTTGCTCATTCGAATGCAATCTTAAAATTAAATATAGTAGAATGGACTTTAGTTTTAATACTCATTAGATATTTAAAATTATTAAATGAATATAGTTATATTTAAATTTAATAGATGTCGACAATTTAGGAGCTCATTACTACATTATTTAATTTAGTATTAATTCTATAAATCTTGTCAGATTGTTGGTGATGATGACGTTTAGCCTAGAAATCGATTCCTTAAAACAAATAGTCCAATTGAACAATTAAGGATAATAATTGAAATGGTAATACAGCAATAGCACCAGAAATAGCAATAAGATTACAAAGCTTTGGAAAAACAACTCCAAAAATTTGAATTTGAGGTGCGAAATCATATTAGAGTATTGATTTAACCATATAAACAAAGGATGAATATTTAATGCAGTAGAATTAGGAAGATTTGATATCTCGACTGGAGGAAATGGAGAAAGAAAAGAATGAATTATTCAGCAACACCAAATAAACAATTATTGTAAATGTTTTAATATTTATTATAAGAAATTAAAAAGGGAAAACGAGGAGTTGTATTAAAAAGTGAGATTATTGTCGGTAGAAAACCAATAGCAAAAAAGTCTGAATGAAAAACTGACAACCTATTAAGAAAGACACAAGATGAATGATCATCTGACTCAAGAATCTACTAAAATTAGTTAGAGTAAATATTCAACCTTGGAAAACCATAATTAAAAGATCATCAAATTAAAAACACATCCAACCCCTAAAAAATTACACACTGAAACTTCAGTAGATATCTCCCTAATAGCAGCAGTGAATCAAAAAAGATTAAGTCAATAATTGATCAAACCAAATTATTTTCAAAAAAAGGGATCAATTACAAACAATTAATTTATCAAGAAAAAAAGACAATCCTGTTCATTCGCAAATCAATCATTGTATATTATTTCTATATTACAACCATAGGAATTTTTTAACGACAAGCATGTGATCACAATTCAATATTTTTTTATATGTGAAAGAACATTTCTATTATATGAAAACTTATTCTAATCATCATTCTATTCTTTTCCGAATTTATACTGAGAGAGCGCCTACAATTAGAATATTTAACTTATATCTCAATTCTAACTACAATTTAATATAATCCGATCTATAAGTTAGATTTTCATATAATAAGGCTGAGAGAAATGTAACAAATTTTGATATTTTGAAACGTGAATATAATTCAATCAATATCGAATGATTCAAAGATTAAATTCATATTAAGTTAACTATTCCTCCTATTGTTAAACCCAAGGATGAGCCATTGCTTGTTTTGCAGTCATTCTACTTTTCGAATCAGATGTAACTAATTTGCTAATAAAGTCTTTTAATTCACAAGAGAATGAATCAGGCATTTTAATTATGCCATCCTATATCATTTATTGCATTTCATCCTATCTTAAATCTTCCCAGGGTGTTTCCCCACAGCATAATTCGTAAGCCAGTACTCCAAGAGACCACATGTCAGTGCTCTTATCGTAGTTCTCCCCTCGAATTATCTCAGGAGACAAGTAGGCCAGAGATCCACATTGTGTTTGCCTTTAATCCTCAGGTGAATACACTGAATAAGTGAAATCAGCAATCTTTATTTGATTCTAAATTTAAATAAGGGAGGATACATAACATAAGAATATATTCTCTGGTTTTAGGTCTCTATGAATTATGCCATTTCTGTGTAGATAAATCAAAGCACTCAGGATTTAGCGGATGTATGATGAGGCTAATTTTTCTGGAAAGCAGCATTCAGGCAAGCCTTTGAGTATTTTATGTATTTAGCCATTGGGACAATATTCCAAGACTAGAACAATTTCATCAGCTAAAGTTTATTATTAATTTAATACTATTTTAAAAAAATGTATACAATTTAACTATGTTTGGATGATTGAGTAAATACTAAATTTTAATTTCCTGGGCAATAGATTGTGACATTGATTAAATTTGAGTCTTCTTCATTATTTTTAAGGCTACGTGATAATTAGTGTTTTCATCAATAGCTAAATGAACATTGCTATAACGTCCCTTGCCCAAAAATTATAACATCTTGAAGCTCTTATACCTGGCTTAGGTGATGTGTGGTAGGGTTAAGTTGAAGTTTCTTCTGTTTTAAGAGCCTAAAGTGGGAGAGTTTGCGGTTTCTAACTTCTAAAGTCTATCTTCGAGGACTCGTTATTTTTAACCCGAATTCAATTGGGATCTTGCTTTCTATTGTCTATTCTTGTTTTCCTTGTTCTTTTTGGTCGGCTATAATCTTAGAGTCTAAACTAATTTATGAATGAGATCTTTTTAATTGATTTAACTATTCTCAGTGTAAGTGAGAGGAGATTGCATCCTTAGTTGTTGGGACGCTGTGATATTCAAAAAGCTTCGGTGTCTACTTGATGCCGATCGATGTTATTAAATTAAAGAATTCATAAAATATTATCGTTACAAACCCAAATTAAATGTTTGATTAAATAATATAATTATAATTTTCAATAATTGATCATTTCTGTAATGAACTCGACTATGTGAATCAAGAGAGAGAGAGGGTGTGATTGTTAATGAGCACTATTATAAAAGTAGGAATTATGTTTAAATTATATAAACCTATTATTTATATAAAATTATATTAAATATGGCTAACGTTGCTTTTTTGGACCCTATGAAGAATGAACCAAATCTTCAAACGGCTCAAGATGTCGATGATTATATAAATACACTGACTCAACACTAAAATGCTTGTGAGAAGCAAGGGAAATACATGGAGGCCGAAGATGCAAGGAAGAGAATTATCGAGTTGAGGAAGCAACTTATAACGAAAAAAAAGAAGGAATTGATACACAATTGGTAGAATCAAAAAGATTAGGCTGAAAAGGCTCACATGGAAGAATACAATTAATTCAATCAATTTTGGGATAACAAAATGGTGAATTTCAATGAGGAGGCCAAGTAAGTGGAAATTGAATTGCAAAATCGCCAGCAAAATGAATATAAGCAATTGCAAGAAGAGCTGGAACGAACTACTCCTTATAAACCCAAAGAATCTTCGGAAGTCTTGAATCTAAAGAAAATTGAGGAACATTTGGCTAAACAAAAGAAGTATGTATTGGTTACTATCTGTAGTTATGTAGAGGCACATGCCATACAAAACAAACGTGCTTAGCTTGAAGATGAGGAACTTAAGTTATATTCGACATAGAGAAGTTTGAAGATTAAATCATAATTGTAACAATTCGAGTAGAGACATGTGAATGAGTTGAATGCGCTACAATAGAGAATCAAGGCTGGCCAAGATGAATTAAGGAAGAATAGGAGTATTGATTTGGAGAGGTAATAGGATATAATCACACTATGAAGGTTGTTATAAAAGTATCAAAACATGAAGAAGGATTTAGAGTAGAGAGAGTAGATGGACATCTTAGCATTTGATGGGTAATTCAAAACCAAAGGGTGTAGTAGTTAGAGTACATATAAGAGTGTGATGATGATGGCTAAAAAATGATGATTATCCAATTCCCTTTATATTTAATACTTTAAATTCATTTTGTCACTTGATATGATCTAATCTCTTATAACAAAGCCCTTGCTTCAGGGTCCTTGGCAAAATGGTCTCTAACAGGCTAGATTAGCTCATTGAGAACTAGGGTGACTGCTGGTTTCAAATCCCCAGGATGAAGTGCTCCTGAGACAAAATCTGCTTCCAATTCAGCATAGGATGTATATTCCTTGTCTCCACCATTTTCAGGCTTTCTTAAAATCTAGAGCTTATTTCTCCATCCAAAAATGATTTCTTTGGTGTAATCCAACACAGGATTATCCTTAGTAATTTAAGGTGGACAATAAGCATTCTTTATCTTTTTCTTAACATCTTCTGCTGAATCCTCCATAAAGATGGCTGAATTTAAGTCGGATTTCGACATCTTTGTTTGACCTTCAAGTAAACCCATCATCATGTGATGTGACATAATAATTGGTTTATAAGCATCTGTTGATTTGTCAGCATATTCTCTTGCCAACATGTTGACTTTTCTAAAATGAATTTAATAGAATTATTACCTTTGATCCATACCCAATTGACAAATGTCAGCCTCCAAGAAGAAGATGTCATTGCATTGCATGCATGGATAAAACAATTAGGCAACAGCCATCTTATCGTCTTACTCGTCGTCATTTCTACCCATGATTTATCCGCATCTCTTAATTCTTGAAACATTAAATTTACGAGCTAAATCCAACACTCTTAACCAATAATCATTTGGTCTCTTGTTGATTTCATCTGAAGCCCAAAGGAATTTCCTATTACGTTATTATCTCTATTATACACGTTATGCATTTTCATTCCTGCAGCCTTCCAAACTTCAATGAAGTAGCGACCTACATTCTTTATTTTATTCAGATCTCCTCCCATCTTGTTATTGAGTAAGGCAAACCAATCAGCAACCCAAAAGATGAATATACATCCTGCATCAACCAATCTATTCACATTTAGTGCTCTAAGTAATCCTTGTGCAATGTGCATTCTTCCACTTGGTTCAAATCCATCATAGCAAATTGGAAATGTTTTTGTTCTCAATAGGTTGATTAATTCATCCTTGTTGATCAATTCTTCTCCAATTGGCTCTAATAATTTGATTTTCTCCTCCAATGATAATCTTTTAATACTAATCAATTATACCTACTGGGTCTAGGATTGAATTAAACATTCACATCCTTGATTTCAACATATTTCACCTTAGTCTTCTCCTTTTATTCCTTCTCCTTCTACCCTTCAACTTCCCAAATCAAACCTCCAGTAAGTGGATCGACCGTAGCAAACATTAATAAATAAATTAACTAAATTAAATCATTTAAATATCCTATATGAATGAAAGAAGTTACTTCCTTCTCTAAATCATTCCTGATATTATAAAATCCTTCGTTTGCATCAGAGTATTTTTCGATTGGCTTACAATTCCAATTCTTGCTAATCTTAATATTATGATTAATGAAATCTTGCGACTTAAGATAATTGTATTATTAAAATTTATATCCATCACAACAATCAAGCACATCCTGGACACACCTTAAATTTAGAATGGATTAGAATATCACAATCTCTAAAATGAAGATAAATGTATTACAAACAGAAAAAGTTCTTGCATCTCTCGCAAGTAGAATGGATAACCGTAGTTGGTTCCAAACACCCGCTGCAGACATGATCTAACCCATCATTCGTTATTTCAAATACTCCCAAAGTATTGGAACCATCACTTCTGAGTATCTAGTGTGGTAGTACTATCCAAGTCGAACAGATTGGACATAAAAGAGGAGGAGAACAAACCTTACTATAACAAACCGGACATTTATAAAAATTGTACCTATCATTATCATCATCAATAATTACACTATTTCTAAATGACATTGGCATAAAGTAGGTTGACTAACTATTAGTTTCTATGGGAATCCAATCTTTACCAACTAAGTAATGATCATATGATTCTTTGATTCTTATGGTGAAACAAATTTCTTATATATTAGTCAATATCTCACCTATATTTCTTAGCTAAACTGAAATTCATTCAAGGGACATAGGTATTATCCATCTGTTGCTTATGTTATCTTAATTAATTGATTGATAGATCCTGTAAAGGAGATCACATTTATTTGAATAGCTGCAGATTTGCATTTCTCACTCCATTCATTTAAGTCAAGCTTATCGTCTGAATATGTGGAGGTAGTTACAACCAGGATACTTGATTAGGCATGCAGTTAAGTGGTAGAAAAGACGTGCAAGGCTGTCTAATATTGTAGTCACTTAGTTATGATACTTATAAACAGGCTGCCATCGAAAATCCTGCTTCATTTATTGAATGGATTGTTGACAAATATTATTTTATGTTCACAGAAGAGGATGTAAAATCCAGAATGGTTTTACATCTATATTCTTCTGCAACTGCTATGCCAATCTAGGATAAGGGATTGCACTCTAGAAATTACTCAATGAATGCCTAATTGTGAATATGGGGTTCGTACAGGCAAAAATTGTAAAGCCACTGCCAAACGACTTGGCTTGAAATCACCTATTTTAGATGATCTGGTTATGTCTATTATGATCAAGAGATTTCTCATTATGAGTGGGTTTTAAGCAATTAAAAATTAAGCATCTGACTCCTTCTTCTAATGCAATTTATCTTGCTGGTAATTGTGACCATTGACTTAATGATTTCTGATTTTCTCCTCGTACTCATTGAATTTTGTGTTGCCTTCTAATTCCATCTATAATTTAAGAAATTTATTATTGCCTACATATATTTATTAAAAGTAGAGATAAAAATCTCAGCACAGGTCTCGTAGCTCAGTTGGTTAGAGCGTCAGTCTAATAAGCTGACGGTCGAGGGTTCGATCCCCTCCGAGACCATTTTTTTAATATTTAAATTAAATAATATATCTCATTTGTTTATTTATACAGGTTTTTTCACATTCGTAGTTTGGGAGAGAGTTCTCCTCATCCTATTTTTAGCAGCTATGTCACCGTATTCTTCTTTCCGATTCAAAAATTTATTTAGCAACTCATTCTTCAGAGGCATCCTCAAATTCATTTGCTACTGCGATTTCCTAAGAGCAGCCTCCTCCTTCATTTTCTAAAGACTCAATTAGAAGGAACTCTATCTATTTACAGTGGATCGCACAGGACTATTTATGATCGAAGACCTCAGCTATTCATTCTACAAATGCACTGATTTCTGAGTATTCCGTAGACTCATTCTCAAGCGATTGAATACTGCAGGTTGTTTAACTTGAGAAGGATTGGCAATGCTATTGAGATTATTGATTTGGGATTCATTAAGATCTTCCGAATTATTCGATTGAGATTGGTGAACTGAATTAATGGAATGAGTCGATCGTATTTAATTTTTTTAGACTACCGGTTGCTTCTGTTGTTCCTCGACATCTTCACTGCTCTTCTTAAAATTGTAATGTCTTGAAAGAGTTTTCTTGGGCACAATTTCTCCAGTTAGAGACGCTTTGTTATTGAAGACTTTCTCATTTCGGGACACTTGAGTTTTGCACTTGTTGGGCAGATTCTCCTCTATGGTGGGCAGGACTTAGGCTTTGAAAAAGTCATGATCAAATATAAGTAATTAACCTTCCTCACTAATACAAAAGGCAGTGCCATTGCACAATGATGTTTTGTTGTTCAATTCGTTTTCTCCTATCAATTGTCCTTGGGTGAATATGTGAACTGCTTTCGCAACTCCCTTTTCGAGTTCTCTTAATTCGAAAATCCCTTTGATAACCAAATAAATTTATTTGATCATCTGTTCCTACAAGTATACGATATCTAGACATTGGAAGGTCTGCGACATGGAATTGGCATAGAACTTGCGTACTTAGGCGTATGGAACATTCTTGAAGATGGGGAAGGCATACAATTGAGAGATCTCCTTAGTAATGCGACTAACTTCAAAATTCATCAGATTGACTCTAAAATCATGCTTAGAAATTGCTGCGACTTTACAGACAGTTTTAGATGTAACATTCCAATCTGATCTAAAATCATGAATGTATACATGTCAGAATAGCATTCACTTCCAAAGAGAAGGAGATTCGACCCAAAATGTTTGAGATGGATCATCTCTTGGGTTCCCTTATTCAAAACTACATCCCCTGACAAAATGATTATCAGTTTATTTTAATCCAATTGGTTTTTAGAGAAGATCACCTAATTTTTGTGGAACTATTCAAATCTCATTAACTATCAGATGACCACAAGATCTTACTTGACAACACTCTATTAGAAATTCATTGTCCGAGGTTCTAAAGAATTCATGACCCCTCAACAATTAACCAAGCTTCTCGTTCTCCTACTCCGATCGCAAAGTTGGATCCTTCTATAATAATTGCATGCATTGTTGAGTGCTCTATGAATTTCTCGTATACAATAAATCCGGTCTTTGGAGCTTCTCAAAATGAATGTCTGTGATTGTAGATTAATTGTTTTTTTTCATTCTAATTATTATATTATTAAATTATAGGTTATCTATCATTCAGGTTTTTATGCGCATTATGAATGAATCTTACAAAATATAGTTGATAACACTAGCATATTGTAAAGAATCTACCTTCATCTATATACGATCCATTTAGAGTAATTATAAAAATTTAAAGAAACACAACTGTCTTCCAGTGTTCGCATGGATGTGGAATTAATATATAATAATAATCAATAATAATAATATCTGGATGGGTATCTGGAATATCTGCTGTAGGCTAAAGAATTTGAGAGAGGCTAGCGAACAACACTGGATCTCTCCACCGGAACATAGTCAACTGCTTCATTGTATCTCTCTATTGGCACGTATTCTACTCTTCTTTCCAGTCTTGGGACTGGCACATAATCTCTGTAATGTTCGACTTAATGATTTCAATGATTTCCTACTTTCCACGTAGTCTGTATATCTTCTCTCGACTGGCTTGTATTCAATTCTCTGCTCGGGAACATACTCAGTGTATCTCTGTTCAACAGGGATTCTTTCCACCCAAGAATTGCCTTAAGTATTTTGCATTGAAGTTTTACCTCTTGGTGGAGTGGATGTGTAAACTGGGGAAACATATGAACGGGTGGGTGAATACTAGTAGGGTCTGGCATAGGATCTGTAGGGTGAATAGAGATAACTCATTTAAAAAAACAAAATAAAATTTTATTGAAAAGTTAATTCGATGTCCAATAAAGACATTTAAAAACTGCAATCTCTATTTCAAATAAACAACAGTGTTGTTTAAGAGTATTTGGGAATTAGGTTGATAAATTAAACTCTTATTGATTAGGTAATTGCCCACATGATTACTTATGTAGTTGGTGAATAGTGATAGTGCTGGGGAGGTTCAGAAAATCAAGAAAATTGAAGGCTGCAAAGATTGGGACAAATTGAAACATAAACTGTTGGCCTACTTTGTGGCTTCCCAATTAACCTATGGCAAACCTATTCACAAATACATCCAATAAGCATACGAGGACTTTCTAATTAAATACCATATTTTCTATGAAGGCTTAATCGAATTTCAAACCTGCTCCATGTTGAACCAATATCTCCTCCTAAAACAGAAATTACTTAAAGACGATTGCAATCTCAAAATGGAATTTCGTAAATTGATCAACATGCTCATTTGGAAAACCAATCAATTGCATTTTCTAATTCGAATTATCATCGGTTACATAGGCTATGTCAAAATAAGCAAGCAAATTGGCAACGTGGAGAGAGTCTTCGAACAAATAGCCAAGTTAATTGAGAAATCCCTCAAAAAAGGAGCCAATTACAGTCATTTATTATTCAAAATGGATGTCGAATTGTTTTCCTCCTATTGGAATAAAATACTCAAAGTCAGTAACAACGACACCAATGCCATCGTCCTGATTCAATTGTTACAATAGTCTCAATTCTACTTCAACGATTATAAGTTTCAGAGTGATATTATAAAGACACTGCAAATAATTCAGTAAGCCAAGCTCTCCATCAATTCACAGTCGCAAGTAAATGAAGAGAGCAAGCCCAAAAGCTAAATTAGGAAACCCATTCTGTAGATTAATAACTTGATGCCCCAAGAAGTTCCTAAGGAATCGACCAAAACTACCAATAGGTATTCGGATTTGGGGAAAATAGTTAAAACAGAGCAAACTCAAACGTCAGCCACAAGCAAAAGAATAATCAAGGCTTCTGCATCTAAACTCCTTAATACTCAATATCAACACATCGAAGAGGATCCCATTTTCTAAATCCAAGTTGAAAATTACCACATCAATAAGATTGTCAGAAAAGGATGCTTTAAAATCTAAAAACCAGTGACCTTGTCTACATGCACTTGTATACATTTGTATTATCATAGAAAGATACAAAACTCAGCCCTCTGCTTAAGAAGATTTACCATTACTTACCTTCCAAGACTTCGAATAAGATCACCAGGACTCAATTCTTGAATTACCATCTCCTGTCAAACCAGCTACTGAATCAGATCATAAGATTTCTGGCAAGGATCACAGCATTACACATTCTTAATCATCTCAAGGGAAAATTGATAAGTTGAACAATCTCAGCAATCCCTATAAACTGAAGAACCTGATTAGTTCTAGATTCCAATAAATCCTCGACATAGCTTAACTGAGTGCATCTTCTACGCCCAAGAATGCGGATCTAGGTAAATCTATTAGAAGATAAAAAACCATATCGATCAAAAAAGAACACAAGGAATTTCAATTACAACCACAACAACTTTCAATTCCCTTGATACAACAGATACCTTCCTAAAAAGATCCAGATCCATAGACTTCGGAAAGAAGGAGAAGTGGGATGGTCGTGAGTTCACCTGATGCTGCCTCTCAAATCAGTCAAGCCATCTAAAAGTCTAGTCTTATTGAGAGTATCCCCACCAAATCACAGATAATCATTGCAATACCCTAATCAGTCTAATAATAGTAGCAGCAGCAATAGAACTAATAACAAACTCAACAGCAGAATCCTAAACGACCTCAAAGAAGGAACATCTTGACTTTAAGGACTGCCACAACCTTCTTTATGGAATAATCCAATACTTATATCCCGAAGTTTTAATTTTCATTGTGTTATCACAGTAGAACTATTTTATGGTCATGTTGTCTATAGATAGCATCATCAGATAACATTCTTATATCATTCTAAGATACCACAAATAACAAAATAGTTTATAGGGCTTAATTGTAGAATTTATAGATTGATAATATCAAAAATTGGGCTCAAATAATTGAGGTCTTTATTAAGGAGTACCAATCATAAGCTTCTCAATGCTTACCTTACTTGCGTTATAATGAAACAATGAGCAATAGGAATGGTGATAACTACAATTTTATTATGTTTCCCAAGTATTAATTCGAACTGACCAAAAATGAGATAGAGCAAATGGGAATTCTGAAGGATTTGTTTAGATGGATGTATACAACTTATTTATACGAATAAATCAACATCACTGGGATCAGATTGAAGTTGTATTCGGTCGAAAAAGACAAAACTCTGAATGCATATAGAGAGTTGATCAATGTGGTCAATCTTTATAGAAGGATGATCATCTAATCGACTTTGTGTGATGAGAAGGAGAAATTCCACTTACTAATTCGCAGTTATGGAGGTATCACTTAATGTTTTCTATTATAATAGAGTGTATAAAGAACAACATCATTCTTTTGAATAGGATACTCAATTTTAAGATAAACAAATAAAAGGACTAATAATATATGATTCACAAGTAGTTGGTGAATCTCAGAAACCTAAGTTTGACCAATGATGAAGAAAACATATTCTTCATAATTAGAGTGAGCATTATATTTTAGAAAGAGAAGTAACTTGTAAATCATAATTAATTAGCATCCTGTATTATAAAAAGAATGATTACCATACAAAGTATTAAGTGGATGTACTGTTTGAGGCAATCAACAGTCCAGTAAAGATTAAATCTCTAAGATTGTAATTTGATGCCATAGAAAAGATCTTAGAAAGGAGATATCATAATAATTTAAAGCAGATAATAAATTAAATATTTTTCTCTTAAAGGAAATGCTGGCACATGTTCTATGAATTCATAGATCAAAAGTTGATGATCAATGAACAGAAGTAGCTTTAGGTTAAGATGAATATATTTTCATTGCACGACGCTTAGAAGATGGAGGCTTGTGGAATGAAATTGGGGTTCCTCATAGATTTGCAGACCAAGGTGAAGCCCTTCGCAATTACTGAAATAGAAAGATACATTTATGATGACACCTAAAAGAAGTTGGACTATCAATCCAAATCACAAACTATCCACAATAGAGAGCATATGTTCGACAAACACTTTGCTTAAATATTCGGTGAAGATATTACAAATAATGAACAACAACATTTTCATCAAACTACCTTGATTGACTTAGTGAAAAGGTACTAACCAAACATAAATGCAGAAGCTAAACAAGAAATCATTACAAAAAAGGTTGGGCCCATAGTAATCTATTAAGAAAATCCATTTACTGATGTGCATATTGATGATTTGGAGAAATTGGAGTCCTAATTTTTTAGCAAGTAAAATCTAAAGCTAGACAAAATCTAAAAGTATAGAATCCAATTGAAACATCTTTCCATTCAAATATCCATGGCTCAAAAACACATAATTTTGATATACCATTATAATTAACGATTGCAAAGGTTTCGGATTAGTCCTTTCGATGAAGAAGACAACTTAATATCCAATATTGTATAACTTATTCAAAATGGCCCTACGTGTTGGATCATTTAGATGCTATATAAGAAAATTAGTCAAAGAAGTTTAAAGCAATCTTTCATTAGCTCCTAGTTATCAGATGGGCTAGAGTTATTGAAATACAAGAAATCAAAAAGCTAATTGGCTGAGATTCCTTCTTATAATGTGTTGCATTACTACATCTTAAACAATTATATGGTGCTCTTAAAATATTTTACTCTTAAATAATTCGTTATAGTTCAGAAGATTAAAAATTACGGAAAATACTAGATAACTATTAAGGTGTTCTTTAGATGTTAAAAACCAGACATTTTGGCTGAGAATGATTACTTTTTAATGAGAATAGACTTCTAAAACATCATGTTAAAGACAGGAATGATGAAGATGATCTTTAATAAATACGATATCACAGAAATGTTGAAGATAGAGATACCATAAAACATGACAGATGCAAATATAGTGCAAACTGCCATGAACATATTTCAGAAATGTCATTTAGGAACATTCACATTAACCAATGTTCCATTTTTTGCCGTTAATCAAGATGATCTTAAATAAAACGAAAGTTAAATAACACATAATTCCTATGAAGACCATTCTACTAAAATTAATGTTCAACAAATCAGAAGAATTGGCAATTTCCCTGAAAATACAACTTTCAAGAAATCCGATCTCTGCAAAGGATTCTTAGAACATTACATCAAGAACAGTAGATTAATTGTTACTCACATCAAAAAGTCTTACTTGATTCATTCAATCTCAACTGGATAATTGATTAAAATATCAAACAATAAGGTGACTTAATTATTGAATGATTAACAATAAATAATTGATTACGTTTTAATCCAAATTTACAGACATCTACTGCTGGACATATGGATTGTCAAGGTATACGTTCCAAAAACAACTAGATAAATGGTAGGGTTGTTGAGATCTGAAGATTTTAAAGAGAATGATGGCAAGGATTTAATGGATAGTATCATCATATATAAGAAGCAAGCTGTTCTGAGTTTTAAGGATTTAGACTCCTTTACAGATTTCACACCTAGGTAGAGTGTGAATATGTAGAAGTCAAATCATAGATTCAGCCAACCTAGGATATCATAATTTCATTCTCCTGCTGTCTCAAGTATCTAAGCGTAGAATCAATTGGCCCAATCTTAAGTCACCCCTTACTATCTTAATGATTTCTTCTATATCACTAAATTGGTGACTGAATTCACAGAGTACCGCTTAGAGAACGGGAATAAGGAACAGTACATAATAAAGGAGAAGCTAATCTGGGTCAATATTATTAACAATAATTTCTTATTAGAACAACACCCCAAGCAATAAAATTGTTTTTTGTCTATTATGTTTGATTAGAAAGAGATAAACTTATAAGAACTCCTCTTTTAGCGTTACATCAGAATTGAACGGGTTGGTGAATCACACATTGAATTCTACATGAAGTATACCTAAAAGGCAGATTAATTAAAGGGTATTGCACTTCTTAAAGGGAAAATCAATCAATTGCATTTGCATAATAGCAAATTTCCGAGTATAATCAGCGAGGCTAAATTGAATGAGGAATAGATTAAATTCTTGAAACGTACTTGTATCTTCTTTCCTTTTGATGCCATAAGCTATGCTAACACATCCAATTTCAATATTGAATTGAAGTATTTCTCCTATAATAAATTTACTGAGGTCAAAGAGCAAATAAATTTGAGGGAATTACTCAATTTATACATAGCGGATGGCTTTTATAAATACTAAACGAATTATATGAATTCCAAATTGAATCATTCAGACATTATCAGTATTTGTTATTATATGATACACAAAATTAAGACTTAAAATTTCTTGAATTTGAGTCAATATCATACGATTCCCAATTTAAATCAATTAAAAACACAGAAGTAATCCAATAAGATATAGAAACCAATCAGATTATAAATAAGGACCTTCAAAAAACCAAACATTTTCATAATCTCACTACTCTACAATGAAGTTCAAGTTTGTTGCACGAATTGGAAGTCTTGCCAGCAAATGAATGATGTATTTTCATTTAGTTATCTATCTGAACACATAGCTCATTTCAAAAATCTAGTAGACAATGAACCCAAAATAGCATTACATAGGATTGCAAAAATAATTGATAAATTAATGAATATTATATTAATAAAATGAAATTTGTAATATTAATCCTATTGATACAGCACTACCATACTTGTGAAATCTATTACAACAACGACATCTCTTTTGATTTCACTGAAACCATAGGCTCCAATGTCTAATTAACAGACAAAAAAATCCTGAATATGAATATTTGTGGATCCACACCTTACTAGTGCGTCACTCAGGATGAAAAATAAATCATGGTGAGAAATGAAAAATCAACCTAAAACCTTATTATAGCTGAGAATGAGGAATGCGATTTTTATTCAAAGCAACACGATTATGCGAAAAATGATCTCAAACTTATAGACGAGAATAATCCCTTTGCAGGAGTAGTATTGAAGCTTCAAGGAGTAGAAGACGATGACGATTTGGAACTCCTGTTAATATGTAGCAATTCAAATACATTTGAAATTTAAACTCCTTGTGAATAAGATTATTGTCTAAAACACAGTAGCGTTTGTCCAATTCTCGTGACTAATCCAATAATGAAGTTGTATTAATACTTATACATCCCTCTGGGTGTTATTTTTATGCTCTTAGGAATTGCTCTCATGATTTTCGGATTCCAATTTTCGAGATTGACCACTGTCTTGCTGGCATTCATGATTGGAACTGCAATTTATACGATCGTATTGGGAGAAGGAGTGTTGGATCAAGATTCGAGCAATTTCGCAATTATAATAGTACTGTGTTCTGGAATAGGAGTTGGAATTATCTATGCAAACACAACCTATGTGAGATATTTGCTTGTACAATATAGATTCTATTTAGGGTGTGTTTAATATGGGTCTAGTATTTGGGGTAGTGCTCTCTTTGTTGTTGGAACCCCTATTCCTGCATCTATTCAACAGTCATCCAATGTTTTTGGCCTTGACCTTAACACTTTCGATTTCAGGATTACTGTTTGGATTTTTGGCGTGTAAATTTCTAAACACATTTGGGATTGGAGCCACAGCCTTAGCAGGAGTATGAGAAATTCATTAAAATAGAGTTATTTATTGATCAAGCCAATTGGGTGGTTTGCAGGCGGATATCCAAATGAACTCTATTTAGTAAAGAGAGCATTTTATGGATTCGACAAGGATATCAATTTTAGGTTCTACTTGTACTTCTCCTCCATAATGATCTTGACGATTGGAAGCGTGTTTTTCCAATATAGACAATTGAGAAAGAGGATGAGCATGGATGAAATGTTTGCTTACAAAGAGATGGATTATTGTGAGATGGGAAACTTCGAAAAGGGCAACAAGTCGGAAGTCAAGGGATTTGTAGATGAAACTGAGGTATTGCTTAGAATAATTATGTGTGTAGGAGGTTATGCAATCTGTGTAATTTGTTAAAAAGTTAGGAGAAACAGGGTAGAGGAGAAGTGATTCAAGCCAACAGAGTTAATGACATTTTAATTTTATATTGTTATATTCTATTGATAATTGCTTTCAATTGTGGAAATTCCAAATGATGAAGCCTGTTGTTCCCATAAAGGCAGCCCATCCCCAAAGTTCATAGAATCCTCTATAACCAGCATGATATTGACGAATCACTTATCTTGAAATTCAACTACTTTAATACCTGTGTGTGCCATTACAGAAGGGAGCATTTGCACTCTGTTTGCAATTACACAATTTATAATATCCAGAAGTGTCGACATTAAATTTAATTGGTCTATTTCTAGTTGCTGAGGCATTGCACATTCCATCACACCAAGGATTCGATTATGAAATACCGCATGAGCACCATTGGTAAATCTTATCTTAGCTAATTCAAAATACCTTTCCCTTCTATAGATAACAATTATAAGGATAGAAACCAGCAACATAGGGTACTGAAGCAGGTCGGTACTTTCCTTCAGGATATGGGATGGACTCGGGCAGAAGCACAAACTTTTACTCTGGGAAATCTGTAATGTCATCAGGCTTTCTTTCTTTTCTGGCTAAATTTATGAATGCCAACAATAATTTACGTGGAGGTGGAGTAATGATCTCGGGTGGTAGTGTATATGAATCACGTAAATGAGCTTCCCCATGTTGGAGTATCGTAGACACGGTTCTGTATTTAGCTGCCTTCTTCAAGATTTAAGACATCCAAAATAAATTAATTAATACAATATCAATATTTCATACTTATCATACTCATCAATAATATCATCTCTCTTTATCCCCAAAGGCATTGTCCAATAATATCCTTAATCTACTAAGGATACTCACAAGCCTTCCTTGTATAAAATTACAAATCTAAATTCCTACATTCCTCATAGATATCCCTCAATATCCGCACATCTCAGTATTAAACCAATAGATTTTCCAAGAATTGCATGAAATCTATATTAAATACACGCATAAAGTAGAGTAAAAATATTATACTCAAAAACTCAAAAACTCAGAAATAAATAAGGAGATAGTATATATATAATCATATGTGTATGGATGTTTCATTTTGCTTTAAAGATGGGTCCATATCCTTAGCATTAAACCACACCAGAAGCAAATCAAACCTTCTTGATTTAATCATAATTATTTAATAATTGAATTTATAGAAACCCAATTAAAACAAGGTATTAACTGGAAAATTTATACGTCACTATTTTAGAATTCAGAAGGGTTGACCAAACCATTATAAGAGATTATGATGCTACATTGCTTAATGAAAATGGTGAAGAGGTTATAATATAATAATTTTGTTTTTTGAATATGAATTTAGAAATATGATGTCATTATGGTGGTTATTACGGAGGTAACAAGGCTCTTAATAATAGAATTTTATTTATATTTATAGCTGTTTATTGAAATATATCTGGTAGTCCAAATTAATGCGGTTTTTCCTCTTAAACTATGTGTTCCTCCTTAACATGTTCTTTATCAAGATACTAATGCTGCTATTCTATAAGCATTTCAGCACTTTAGATGACATGTGTGTGATGTGACCTTTGTTATGAAATGTTGGGACCTTGAATTTGAATGACTTTTCTAATGATTTTCTCTTAGTTGTTCTAAACTACTTCTTGTTCTTTGGGCTTCTTTTTCTTTCTTGGTTACTCTTCATACTCCTAATTGTCATCTTGCTATTGTTCGTTCTTTTTCAATTATAATAGTTTATCGTAGACATCTATGTATGCTTATTTAATGTCTGCCAAGTCTGTGATTTAAGTGAAATTCTTAGGCAGTTCGATTGGATCAATAACTACTTCAATGTCGTCATTATTGAAGGGTTCAAGGAACTCTTACAGTTTTTTTAGATGTTATTGGAATTTACTAATAGTATTGCTGCTGTCAACGCATAATATGATATATTTTTAATCGAGTTTGTTATTGACATTGTTATTAGTGCTTTTGTATAATACTTGTTGTATGGTCAAAACTAAAGATTTAGAGTCTTAGAATTTAAATACATTTGTATTAAGATACAATTTAATGCAAGAACTGAATTTGATGCATAGAAATACAGGATGCTTTACTTTGTGTCTGATATTGGGAGCTGAGAAATAATTATTCAATCCCTCGATAGTGTTGGTGATGACTTCGGTATTCTAGGGTTTTGTGGTTGTGAATTGCTTTTCAAGAGTGGTGATGGGGAAGGGATCAAAGTAGGACTGCAATTTCTATTTGTTTTGTTGCTCAATGTCTCTGGCTGACTTTCTGGAATCTACAAAAATAGGGGGAGATATGCGGGATATCAATATTTGGGGGAATTCAAACTTGCTTTGACAAAGATAAAGTGTGATGATGATGTGGAATTTTTAATGCTAATTATTATAAATAAGATACATCATGATTGTAGGAAGTAGTGTTAAATTTGAGACCAGAGAATATGCATTTATTATTTTCCAAATCCATCTTCTAATTGCCTTTGACACCCACTTCCAACAGATGAAAAGTTTTCATGGGACTTACTGTTGGTTTTACAATTTGTATTTTGGCCTAAATAAAGAGATGGTCAATACATAGATCTTGCCTGGTGGAGCAAGCTTCTCGTCAGTGGTGGGATCTGTTATCTAAGGATGTTTAAAACATAAAGTGCATACTTCCAATTCAACACCAATATCTGGTAGATTCCAACTCTTATGCCAATTCCAGCCCAAGCCATTTTTGTTTGTGTAAATGAAATTCCTGCTCTGCTCTATTTTGAGATCGATCACAGGATCTATCTACCCCTGCTCCGACGGTATTTTCAGTTGCACAGATGGACTCAAGTTCCACGTCGTTTCGGTATCCTTTGAGATGCGTTTCACATCGTATTAACATGGAATCCATTCCCATTGCTTGTCCTAAGGAGCAATGTCTGACTTCTAATTTTCTTTCATTAAAATTATATAATATTAATGATTTCCATGTTTATTAAGTAGTGTTTAAATAATATGGACATAGAAGTCACACTAGCAATAGCCTAGACGATCTCCTCTCTAAGTCAGAAATCACTTTAGATGAAATTCTGGATGCCGAAGTCTTGGACGAAATTAAAAACAATGGAGCCCAGAAGTTCGCCATCTTGTATTGAACCATCTCTATTGAGTTAGCATTATCAAGGATGTCAACAACTACCAAAAAATCATTGAGTATCTCCTTTCAATGGATTCTGACAACCCCAAATTGAAAAGGTAAAAGCCCATCTCAAAATAGGTACTAATTTCTCATAAGTGAAATTTTGAGTTACGATAGCTCAATTTTAGTTGACTATCTATTTGAACCAGAACCCAATATCCCAAATTATTAGGTTCAAGAAGAATAACGCCAAAAACTCCTCCCTCTATTATTTTAACCATTCCAAGCAGATTATCTTAATTATACCTAAGTAGGATATCTGACCAAAATCTTTGAATCCATCATAAGGAAGAGGGGTAACAGCGTATAAATTAGTGAATTCAATCTAGTTATGGAGTTGGTTTGATAATAATTAATCCGTATTGGATCATTTGATTAAGCATCTAGATGTGTATCATGTGGCATCAATACTCTCCCACTTGATCACCTCTGAATCCACAAGTCAAGACTAAAAATCTAATCAACACACCACCAAAAGAATTCAATTACTTCTCAGAATTCACAAAATATTGCTCAATAAAGTCCATAATTCAGAAATTGTACATAATTGCTCAGAACTATTAACTTAAATTTGTTCTACAACATAACAGTTTATCCAGTATTTTGATTACCCAGAACACTTCTATACAGCAGCAGTAATCATTGAATTTATCATTAGTGTGATTCCTAATTTGTTGAGTTTTTGAATATTATAATAGCACTCTTGAAATGTCTGCCACAAAATGAAGAATACGACTATACAAAGTATTATTCTATAGCTCAAAATCTACACAAATCATTCTCTAATGAGTATGTCAATTTCGGTAATTAGTAATAATATATTCCTAGCCTTTATTTCAACTTTGGGCGAAATCTCAACTGGTCTTGGTCAATTCAAATTAAGGCTTTTGACTATCTATCATTTGCTCTTAAAAACAGAAAACGAAGATTTATTACGTTACATATATCATTTGGATATCTATAAAACTTTGTTCAAATACATTATTAAATTTGAATTTAACAACTAACTTTAAATATTATTCAGTGAGATCTCCAGATTTATTTTCAAAACTAGTTCATTAAGTTGGATCTAAAATCAAATAAAATAAGATTTATTTGAATTTATTTCCTTAAAAAACACATATATGAAATATAATATTGGAAAAATTAAACATCCCATAAGAAGAGGATATTGTGGAATCTTATCTTAGCTCTCACTTGATTTAGAAGACATTATTTATGAGTCAACAGATTGGAACTTGTATAAAAAGTATTTCTTGCAAACGCTTAAAAAGATTGAGTAAAGGTACTTTTTCGATATTAATCCGAAAAGTAACGATGTTTAACCGATATCGATCAGCAGTAAGGAGAACTAGCAAGTAAATTATTAATTATGAAACTATTAGTGTGTATCTCAGGGTAAGCCCGATTCTGTTGAGATCGAGTATAACAATAAATAATATGGCAGTAGTCTTCAATAAATTATAAAATCTGGAATCAGGATAGGCATTCCTATTCAAAATTTGCTATCATTTTCTGATGTTGCTACCAAGGGGATGGCTCTAGCAACTGCTTACGAAAATAGAAGCAATGCAGAACCATCAGATTTAGAATTGGATTCATTGAATGTTAACGAATTGCAAAAGAAAAAGATCTGCAAGTTTTAGAATGAGGATTCCCCAGAAAACAGGGACTCCAACCCTGAATAATTAAATGAGGATCAGAATGCTACTGATGGAATCGAAATGAATTGAATTCATCATTTATAATGTTGAGAGAATAATAAATATACATATTTGTACATATTCAAATTAATTAACTTAATGATCTTTATTAAAAAAAGCATTAATAAATTATTGTTTAAATTTATTAAAAATCGATGTTTATAGAATCAATTGATCACTCTACTCCAAGAACGATTCAAGAAAATGAAAGTAGAAATAAATCATCCACTTAGTTTCAGAGCCAGAATACGATGAAAAAATCAACTATAAACTCGAAGTTAGGAAAGCACATCTTCTCCAGTAGTTCCTTAGATTTTAAGTTGAAAATACTCAAAAGAGCATTGCAAAACTGGAAAAAAAGCTTTCTAATGATGAGGTAATTGTAGAACTCATATGTTTTTATTTAACTATTTGCTCGTTATTATATATATTTGTTTTAATTTAATTTTATTAGGTAAAAAATAAACGAATCTCAAGAAAAAACTCAATTACCAAACCCTTCAAATGTTCGAATTGCACCCATACCTATTCATCAAAGGCAGCTCTAAAGTAGCACCTAAAACTGAAGCATTATGAAGAGCATACTCCTTTAACTCAACCTTTGGATTAATAAAAAGCATTAGTTGAACCATTGTCCTAAATATGAAATTAATTTTGTTAATTTATATTTTGTATTATAAAAGATTCACTCAAAAAATCTAAAACATTCTCCCTTAGCATCATTAATAAAAAGAAAACAATGTTTCCATTCAAAGTGATTAACAATGAGCCATCATAAAAGAACTTAAGTTTTTTGATAATCTACGTATATATTTTGATTAAGAATGAAATTAATTGTGTGCAAATTCTCCCACTATTATAAGAGATAGTGCTAATTCAAATTGTTTGCTTTTGTAATAAAGTTTGAAATATTTCACAAAAGTATTAAAGCTGACTAATTTATAATTAATTAAAATAATCTGCTTTTTAATTTGTTTTATCAGTTAACTAATAAGATTGTTATTTAAAGTATATCATTCTACTAAAAATTTGAAATATCAAGAATAAAAGTCCATGTTGTAAACTTGTAGTTAATTTTAGTTATAAATAGGAATTTATTTAACTTTTTGAATTATGATATGATTTTTACAGGATTGTATAAATGTGATTTTAATTATTCTTCGAAAAAGAATATTTTACAAGTTAGTCTACTTGATTTTTAATAAATAAGTTAGGATTTATCATTTCGTTATAGGTTTTGAAAAAATTATTTAAAGTTCTCATAGATCTCAAATTGGTTGAACTGCTGGAAACTAAAAGAATTATTTTCTATACTATGGGGTGATGGTTTAAGACACAAACTGCCATATATATATCTGAGGTTGTAATTATAGATTAATAAGTTGAGGGAATAAAATCTTTGGATTCAAAGATAGAAGTGGATAGAGATATTTTTAGTTTTTGATTTAGTAGTAATTAAGTTGTTTGAGATTTAGGTGTGTTGTTTATAAGTATTAAGCATTTATTATAATACATAATTTTAAATTAATTCACAATGTTACCGGAGAGTGCTAAAATAAAGCTTGCCAGTCGTTTGTTTGATAGAGGGAAACCCACTTAGAGCAGTAATAATAACGAGAGGCCACTGACTTCGAAGATTGCGATCAGAGCATAGCTGAATCAGACGATGACCAAGATTGAGAAGGTTCCTGATAAATTGCCTGCGATTCACGAAGAACGCAGTCACTCTTATCAAAAGTCAGGAGGAGCAGGTCTCAATCAAACTCGAGGGAAATCATAGAACAGTAATATTGATTAGATTGAATTTAGACAATGACTCATTCCCAAAGCATAATAAAACTTTTGATTTAACAAATGATATATTCTTAGATGAGAGACGATTATTAAAGTCTCGCCAGGTTCATGAGTTGATGGATCGCATGATTGGAAGAGTGAAACCTCCGAGTCCACCAAAGGAAGTTTAGAAGGTTGTCTAGGTGTTGCCAAGTAACATCTTGGATAATACTCGCATGACTATGACAAGGGATAACAGGACAGCCCCAAGGAAGACGATTCGAGCACAACAAATGAGGAAAGAGATTTTGAATAAAACCTCCATGTCTCAGGTTTCGGATAGTTCGGAAGATTCAAGTGAAGAGAATGGCAATTTCGGATTGAAAGACGTCGACGCATTCATTCAGATGATCAAGGAACACAAATTAAGTTAACAGGAATTCATGTATCTGATCAAAAGGAAGAAACATTCAAATGATGCTTACAATATGAGGATAGTCAACTATCCCTATATTCAAAAGCATCAGCTCAATAATTTCTATACACTCTCAGCCAAGGGATTGACTCGATACGAGAATAACATTACGATTGAGTTTGTTTCATTGAACACCTGGTTAGAAGAAAGAGATTAATTTAATGCAATTAAGTCCTTAAGTTTTTTTAAGAAGTTTCGTAAATGGAAGACTCTCAAGAAATGGCAAAAGATATTACATTAGCATCGAACTTCTATAGTGTAAGCATAACTGTGTGAGAAGATGTTGATTTTGAATCCAATTTATCAAAAATTAATAGTATCACATAGAAGTTTATGTTACGACATCGAGGCACTTAGAATTGTGGACATAGATAAGATAGAAGAGGAATTGACAGACAAGAAAGATTAGTATTTGAGTTTGCAAGAGTTCAGTCTGTTACAGTAGAAGTAGAGGAATAGACTAGTGGAGAAAATCTAGATTCAATCAAGGAAGATGAAAGAAAATTGTTTATCAGGACTTAAAACTGTTATTGATAAATTGAGGACCCAAATTAATTAAGAGAAACAGTCAGATGATGATCATGTACCTTTGAAAATAGAGAAGACGATGTCTCAATCTAGGTAAATTGATAAGAAGCAATAAATTATTGAAACTTTTGGGTTTCCAGAAAGAATGGATTATGGTCACAGAGCATTGATGAGAACAGAGTTCATTAAGTTTTTAAGATTGGCTTATCTATTAGATTTCATTGCTGTTTAATCTCTGGGATAAATTTACATCAAATCAGCAACAGAATTTGTGGATAAATTGATTAAGGTTCAATAATGTAGTAAAAGTAACAGGAAACTACCTAAATTGACTGAAAATGAAGAGGAAAAAAAAGATTTTTAAGATTATGATCCCATTTTCACTATCGAATTAAGATTTAATCCAATTTATGGACATCTTGATATTGAAAGATAGTAAGTGCCTTGGGATACTTTAAATGAAAATTTGTTAGATTTTGATTTGTAAGAGTGTATTCGATTGAAAGAAGAGAAGGTACAAACCATTGAGAAGGTGGAGAAGAAACAGTAGAGTTCTCAAAATGCAAATTAATAGTAATCTATGGAACCTTAGGAAGAGTTCATTGAAGATCCTGAATTTGTATGTAAAAGAGAGGTTTAGAACCTTTATGAAACACAATTAGAAGTACACCCATCTAAAAGGGATTTTCTGAGTCGAATTTAAGAGGCATTCTGTGATGGATTAGATTAGATACAAGTGATTGAAAGATGGAGCAAACATCCTGATTTCTTATAATATGTTTAAGCCTTGGAAGAATGGGATGAAATTATTGGAGACAAGTGGACACAACCTGATTCCATTAATCTGAATCCTTCATATTGGATTAAGGAACACCCTATGAACAATATATTCATGCACGAGATTTCTTAGGAATTGGATTAAGCATTTTCAAAATTAGAACTTTTCTAAAAGGAATTCAATGAGTACTTGAATTTGATCTGGAGACAAGAGAACAGTGAAATTGAACAATTACAAAATCCAAGGTTGATGTATTAATCAAAGATATTTTCATGCACTTTGAAGAGTGCTCAATTGATTGACCATTTACTACAATAGAAATTGATACCTTAGGTTGATATTGGATTGTACAGAGTCAAGATATAAAATATTTAGAAGTAATTGAGTGCTAGACAATCTTAAATACTGGCATAATTGGAGGAACTTTACCTATAATTGTTTAGGAATAGATCTTTGATCTTGAAGGCATGGTTATAATAATCAATAAAATCATTATCAGGTATGGTTATAAGAATTGAAGAATTTATTGAATAGAAGAACTCTGTAGATCGAATAACAAAGGAATTACCTTCAAAGAGAGAGGAAATTGAAACCGCTATCAGTATAATCTCATTGGCTTAAGATTGTAAGCTATTTTCGATGAAGAAAGAAGACAAGGATTTAGCACAGGAATTGAATTACTTAGAGTCTTCGTTGAATGTTGCATTGTCAGAAGCAGACAATAATACAGCCAAAAATATAGAGAAATTTAAAAAGACATTGAAAGAACGCATAGACAAGTTAAAAGGTGAGTGTTTGGATGTGAGTGAAGCAGTGAACAAGGAGAAGTTTTTGACATTGAACACGGATTTAACAGATGCCATCAAAGAGTTAACTGAGATCGATACTAAAACTAAATAGTTGGAGTAGAGTGCTTAATTATATACTCAATATGAAGAAATCCTGTAATGCTAAGAATAAGCTCAATATGAATTATTGGAGAATACCAGAGAGTAATTAAATTTGAGACTAGGAATGTGGTAGGGGATCCAAGAGTTTAGAAAATTATCATAAGATTGGCAGCAATTACAATTCACATCCATTAATGCTAAGGAGATTGCTTAGAAAACTGAAGGATTCGTTAGGGTTGTACAAAGATGCGAAAAGAATTTGTAAGAAAATAGAGTGATTGCCTATTTGAAGAAGATAGTGTGGGAATTCAAAGATACTATTCCAGTGGTGACAGCACTACGTTCTCAATATTTATAATAAACACATTGGCAAGAAATCAAGTAATTGGTCAGATAGGAATTCGATGTTAATGATCAATAATTTACTTTGAACACTTTGCTGGATCTGAATGTAGCATAACACAATGAGTAGATTACAGAGATTGCTGTGAAAGCAGCTTAAGAGGACTCTCTTAATACTTAATTAAAAACGTTGGAGACACAATGGAATGAAGTGGAATTGAAATTGAAACCTTATAAAGATCAATTGGATGTAATGGTATTGGGAGAAGTGGAAGAGCTAGTTCAATTGTTTGATGAAGGTCTGGCAAACATGTCTAATATACTTGCTAGTCGTTATGTTAGACCCTTGAGACAGAGAGCTGAGAAATTCTAATCTGATTTATTATTGTTGTCTGATATCATCGAGAAGTGGGTTGAATGTTAAAAAAAGTGGATGTATTTGGAGAGTATCTTCAGTAGTTAAGATATAAAGAAATAACTATCTAATGAATCATAGCTATTTGATAGTTGTGATAGATTGATAAAGAAGTTAGTCAAACAAGTCAATCTTAGACCTCAGATTATGAGATTGTTAGCTATGTAGAATATGTTAGACAATTTAACTAAAACGTTGGAGACATTGGAATAAATAGAGAAATCCTTAGAAGATTATCTAGAAGTCAAGAGAGGATCATTCCCAAGATTCTACTTTTTGTCTAATGATGAATTATTAGAAATCCTATCTAAATAAACTGACATTAATTCAGTTTAATCTCATTTAGGATAATGCTTTGAAGCATTGGTCAAATTATACTTTGGTGATTAACCAAATGTAATCCAAGGAATTTATTCTTCAGAAGGTGAGTTAGTCTAGTATTATAAATCAATACCTGCTAGAGGAAATGTTGAAACTTGGTTGCACTTGTTGGAATTGGAAATGGTTGAGACTCTGCGTAAATTATGTAAATAAGGATTACAAGACTATTTGAATGGAATGTAAAAGACTAAAACTGATTGGATACTTAATCACAAATCACAGATTGTGGCTGTTGTTAGTCAAATACTTTGGTCAATCAACACTGAAGATGCAATCAATGAATCTAGTGTCAAAGCAAATGCTCTTTATGAATGGCATGATATGATGGAAATGCAACTAAAATAACTCACAGCATTAGTCAGAGGAGATTTGACAGTTGTCTAAAGAAAAACTATAGTCTCATTAATTACTACAGATGTTCACAACAGAGATATCGTCATGAAATTAGCTGATAATAGTATTGAAACAACATCGGATTTCCAATGGTAATAATAACTAAGATACTATTGGGATGAGGAATGCGATGATTGCTTGGTTAAATAAGTCACAAGCGTATTTCATTATGGATATGAATATTTGGGACCAACAAGTAGATTGGTAATCACTCCACTCACAGATCGTTGTTGGATAACAATTACATCTGCCTTAACCAATCAATTAGGTGCAGCTCCTGCAGGACCAGCAGGCACAGGAAAAACGGAATCCACAAAAGACTTAGCCAAATGCTTGGGAAGATATTGCATAGTATTTAACTGTTCAGATTAAATTACTGCTGCCACTATGAATAAATTATTCAGTGGTTTAGCATAGCAAGGTGCATGGGCTTGTTTAGATGAATTCAATAGAATAGACATTGAAGTACTTTCTGTTATAGCCTAATAATTATTGACTATTCGTATTGCTTAATTGTAATAGTTGACTGAATTTTTGTTTGATGGCCGACACATCTAATTAAAGAACACTTATGGAGTCTTTATTACTATGAATCCAGGGTATGCAGGAAGAACTGAATTACCAGACAATTTGAAATCACTCTTCCGTCCAGTGGCTATGATGATTCCAGATTATAGGTTGATTGCAGAAATTATGTTATTTGCTGAAGGATTTGAAAATGCAAATGATTTATCGAGCAAGATGGTTCAGTTATATAAATTGTCATCATAATAATTGTCTTAATAAGATCATTATGATTTCGGTATGAGAGCAGTCAAATCCTTATTAGTTATGGCTGGTTCATTAAAGAGAGCAGATACAACTATCCCTGAAGACATTGTGTTAATTAAGGCTATGCGTGATGCTAATATACCCAAGTTTTTAAAAGATGACATTCCATTATTCATGGCTCTAATTTAAGATCTATTCCCTAAAGTAGAGATAGCCAATTCATCATTCGAATTCCTAGAGTAATAATTAAATAAGAAATGTCGATAATTTAAGTTGTAAATCATACCAAGTTTTATAACTAAAATGTTGCAGCTGTTTGATACTCAAAATGTAAGATTTGGAACCATGATTGTTGGAGGCAGTGGATCTGGCAAAACTAACTGTTATCAAATATTGGCTGAAACAATCACTGAGATAAAAGTATAGAATCTATCATAGGATCCTAGATTCTAAGAATTATAATTTGTAATTTTAAATCCTAAGTCAATCTCAATGGGAGAACTTTATGGGGAGGTCGATCCTTTTACTAATGAATGGCAAGATGGTTTAGCAAGTTCCATAATCAGAGAGTGCAATAACAGTAAGGAGAGACATTGGATTGTTTTTGATGGACCTGTTGATGCATTGTGGATTGAGAATATGAATTCAGTCTTAGATGATTCAATGACTTTGTGTTTGGCCAATTCAGAAAGAATCAAGTTGAGACATGAGTTGAGAATGATATTTGAAGTTCAGGATTTGTCAGTTGCCTCTCCAGCCACTGTAAGTAGATGCGGTATGGTCTACATGACAGTTTAAGATATCAATTGGTACAATTATGTGGAATGTTGGATTGAGGAAGTTTTCTCAGATTAAGAGAAGGGTTAGATCAAATGCTGTAGTCAACTTAAGGAAAAGCCCAAGAAATCATTACAAATAGAACAAAAATATTTAGATTTGATAAGAAATTTATTTAAGACTCAATATAAGTTTTTACAAGAGAAACTAGGAAACCTTGATGAACCTTTTATTACAATAGAAACATAAAGAGTGAAGAGTGTTTGCAACATACTCACTTACTTTTTGAAGTCCATCCTCGTTTAGAAATCTGCTGACTTGCCAAAACAAATTACAGCTGTATTTGCCTACAGTTGCATTTGGGGGTTGTGTGCATCATATGAATAGAAATATTATGACAAGGTACATCAATTTTATATAATCTCAACGATTTTTAATTTTGCAGTGAATTTAGCCCCGATCTGTTTGAGTTCATAAATAGATGGGATAAGGTACCTGCAGATATTAAATCCTAGAAGTAATTAAATGAAGTTTTACAGAATGTGCACTTTGTTTAAATTACTATTAGGAACATTCTATTACTTATATGCATCATATATATTTATATTATTATTTCCTATTAATTATTATTTTAGATTGCCACCTATGTCAAGGACCAATTTCAATCATTGCTATACCCGAAAGGTGATACAATATTTGATTTCTACGTTGATGGCAATGACTTCACCACATTATAGTCATGGGAATCTCAGCTATAAGAGTTTTAATTTGTAAAAGATCAATCGTTTTTCAGTATCGTTGTTCAAACTGTAGACACATTGAAATTCCAATACATAATGCAGTTGTTAATTAGAGAATAAATACCAACATTAATCACTGGATAGACAGGAGTTGGCAAGTCGATGTTGGTCTAATCATTGCTATTTGAAATGAAATTGAATGAGAACGTTCAACCAGTGTTATTGAATTTTTCAGCACAGACAAAATCAAAGCAAACCCAATTGGCTATAGAATCTAAATTAATCAAAAAGGGAAAGATCCTATTTGGAGCAAGAGTAAATGAATAAATAGCTATTTTTATCGATGATATCAACATGCCTGCATTAGAAAAATACGGTGCTTAGCCCTGCATAGAACTCTTAAGATAGATGATAGAATTATAAGGAACTTTCGATCGTACCAAATTATTTTGGAAGCATATTGAGGATGTGACTCTGTTGATAGCTGGTGGACCTCCAGGAGGTGGAAGAAATCAATTATCTCAACGATTTGTCAGACAATTCAATGTTCTGAATATGCCAAATCAATCTGATTCTATTTTGGAGATGATTTATGGATCAATTTTGAAAGGCTACTTTAATAGCATTAACTTTAGTGAGAGTGTTAGGAAAACTAGTGACTAAATCACCAGAATTACAGTTGAATTATTTAGAAGAATATCTTAAGAACTATTGCCAATACCAGCGAAGTTCCATTACACCTTTAATTCGAGAGATATTAGCAAGGTCTTTTAAGGTTTATTGATGATCAGACCCATCTCCTGCAATAATAGTAACGATACCATAGCTAAATTATGGGTTCATGAATGTGCAAGGGTCTTCTGTGATCGTTTGATTAGCGTTTAAGACAAGCTTTGGTTTTATAATACAGCAGTTGACTTATTGATGAGGTACTTTAGTGTCAATAAGGATGATATAACAAGCAATATATTGTTTAGTGATATTCTTAAATTGGAGGCTGCAAATGTTTTATATGAGGAGGTCACTGAAAAGAGAAAGGTGATTGTGAAATCTTTGCAAGACAAATTAGATGATTACATCATGGCAACGAATGATAAAATGGAATTAGTCTTTTTTGATGATGCTCTAGAACATATCCTAAGAATATCAAGAATCTTTAGATAACCAAGAGGAAATGCAATGTTAATTGGTGTCGGTGGATCTGGAAAATAGAGTCTAACTAAATTGGCTTCCTTTCTTATGAGGTCTGAGATCTTTTAGATTGAAATTGTCAAAACCTACAATGCTGACTCATTCCGAGCTGATTTAATTAAAATCCTAATGAAAACAGGAGGAGAAAGAATTCCATTGACATTTATATTCAATGAAGCTCAGATAGTCTAAGAGAGTTTCTTAGAAGACATCAATAACATTCTCAATACAGGTGAAGTTCCTAACTTGTTTGCTAAGAAAGAAGATCTGGAATAAGTATACAACACTGTAAGACCATAAGCAATTAAAGCAAAGAGATTGGATTCACCAGAATCCTTGTGGACCTTCTTTGTAGAAGGAATCAGAAATTCATTGCATATTGTCTTATGTATGAGTCCTGTGGGCAATCAATTAAGAATTCGATGCAGAAAATTCCCATCGTTGGTAAATTGTTGTACCATCGATTGGTTCACTTAATGGCCCAAGGAAGCATTACTGGAAGTAGCTAATAAATTCCTCGACAAAATACCCAATCTGAAGTAAAAGGATTAATTGGCGCAAATGTGCATGGAAGTCAATCTCTAGGTTGCAAATCTATGTGATGCATATCAAAAGGAATTGAGAAGATAAGTTTATACAACACCCAAATCATATTTAGATTAAATATAACTTTATGCTGATTTATTAATATAAAAACAATAGGAACATGGATTGATTTAAAGGAAATTGGCTGATGGATTGGATTAATTATTTAAAGCCAATGAAAAAGTAGCTGATTTGAAAATTAAAATGCAAGGGATACAACCCTAGTTGATTGAATAATCTGCAAAAACAGAATAGTTTTTGAAGCAATTGGCAATAGATTAGAGTGAGGCCAATCTTAAAGAAAGACTAGTAAATGATGAAGCTTAAATAGTCAATCAGCAAGCATCAGAAATTAAAATAATAGCAGATGAAGCTTAAGCTGAATTAAATAAGGCATTGCCTGCAATGAGAGAAGCAGAAGAGGCTCTGCAAAAGATTAACAAAAATGATATTTCAGAAATTAAAGGGTTTATTAATCCCCCACCAGTTGTATAATTGGTGCTAGAAGCTGTTTGCATATTATTGTAAGAGAAGACTGATTGGAATTCAGCAAAATCAGTTATGATCAGTGGTGATTTTATGGAAAGATTAATGAAATACGATAAGGGTTAGATAACTGAATAGATGTTGAGGAAATTGAGATTCATAACAATAAAACCAGAATTCGATCCAATTTGTGTTGCTCAAAAAAGTCAAGCCTGCAAAAGTCTGTGTATGTGGTGTAGAGCTATTGATAATTATTCTAAGATTGCAAAGGAAGTAGAGCCTAAAAAAAAGAGAGTTGCTGATGAGTAATAGAATTTAGAAGTCAAAAATAAGGAGTTGGCAGTAAAACAAGAAGAACTGTAGAAAGTTAGAGATAGAGTAGCTAGATTGTAGAAAGAGTGTGATGAAACTGTAGAAGAAAAGAATAGATTGGAGAAAGATTTAGAACAAATAAAGAAAAGATTAGTGGCAGCTGAAAAATTAACATATTTATTGGCTGATGAAGGTATAAGATGGAAAGATTAAATTAAAGTGATTGAGCAAGTCTTGTAGTAAATTATTGGAGATGTTTTCTTGGCTGCTACTACAGTCAGCTACTTAGGTGCATTCACAGGCTAATATAGGGAGTAATTGATAAAGAACGCTATTTCGAAATTGAAAGAATATGACATCCCTTTTTCAGAAAACTATTCCTTATCTTCAACTCTTGAAAATCAAATTGTTATTAGAGATTGGGTCATTTGTGGATTACCTAATGATGCCATTTCGATTGACAATGGAGTAATAGTAACTAGAGCTGATCGTTGGCCTTTGATGATTGATCCACAAGGATAAGCAAATAAATGGCTTAAGCAATTCAATAAGGAGTTGAAAGTTATGAGATTCACAGAATAGCATTTCCTAAAAGGATTGCAATAATGCATTAGTTCAGGATACGAAGTCTTATTTGAAGAGGTTGAAGAGAAACTGGAACCATCTGTTGATTCGGTTCTCTAAAAATAGATTATTGAAGTCGATGGACGCAGACTTATTAAGGTTGGAGATTAAAAGGTCGATTACCATAATTAATTTAAATTGTATTTCACTACAAAAATAGCAAATCCTAATTATTTACCAGAAGTGTTTATTAAGACTACAGTGATTAATTTCAGTATCACTTTCGAAGGATTATGTGATTAGTTGTTGGGTGATGTAATGAAGTTTGAGAAGCCAGAAATTGAAAAGCAAAGAGATGAAATTATTATAAAAATGAGTAATGCTACCAAGCAACTCAAAGGTGCTTAGGATTCCATTTTGGATCTGTTAGCCAATGTTTAAGGGAATATTTTAGACAATGAATAATTGATCCACACTCTTGAAGTCTCGAAATTTCAGTCTGCCGATATTTTAAAATCCTTTGAGGAAACCATTATTGTAGAATAATAGATCAATGAATCCAGAAATCTCTATCATTCAGTAGCTATAAGAGGGTCAATATTGTATTTTGTAATCTCAGATATGAGTCTAATCGATCCGATGTATCAATATTCTCTACAATATTTCAAAAAACTCTATAATATATCCCTGAATCTCACTCCCAAGACTGATTTACTTAGTGAGAGATTGCTCTACTTAGAAGAAACCATTACTCAAACTGTCTTCAAAGATATTTGTAGAGGCCTATTTTAATAGCATAGAAAGATCTTTTCATTCCTCATCTGTGCCTAAGTTTAGAGATAAAATGGATCCATTTCAAATGCAGCATGGAATCTATTATTAAGAGATTAGATACCTTCAACTCCAATCATTAATCCTGATAAGGTATTCTTGAAAGACTCTCAATGGAATTTAATCTTATGTATCTAAGAATAGATTTCAGATCTAACTGACTTTTCCCAAGATATCAAAAACAACTTGTTGTATTGGAAGGAGTTCGCTCAAATAGATGATATTTATGAAGCATCATTCCCAGCTTAATCACCTCTTGCTGTTTCTTCAACACTAAATCCATTCTATAGATTATTAATAATTAAGGCCTTGAAGCCTGAAAAAATAATGTTCGGCCTAACTGAGTATGTAATTGAATTGTTTGGAGAGTTCTATATAAATCTGGCTTCATCGTCAATGGAGGAAATTTATTAATCATCAGAATCGCATACTCCAATTATCTTTATTCTCTCTCCAGGTGCAGATCCCACTCAAACCTTATTTAAATTGGCAAAAGATTAATAAAGTCAAATTGATGTAATTTCTTTGGGACAAGGATAAGGGAAAAAGGCAGAAACCCTGATTTAGAAAGGTTAGAAGGATGGAACATGGGTTATGCTTCAAAATTGTCACTTGGCAAGATCATGGATGCCTTAATTAGAAAAATTGATGGAATCTCTAACATCACATCACATTGAAGTTCATAATAATTTTAGAATCTTTTTGACTTCCATGCCTGCTGCTTACTTTCCTGTGAGTACATTACAGAACGGTTTGAAACTGACCACAGAACCACCCAGAGGATTGAAATCAAATTTGCTGAGATCTTACTAAGAATTCTAACAAGCAGATAACTAATAAAAGCTATTCAAATAACTATTTTTCAGCATTTCCTTCTTCCATGCTATAGTACAAGAGAGAAGGAAATTTGGCCCTCTTGGATTCAATATTTCATATGAATTCAATGACTCTGATCTGGATATTAGCATATAAATGATGAAAATGTTTATTTCCTAAGAAGAAGAAATCCCTTGGGATGCGATGTAATTCATGATTGGCCAAATTAATTATGGGGGAAGAGTTACTGATGATTAAGATAGAGTGTGCTTAACTTCGATATTGAAGAAGTACTTAGGGGATCATATTGAAAACAATGTTAAATTCTCAAATAGTGGCATCTATTATTTGCCTGAAGATGATTACATTCATTACATCTCCCAATTACCAAATTAAGAAGATCCTGAGGTGTTTGGCATGCATGAAAATGCAAATATTGTGTTCTAAACTTAGGAGAGTCAAAAGATATTAGATATCATCTTATCCATCCAGCCTCGTGTCAGTAGTACCAGCACTCAGAAATCTCCGGATATGATTGTTATGGAAAAGGCTATTTACTTTTAAAGCAATCTCCCAGATCTGTTGGATAAAAATGTTTGTAACCAAAGACATTATCAAATTACTGAAAATGGTAGTGTTTAATCTCTCTCAACAGTTTTGTTTTAAGAAATAGACAAATTCAACAAGCTCTTAGAATTAATCCAATCTACTTTAGTTTAATTGTAATAGGCAATAAAAGGTTTCGTACTGATATCCTAAGAGCTAGATGAAATGTATTTAGCCTTTCTCAATAATGCCATTCCTCCAAATTGGATGAAGTAATCATATTCTACTCTGAAACCTCTTTCCAGTTGGTTCAAAGATTTGATTGCAAGAGTAACCTTCATTCGATCTTGGATGGAGAAGGACTTCATACCTGCTTATTGGATGTCTGGCTTATTTTATCCCCAAGGATTTTTGACAGGTGTATTACAAACACATTCTAGAAAGTATAAGATCCCAATCAATAAACTAAATTTCAAATTTAAGGTGTTAGACATAGAACAAGATAGAATCAGAGATGAAGTTAAAGATGGAGTTTACGTGTATGGTCTTTACTTAGAAGGAGCACGTTGGGATTATCAACACGAAACCCTAATTGAATAATAAGTAGGTTAAATATATTTCCCTCTTGCCATGATGTATTTCTAACCAATGGAAGAATACTAGATTGGTGATGAATATTATAAGTAACTTTATGCAATCTATATTTAGTTGTCCTTGCTACAAGACCTCAAACAGAACAGGAGTTCTCTCAACCACAGGTTAATCTACTAATTTCATCCTATCTATTGTAATATATAAATATTAATCATGTAGGATCTGATGAGCAAAACTGAAAAACCAGAATATTGGACTTTGAGAGGAACAGCTATAATATCTTAATTAAATGATTGATTATTTTTTATTATCAATTTTATAAATATCTTGTTTTATTCAAACTTGCATTTAAGATTATAATATTGTAAAATAATTTTGTGTATACTTTAAAAATTAACTTTGTTTAAAGAAAATACTAAATGCATTACTTTTTCAAAGAAATTCTATAATTTTCATTTTATAAATTGTCTTATTATCCAAATAAAGATTTGTAAAATTGGACATTATACAAAACTCCATGAATTACTTAAATATTCAGATATTCTAATGACTAGTACCTATAGTATTTCTATATTATTGAGAACCATAAATAATCATCCTTCCTATACATATATATAATAAAAATACATAATGCACAAGGATTTTAATCCATTTGTTTTTATAAAACATAAGATAACAGAGAGATGATTACCCCAAAAACAAACATTCCGAATTATGAATCCGAAACTTAAAAACGAACCTTCTGTGAAAGCATCTAATTCAAGTCTTTCATAAGCAATATATCACTACTATAGTTCTCATTGTCTCAAAATTGATCTACTACTAATGATGTTTATATTTGTTGTTGATTTAATAATTTTTCAAATAATATTCCAACAAAATGTAAAATAAAGTCTAATAGTAGGCTCACGAGACCCCCAATGCTGAGAGAGTCCAGGCATACCAAAATTAATTATAAGGAACCATCGACTATAGTTTTAAAGTTGGGTAGTCAACCCAATGTAGGAAGTAATTAATTAAGTAAAACCTTCAGAATTACCACCAAAAGTGTTATAATAAAACCCTACGACTGAAGTAAGAAGAATAAAAAACAAATCGATTAGTTAGCATATAGGTGGAAATGGGATCCATCAACAAGTGAATTATTACAAATAGCCAAATAAGCGAATCATATATGACTCAACAAACTGTTTGAACCCACAAATCAATCGTTCATCCAGTAATAGAATCAAGAAAATCCATTCAGTCAGTTCTCAAAATTGTAAATTGTTTAACTATATCAAGATGAAAGTTTTATTTAAAATCTTGAAGATCACAGTCGAAACAATATTGTTTGCAATGAAGTCACTACCAGCACCGAGTTAAACGAAGGCAAGAGACTATTTACTGAAAATAAAGTTGAAGAAGCACTATAAAAATTTTAAAATTACTAAAACAAATATGGATTGCATCCTGAAGCATTGTACATTTCAGGATTATGTTACATGACACTAGATTAAGAAGAAAAATATATTGAGTAATTTTCGACTCTAATAAAGACTTTTCCAAGATTCAAAAGGACTTCTTATATGTATTTAGCTCTCTCTTTCAAAAAAAATAATCTTATCAATGAAGCAATTAATGTGATATCCTAAGGTATCAATAATTTCAACAGATACTTTGAAGCTCTGATATTTAGAGCTAAATTGTTTTTGAAAATTAAGAATTATGAAAAAGCTATCAAAGACTTTCAATCAGCAATTTAAGTTAATCCAAATAAATCTGTTTGCTACGTTGGATTAAGTGATTGTTTTAAGCAACTAAACCAAACTTAGCAGGCTATTGAAGAGTTGAGTAAGGCACTTAAATTCGAAGAATTGTCAAAATAAAAATAAATTCTATTAAAAAGATTCACAATCTATTTAGACAATAAAGAATTCGAGAAAGCAAAATCAGATATTAACCTATTACTTGAAATTTGTCCAAATGATTCCGAAGTCTACTATTTTAAAGGAATTTTGATGCAAAAGTAGAGTAATTACTTAATTTGATTTTAGAACGTCTATAAGATGCTCTTTTGGCATTTGAATAGTCGATTAAGTTCAACAGTGAAAAGAAACCAGTAACGAAAGCTCTCTATGAGATAGTGAAAATAAAGATTGAATAAAATGACTATTATTCTGCTTAGCATGAACTTGATAGAGCAGCCTATCTTGATGTGGATAAGACATAATTATAGAAGTTTGAACTCTTTGTTGGAGGAGCAATATATTTAATGAAAAGAAAGTTTGAGGAGGGAACTCACCTATTGACAGAGATGATAACCAAGAATAATTAGAGTGACAATCTTAAATTTTAAGCACATCAATATCGAGCATACGGGTACTTTTGTTTGTCAAAGTACAACTTAGCTAACCAGGATTTAGAATTATATTAAGAAAATCTGTTGGAGAAAGTAATTTTATTAAAAATTGTAGGCATCTCTATATAATAAACTACTATGTCATGGGATAATTAAATATGAGGATAACGAATTAGAATAAAGCAAAAGGGAGTTTTTGCAGGCTCATAAGATGCTACCAAATAAGATGGAACCCTTGTTTTATTAGGCCATTATTTAAATCAAAAAGTATTGCTCAAGTCTTGAGAAGATGAGCGAAGAAAATAGGATAAAATATTTGAAAGAAGCCTTGGATTTACTTGAAAGAGCTGCAAAGATTTGCGAATAATCTAACTTACTGTTCTATAAAGGAATTTTACATTTCGCCCTTGGAAATCTAGACTAATCTGCAGTGGACTTAGAACAAGCCATTGAAAAGTCTGAGGATAACCAAGCACAACATTATTATGTTAGAGGATTGCTTTATTGTTAACGTCAACTTTTTAAGCAAGCAGTCAACGATTTTTCAATCTGCTTAAGTCTGGATCAAAATCATCCAGAATCCTACTTTAATAGATGCAAACTATTAACAATGATGGGTGATGTAGCCACAGCCTACTTGGATCTATAAAAATATATTGAATTAAAGGAGTAGTATTCAATAAACTATCATACTGTAGGAATTCTATACTTTTTAATTGGAGCTTACGAAGAAGCTATCCAAGCATTTGCTAATTGCAAAACTCTTGAAGGGTAATATGAGAAAGTCAAAGTATTAATTTATGGAAAAGAATTGAACTCAGCACTCAATGAGTTATCTATTATAATTGAAGAATTGCATAGTCATGAAGCCACGATTGATAAATAAATGCTAACAATACTCAAAGAAACTAGTTAATAAATATCTACCAAGATTCTAGAAGACAGCATAGCTAACATAAGTTAAATCTAAAAAGGTCAATAGGAAGGGTTGATATTCAGATTGTCTGATATCTATTTTTACAAGGGTTTGTTTTATACATATTTGGGGTAATACTCTAAAGCAAAATAATGTCTTCGCTTTTCATATGACTTAAAAGAAAAGGAGATTAAGAAGTCAAGAAATACTTAATTAATCAATCAGAACACTCTTGAGGATTTTGATTTTACTAATAAGACTTATAATATATATGAGCATCTCTACAATTGCGCCATACTGGATGTCATTTTAGGAAATTTAGAGGAGGCCTTTGAAACCCTCACTTTACTCCATGAACACTTAACTTAAATTGAATTTAGAGTGTAATTATAGATCTTGATGGAATTATTACGTGATGATCTGCTGGAAACTCCTTCTGAAGAAGAATTTTCTAAAATACAAGAGTTCCAATTATTCCCCTAACACAATCGACTTTGTTCAATTTATCCTGCAATCTAGTTACCTTTGAAAAAATATTCTGTGGTAATCAGGATGTCATTCTGTTTACCAATAGTTGAATTCCCTTCGTAACCAATATTATTTGATGAGCAGCTACTTCAAAAGATATCTGTAATTTTATTCATTATTTTTAAAGCCTAAAGTTGTTGAGAATAAACCAGAAGCTCCTTGGATTAAAAGGTCGAATGAAGGAGTGATATTTACAGACAACATTCAGTGCATTGATGACCTAGATCTTCAATCAACTGTTAGAAAGGAAGAGAACGAAGAAACTGAATAAGAAAATATTAATCTTTAAAATGAAGACGACGAGATTACTAAATTAAAAGAGAAACTTAAGTTAGACGACTAAATTGCTAAAAAATTGAATTCAATATTATAATAAATAGAAGAATGAATTGCTATAAATACATAATTATAATCTACATATTACCATAAATTATTATACTATTAATTAGAATTGTTTTTGGAAAATAATTATGATATTGATTGTAGAGTAATTTAATTTAATTAAGCTATTCTTAATAATGAACATTAAGTTGCAACATAAATTAAAGAAAGAAATATTTAAAATAGCTAAAAATCATGTAGGGTATTTAAAGATTGAATTAAATGAATTCTAAGAAAAGAATTAATAATAAATTCTTAATTATAATATTGATGTCTTTAACTATTATTATGAGAATATAGGAAATGTTCTGAATATATGTATAAAAGATTAAATTAAGAATTTATTGACTAAATATAATTTTGTATATCGCATTTTATTCTGCCTTTAGACAAAGGATGAATTATAAAAATATTCTTTATTAATTAGAAATTAATCTAGGTTAATAAATAGAATGAATTGATTATTTATTCTTAGAAATATATATAATATCATATTTTTAGACAAGTTTCATAAATCTCAAAATTCTGGAAAAAGTTCAAATTATTTGGAAAATTTGTTATTTTTTTAACTTGTTTAAATCATTATGGGTTGTGGATCAAGCAAATAAACAGAAGTGGATAATCCAAACAAAAGTAGTTAAATCCTATTTTTCCCTTAGTTAAGGATGTTGCTCACTTCACAATTTCTTCTCATGGAATGGTTGCTGAAAAACATGGATCTATAGCACGTGATTATACTCTCCTTAAACCACCCATAGGAAAAGGTTTAAATTGATGAATATCAAAGGGGTTTTTGGAGAAGTCAGGAAGGCAATTCACAAGGTCACAAATCAAGTTAGGGCAATAAAAGTAATTTCTAAAGTTAAGGCAAGCAAAGCAGAGGTGGAGAGATTGAGAATAGAGATTGAAATCTTGAAAAGATTAGTAACAATTGAATATCAACAATAGGATCATCCAAATATAATAAGAATTTATGAGTTCTATTAAGATATTAAAAATATCTATATTGTAACTGAATTATGCACAGGAGGAGAGTTATTCGATAAAATTTAAGATCAATAGGTCTTTTCAGAGAGAAGGGCTGCAGGAACTATGAAACAGATACTTAGTGCTGTTAATTATCTTCATAAAAGTAAAATAGTTCATAGGTTAATAATATTAATATTTGGCTAGAGATTTGAAGCCTGAGAATATTTTATACGAGTCAAATAAACCATAGGCACTATTAAAGATTGTTGACTTTGGTGCTAGTAGAGTGTTTGAGTCAGGTTACAAAATGAATCAGAAATTGGGAACAGTATAAATCTAAATTAATCTTAAGCCATATTATATAGCGCCTGAAGTTTTGGAGAGGAGATACGATGAAAAATGTGATGTGTGGTCTTGTGGTGTGATTTTGTATATCTTGCTTTGTGGATTTCCCCCTTTTAATGGGGAGACTGAAGAGGAGATCCTATAAAGCGTTAGAGAAGATCATTTCAACTTTGATGGTGAATAGTGGAGTTAGATTTCTTAAGAAGCAAAATTACTGATAACAAAAATGTTAGAGAGGGATCCCAAAAGGAGAATTAGTGCGGAATAAGCTTAAAGAGACTAATGGATAACTACATATGTAAAAAAGACTGAGATGAATTTAACTTAATTAACAGAGGTTCTTAATAATTTAAGAACATTCAGAGTTGAGAAGAAATTCTAATAGGCTGCATTAACCTTTATGGTTAATTAAATGGCTACAAGTCAAGAGAAATAGGAGTTATTATAATAATTTTAGGCTTTGGATCTGAATGGGGATGGAAGATTGTCAAAAGAAGAATTAGTTATTGGTATCTCTTAATTAATATTGGCCAGGATATTCGAAAGTAATGAGCTATACTGATGCAGAGTTAGAAGTAAATAAATTGATGAAGTATATTGATTAAGATAAGAACGGAAGCATTGATTATTCAGGTTTAACATCTATATATAAATAAATGTAGAATTTGTATTGGCTACGTTTAATAAAGTGAAACTTATTGAAGATTCAAGATTAGAATAAGCTTTTAGAATTTTTGATAAGGATGGAAGTGGCTCAATTTCAATTGATGAAATCAAAGGCATATTTGGATGCAATGATGCAGCTGTTAGCGATGAAGTTTGGAAGGAATTATTGGCTGAAGTAGATGCTAACGGTGACGGTTCTGTAAACCCTTTATATATTTCAAGATTTCCTTTTAAGAATTTAAAGAAATAATTATCAAAGCAATCTACACTAACAGCCCAGAGTAAAGACCTAAAAGTGATTGAATATTTTATATTTACGAATTTATCTCTTTGTTTTTTTGTGCATAAAATTTTGCATTTACTTTATTTAATTCTCAAACTACTCTATTTTATATAACCAAAATATTAGGCAAAATGTGTAATTACTTATCAAAAAGTGATCTAAAGAGAAGTGGTAATATAGTATGATCAGGGATAATTTGAATGCTAAGATATCAAATGTTTATATAAAATAATAGATCACAAGTATTTTTGCAATATTTTCTAGTAATGAGTCATCTCTGGAAGGTATGAAGGTTGCTTATTTAGTTTCTTTTTACAATTATTTGGTTTCAAATTCTTTGATTTGGGTTTCTTTTATTCAAGTTTTGTTTCTTCCTTCCCAAACTTTGATGTACCTTAATTGGTGAGATCGGTCAATTAAGTTCTCGAGATCAATTAAAATGAAAGAGTGCGATCTCTTTTTCTACTTAAACTTCTATTTAATGATTCTCGATAACCACTGCTTGTGTGAACGTGTAACAGCATTTTAATTAATTTATGGAAACTGACTAACTAAAAAATAAAGAAACTAATATAAATGTATTCTTATATTATATAATAGGCCATTATTTTAACATCTCCAAAAATTTCAGATGTATGAATCAATTATTTAACTTCCTTAATAAATGTGGATAAATCGAAGGCAACATTAAAATTAATATAATAAGAATGGCTAAACTAAGTTCTTGCCAAGAAAATCTTTTTAAATAAGAATGAACGAACTGGGTGAGAAAGTTAATTGAAAAATCTTTTTATCAACTAAATTAAATTATATGTTCTCTGATCATAGACTATTTTTATAATAAATAAAAAGATCATGTAATTTATTTTAAAAACAAAAAACTATTTGCAGATTGAACTTTAGATTTCCATTAATAATTTAATTGGGTTAAGCTTTACGAATATTTTTTATTATTCTTAATTTCCTATTAATTTACAGATAAACTTAATTTTATTGTATCAAATTTTATACCTTAATCATAAACGTAAGGATAATTAGTTGTTTTACTCTTTTTGTATTATCACAAAGAGCATTTGTTATAATTTCGCAGTTATTAAATAAAATATTTATTAAATATCAAAAAAATCAATATGGTAGTAATTATTATTTTATCTAATGGAATTTTTAGGCTTGTTGAGACTTATTACGACTGGCTTTCATATCAACAGTTTAAAAATCTTAAGAATCTTTTAGATTTCTTTAAGAACTCCTCTATGAATCCTATAAAATATCTAAATCAACTTTTTTTAAATAATGATGAGATGACTTTAGTGAGGGTGAAGCAAATATGTTATATGTTTATTTAGCATTTTCTACTTCCATCATTAAAGTTGAAATATGAATGTTTAAATTCTTTATCACTTCGTTTTGTTTTTTTAATTCTGTTTATTTTTTCGATAGCTGAATTTCTAGTATATTGATATGACTTTTATCTTACTTCTACTCATTAAATAATTCAGAAATCCTTTATTTAGAGAGTTAGTCTCTCTATATTAAGTCCTTGATTTAATTTTACAAATTTTCTGCATCTCTCTTAAAATAATCTAATTATCTCTAATTTTCAGATTTCAATTACAAAATATTATTCTCAAACTCATACCTAAGCTATTTCTAAATATTTCTTTCCTCATAAATATCATGATCATATTTTTATTTTTAAGTCAAAATCTCTTCAGATGCAATCTCTAATAATTTCGTTTTTTCATCACCACTTAACTTTGACTAATCGATAATTTACTGCAGTTATTTCTGCTCCTATCTTTATTAATCTAATTAGAATGAAAATTATTAGGTCATAATTTATGCTTTGTAATTGAAGTCAGCCTATACTTTTTCTTTGAATTCTTAAAATTCAGCAGATTATTGCTATAATTCTTGTTGTTATTAACAGATTAAATCCGAAATACGCTATTCATAAGACTTTTAGAGTTATTCAACTTCCTAAGAGTGTTCCTCATTTATAAATACGATTTATTATTTCAAATTACAAATTTCTAATTTTTAATTCTCATTTAATTATTCCAAATTCTAAACGTATTCTATATGAACAGGATCTTCATATTGTTATGAAAAATTAATTTATTAAAATTATTAAACCTCTTAAAGGGTAATTTTGTTACCTAATAATTTTTCATATTTTAATCTTTAGATTTGTATTTATTCAACAAAACCTTGTATTTATTTATAATTGTTCATCATAATTTTATCTATTTCCATTTAATGTTCCTGTTTCAATGTTTGCCTCAAATTCTGATAATCTTCCTTAATTTATAATAATTCTGAAATTAAATCCTCATCTTATTATGCTTTTTATTTTAATATTCCTTCTCTTTTTTCCTCTATTATAACTTTGTTTTTTAAATATACAAGTTATTTTTGTAATTCCTCCATCGCCTTTTCAGACTTGGACATGTTTTGCTTATCCTATATAACCCCAGATTTTAATTCCTTAATTTTTTAATTATTTTAATCAAGGATTTTTTCTACTGATTCTTTCTGTTATTTCATTTAATTGTAACTCTATTTAAGTTCGGAGATTTATTAGGTTAATTGTTTGTGTTCTTAAATTAATTGCCGATATTTTGATTCTATTCTTATTTCTTGTTGTTCTAATTCATTTTTAAACACTTGATTGTCAGTTTCTATCTATACACGCAACTTGGAGATTGTAGTATCATAGTGTTGCTATTAATCTTTTAACATTTATTCTAATTCTTTAGTTTTTCTTAGATTTTAACTTAATTTATAATTGGTTTCTTATTCCTAATTAATTTATCTTCTTAATTCTTCTAGTTCTTAAATTTGAATGGTATTCTAATATTTGAACTGTTTAACCTGATCATCGAAAACAGCCTTCTCCTTCTTATAATAGGCCTTTTGCTTTTAAAGTTCCTCAGACATTATTGAATTTTACTGTTGATACTGGTGCGATTCTTGTTCTCTCTATTTTATATTTTCATTTAGATTGTATTGCAGTCTTTCTATTTATATAGACAAACAATCGATTTTTTCGTGGTCCTTATTGATTTATTCCTTGATTAAACTGAATATTTATTAAAAGTCAATGAGTTTGGCTTTCAATTATAAGTCTTGATCCAATTCATCTATGATGGATTATAAATTGTCTTCCACCTCAAATTTCATTAAATTCAAGCGATCCTTCAACATGCTGTTTTCTTAATGTAAAGGCTATAAGTTAACACACTTCATATACAACTATTTTTCTCTAGAAACGCGAAGGTTTAAGCAAACGATGCTCATCCTAATCTAGTCTTTTAGTTTGATGACTAACTGATCGTAATCGCATCATTTTTAATAATTTATTGTAACTACAAAATAAAGTTCACCCTAACCTTAAAAAGGCAAACAATTAAATTTGAATCAGCATGGGATTACATTAATCAATTTCATGAGTGTCATATCATCATTGTGGCATTTAAGTATTGCATTTCAAGCAAATATTATTTGTGCTTCTTGTTTTTAAGTTTTTAGCTGATATCAGAAGGGATGTGCCACAACAGCTCTTCAAGATTGATAATATCAATTGGATTTTTGCTGATGCTGACCTGAAATATGGTTCTTTGTGATGCTATGCTACTTTATGGAAATCTAGGACTTCCCAAGAGAAGATAAGATTCTACATATGAGCATATCGCATCCTAAAAAAAGGAATACTTTTGGAATTCTAATAAGCCAAAGACGCTTTCTTTTAATAAGGCTCAATATGAACCATACGCCATTGAAAACATATTTAATCTTGAGACAAAATTTAAGAAATCTAGGTAAACATTTAGTTTATTGGGCGATAATGCATGATGGAGTCTGCTTATTATCAGTTATTTAATAGATGAGTCATAGAATTAATTAATAGGGAATTATCCTTTTAAATAACTTTTTAAGGTTAAAATAATTGTCCTAAATAATTATATTGGAATGAATATTAAAGCTTGGGTAAAGCCAAAAATTGCTATTTTCGTTAGACTAAATTGATAAAACTTAGGCATGTAACTTTAAATATAAAAAAACACTAAATCACTAAAATTTTATTAATAATCAAAAATACAAGGAAGATTAATGATTTTGAATAAAATAAAGAAATACTTAATTGGATAAAAAAGGAAACTTAAGTAATAATAGCTAGAAATAAGCAATCTTTATCAATTATGAAACATTCGGCCATATAGCTTATTATTATGAATATTTATTAAGGAAGCTACAACAAATAAAAGGAAAATAATTAAAATGATAAATATTTCTTGATCAATAAAATAAAGAACTCAAAGCAAAAGCCTTTTGTAATGATATTAAAATTTAAGTTGATACTATTAAAGAGTTATAAGTCAGATTTTGAATATTAGATGAATTAAATTTATGAATTTTATTAAAATGATTGAAATAATTAATAAAATAAGATAGAGTCTTTTTGATAAAATGAAAATTGATTCGTAACCAGGAAGGAATTCAGTAAATGCTATAATGAATGTTGAATAAATAAATAAATAAATTCACTTTCTATTATCATCTGCGAATATTATATATTATAATTTAAAATGCAAAATCAGCATGCCTAAATTCTATCACGTCAAAATTTCTCATAAGGGAACTACAACTTATTAGAAAATGGTCAGGTATAATAAGATATTAAGTAACAACCTCTTAATCAAAGTACTGCAAGCAATACTAAAAAGATTAAAATCATTTCAGAAACTGAATTAAATGATACAAGTTCTTATTCTAAAACAAGATAACAATAAGATAACACTGAATAATCTTCATAATAATAAATAATAATACGATAAGACTCGTTTTAGAAAAATTCTACAGATTAATATAAATAAGAGATGGAATCAAGGATCATCATCTCTAGTTAACTCTTTAAAGATGATGTAATTGAAACTATGGCTCTTACTTAAATTTTCACTTGTTCCTATTGTTTAGGGTCGCTTTCATCTCAAAATATATTACTGCCTTGTTTTCATTATTATCATTAAGAATGCTTTTCTGAGATGATTAATAATTTTTTGATTCGAGGATACTTTAAGGTTTTTCAGTGCAAATGCAATATAAGTATTCCTTATAAGACTTTGATAAGTTTGGCATCGAAGGACAGCAAGTTAGTTGAGGACCTGCTAATTTAATAATAGGCATGGATTATATCTTCTGCTCCTCTGAAAATACAAGATTAAATTTCTGGGGATAGGAAAAACATCAACAACATTAAGGCATTTATTAGAGAGCAAATAAATAACTATAAAGCTGGATTAATTAAAAAATGATTTATGATTATGTATGTAATATTATTTAAAACAAATATTATTAGTTTTATGAAATACTCAAAAATCCCTTTGACTACACCTCCTTTGTATTTAAAGAATAATTTAGCAAGCACAGATCAACACATGGCTTTTTTATCGTATAACGCGGATAAACTGAAATTGAATGTAGTCAATAAGAAAAATAAGTAAAACATAGTAATTAATTTAGAGAAGTGCGAATAATATCAATAGATGATCAATCCATTCCTACATCAATCCAATATATGTACGATCAGACCTTGATTGTTACTACAATGAATGGATATTTTATTTATTCAGAAAATGGTCAGCAATAACATCATAAGTTAAAAAATCAATTAGGGGAAATCTCATAATACTTCATTGGTGCTACGCTGATAAACCCTGAAAATTAGAAACCCTTTTATGCAATTGGATTTGAAAATAAAATAATCTTCGTGGACCAAAAGACACCGAAATAAGAATTCTTTGGTGTTAACCTCAAAAACATTCAACCCACTTGCTTGACAAGTTACTATTAGTATTTGATTTATGGAGATTCTAAAGGTATAAGAATGTATTACGCTTAGGATATATTCATCAAAATAAATGTTTAGCAATACAACAAGTTACAGAGACCAAATCACTTAATTTGCAGACCAAGGACACAACAATTCTTTCCATCTCAGTTTTGGAGAAGAAGGACACCGAGACAAAGGTGCTAGTAATAGTCGGCGATTTTATTGGCAGATTAACAATTGTAGATCTTATGAATTGGGAAATCCTGAGTGTGATTAATTCTCACATTAAACCAATCACTTCTTTAGCAATAAATTAGTAACGGTACTAAAAATATCAATTATTAGTGAATATTTTCTGTCTGGCTCCGATGATACGTTCATTAACATTTGGAAATTGAATTAAAACTTATAACCTTAATTAATTTAGTCACATCATTTGGATGATACCATAATAGTGGGAATTACAAATGATATCTTTGTTGCTGCATATGATCAACATGAATTAATTTATATTGAAAATAATTGAGTATTATTATGAAAATATAACATTGATTCATTCAAATATCATTGGTTTCAGGAGTGATCGAAATTTTAATTAATATTAGAAGTGTGTTTCAATATAAAATTTAATAAATCGTTAGTTCGAAATGTTATTAAAGGAACAATAAGAATATAAGTTAAAGTTTATCGAGGAAAGAATGGAGCAATATGAAACAAGTCTATTGAAGAGGGTCAATCACTTGGAAGAGAGAATTAGGTCCTTCAATCAAAAATTTGAAAGAATTGATGAATTGGGTGAACGAGTCAATGATTTACATTCTTTGTTTGATAAACTCAAGGAAAATTTCGATACAAAATTAATGTTACAAGATGACAAAATTGCAAAAGCAAATTTCAATATAAATAAAATAAAATAGGAAGACCTACAACAAATATATAATATAGTTAAAAAAGGATTTCATAATTCAAAGGATTTATCCTTGGAAATGCAAAACATAAAGACCAAGGACATACGACAATCTGAGGTTATATTCAAATAGGAGTTGAAACAATCAAATATTTTGGGAGAAAAATTACAATCTCCACTTTTGCATCAGAGAATGGATAGTTATTAAAAAAGTGATAGAATGAGATCGATAACTCTGGAAAAGGATAAGGGACAAGAATAGAAGGTGAAATTCGAAAATGAAACTGAGGATTTGGAGAATAACAAACCTAATCCAAAGGGCATAGCTAAAAATGATACTCAAAAATTGATTGATAAATATCAGTTCACTTTATAAACCAAGTTACAAAACGAGAGTAAGCAGTTGTGCTATTATTAGATATTTAGAAGCTTAGTAATGTGAAGATTGAGGTCCAGAATACCGAATAAAGTAAGATACTGACTTAATAGCAGCAATCGTTGCTTGAGAGGACGATATCCCAAGATCATATTCCAAGATCAAAATACTTAACTAGTACCAATTAAATTAAAGAATAACTTAAAAACTTAAGGAAATGAATTATTTTATATTTAATATGTATGATCAAATAAGGAATAATAAATTTAATTTACCAATTAGAATGAAATAAAAAGCCCCCTAAATTTCTCCTAATAAATTGTATGCGAGTCTTTTAAAAAAAAAAAATGAATCAGATTAGCAGTAGAAAATAGTGAAATCTCCAGTCATTCAAGGAAATGTGTACATTAATTCTTTGAGGTATGCCAATGCTTGTAAATTAGAAATAATTAAGGATAGTTAAAAGTTGATGCCAAGAAATCAAGACCAACGAGTGGAAAGGATCTCAAGGATATAAGCACTGTCTTATTGAAAAAAACTCATGCACGTTAAAATAGTAAAATCATTGAGACCAAAGAAAACTCATAAAATTTAACTCAATCAGCATTGCAATTATTATAAAAAATCAAAGCTGAACGCCCAGACAATAAAATTGGTCAAATTTAAACGTCCAAAGAGATTTTACAATATCATTAGTAATTAATTTAAAAATAATATTAAAAATTACTTGACTTATCCAAATAAACAGAACATAATTAGTTATAACAATAACAATAACAACAGCAATAACAACAAAAATAAAAATTATTCAAAGGACCTCGCTCAATCAGTAACCCTGATATCTCAACTCTCTAACTCTGTATCACTAAAGCACACGCAAAATCAATACCTGGAATGCTCTACACAGGCTAAACCAAAATCAATCAAGATTCCTATAAGTTAATCCAAAAATTCGGGACAAAAGAAAACGATTGGTATCTTCAGGTTTCTGATGGCCATGGAACCAATGGACATCAAGTAGCCTAATTTGTCTAAGAAATCCTACCAGCCTACATAGAACAGGAGGTGATGGAAGCTCCCTACTACTACGATAGAGATAAGTAAGAACACAAAATTACTAAAAATTAGAACAATCAACAACATTTTTAAGCAATCCTTTTTGAAGACAAATGAGGATCTCTTAAATTCAGGCATAGATGTGACTTATTCAGGAGCAACAACAGTTGTCGTTATAGCATTTGAAAACATACTGTACTGCGCAAACATAGGTGATAGTCGAGCTGTAACTATAAATGACAATTATATTTAGATTATTGGAAGATATGATACTAAATTACAAGTAGTTGAACTATCTAAAGATCACAAGCCCGATTGTTTTTTGGAATAGGCCAGGATCATTCAGAGAGGAGGACGTGTTTAAGCCTATAGTGATGAGGATGGGAATCCTATAGGGCCAGCAAGAGTATGGAAATTGGATGAAGATGTACCAGGATTGGCAATGTCAAGGAGCTTTGGAGATTACGTGGCAAGTTAGGTGGGAGTCATTTGTGAACCTGAAATCATTAAGCATTAACTATTGCCATCTGACAAATTCTTAGTAGTTGCCTCAGATGGTATTTGGGAGTATTATCAATACCTTAAATATTAAGATTCTTATCGAATGAATGGGTAATCGAAACAGTCAATGAGTATTATAAAAAAGGAGATGCTATCGGTGCTTGTAATAAATTAACATAAGCTGCAAAAGAAGCTTGGTAGAGGGAAGATGAAGTAATAGATGACATCACTGTCATTCTGGCATTCTTCAAGTGAAATTTATCTACATTTAAGTGTAATAATCATCTCTTAGTTTAATATGAGTATTCTAGTTAAATTAATTCTCTTTTGTGGATTTGAGAGCATTCTGAAATAGAAAAATTAAGAATTAATAGTTATTATTTATAAAAAAATATTAATAAAAATGGATTATGAGTCTTTGTATAAATTAATTCCCAAAGAACCAAAGAAATGGTTGACTCAAGATGTTATAAACTGGCTAAAGTTTATAGGGTTAGGGCAAATGGAGCAAAAATTTGGTATTTAAATATAAAGAGAATAGTTGAATGTTCTATTGATGGGGCAGTTTTGGAAGACTTGACAGAAAAGGATTTGGATGAGGAATTAGGGATCACATAAAGAATTATTAAGAGAAAGCTGTTAAATTGTAACTCTGTTAATTATTTTAGGGGTAAATCACGGACTGAAAGAATATAATGAATATATAAAGTAAATGAAAATGCCGAATCTAAACATCAAGAAATAACAAGATGAGGATTTCACAATACAAAAAAACATTGGGAATGTTCAATTCGAATAAATGCTAATGGAGAGTCACGAAAATAATGGCAACGAACAATTTACAAGTTCAGTTGCTAGATAAGAGGAATAAGCAATAAAATAAGAAATACCTGGATTCAACAAATTTGAACATCAACTCATACTATAACCAATAGAAGGTTAATAGTCCAATTTTTATTGTGTTCGAGAGGCAGGGGCCAAAATAGGGAGACACTCTAGCAACCAAATTCTAATTTTGGAGGAGAATATCAGTAGATTTCATGCCGAGATAATATTCTAAGACTCCATGGTATTTAAAGATTGTTATCTAATTTAGTTTGCTCTTAAAGATATTGGAAGTACAACAGGAACTTTTATTAAAATACTTAAAAGTCTGACATTAAAATAAGGGATGTTAATTGAATTGGGAAGTAATTAATTTTGTGTTTAGAAATTGGAAACACTGGAAAATGGAGGAATTGAAGTAAGACTCCATAAAATTGCTAGATCTCCTTATTCGTAATCGAAGGACCAAATTTAGAGGACACCATCATATTCCAATTAAATAAGGACAAACCTTCAGTAGCACTTGGCAGAAAGTCAACTGTCGATATCTCCTTTCCTGAAGACCATCATTTATCCAATCAACATGCCAAATTTTATCTTGTAGAATAAACAGTCACAATTGAAGATCATGGATCAACAAATGGGTAATGAGTATCAATTACATTTTAGATCTTGGATGAGGTTATCAGGAGAAGGTAAAATGAGTAATTTGTTTTACTTGGATCCAAATGAAGAGATCGTAATAAGAATTGGAACCACAAATTAATACATTTGCCAATAAAATAAAATGAAGGTTAATGAAATCTCTGGAGAAAATTTGTGCATCATCTGTGTTGAAAGAGAAAGGGATTGCTTGATATTGCCATGTAAACACAATGCCACTTGTTTGAAATGCAGTAAGAGTTTGGCTCTGTGTCCATTCTGCAGAGTCAAAATTCAAGAGACTATTAGAATTTATAAAAATTGACCTTTGATTAAAATATATATCTATTTATTATGTAATCATTATTTAGATAATTTATCAATCAACATTGTAATGATTTTTTTAATTTTCTAAGTATTTTCATGTACAACATCTGGAATTTATCCCTTTAAGTAATAATTTATGTTAATAAAGACTTCTTCCTCCCAATCCTAATAATTAATAATACTAAAAATTACTTTCTCACAATAGAAGAGTCTTTTTAATTCTTCCAGTTATTCTTAGGTAATCTTGAATCTTAAATAACATAATTGTAACATTAAATGAATCATACATTATAAATTATGTTGTAAGTTCTTGAAAATATTCTAACATTTTTAAGTGTTATCCATCAATTGTATAAACTACTAAAAACATAATTCCAAAAGTGAGTTCATTGACTCAACTGAAGCTGGATTGTTTTCTTTGAATCTTTGTAAGATCTTCTTTTAAATGGCTCTAAATTCATTGGCCTTCTATTCTAAGTCTTTTTCATACTCCTTCAAAGATAATTTCAAAGTGAAATGTTCATCAATAACATCAAAGATATCTTTCAAAGGGACGTCATCAGTATACTTTATGTTTTCACGTTCTCTTACTACAAGTTCATGTAAAATAAAGCAAATAGCTTCGAAGTTATCACTCTAAAGTCTCCATCTATCATTTTGTTTGTTTGCTAAAATAGATACTGTTGAATTAGTCATTTACAACGTCATCAAACTTTAATTTAATAGAGAGGAATCTATAGGTTTTATGTCTTTAAAGACATTGTAAATTGATAAATTATTAACATTGACTGTAATTTTATACTTAGCATTTTTCTCTGGTTAGATCATATAGCAAAATAGACTAAGTGGTAAGGTGAATTCTGTTGAATAACATCCATTTTTATGATTACAAAGTACTTTTACTACTCTATCAATGGGACAGTTCTTAGTAGAGAAAACATTAAATTCATGTATGATAGTACCTTACAAAACATTGATTTCAAATCTCGGGTTGGAAATGAAGATAGATTCATCATATACTAATTAGACTTATAAGTTTTCAATTTATTATTTTGAGGTTATGTTTAAGTAGACTAAACATTAAATTACTAATGATTCTACTTATAGGTAATTTTCTTTATCTTCAATGAAATCTCTAGTAGGAGCTAATTTGATTATTTCTGCATTAATCTACAATTAGGACTTTTCATTTTATTCAATTATGGGATTGCCCTCCTTTACTTAGATCTATTATAGAGTCGAAGTGTAGAGCTCATTTAATTATTGATAAGAATGCTACTATTCAATTTAAAATTGTTTTTGTATAGATATTTATTCAGTACCTAAGTAAATCACTTAAAGGTATCCTTCATCATTCAAGACAACCAGCAATTTATCGATGTCATCAAATTTTCCAATGGAAATACCATGACAAATATGATCGGTTTTAGCTGCCCATACTAGATTCAAATCCTTATAGATCATTAAATGGTGAGTAAATGATGTTATGATTAATGTATGAGGTTCATTTACTAGGATTGAAGCAGGAGGGTAATCCAATCTCTTTTGATGAAAGATAATCCCGCTTTGCTGAACTTGGAATAGCATTTATTCACAAATGACGTAGAAGATGTTTTAGGATGGAATTTCAATTATTTTTTATGCTTGTTCTCCCAAATTAAGTGTCCAATTAGGCTGAGCTCTTTTCTTTTGGAGTGTGCATAGATTGGCATATTTATAGGATTCCAATTCATAGCAACTGTTTTACAAAATGAATGAGTCTAACTATTGTGAGTAAATAATGGGACCAGGCAATGGAAAATACTCTGTACTCAATTAACAAATATGTAGTAATTATTCTTATTCATAGATCATGAGGCAAGCATCGCAACTTTGGATACATACAAGATCCTTTCTTCCTTATCCAAACTAACCTGAGCACATATTAAATCCATTCCTCTGTAATTTATGTTCTTTTAGTAACTCCATGTCCAAAGAATAGAATACTACTCTTTTGGGAAATAAGACACAAAGAGATTTATTGCCAAAATTCCCAATCAAAATTTGTAGAATAGGGTCTTGCAAATTGATTTCCTATTTGAGATGTGTTGGTTTGTAATCACCTCTTTGGGGTTGATAGATTCTCAAGTTCCCTGAATATGAGCCAACATAAATGATTGAGTTGTCTACGAAGAGATGCTGTTCGTCGAATTCTTCAGGACCCACTCTTGTCCCCCAGAACTACTTGGTGTTAAATAATGACATATATAATTAATATTATATAAAATGCAAGATGAATTTGACATTGAAGTTAATTTTGAATAAAATAGTTCTATGACATTCGAAATGTTAAAATTGATAATAAATATTAGTGGACATAATAGTGTTAGATTTCCAAAAGCAGGAATAAAAATAAACAATGAGGGATTGACAACCACCAATGGGGAATAGATACAAAATACATAGGAATCGATAACGCATCAGTAAATTAAGGTTGGGGATATCATTGGATAAGGAGTATCCAGCTATGTTTGCAGAGGATTATATTTGCCTTACAATTGTCAAGTAGCTTTAAAGGTTAATTTTGATTGTTATAATATCAGATAATTAATGTTTTCGATAAGGATAAGAGACATTAGATGTTAAATGATCTAAGTACACTCTTGAATGGTTGTGAATGCGAATAATTGATCAAGTTTTATGGCGCATATTATGAAGAAGGTAGCTCTATCATTGATTTTTGAGGAACCATAAGATTGGTACTTGAATATATGGATCAAGGATCATTGCGAAGCATTATTCAACAAATCTATAAGCATAATTTAAGTGAATTAATTAATGAATAAATAATTGCAACGATAACTTATAATATTCTCATGGGATTATAATATTTGCATTAGCAGAAGCATCAACTTCACAGAGATATCAAACCAGAAAATATCCTCATTAACAGTTTAGGGTAGATAAAATTGACTGATTTCGGAATTAGTAAATAATTGGAAAACACCATAGCCATAGCTAGAACATTTGTAGGTACTTTGATGTACATGTAAGAAAATCCCTCCTATTTTCTCATAGGTCTCCGGAGAGAACAGAGGGGAAGAACTACTCTTACGCTTCAGACATATGGTCTTTGGGACTGATTATCTATGAAATGGCAACAGGGAAACATCCATACTCAGTCTCCAATAAGCAGATGACTTATATCCAAATGATTCAGAACATTCTGAAGTCGGAGTCTCCAAAATTGGATAATTATCCATATAGTGTAGAAATGAGGGATTTTGTTAATATTTGGTAGGATTTGAATATTGATTTTAGTTTGAACAAGGATCAAAGTAAACGATTGGATGCGCAGACTCTGTTGTAGCACAATTGGATTATAAAAAATGCGTAGAATGGTCAATATGTGCAGATGTGGATATTGCAGAAGGATCAAAAGTTACAGTTAGTCCAACAAAAATGAATTTATATCAATAATTTAACTATTTATAGTATATTATTAAAATTTAAAGCAATAAAAAAAAATAACTTATTTTTATAATGGATTTAGAAATAGTAATAAATTATGAGCATAACCAACAAGTAGTGAATGATTTGTGCGAGTCATTCGATGAATTGGAGGAATAAAATGAAAAATATCATTTATATATGAATCGTGGATCTCGAAGGGAAATGCTTGACAGAGTAATATATAACAATTAATTATTCTTAGTATTAGGTTTTGAATAATCATTATGCAATTTTTGACGGTCATGGCTCATCCCATGTTGCTGATTATTTATAGCAGAATTTGCTACAAAGATTACAAAATGGAATGTCAGATCAGGAATATAAAAAAGGTATGGTATACGATCTTATTTTTGTAGTGTTTAGCGATGTTGATAACAATTTAAGTCAATACATGCAATCTGGGTCTGTTGCTATATTATTGTCTATTTAAAATAAAACTGTTACAATAACAAACCTAGGAGATTCCAAGGCTATTGTATTCCGAGAGAATACATTTGAATAATTAAATTCTATTCACATCCCCCAATCCAAAGAAGAATAATAGAGAATACACAAATAAGGAGGGTAAGACTATCATTCCTATCTCTGTAGACTGATAACAAAGAGACAAAACATCTGCCGAGTCTCAGGCTCATTAACTGTTACAAGATCATTTGGAGATTTTTATCTTAAAAAGTACATCATAAGCGAACCTGAGATTTTCAGATACCAGATCTCGGAAGGTGATAGATTCATAGTTATGGCGAGTGATGGTTTCTGGGATGTAAATTTTCCCTTTTTATTTTAGGAACTTTCGGAATAAGAAGTTTTATAGATCATTCAGAAACTTGATCAAAATAAGAATTTAGCAAAATAGTTATATCAAGCAATATCAAGTGATTATATAAGAGACAATGTAACGATAATGGTATTCCCATTATGAATTTAATTCAATTCTGATTATTGTGTTTTTATCTCTTCTAATTAATAATCAATCAATTAAAACACATAAAGAATTTCCTAAATTCTCACATTTTAACATATTAAAAAATCAAGAGAAATATGCAATAATTATTGAAATATCATCAACCACATCATCCTCTTCTTGCCATCTTCTAGTAGATTCCCTTATAATGCTTTCCACCATCTCATCAATTTTCTTAGCATTCATCTACGGACTCCAATAACTGCAGATAATATGTTGAATCTCATCATTGCTTAAAAACTCCCATACTCCATCACTAGCCACCACCAAAAATCCACACTTCTAAGTCATCTTGTGATAAATTAGTTCTGGATCTGATATTACTCCAACTGTGGATGCAACATAATCTCCAAAAGATCTACTCATAGCTAATCCTGGGATTTGTTCATGCATCAACCAAACTCTGGCTGGTCCAATGTTTTGCCCATTCTCAGCTACGAATGGCTAGACTCTTCCTTTACTGGCCAAAATCCTTCTCTTTTCGCTTGGTAAATCTGGTTTATGATCATTGCTTAATTCAACTATCTTCCATTTGTTGGACTCTCCAATCTACTCAATGAAAATCTATTTTATGAATCAAACATTTTATACTGATCTTGAATCTCCAATGTTGGCACACCATAGATTATTTCCAGAAACAAATACAGTTGAACAAGTAGATCCACTAAATGATATATCAATTCCACAAGAAGACTAATTTTATATAAATACTTACTAAATCTTTAGTCATTTTTTAATAACTACTTTAAAAGGTCTTCTCTACTTCTGAATATAAATCTTCACCAATATCAATTTCCTATTTCCCAATAAATGTTTTCAATTGTTAATCGATTATAGTTGGTAAGACCTTTTTGATTAATTGCGAAACATGATGTCCATAAACTCCATGACCATCGCAAACTGAGAATAAATATCTAAGTTTATTAACTATCTAACCTGTTTTTTATGCCTCCAAAATTATTCGAGATAATGATGGAATCTTGATTTGTTTTAGTCTATTTATTTCCATTTTAACCAGCTTAAGTTCTAAATAATATATGGTTATCTAACATACTTCGATAGAAACAATTAGACAAAATCTTAAAGTTCATCATCTTCTGTCACATTTGAATTGACTAGCGCAGCTTGACTAGTTGATCTTCCATGCAACATTATCACTTATTAAGGCATCTTAGGTTTGATTTTTATATCTTATACAATAGCCTACGAACTCACCCTACTCTAGATTGAACGCAATTTTGGAGAGGAATCCTAATATAATTTTAGAAAAGAAGTTTTATTCTTAACTATAATTTTATGATTGTACTTATGGAGTGTTTTCTGTATTACTAGCATCGGTTCTTTTACTTCTTCTTTGAGACTAGGTTAAATCAATCTTAGATTAAAGTTCCTAGGGAGCATTGGTTGATTCGCTTCTTTTCAAATTTGGCAATTTTGTTGGGGAAAGTGACTATGAATTATTTTACATCAATGATACTTCATTTGATTAATTTGAGAATTTGAAGATGTATGGTTTGTCATTGTTGCTGATTACTCTCTTTTTTGGAGAATAGCTAGATGGTTAAAGTAATTATAATTTCTTTTAAGTAACCTACGATAAGATAACAAAATTTCATTGATACAATCTTTATTTTTTCATCTTGTGCATTGATACCTCCTGTTGGATGTCTTTTCTGATTGCTTCTACTCTGTTGTGAAGGAGGACTAATTTCTAATTTGAAGATACTTTAATTGAAAAGTGTATGCACGATCAGAAGGCTAAGCTTTCTTTTTTAGGCCTGGAGAATTTGCCATAGAATCTTGATTTGTAAATTTAAGTGGATAGACACGAATGGGATTCATTTATTAAAAATAATTAAGTTCATATTCTCTTTTACTAATACCACTAGGGAGTTAACTTAAACGCGATTTCAGGTTAGATCGACAATTCCTCTACAAATAAACATGATACTCTACCTTTTGTAAAATCAAAGAAGTTGGGCAACTTTACATTTGGAATTCCAAACTTTTCATCTCTAATTTCATTAAAATAAGGATGAGACAATGCTTCTAATGGCCTCAATCTCTCTCTAGGAGGGTACAACATAATTTTAGATATCAAATCTACAAACAAAGGATCAGGTTTAAACTTTTGGAATACCTAGCCATTTAATAATATTGAATTACTTTGTTCCAAGGATGATTCTTAATTTATGGAAATTTGAATTCCTTATGCATAGGATTCATCTATTTCACTTATTCAATAGTAGGCGTTCCAAGTATCTTTATAATCTCCACCAATTGATCAGTGGCACTCTCTCCTGGAAATAAAGGCTCTCCAATTGTCATTTCAGCTATCACACAACCTATGGACCACATATCTATGGCAGTTGTATATTCAGTTGCTCCAAATATCAACTCAGGTGCTCTATAGTATCTGGAACAAATGTAAGCAACATTTGGTTCTCCTTTTTGCAATCTCTTAGCTGACCCAAAGTCGCATATCTTAAGAATGTGATTATTTGGATCAACTAGAATATTTTAGGGCTTGATATCTCGGTGACTGATTCCAATCCCTTCATTTATGATACAAATGCCAATTACCTTCCAAATATGCAAGTGCACGGAACATTTAATAACTATAAATTTTCAATAGAGCTGCTGGAAATGGTTATTTGGCCTTCTTATAATATCTGATCACCTTACTTAATGTGTCAGGAATATAATCCATAACCAAATTTAAATAAACATCGTCACCCTTTATAAATGTATTTGCCATTACTTTATCACCTTAAGTAAAAAAAGCCTCTTTTAGCTTTATAACACATGGGTTGTTCAATTCTTAAATTATTAGATGCTCTCTATTCTTGTATCGCTTATCTTAGAACACCTTTTTAATCGCAACTTTTTCATTTGTTTAATTATTTGTGGCCTAAAATTAATTTATCTTTTTTTACCAGATAAACCATTCCAAATGTCCCATTGCCGACAATTTAATTTAAAGTATATTTAGATGCTTATTGATTTTACTTGAAATTATTGTTATCTATCTTACTGTCACTACTTCTTATTGATCGTTTGCCTGTGTTGTCATTCTTGTTGCCTATTTTGTTGAAGATTTCTTATTTATCATTTTATATTTTCAAAAATATTATTTATATAATTTTATATCATAAATACATATGATATATACTTTTTATAACATTCTTTGCTCAATTACTTTTCCTGCTATGCGATAATATTATATTCCTTTATTCCTCTCTCATCGTTTTTTCTAATTCTAATATTCAAATCATAAATTTAAATTATGAATTGTTTTTAACTTGTAACTTTTCATTCAAAAAAGGCATTGACTGCTATTAAAATGATTTCATAAGAACATAATAATCTAAAAACAACTGCTGGTTCATTGTAAAAATTGCAACTTAATGTATTTTTGCCATTCTTTTTTAATTATATGTAACACTTCAAATCAGCCAATTGTTCTTATTAAGAAGAAAACTTTGCACTTATTTATTAATTTCTATTGCTTTTGATATTATCGATATCTTTCTCTTAAGACTAATTAATGGAATTATTAACACATAAAGGAAATAATCAATATCAAATACATTTTTTATCTCTCACATAAGATTGATATTATCCCTTTCTATTTTAATTCTTTTCGAGAATACTCATAAAAATCTAGAATATCATAATTTTATATAAAATATTAAATAACCATATGAGGAGTTCATTAAAATTTAAATAAATATAAAACATGGAAATCAATAGAAATAAGTTTTCAAGGATTCAATCTATTTTTACTCTGTACTCAATTTATTAATCTGCACAATCCATTTATTTTTCTATTGCTCTTTCTTTGCATTTGTTATCTACAAGAAATCAGGCTGTATTTTAATCAAAAACATTAATGACTTCTCCATAATCTCTTTACTGAGAGGTATTTTATTAAGTAAGTGCTGTATTAAGTTGTTATAGTAAACAAATGAAACAGATCTTAAATTGAAGTACTTAATCGTTATTTCAACAATCTATTTAATTTAATCTCTCTATTCATCAGAATATATTTGAAATGGTAATTGTATTGGTGAGATATCCTATACAAAATTCATATCAAAGGTAGGATAATAGATCTTGAACTCTTTGGAGTACTCTAAAAAACTCTCTTATCCAATTGATTTCAAATAATTTTCATGTGTTTCTTGTACTAATTTATCCATTTTATTTCTTATTGAGGTGATCCTCTTTTCAAAAATTGCAGGTAGCTAACTTTGAAAAGGTTAAAACTATGGCAAATTTTCTGTAGGGATGTGATTGAAAATTAGTTCAATCGATTTATTAACAATCTTTACTTCATATAAATCTTTATCAAGTTTTAACAATTATCCAATTTATAAAATTTTAATGGCATTAGTTTTGATATCATATGTTAGTGGTTTCCTCTTTTTCCAATAGGTTTATTCAATGTTTCTCATTGTTTATAATAATTATTAGAATTTAATTGGCAATGGATATTAATCTGAAATCTACCCAAATCTATCCCTGAGGCTTAGAAAATTAATAGGAGTAGTAGGTGCCACTTTGATTGAGGATATTTTGGTATCTGCTAACTCACTTAGATGTCTTGTAGATTCATCTTCACCATTGGTGTTATTGTCTTACTAAGTTTTTATTAGTTTGTAGCTATTCATCTTATCTTAATTAATTATTATTATTTGCAACGAATTGCGGGTATCAATAAATAAACCCGCATTTTGCTATTAAATTAATAGCGCCAAAAATTGAGATGCTATAGTAAAGGTATAAAACTTTATAAATAAAATAATAAATTATTTAGATTGAAAAACCAAAAAATTACATTCATATCCTCATATTAATACATCTCTTTTATTACAAATTATACTCTAATATATAAATTACAAAACTCTAAACCAATTTATGTTTTTATTCTTTTTATTCCTATTTTATTTTGATTCCCTGTTAATTGGTTGTGTCAATTTGAATATATTTTTTGTATCTTCTTTCATATTGCAGAATTTAATTTCAGTATAAGAGCCTTAAGTGAATTGGCAGTAGAATTAATTTATTATAAAAAATTTAGACTCTAGTAAATACTATTTTACTCTCTCATTTGTTATTATCATAATAATCTGCTCCTCAAAAATACCATAAAGTAATTAAGCATGATTTTCTATAAGATATGGCATATAATTATAGGAATCAAAGTAAAATATCACATTGAATAGATTGAGTATTATTAATCTAGTTACATATTATAAATATTTGATTAAATTGTAAAGATTATTGTATAATAATTATGTAGACTGCTGAAATTTAATTTTTTCAATAACATATGAATCATTTTATCATTAGGTATTAGCATTTATTTATGAGAAAATTCCTAGCTTAAATAGTTCAATTAAAGAAATCGAAAAAGAGTTAGAAACTATAATCTATTTTAATATGAACGACGAAAAAATCTGCATTATTATATTTATACAACGAGATTTTAAAAATAAGTAAATTAAAAATAAAGATCATTTTATTTATATCATGATTATGAATTATTCCCTTTCTTCATAAATCCTAAATAGAAATGGATTTTTCTGGAAGAATTCTTAGAATAATTTTTTAAATTTATTACTGCTAATCACAATAACTGGTTTTTATAATTAAAGTGTAATACAAAGGAATATATTCAATCAAAATTTGAAAAACAATAGCATTAAATGCTACTGTTTTGGAATAAAGTGAAGAAATTTTATGATATTTTTCATTATTTTTTAAATCATTGAACAGGGAATTTTGAAATCTTCAAAGATAGGATACATGTCGTCCTTCTCGATACGAAGCATACATTTAATAATTTGTGGGGAGACTAATTTGATCTCTAAATGGGAGCTACTATAATAGTTATTCTCTTTTTTAAGATCTGTTTATTAGTAAAGGTAAATTAAATCATCAGCTTCAAAAAATAATACCTTTTTGATCTGACGAGATTTGCTATTTAAATCTAAATAAGGCACGATAAGTTTAATAAAAATTAAAAATTTTAAAGCTTTTTTAAATAGCTAAAGAAAGGCATGGAGGGCACAGATAGTTATAATTATGATGAAATGGACTTAGATGAATTAATGTTACCTCCTCCTGCATTGATTCGATAAAATGCCTTCATTCAAGAAGAAGATGAGACTCCATAATTCATACTTACAACTTAAACTGAATGTACTTATAAGGAGGAGGAATGTCCCATTTGTTTTTGCCCTCTTAATGAGGAAAATACTGTAAAATTATTATGTGGACATGTCTTATGTTAAGACGATTTAAATCAAATGATGTAATCTTAGCATTCGGAAACCCTTAAATGCCATATCTGTAGAACTCTTTAGATTGTAAATTTATCTTGTGTATGTGTTAAATGATATTGTTGGTACTCTTTTAAAAATATATTTTCAAATAAAAATTAGAAAAATTCATCCAAAAGATATTTTGGATCTCTTTTTAAAATTTCTTTATTATCCATTTATATTGAAAATAATAAATGAATCAAAAGAGCGCCTCAAAACTATCCAATTTCATCAGAGAGATAATTTAAAAAATGGCATTTTGTTAACTTCCTCATTTCCAATATAGTCGTTATAATATATATTAATAAATATCAGTCAAAATAAAATTATTTCCGAACTATTTTAAAATTAGGTCTTTGGATGAGAAACTTATTCTATACACATAAAAATAAGAAATACAATTGCAATCTTGTTTTTGAATTGATGATTTATCAATTCTAAATGAAGAAAGCTAGGTAAAACCTTAATGATTTCTCAAATATATTAGTGTAAGAATAATTGATTATTTAAGCTGATCTGTTTGTATGATTTTATAATTAATGCTATTCAATCTGATTTTGATTTGATGATTTAAAAATAAGTATTACAATTTGTTTTACTTTATTGTACACTTACTTAATGCATTATTGATCTTCTCAAATCAAGATCAATAAGTATAAATCAGATAACTATTTTGATTTGACAAACATTGATTATTTAATTGTTTTCATTTAAAAAATAGCGACGACTGTTTAGATACAATTGCAAAACAATGGGGATAGAACAAAGCTAAAATATAGATAAAGTTTCAAAATCACCTTTCAATTTTTCAGTAGTTTTGATGATAACTACTATAACATAATAAACTAAATGATTATTTATTGTAGCCAATTTTAACAATATTTCTAAAAATTATGGAAAATGAATCAGTTTAGATGGTAATCAAGAAGTATTTCTTGAGTTTGGATTAACTCCTAAACATCGAATTGATATTGTTAAAAATGATAATCAATTAAATATATTTAAGTATATATTTAAATCTTTTTATTTTTATTTATGCAAGCAACAAGTGACCAAGTATATAAAAAAAAAATTTACTCATAGCCGCCTTTCGTGTCCTTAGAAAACTATGACAATATAGATTCAATCAGAAGCAAGTTCCCTCCCTTAGCAAATATCAATATTGATCACAATTTTAATAATTTAAAGGACTGCAGATTCTTTATTATAAGAACCCAAGGAGAAGATAATGTTCATCGAGCCATGAAATACGGTATTTGGACAAGGTAAAGCATATATTTACGAAAGCTCTTCTCGCAAAAACGAAAGATTAGACGAGGCATTCAAGAATAAAAAGGAAGATGTTTATTTATTCTTTACAGAAATAAACAGTATGTGTTTTAGTGGGATGGCTAAATTAACATCTGAATTTAATGCAAAAACCCATTTTAAATATTGGTTAATTGAGAATAAATGGTTTGGGACATTTCAGATTCAATGGGTATTAGTTATTGTTATTTGTCTCAGCTTTATGTCAAAGATTTGCCATTTAAACTATTTGATGAAATTAAATAAATCTAAAAATTAGAAGGCAGTGAAGAAACTTTAAAATCTGTCTATGATCTTATAGATTGCACTGAACTGACAGTAGATAATGGCATTAAAATGGCAAAAATCTTCCAAGCAGAAAAAACTAATAAAAGTTTATTCGAAGAATTTCCTCAATTGGATAAATTGGAAGTATTTGCAATTTAATAATTTAAGTTTGAAAGTAGATAGGAAAGAACAAATAATATAAGATTTGAGAAAAAGTTTTAGGAATTGTCATAAGTCTTTGAAACTATTCCATTCTCTTTTTCTGTTGCCTCATATGAAAGGAAGAAAACAAACAGAAAAGCTTAAGGCCCGTTTTACTAGTCTCAATATGGCCAACAATATTATTATCAATAACCTTATCAATAATATTATTAGCAGCCATTTGTTGGTAATAAATATTCTCTACACATTAGGGTATTAATTCTAATAAACTCCTTAATATTGGTAATTTAATAATGGATTTTATTAAAATCAATATTAATAGAACCAATACACCAATAATAATAGTAACAAATAAGGTTTCACAAAACCCTAATAATCATATGAAAAATATCAACATTAATAAAATAATTATTCTAACTAATAATAGCAATCAACTACTATCTCCCAATAAACTCAACAAAACACAAAGTAAGAAGGCAATTAGGATGTTTAGAGTGTTCCTTTAGAATCAAGATTTTAAATAAATAGTTAATAATTGCAAAAAAGAGGAAAATTTGATAAAATCAGAAACAAGAACAATAAAGACAATGTGTAATATGTAGAAAAAAATTCAACAGAAGCTCATGTATAAAAATATTGATCGTTTTATTTTATTTAAATTTATAAAAACGATCTGTCATCTGACATTGTGTAACCATTCTCCATCTAATTCTCTGTGATCAGCACACGTGAAGATAATATATAGAAATATGATAAAGAATTCCATTTAATACAATTTAAGCCTCAAATGAGAGAAATTATTATTGCTGAATGTATTATATTGATTAATCCCAATGGAATAATTATATCAAAGTATAAAAAAAATTTCATTGCCCAACAACAGTTACAGAAATATTTAATGATAGAAAATTCTGAACCCCCTTAAAATCAGGGAATCATGAATGGAAGAGTTGAAGGTATGCTTTAAATAATTTATATTAATATTTATTATAATGAGAGAAATCATTTCTTTACATATTGGTCAAGCTGGTCTTTAAATAGGAAATTCCCTTTGGGAGTTATTCTGTTTAGAACATAGTATTCAACCTGATGGGACTGTTCCAACAGATCGAATATTAGAAGGTCTAAATTCTAATATTGATTCGCTCTTTTCATTATCGTAATATGGGAGATACGTTCCAAGAGCTATTTTCTTTGATGAGGATCCAACCACGATAAATGCCATAAAAAATGGACCAAGTAGAGGATTATTTAATCGTTCCTATATACATTAATGCCAAGTGGAATCAGGAGGATGTTGGGCAAGAAGCTTTGGAACAATTATGAATAAAGAAGGTGAAGAAAAAATAGCTGATAAAATAAGAAAACAAGTTGAGAGTTGTGATGGCCTTTAAGGAATTATGCTTTACCATTCAATTGGAGGAGGATTCGGTGGAGGTTTTACATCTAAAATTTTGGATCTGCTCTCAAGTGACTTAGAAAAGGTGACCAAGGCAACTGTGTCAGTGCTATCCTCGAATCATTCTTTACAATCCTCATTACTAGAACCATATAACTCAATATTGACACTCAAATACCTCAAGGAAAAAGCTGATATGTCCATAATGTTAGAAAATTAAGCTTTATATAAGGTGGCCAACCAATAATTAGATATAGACAATCCAAATTTTTCAACAATTAACAGAATGATAGCCTAATTAATATCATCAGTTACCTAATCTTCTAGGTTTAATGGATCAAAATTCGTTGATTTAATTGAAATGAGAATGAATGTTGTCCCAGATCCTGATTTCTAATTTCTACATGCATCATATGCTCCTTTCATTAACATTGATAAACAAAATACAGAATTAACTAATTTGCAATAGATTACAAACTCATTATTCGATGAAAGAAGTTCATTCATTAATTGCGATCACAAAAATGTCAAATATTTGGCTGCCAATCTGTTTTTCAGGGGAGATTGTCCTTGGGGTGAAGTTAAAGGAGTAGTAGAATCTATTAAGCAATCTCCTAATATAAAATTTGCAGAATTTGCTGTTCCTACATATCAAATTGCCATTAGTGATAAGGCACCTGTTCCATTCCCATATAGTGAGTAAGGTAGATCAAACAAGGCTGTTTGTATGATTGCCAATTCTTCTGCTATTGAAACTCCCTTATTTAGAATTAAAAGGAATGCCAGGAGGCAATATTCTAAACGAAGTCATGTACATTGGCTAGTCGGAGAAGGAAGAGAAGAAGGAGAAATTTCAGAAGCACTTGAGATAGTTTAGTCCTTTCTAAAAAATTATAAGGAGGCTAATTATGAAAATCCTGATAAGGATTATTGTACAAGAGTTCAACATGGAACAGATTATATTAGGTAATTTGTTTACACTTGTGATTGTTTGGATGTTGAAGGCTACATCAAAAATGGCATAGAAAAAGGTGAGGATATGGAAGGTAAATACCTGGGAGTTTGTGTTTAATGTGCAAAAAAGTGCCACGTTGGACACAACCTCAAAGTTAAAGGAATTGAAAATGAGTTCTTTTGTGATTGCGGATTAGAAAATTGTAAAGTCAAATGTCAATGTCAGAAAGAAGAAGCATAAGGATAAGAAGAATAATAATAATAATAATAAGAATAAGAGAAAAATTGAAAATAATTATAAAATAATGAATTATATTAACCAAAATTTATGATTTACGCTCCACTTCTCAATTATATCCTATCGAAATTTGTCTTATAAATACTTTAGAGGATTTCAGGTTTAACTAGGGATTCTTTTTAAATTATAAATTATTCGTGATTAAGGAAAAAGAAAACATTTCAAAATATATGCTAGATATGCAATCATAGTGTGCTATATTATGGTTGATACTTATCCATATTTTATTTCTTGATAACTTACCTAACACAGTCTTATGTTCATTAAAATAATTTGCTCAAATCATTTCATAGCTATTGATATAATCATAGAGAGAATTAAACACCAATTTATATTTGAGCATCCCTGATTTTTTCAAATTAAAAAAAATTTAATAAATTTTCAAGGGTGATTGTTGTAATAAAATTATACTTATTGAAGAATTGCTTTCTTACAATTAAAATATGATCTAAATTAAAATACTAAACATAAGTTCAAATTTCACTTATTTTCCTCTCGAGATATTCTATGTCTTGATACCCTTTATTCTTAGCTTCGATATACAATTATTTAGATTATCTCCTTTAACCTGAATAAAATAATGAGTCAGCTAAATTTTAAATTAATATTTACCTTTAAGCACTAGATACTCAACCAATTTTGAAATCTAATATGCTTTGTCAAATTATTTAACGGCTTCCTTATATTATGATAATTCATATAATGCAATCCCTTATACAATTGAAATATACCTTTTATGGAATAAGCTTGATGAAGCTATGAATTTATCCTAAGAAGCTCATCACTACACTATATTGCTTCTTAATATTATTTTTAACGATTTAAGGCACAACCTATTGATTTAAATCTAAATAACCTTTGTTTATGTAAGCTGTTTCATTCTTTCTATTTATCTCTATTGATTTATCATAGCACATTAGTTCCTCTTGATATCTGTATAAACGCCCTAATGCAAGTCCTAAAAATAAAATATAAATAATGTTGAACAAACCTTTGTTTACAAATGCAGCATCATTTTATGGGTTTATTTTAAGACCTTTATCACACCAAATTATGACATCATCATAGCGCCTTTATTCGAATANGGATGTTGAAGGCTACATCAAAAATGGCATAGAAAAAGGTGAGGATATGGAAGGTAAATACCTGGGAGTTTGTGTTTAATGTGCAAAAAAGTGCCACGTTGGACACAACCTCAAAGTTAAAGGAATTGAAAATGAGTTCTTTTGTGATTGCGGATTAGAAAATTGTAAAGTCAAATGTCAATGTCAGAAAGAAGAAGCATAAGGATAAGAAGAATAATAATAATAATAATAAGAATAAGAGAAAAATTGAAAATAATTATAAAATAATGAATTATATTAACCAAAATTTATGATTTACGCTCCACTTCTCAATTATATCCTATCGAAATTTGTCTTATAAATACTTTAGAGGATTTCAGGTTTAACTAGGGATTCTTTTTAAATTATAAATTATTCGTGATTAAGGAAAAAGAAAACATTTCAAAATATATGCTAGATATGCAATCATAGTGTGCTATATTATGGTTGATACTTATCCATATTTTATTTCTTGATAACTTACCTAACACAGTCTTATGTTCATTAAAATAATTTGCTCAAATCATTTCATAGCTATTGATATAATCATAGAGAGAATTAAACACCAATTTATATTTGAGCATCCCTGATTTTTTCAAATTAAAAAAAATTTAATAAATTTTCAAGGGTGATTGTTGTAATAAAATTATACTTATTGAAGAATTGCTTTCTTACAATTAAAATATGATCTAAATTAAAATACTAAACATAAGTTCAAATTTCACTTATTTTCCTCTCGAGATATTCTATGTCTTGATACCCTTTATTCTTAGCTTCGATATACAATTATTTAGATTATCTCCTTTAACCTGAATAAAATAATGAGTCAGCTAAATTTTAAATTAATATTTACCTTTAAGCACTAGATACTCAACCAATTTTGAAATCTAATATGCTTTGTCAAATTATTTAACGGCTTCCTTATATTATGATAATTCATATAATGCAATCCCTTATACAATTGAAATATACCTTTTATGGAATAAGCTTGATGAAGCTATGAATTTATCCTAAGAAGCTCATCACTACACTATATTGCTTCTTAATATTATTTTTAACGATTTAAGGCACAACCTATTGATTTAAATCTAAATAACCTTTGTTTATGTAAGCTGTTTCATTCTTTCTATTTATCTCTATTGATTTATCATAGCACATTAGTTCCTCTTGATATCTGTATAAACGCCCTAATGCAAGTCCTAAAAATAAAATATAAATAATGTTGAACAAACCTTTGTTTACAAATGCAGCATCATTTTATGGGTTTATTTTAAGACCTTTATCACACCAAATTATGACATCATCATAGCGCCTTTATTCGAATAGCGCAGAAGCTATATTTTTGATTAATAATACCCTTTGTAGTATATGCTAAATCATTTTAAGGATTAATTGAAATTGCAATATCGCATACATTTAGTGCTTCATTTACTCTTCCTAATTTGATTAATGTGCGACCTGATTAATTAACAATAATTTTCAACCTATCCATCTATAAACATCATCATTGGATGCATCATATTTGATTGACTCGTTGAAAAAATTTAACGCTTCAGAAAACGCTTATTACTCCCATAGTTTCATGCCTAATTAATGAAAACTATTTTAACCTTATTTAAATAAGTCTTAAGCTTATACTTTATCATTCTCGTATTTTATGGGTTATTATACAAATTCTTGACTGAGATTTGGCTTTTTCACTCCTTTAATAGCGTTTTCAATAGTTTAAATAAATGATAAAAAGTTCTCTAAAAATATTTTTAACACATACATTAAGTTTTAAGTATGAAACTTTTTTATGAGTAATTTTGGGTAGATATTAGAGACTTGATATCATAATATTATCTTTGAGCGAACATCTCTATTAATTTTGTTATTTTAGAGATTTCATTCACTAATATTTAGCTATATTATTTATATGCTTTATTAATTTAATTATAAACTTTTTCTAATTCATCTAGTTCTTGTTGTTATTGTTTTAATGACTTTATAGCAATCTCCTGATATTATTGGAAATTTTTGCAATCATCGACATGACTTTTGTGTCTCTCTTTTAAACATTGCAAACAAAATTATGGAATTTAAGTACAACTTTCATTTACACAAAACCCGATTATTTATTCATTTTCATGACCTTCAAATGTACACATTAAATATGAATTCATCATTAAATAATATTTAAATATAATATAAAGTTTTACTTAAATAAATGTAGTACCTGGAGAAATATTCTTCAACAATTAGATATTTATAATAATTCCAGTTAGATGCAGAAAACGTTACTTTTAGATAATTCTTATGCCCACTCAATAAAATGGATTTTGTTTTTTTTGATTACAGTTAAAAATATTTTGATCTATGAATAAGTATGTTATTTATTTTTCATTGAAACGGATAGTAATTCAACTCGAAAGGTTCAAATACAATTTGATTATCATTTACCCATTAACTCGACAAAATAAGAGAAAAGATGTAATTAATTCTAAAGATATCAAGAGTTCTTACTTGAAATAAAATGTTCTCTTTTTTTTTGTCTGATTTAGATAAAATGATCACCATTTTATTTTGGATTGCTCATTGTGATTATAACTACTAAAGAAATGTTTTTAATTCAAGTTTTGTTCATTTCAAAATCTATAAAGATGATTAATAAGGATGTTAATCATTATTTATATAACTTAAGGAAAACACTTTCAAATCAATTCAATGAATTTATAATTTTACTGAGAAAAATAATAATGTAAGCGTAAAAATACATTTTAATAAAAACTTAGATTAAATCAAGAGAAATGTTTTATGAAGTAAGATTGTATAAAATTACAATTTTTATTGGTTATCAATAAATAAAATTGAATTAAGAATACAAATTCAACACTATTAATCTTTTGAAATAAAGTTTAGTTTCAAAAACTTGAAAATAGGTAATCACTCTCTTTTGAAGATTAAACTGCCTAGATCAATATTTCGGATAGAATAATTTTTACTATTTTAATAACAAATATTATCAATTGTCCTTCTTCACCCATTTTCCAATACGAAAATCTTTCGAACCAGTATAAAACACCTTTTCTTCTTCATCCTAAAATTCTAGGCTGAAAATATAGCTTTCATGATTCTCATAAGTATTAAATCCTCCTTAAATGACGTTATATATTGTAATTGAATAGTCCATGCTTCCTGCTAAAAGAAATTTATCATCATTTGTGAATCTTATAATTAATGCACAAAAATTCTAGTTCCCAGATTGTTTTCTTATCAATTTTTTATTTCTCAATGATGTAATATTGATATTATTTCTATGACCCTCAGCAAATAAATAATTATTATTTGACAGCTTTACATAAAAAGAGGAACTGATTTAGTTTTTGAAAATAATTCTCTATGAGTTTATGTTTAAGAAGAAAAGTGATCGAATCCCTGAGACAATTGCTATTTTTTTTTCAAGATTTGTAGTAATGCATGTTAATTTGTTATAATCAGGAAGGATAACTGATTATAATTATCTACTAGAAATCTAATAGATGCTAATCACATTTGTATCTCCAATAGAAATAACACTCTCGTCATTATTAGTTAAAATTGCGAATCTATGCATGATATTTGGAGTTTTTATTATCTCTGGTTCGACAAATTTCTTATTAGCGTAGGAGTATATTACAAAAAAATGATCAAATCCAAACTAAAATAATCTATTGTTTTTTGAAAAAATCAAACAAAGCACTGGTAATTTGTGGGTTTTTTCTAAAATTTAATGTATTGACTCATTAGTAAGATCAAAAATTTAAATCGTCTCTGTTTTTCCACCAAAGGCAAGTAATTATAGATTATTATTCACTGCCAAAGTATATATACTCTCGTTTGTAACATGCAACTCTTAATATTCAATTTGAAATTAATTCAACATCGATTCAATTTATATAATAATTCTTTAACTTCTTTATCAAGAATTTAAATATCTAAATTTCTCCACGTATATTTTCCAAATTCTCAAATTTATCAATTTTATGTAATTAATATTATACATATCAAAAATTATTATCATTTGAAAAGAATGATTAGGAAAAAAATGTGTTAGGATCTGACAAACATGCTATATTTTTTATAGCAACTCATCCATTCAAAAATGAATTCATACACATCTTCCTCTCTTAGAAAGCAATTGTATCTTTTTGAGAAAAGAATCATTGATTAATCTTAATTTTTTGATAAAAAATTTTTAAATTTTGCTTTTGAAAGCGAACCATACTTACCTTATTATATTAGAATTCAACTTTTAAACTTAATAATTAATATTTTCTTTTTTTAGTTAATTATAGAAATTTAATGGTTGAAGTACGCTCCTCTGGTGGCTTTTTAACGAATTTAATGAGTTAGTGATAAAGGTCGAGATTCCTAGTAATAGATTGAAAAAATTTATTAACATTATGATTACAAATGAGGCTTTAAATATACAGTAAATGAAACTAAAAATTTGATATGTATTACTCACGTTAAATTAATAGGTGAATAAAATTGAATAGAAAATTAAAAAAATAAGATATAAAATATAATTTATGATTAATTTTTATTTTGGCTTTTTTTGTATTGTTTAAATAAAATATTGAAATATGAATTATTATTACAATTATGCAGTTAATTGTTCATTATTTTTTCATATCTTTTTGAATTGCTATTCGAAAGTTAGTTTCTTCAATTTTTATTTTAATTTCTTTCTTTAATTATGCTGTTAAGATAATAATTTCAATCTTTACAACGAGTGACTTCAAGTTTTTTATAATAATGACTCTAAATCAAAGACTCCATTTCATAATTTCATAAAAATAACATAATTTTTCATGAATTTCATCACTATATGTTTTCTTTCTATTGGAGTTTGTAATATTCAAATCGATTTTGGGAATTTTTATGGGATATTTATGATATGTTTTAATTAAAAAAAACTCCATTTCTTTGAAAAATATTTCAACATTAATTTTCCATTAAATGCCCTTATTAACACGATGAACCGATGCACTTGCATCAACTTAAGCATCCCAGAAAGTAAGAGCTCCATTTAGCCATATATTATGAAGAAAAGATATTTGATTGGATAGAATATAAATATTTGCTCATTTGGACAGAATATTTAATAATAATTTATATACACATTAATTGAGATCAATTTTACTTCAAAGTGATTTTGTTCTATCAATCAATTCAATCTAAGATTCTGATTCTTTTTCATTTCCTTTAGTGACATTACCTTAATGGTATTTAGTACGATGAAATTTATATAGATACAATAGAGGGAGAAAGCCGACAAAGGATAAAAATAATAACAGGGTATTCATTTTTGCATAATTTTCATAATTCTCTATTTCTAAAATATGAGAAATAATTATTGAAAATATTGTAATTTCTATCATAGTTTTAGAGGAATACCTATGTTAATACAAGCATATGTCAATCCAAATCCTGTTCCAACCAAGTTTGAGGGTACAATTTTTGGAATATATGGCCACATAACAGCATAGTAAGTGCCAAAAAAAATACCAATTAAAATACTCCCTATTACAGGCAAAGCTACACAATAAGTATCACACTCTGGCATTAAATAGAATAAAGCAGCAGCAAGCACTTAACAAAAACCACCCAATAACAAGATTTCGATATTTCTACCTTTTCTATCTACATAATGGCCTACAAAGACAGTTAACACTGCTGAAATGTAATGAGGTATACTAAATAGAAGATTTGCAGTGCTTTAATCCAATTTATATCTAGGTAATCACATTATACTTACAACAGTTTAAACATTTCAACACAATTATAACCAAATATAAAGAAAATGGAATAAGTTGTGGCGCAACTGATTAAGGCTACATAAAACTCTAAACTGAAGTTCTTAATTTATCTAAGATCAACACTTTCCAACTTTTAATCTGTTATTTTATCTCTTTAATCGCTGCACTTGTCAATTCGAGTTAAAATAATTATTAAAACAAAACTCAATATAGAGATGTAAAGACACATTAACAAGCATTTAGATAAGTCGCTATCTTAGGACATGTATATATATGGATAAATAATTGCACCAGTTATTGATCCTATTCTACAAAGACCTGTGTCGATGCTTTAATAAATTAAAATAGTACCCAAAAGCTAGAGAATTCTCCTTCCCTTTGAACCACTTATTGATATAGTAACTTTCAGCCACAAATCCGCTATCATCAAACAACCCAAATACTAATCGGCCAACTACCATAATTGCAAAATTATCACTAATTACTGAAATAAAGCATAAGACTTTCCTTTAATATAAATTTTTACATTAACCAAAAATTATAACTGCTCCAAATAAGGTGTATGAGCGTCCGACTCCAAAAGTGTCAATAATCAAACCGCCAATTAATGACATTATCATATTTGGAAATGCTCTTATTGATAATAGATAATTGACTTCCTTTTAAGTGATTTGAAAGTGTTATTTTATCTATTCTCCTAGCAATGCTGGAAATTCACCTACGAGGAATACTACAAGTGGGTAAATGCCAATAAGCACTAGCACAAACCATCTTATGTTTGTATCATGCCAGGATGTCATATTTTCCGTATTAAATAAATAAATATTGAATTTTCTTTTTTTAGTATCGCCATAATGAACTCTGCTTAAATTTGCATGTCAATTATAAAATATCAAGGAATGTAAAATATACTTATTCTAAAAGAAGTTTATGATAATAACTTTAAAAATTACAATTTAAGAAGAAAATCACCACAAATTATTTTCTGACCTTATAAATTTAAAAAAAATTTAATTTTTTAAATATTAATTACTTATTTTGTTATTTACTTATTTTCTTTATGTAGTTTTTATTAGCAAATTTTTAAATTTTCTAAATTGACATGAATAACCCACCATAAAATCACCATCATTGCCTTCTAAAAAATCTTTGATCAACTCTGAGTTTAAGTAAGAATATGCTAGCATTTTATATTATATAATACTTTAATGTAATTAATTACATAATTTAAGATTTAACTCTCTGAAAACTTTCAAAGTTTACAAATGTAATAGTTAATGAATGATTTTGAACAAAAAATCTAAATTTTTTTTGTAATTTTTCTATTGTTCGGAGGAATAAATATGTCTATATTTTAAATCCAAAAATCATTTGAGTTATAAATATGAAATTTATATGCAAGTAATTTATAATATATAATGATGTAAATTAAAATGAATGAAAAAATAGTTCTTCTAATAGACTTTGGCTAGATTTTATAAATCAAAAAGAGNACTTGTCAATTCGAGTTAAAATAATTATTAAAACAAAACTCAATATAGAGATGTAAAGACACATTAACAAGCATTTAGATAAGTCGCTATCTTAGGACATGTATATATATGGATAAATAATTGCACCAGTTATTGATCCTATTCTACAAAGACCTGTGTCGATGCTTTAATAAATTAAAATAGTACCCAAAAGCTAGAGAATTCTCCTTCCCTTTGAACCACTTATTGATATAGTAACTTTCAGCCACAAATCCGCTATCATCAAACAACCCAAATACTAATCGGCCAACTACCATAATTGCAAAATTATCACTAATTACTGAAATAAAGCATAAGACTTTCCTTTAATATAAATTTTTACATTAACCAAAAATTATAACTGCTCCAAATAAGGTGTATGAGCGTCCGACTCCAAAAGTGTCAATAATCAAACCGCCAATTAATGACATTATCATATTTGGAAATGCTCTTATTGATAATAGATAATTGACTTCCTTTTAAGTGATTTGAAAGTGTTATTTTATCTATTCTCCTAGCAATGCTGGAAATTCACCTACGAGGAATACTACAAGTGGGTAAATGCCAATAAGCACTAGCACAAACCATCTTATGTTTGTATCATGCCAGGATGTCATATTTTCCGTATTAAATAAATAAATATTGAATTTTCTTTTTTTAGTATCGCCATAATGAACTCTGCTTAAATTTGCATGTCAATTATAAAATATCAAGGAATGTAAAATATACTTATTCTAAAAGAAGTTTATGATAATAACTTTAAAAATTACAATTTAAGAAGAAAATCACCACAAATTATTTTCTGACCTTATAAATTTAAAAAAAATTTAATTTTTTAAATATTAATTACTTATTTTGTTATTTACTTATTTTCTTTATGTAGTTTTTATTAGCAAATTTTTAAATTTTCTAAATTGACATGAATAACCCACCATAAAATCACCATCATTGCCTTCTAAAAAATCTTTGATCAACTCTGAGTTTAAGTAAGAATATGCTAGCATTTTATATTATATAATACTTTAATGTAATTAATTACATAATTTAAGATTTAACTCTCTGAAAACTTTCAAAGTTTACAAATGTAATAGTTAATGAATGATTTTGAACAAAAAATCTAAATTTTTTTTGTAATTTTTCTATTGTTCGGAGGAATAAATATGTCTATATTTTAAATCCAAAAATCATTTGAGTTATAAATATGAAATTTATATGCAAGTAATTTATAATATATAATGATGTAAATTAAAATGAATGAAAAAATAGTTCTTCTAATAGACTTTGGCTAGATTTTATAAATCAAAAAGAGTTTAAATAAAAAAACAAACTTTGATCATACGTTCAATAACGCCAAAATACATTTAATTTACTTATAATTGCAAAATTATAACCTACAAACTCTTGATGTTGGTAAAGTTTTAAATGAATTCATTTCCTCCCTTTCCATAAATTGATCCACACAATTTTGTATTCTGGGAGTAATTTAAATTAAGTATAATCTTCCACTATGTCAGGGTAGGTACTGTCTAATCTTATTAGATGGAATTCAGTTTATAAAATGTAACAATTCTAAAATACAGATTGTAAGTAACATTTTCCTTTATTCCAATCAAAGTATATGTAATTCATTATCTTCTACACATAAGGTACATAAAATGAATCTGACAATTCATTAGCAAATACTTGATATGGTTTTATTAAAATCTACTCTGTCATTGATTATTCTTGCTCCATTATTGTGATTCTAGGTAGAACGTAAATTTTTTTTATAGTTATTGATAATGAGGATGAAAGTTTGGAAGAATTGTTTCCAAATAATTGAGCCTTCTTATTTGAATAATTGACCAAAATCTACTCAAATTTAATCATTTGATCTTGTATTTCTAATCCTCCACCATATATGCAGCATTAATAGAATCAAGACTTTAAACAAGGTAGAATATTTCATTGCCATTCACTTTAATTCATCCTCCTGAAGCTATTGTTTAATTGTGTTCAAATATTAAATATTAAATCAAAGTCTTGAAGTTTTTCCTTTCAACACTTATACTTTAGATAAAAGTCCTGCTTATTATACTTTCCTCTGCTTATTGTTTATTTGCACAAATAGTTATTTATTGTCCATTTCAATAAAGTGTATTTTATTTAAATTATCGTTTGCAATGCTTTAAATCAAATTACCACTCATTATCTTATTATATGAAATTGAAAAACAATAGTTGGGAAGTCATTTTAAAAACATTTCACTACTTGATTGGCCAAATTTATTTTATTTAAGTTTTAATAACTTGAGTTAATAGAAATGAATGAGTGTGATGAAATTTCCAATTATTAAACCTATCGTGGATAATGAACTCCTCTGATATTTTTGATTTAATTTTGGGTGCGATTGTTTGATTTTTGATAAGCATTTACATGTGAATTAAATTTCTTTAGAGTTTTTTTACAATTTGATCCCAATACATATTCAATTTGTAAATAATTCATAAAAATGAAAAACGAATTCTCTTCTCTATTATTAAAACAATTACTCTATGAAGAAAATTTGATTTTGATACTTAAATGAATTCGACTTAAAACCGCTGTTAAGTATACTCATAACTTGAAGGTTAAGAGGAGCGTAAAAGTGAAGAAAAACATGTCTCAATAATTAATTTTTGAGGACCTAAATTTGTGTGTTACTACTTTTATCAACAGAAATTTTTTTAATTTTATATTTATAGGAAGAATCCACCTAGATCTTCATTATATTATTATATTGGTATTTACTATTAAATTTAATTTTTAATTTCAATTTGGATATATATATTTAGGAAACTTATTAAATTAAACTAATTTGTACCTTGTAAGTGTTGATGCAATTTTAAGAAGAACTAAATTCTTTTACTTCTGCTCCAAAAAAATAAGCGTCCTTTAATTTTACAATAACATTAGCAGGGATATCAATAGATTTAATTTCAAAAGGAATTTTACTTGATAATTTTGCTTGTTGTCCTTTGATTATTGAAAATGATGCTCCTTGATAATAACATTCACTGTAGAATGCAACACCTACGCCACCATTAGAATTCAAAAAAAGGATTTTTATGAAGGACACGGTAGGATTAAAGTTAACTGATTACACATTAGCTTCCATACATTTCTGATTTTAAATTATAGCACTTTGCTCACCTTCAAAATTTGTATATTGAAAAAGAAGTAGTTTTTTTTATTTTGGGACAGTTACAGACTTTACAAGTTGCGACCAACCTTTATTCAGTAAATTAGATATTTTGTTACAAACTTTCAAAGAGAAACCTTAGAAATTACATTCAGAGAAGAGCTCTGCACAATTTTCATCAAAAATTTTATGATTGGAATCAAATAAATAAATACCTGCCTAATAGAAAACACTATAGACCACACTATCCGACCCTAGGGTGTAATTTAATTTTTTACATGTTGCAAGTGTAAATTAAAGTTAAGTATTTATTGCGACATCCTTATAAAGTAACCTAAGATTGACTCTATTGTCACAATCATAACCTCTAAATGCTACAAGAGGAATTTATTCATAGTTGTAATACAGATTTGGAAGGTCAAATTTCATATAGAGATGATATGCTGAGGGTGATCTTGAAACAAATGGATGGGTTGGACCATTAATTAAAGACAACTTAGAGGTTGTCCATAATGATTGATCAGTACCTAGAAGAATATTGAATCTTAGATATTCTAATTATGATAGTGAATAAGATTTTGCAGAAACTTTAACAGATTCAGAAGTTATTATATCAATCTAAAAGTCAAAAATAAATATATTTTACGCTGAGTTCAACTATTGGATTATATGCTAAATGTTTAATGCCAGTTACTGAGATTATACCCTGGGTTGCATCTTTTAGTGTATGCACTAATTCGAATGGAACTTCCCTTTAGCCTGTTCCAGTTTTTAATTCTTTGACATCCCATGTGTCGAATGTTATAACTTAAATTCTATCATCATTAACAGCCAGCCAATAAACATATAAGGAATAAACAGGTGATGGAGTTACAGCTATTCCATGAATTTTAAAACCTTTTGAAATTTTTATTAATAATTACCCTTCGTAGTGATAAAACTCGCTCTTTCAATATATCCATTTGGTGTTCCTATAGACCAATCAAGTAACGATGATTGAATAAAAATTTAAGGAGCAATCTCAAATACTATGGAGAATTGTATATCGTGCACTATTTATCTTGGGACTGCTGATTGTGCTTCCAAAATATGGCCAGTGTATGAAGTAACAATCACTATATTTCCAGTGTCATATTGTGGCATTCGAAAATTCAAAATCAGTGTAAATAGTGTTATTAGAACTATTCCTCTCATAAAGTATTAATGATAAAGAAATATTTTTTCTCAAATAACTTAAAATTATTTTAGAAAAGTCATATTATTGATAAAAAGAATTCTGAAAAAAACAATTCCATTTCATTAATATAATTAATTTATTTTTTCTTGACATAATGATTTTGATTTCATATAAATTATAATTATTCTAAATTACGAAATATTGGTGGCTGTTTCATAAATCATTCAAAAGGTTTTGTTCCAAAAAATGAAAATTTTATTTATGAAATTATTGCTGAAAGTTAATCAATATTCAAGTAGCACGAAAGTAAGATTTTAGCTAAAGAAAATACATAAAGAGCTACTTAGACTGTTATACTGATTCGAATTATTAATATTAACACTTAATATATCCAATCTTTATGTACCATGCTATAAAGTCCTGCAATTTATTAAGAGATTTAAACTTGATCGAGCAACTCAATACTAGAAAAAATGAAATAGGTTGGAGAAGTAGGAAATAAATCTTTTGAGAAAATCTTAACTTCACTTATACTTTCTTAAACAGATCTGCTGGAGTTAGCGCTAGAATATTGATTGGGACAAATAAATTTTTTTCATTAATACAGTTTTTTTATTTTAAGTTGTAGAACGGTTCTAAATCATCATTATAACGATTATCTGAAGATACGATTTTTATCCTGTTTTAACATCCTATAAGCCGATAGACATTCGTATTCCCGTCGTAGGGGCCTCAGAAAACCCTATGTTCGGGATGCAGGAATGAAAAAACCATGCAGGTACTTTGTGAATGAAAAACTATGCAGGTACCGCACTGAAATTGGTGAATGAAAAACTATTTAGGTAGAAGATGCTTATAATATACTTAAATAATTCTAGAACCACCTTGGATTTCTGAATTTGAAAAATATGTAGGTACCACCCCGGAATAAATGAATGAAAAAACTTATAGAAATCAATTTTGAAGAGGTTAGTTTTACTTATTATATTTTAGTGTCCCTATATTAAATCGAAATTGAATTATTGAATAATTGGAAAATTTCAATTCACACATTCAAATTGGAACCTAAATAGTTGACCAATATTTCTTATATCTAATTTAAAAAGGCCTTGATTAAATTCTTTGATCCAAGTAAATTAGAATTTTAACTTGCATCACAAAGTATTTATTTCTTCACTAATTCTACATATTTTTGTTTTTTGATCGCTTGATAGAGAGAGTTGATTCTGAAATATGATATTGTATTATATGATTATTAATAATAATAAATTTTCAGGGTTTTTATAATTCAATTTGGTTCTCTAAAATGAAACTTCCTCTTTGTTTAAATAATGTCCTCAAGTTGAGGCATAGAGATTCTTATTCCGGCCGTCGGGGCTGAGGAAAGTCACCCAGCTCCGGCCGTACTAGCTCGGAAAATTTAATCCATGCTCCGGCCATACTGGCTAGGGAAATTTATCCATGCTCCTTGGAAAATTTATCCATGCTCCAGCCATAATGGCTAGGAAAATTTATCCATGCTCCGACCGTAATGGCTAGGAAAATTTAGCATCCATGCTCCAGCCTGTGATTGTCTTGATCAATCTCTTCACTAACCAATATTGCCCCTTATGCTATTTTTAGGTGAAAAATTAACATAATTATTGATCAGACAATCAGAGTAAGAAGATGAGTCCTATATATGATACATACCTCATTTGCTAAACTTTTTTTTATCTAGCGATTCTAATGTTACGCACAAAACAGCTGATCCCAATCTAGCTTCTTTTGCAAAATATGAAAGAAATTAGAGTTGCTGTGATTAATGTAAATACACTGTACACACAACTTCAGCAATTGTAATAATTGTTATACTTCTTCTATGTTAATGGCATATAAATATCTTAGGTTTATGCTTAAATTTTTGAACTTATAGCGTCTCTTGAAATCATTTTGATAATGAAGATTTCAACCTTGTATCATGTCCTAATTATGATATTTAATGTTTATATTTAGATGGTGGCTGAGTTGCCCATAGTTGTTAGATGAAGATTACTTTAATGCATAACATAAGCTTTTATTTCTTGCTTATAAAAAAGCGCTGGAATCAATGTGTTATGCATAGGCAGTCTTCTATTAATGTGGGATTGAGGCAGCTCTACATAATGTTTTCATTAATGTTAAATCTTGTTAATGCATTAGATTGACCAGAGATATTGGGGTCAATCATTTGAGAAGATGTTGAATATACTCATGTCTTATAGTTTACACAACTTGCATGATATCAATTAGAAATAAAGCTTTTCTGTTTGTATACTTCCTGTTCACCCGATCTTTGTGCCACATGAACCAGTTACTGAAATTAGCAATTACTCTACTTTTATTGAAAGAAGATCGAAATAATTATAAAAATTTATGCTTCCTTTGATAACCATATATTTTTGTTTCAACATTTCTCCTACATGCTTTTACTGCAGGTAAATTTAAGAGCTTATCAAATGGTAACCCAGAATTAGGGGATCTGCAAGATTTGTTGAATATAAAAATATAACTATTTTTTTTATGATATCCTGATTTCTAACAATAGTATGTCTACTCACTAGTAAAAATGCGTTTGCGATGAAAATAGTTTTAGGGATAATATATCGAATAGCTAATTAATTTAACTGTGTCAATGTGAAATATGAATCAGCTGTTTAGCATGATTGGTTTGTGGAACAGCACTGATTGGGGAAATATCTAAAGCTATTTATAAATGTGAAGTTACCCTTAGCCCAGGACGAAGCCGGCTATATGATACAGAAAGTAACCCCGATGACCAGAATTAAAAGACAGATCATTAAGGATCTTGAATTTAACGAATTGGAAGACGATAATTTTGATCATACATAAGGACTAGTAAATGACTGCAATGAAATAGTGGACGTTCTGTGTTGATACATTAGATATGGAAAATATTCATCACCAAAAAAACTAAAAGGATAGGATGGGTTGTTATTAGAAATATGACAGATGACAATTGTAGCACTAGGTTCTATAAAGTACTAAAAGATCTTGCCGAATAATTAAAAAGAATTGTGGAGACCAAAAACCAAATCATGTAACACACAGGTATGCGAAGACTATACTTTGACGAAAGGATGATCGGCCATTTATGCATAAAACTCTTCAATCGCACAGAAATATTTTAACACTCCTGCCCCACAAGTTTATTTCTTGTTATTCTATATTCACTTATCTGCTATCAGCACTTACTTGTGATTCATATCTGAATTGCTTTGAATTAAAGCTCTTGTAATGAATGCACTTCAGTATTTTAACTGTGTTCTAATAAACATCTCTAGTCTTGATTGCAGAACTCAAACCCTTAGGGTTATTATGTGCATGATTATTATAATTGTGCACACTGTATCTGCAGAAATTAACACTATCACTTTTAAAAACTGCAATCCTTACCCCAACAAAAAAAAATGATGTTAGCTTACTCGCTCCCCACACCTGTAATAATAAAATTCTTCTTGTAAAGAAAATAGTACTGAAAAAGCTATAAAGAGTTTTGGTTATTAAGATAATAAATACTTATATCTTATTGTCATTATCTAGACAGTTTATTAGCATTATTAAATGCAAACCATAAGAATAAATCAGTTGAACAAGTAGTGTCTTAAAATTCTAATTCAATTCCCATAGCAATAAATGAACTTAATATATCATCATGTATTGAACATAAACTAAAAATGATTCCAATAATTAACATGCTTTATTGAATTATCTCCATTGCATTTTAACAAAAAAAATATTAAAAGAAGTCTTAGTTGTAGCCCAAATGAATAATTTAGGCACTGCATAATGACTGCAAGCATAGTTCATCTTTGTTTCAAATTAGGTATATTTCAATCTTGCATTATGGAAGAAGGATACAGAGTCTCATATGCATTCGTCACATAGCTGTTGAAGTAAAACGATACACTTAATTGTTGCATCATCTACACTAGATTCACAAACTGTTGAAAAGAAACACGCTGTTGGAAAGATCGCCAAATACTGCATGAATAAGGTTCCGGCAGAATATCTGAAATCAAAGCAAGGAATGGAGTTGCTTAATGAAAATTCTAAAATGTCCTAAATTTATGTAAAAACTATAAAACGCAAGAGTCTATGCAATTGCATTATTAGTAGTTCAATATGCTTCAAGGTCATAAAAATGTATACTCTTATTATTATGGAAGCAAATGGTATTCATTAGAGATAGCCGGTACATTTTAATATATTGGTATCCAGCGGTTGCACTACAAGTATCTATATCGAATAAGAGCATATGTGGAACATTTTCTGGAAATAATTAGTTTTAGTAAAATGAAGCACATTATGCTTTTGTGATTTATACTCGTAGCTAATAAAGCATCTATGTTATAAAAATAATGAAGTTGTTATTAACAAATATTAGTGTTAGAATTGGGATATTTTTAAACCCAAATAATTTTTCTTCATGAGATAAATCTTAAGATTGCTCTGAAATGTAACTCAAAATTATACATCTTCATTACTCAAGCAAAATTGTGGAAGTCATTTAAGGTTCTACTATTAAATGCTCTATTACATTTTAATAGTCAAACATCTACCTTCTCTAGACAATTTAAATGCTGTATCATAAAATATTTACTGCTTTGCTAACAACAAAATTACTTAAATACACTCAATAGTGTTTTAAGTGTATAAGGAAGCTTTTGAGAGCAAGTGCTTATTGTTGCCTCAGTGTTAGAATAGGAATCTCTAATATCTTAAGCACTATTCATAGCACTGCTAATTCGTAATTAAGTAAATTGAGGTAAATATCTTAGTTGACAAAAGTTGAACACAACAAAATTTATTATTCCTAATTTTAAATGTCTTTTTGATCTTTTAATCTGAATTGGTAAAACAAACCTATACTGATGAATTATGCAAACTCAGAGTATAATCAAATGTCTTACATCTAGTTAAAGAAGAAAATAGATTTTGTGNACAGTTTATTAGCATTATTAAATGCAAACCATAAGAATAAATCAGTTGAACAAGTAGTGTCTTAAAATTCTAATTCAATTCCCATAGCAATAAATGAACTTAATATATCATCATGTATTGAACATAAACTAAAAATGATTCCAATAATTAACATGCTTTATTGAATTATCTCCATTGCATTTTAACAAAAAAAATATTAAAAGAAGTCTTAGTTGTAGCCCAAATGAATAATTTAGGCACTGCATAATGACTGCAAGCATAGTTCATCTTTGTTTCAAATTAGGTATATTTCAATCTTGCATTATGGAAGAAGGATACAGAGTCTCATATGCATTCGTCACATAGCTGTTGAAGTAAAACGATACACTTAATTGTTGCATCATCTACACTAGATTCACAAACTGTTGAAAAGAAACACGCTGTTGGAAAGATCGCCAAATACTGCATGAATAAGGTTCCGGCAGAATATCTGAAATCAAAGCAAGGAATGGAGTTGCTTAATGAAAATTCTAAAATGTCCTAAATTTATGTAAAAACTATAAAACGCAAGAGTCTATGCAATTGCATTATTAGTAGTTCAATATGCTTCAAGGTCATAAAAATGTATACTCTTATTATTATGGAAGCAAATGGTATTCATTAGAGATAGCCGGTACATTTTAATATATTGGTATCCAGCGGTTGCACTACAAGTATCTATATCGAATAAGAGCATATGTGGAACATTTTCTGGAAATAATTAGTTTTAGTAAAATGAAGCACATTATGCTTTTGTGATTTATACTCGTAGCTAATAAAGCATCTATGTTATAAAAATAATGAAGTTGTTATTAACAAATATTAGTGTTAGAATTGGGATATTTTTAAACCCAAATAATTTTTCTTCATGAGATAAATCTTAAGATTGCTCTGAAATGTAACTCAAAATTATACATCTTCATTACTCAAGCAAAATTGTGGAAGTCATTTAAGGTTCTACTATTAAATGCTCTATTACATTTTAATAGTCAAACATCTACCTTCTCTAGACAATTTAAATGCTGTATCATAAAATATTTACTGCTTTGCTAACAACAAAATTACTTAAATACACTCAATAGTGTTTTAAGTGTATAAGGAAGCTTTTGAGAGCAAGTGCTTATTGTTGCCTCAGTGTTAGAATAGGAATCTCTAATATCTTAAGCACTATTCATAGCACTGCTAATTCGTAATTAAGTAAATTGAGGTAAATATCTTAGTTGACAAAAGTTGAACACAACAAAATTTATTATTCCTAATTTTAAATGTCTTTTTGATCTTTTAATCTGAATTGGTAAAACAAACCTATACTGATGAATTATGCAAACTCAGAGTATAATCAAATGTCTTACATCTAGTTAAAGAAGAAAATAGATTTTGTGCTATAATAATGTCTTGCATTGATAGAGTTGTAGTAGGAGTAGCAAGTAATAATATTATATCGCATACATTTGTCTTAGGTAGGGCAAACCTAGCCTTCAATTTTTACATACGTGTATTGGCTTTTTCCCTCAATTCTTTCTAATATTGTAAATTATATTGTTTGTTTTTTTGAGGGTGATTCCCTATATTTTGTGTGATAGATTACTCATCCTGTTTCCAAGTTATATTCTCACTTTTCTATGCTTTATTATATATATTTGTTTCAAGCTACTATAGCACTTTTTAAAAATCGTCTCTCATATTGCTTCAATCATTTGATAGCAACTTATTTGAAAATGTGTTTTAAATATTTACTTCTTGTATGTTTCATTATAGTGGTTCAACTTGCTCTATCTGCATGATATATTGATGAACTCAACATTTGTAGAACTTTTAATTCTTGCTTTGGAAATGTAATATTTGTACTACTGCATCTGCTTAATATTATTATTCGACATCTTAGAGACCGATACAGTTGTATGATACTTGGTAAGGCTAAATGTGCAACTTGAATTACTTCTAGTTTTTAATGTGCTTCTTTTGAATGCAATCTCAATTATAAAAATTGCATTTCAATAACACAGTATATACAATTATAAGTTAGAGGGTCATGCCATTATTTTTTAAAAGCTATTCTCTCAAAAGTTGTAACATTGATTTTCATAAAGTTGCCACAAGCAAGAGGATGATAAGATGCCAGCTGAACATATTCTATCTGGCGGAATCAGAATTTAGAAAGGCATGAATCAATGAACACGGATAATGTAGAAGTAAAAGTAATGCAAAACTGGAATATCAAGAACAAGCACCATTTTTGCCAAATATTACATTATATGTGTTTTAAACTGTACAACTTAATTATCAGATTAACATGATGTGTATGATGGAAATCATAATTAAAAAGAAAAGAGAAATAAATAGTGCTGATAGAATGTGTGAGCACTCATTGATGATTGCAATGCTCAAAGTAAAGATGATCCACTAAAAGGAATCAATATTTAATTTAGTTATTACACTACTAACAGAATGGATCACAAATTGATGAAGCTTCAATCCAACCATAAGCAAAATATATAGAAATCATAGCGTTATAGTATTACTTAAACAAAGCATTTATGTTGCCGAGCAATCACACAATCCTTGCTTCAAGTCATCATTTCATTTGTCAACTCATTTTGTACTATCTCTACCAGTACTTACAGAATGCGTGCAGAATAGAGCTAATCAAGTATCTAATAACTAATGTGAGGTTATGCAAGTTTTTAAAGTTTCAAGTTGGTGAGAGGGTTACATGCTTAAAATACCTAGAAAAAGGAATTCAATTGATAAATATTAATTTATCTGGTTACTGGATTCTATTTTATGAAGCTTAGGATGTAAATATATACAGGGCTAAATAGGATACTGAACATGAGAGAATGTTTTTTACTGTTTAAAACCGATATAGATAAGGGTTGTGTGAGAAGTAAATACACTTTTCTGACTCAAAAAGTGCAAAAGACTTATCAATTACATAGTGCATATGATAACAATTGCTCAAAAATTAGATATAGGAATTATGTGCCGTAGCTAACTTGTTAAGGAAAAATTTGAACATCGATTCCAAGAGTAATTTATGTTCAACATCTATATATAAATTGTTTATCTTAGGCACCATAACATCTATTATAGAATGCATCAAATTAATGAACAGTCCCTTTATCAAAACCTTATATAGAAATTTATGTATCAAGTGTTTCTAACAAGAAGTATTTTCTGTATTTCAGGTGATTAGTTGGCATAAATCGCACGCTGTTTTGGCTCAGCATTAGAAACTGCACTGTATCTATGTGCAAATACATGATAATACTGCTACTGCTACTTGAATTTAATAATTAAGTTGAAATTGTGCAACATGACCAGGTTTAAGTTCATCATTTGGTTATTTAAGGAGATGTTATTTTTTGCTCCAGCAGGAAAATCTTAAAATAAGAAGCAGTAATTTATAACAAATTTAGTGGCGGGAATTTCTTGTATTACTTCCAAATCAACAGAGCCAAAAATTTCTCCTTCCCACTGACATTACACATTATTGAACTTATAGCTGTCAATATTGCACAACTCAAAATTTATAAAAAAAACAGTAGTTTGATCATGTATATTTGAGATCTGCAGATGAAATGAATGTTTACCTTTTATGACAGCCTATTCGAAACTCAACAATTAGAACATAATCTGCTGATGGTCAGACGACAATTGTGATCTCTCAAAATAGCAGGTAATTAACTTGTTTTCGGTGAGTGTTATCTCTCTCCACAATTTTTACTTTTACGGCTTTTATGTTGCAAATTTTCTAAAGACAAAGCAAATGTTATAAGTCTTTAATAAAGGTTGTGTGCTTTTATGCACATAAAATAATTGCCAAATTGTCATGTTGCTTTCATAAAATTCATTGCTTAAAAACTGTGTTATTGGATCTTTCTTATAGAATCCAGTTATTTATATACTTTCTCGTGTGTATTTCCTTTATAGTATTAACTGTTCAACTTAATAGAGTAACTATTATTTTTCCTTACTTTTTTTTAATTTTTGCCTAAAGAATATCTGGATTTATATTTTCCATTTCTAAACCCTTGTCTACTACAACTACCAGTAAATCATTAATTAACCTGCTGAATTGCATACACAGCCACTAAATACATCAGCTATGATAGCATGATTAGTCAATAGAAGCAAAAATTCAACACAAAAGTTATTTATCAAATAAGTTTTTTTGTGGTTAACTCTCTGTTGCTATATTAGTTGGCCAGCCCGTGTAAGTAGTATTCCACTATTAACATGGAGTTAAATTATCCGTAAATCTTACTGGTAGAAATAAAATGATGAGTCACCTTTTACTATAGATGCTTATATTAGTTTATAAGGTACATCAGTTAAAAATTTACTTGAAAGGCAATTCTAACAGACATCATTATCTTTTTCATAATACAGAATTGAGCGCAAAAAGCAAAGTTGCCATGTTATTCATACTTTAAGATAGTATTTAATTATAATAGGGAGTATATTAAGAAGGAAATCATCATGAGAATTTTTATTTGGAGGAAATATTAAATTCAATTATTTAAACATGTAATTACTGAACTGGGCTATTTTCACTTAAAGATTGAACTGTATTGCTAAGAATCACTAAATGCACTTTATTTTTTATTTTCTGTATTTAAAGATTAATTATTGGTTATGCAATGATTGAAGGTAATGAAAAATTCTATAATTTTTACAAATAATTTGAAGCCTCTGGTTTTAGCATGTTTGCTTTACAATGATACTGATAATACATATTATTTTGAATATAACCAGGATATTCACTAAAGTCATGAAAAAAAAATAATATACTAGAAATGTTCTAATGAATGTTATTACAAATTAGTTAATTGCTATATGTCTTATAATTCAATTTGTGATATCTATCGCATTCAAAATATAAATTAACCCCTCCTTCCATATACGAATAAAATTACTTAGGTTCTAGATAAAAGCCCATGTATTTTATGAAGTTTAAAATACGATTTGTTAAGGCAACTTCTATAAATTTTCAAATCAGAGTGACTAAGCTTCATCTGTAAAGCAGAATTAAACTTCAATAAATATTCTCTACCATATCAAAATATAATTGTAAAAAATAAATGTAATTGTGTTGGTTGATACTTGGAAGTTGAATAAGAATAAAGTGAATTTTTATTAAAAGAAGTTCACCCTCTATAACAAATAGAATACTATCTTATTGGTGCTTATTTTATTATGCCAATGGATATCAAATGAAGAAATTGAATGTATTCTTCTACCTAATTCGATTTTGTTTGATAACCCTTGATGATGCACTTATATTAATATAGCATGCCAAGTTTTAGGTATTATGGAATATTAATTAGATGACTCTTACTAAACCTAAATCTCTAATTTTAATTTCTCTTTGAATCCAAAATGATGTAATTGAATATCCATTCTATTAAACCTAATTACATACTTGATATTATTGTTTAAAAAATAAAACTATTTTAATTAGTTACTTCATCAAGGTTTTGTTGAAATTCTGCCTGCTAACATTAATTAGGATATTAATCAAGAATTACATATTCAAATTAGAAACTGGATAAATATTCTATTTTGGTGCAAGCATCCTCCGGCATACATATTATTATAAAGGCTTGAAAGTCAACAAATTTTATATCAGCGTGATAATTTATCTAAGCCAACTCTCATTCAGAAGTTTCAATAATAACTTACTCTTGGGCTCTTCTAAAGATTTATTTGATGATGTTAGTTTATTAAGAGAGATGTTGCTTTTTTTGAATAATTGCCTGAAGATAGGCAGACAGACATTCCCTGAAAGAGGATTATTTCAAGGAATTCAGAATAACTACGATAAACTTAGGGATAACTAAGAAATGAAAGATGGTTGGATGGAGAAAAATTCAGATAGTATAAAATAAAATTGATGGATTAATTAAAGTTAATTGCAGATGGATTAAATTTAATATTTTATTTGCTCTATTAGTAGTTAGTCGATATTTAATATTACAAAAAGGAGATATCAAAAATAGTTTACATGTATTTTCAAAAAATGATATTATCTAATTATCTTCTTAAAAGATCACATTCGCTTCAGATTATAAACTGTTCTAGACTAAAGAAATCTAATAAGATCTGAAGTAGTATTGTCATGCATGATTGCGATGCAAAGATGAGAGATGTTCACATTGAAAAAGTCATGGATAGTAACTTGAAAGAAGAATGGAAAATAGATTATATAGACCATGAGATTTATCAAAAGTGATATTAAGTAATTATTAATCATTAAACAAATCAGTTATTATCTATCTTTAGGATTTGATTGCGAAATTATATTTGAATTAGGAAGAAAGAGTGGGTATTTATATATGCAATTTGTCAATAAAAATAGAAAATGAAGGTCAAATAAATAGAAATATGTCTTACCTCAGTTACTAAAGTAATGTTTAAGAGGTTATTTGAAATATAATGGTAAGAATAAAAAAATAAAGAATTAAATAACTTTTATGAAAAAGAAAGGTAAAAGAGAAGGGCGGAATGGTTGGAGCATGAGCACATATCATGTGAATCTAGAAGATGGAGGATTTTGCCAGATGAACAGATCGGATGTGAAATTGTTGCAGAAAGATATTAATGGAACGTAGGTATATGGGTCGTTCAGCCGAAGAGACAAGGGGATGGGTCATGGAAAGTATTGAAGAGGTTTAAAGGATGGTAAAGTATTTAGATGAGATATAGTTTTAATTGATTTCAAAACCTAATGTGGAGTTTTAATATCACAGTGAAAGAACACAGTCCACGCAAGTTACATAAATAGTATTAAATCTCTTAATAGAACTTTATTCTTTAAGCCACTACTAAGGATATATAATTAGAAGGAGTAAAAATAAACCATTATTGATTACAACACCAAGAATATCTAATTTATGAAAAGAGATAGATTCCCCTTTCCTTACAATATATAATTGGACAGCGAAAGTGGAAATATTGAAAAACTTCTAAATATTTTAATAATAAAAATATAGTAAAGCCTCATCTAATAAGATGAAACTATCATCAAAATATATATCACATCTACTTATATTGGTCTTTTGCAATAACTGCTTTCATTTCCTTCTATATATATGAAATATTAAATAAACTAGTATTGATATTAATATTAATTAAATTCGTAATATGCTGCTTGATATTATAATTTTTAAGATCGAATTTCTTTATAAAAATTGTAATATTGAATATAAAACTATAGATAAAATAAAGTTATAATTGTTGACAATTATTATATTATTTGAAAAAGTGTATTACTAGTGAACAAGAACTATTTCATATAGAGGGTAAAATTTTTGTAATGAAATATAAAGTCTCAAATGAATTTTTAGGATTAATTTTTAATTACTTGCTTCCTATAATTACAGAAAATGCTTAATTTTTCCAAATACTTAAAAAATAAAGAATAATTGCTTATGAAAGAATTGTAAATATTTTACGCGAGGTTAAAAATTTAGATGATAAATACTCACATAATTAAGGACTTGAACTCTTGTATCTAGATTTAGGGTTTCAAAACTTTAGATACCATTTTTATGAAATAAGAATCAGTGAAAAATATCTAAACAAGTTTAAATGCTACCTGATAACTTTTGTTTTTAAAGTCCAATTTTCAACCTGAACTGTTTTTATTTACAATCCTTACTTACTTGAACAAAAGAGTTAATATTATTCACTTAATTTAACATCATAATTTACAAACAACTTTTTAAGAATTTTATTTTAAGAAAAAACTCAACTCATTATCACCTGAACTAAGTTTTAAGCTTTATGTAAATTTATCAATTTTGAGATCTCTAACCCATATATGATATATAATTAAAATGTTATATTTTTGTTAATTTAAATCGCAAGTTATAAATTATTTATACGAAAACTAAATTACTAGGCATGTCCTACACCTTATTCAAATTATTAAATTAAATTATATTCAAATGGGATTAATCATTTTTTGGAGAAAAAACAACATTTGGGATTCAGGAAATACTTCCCTTTGCCTAGGTCACCTTTGAGACAATTTGCTCGATAAATTTTCCGATCAAAACTATCTTTTTCAGGAATTTTATAGTCCAGAGCTTAAATCAATTTTAATCTATTCAACAACCCTCTTGAATCATCAGTGAAAAACTCCTTGAGACCTAGTTATAGGAATAAAGAAGAGACTAATCTTCTAGGATTGTTAATCTCCCTCCTTCTCCTTCTCTACTTTTTCATCTATCTACCTCAAGCAACTTGATAATACTCTGAACCATCATCTCAAAATTACGCACTTTTTTTTTGTTACTCAAAGTTATCAACAAACCTTATGAAAGTATTGAAATCCAAAAATTTTTCCATAAAATTTTTCTTTTTTTGCTTGTCTTGATGATTGCGATCACTATTTAAATCTAAAGGCAGCTTTAATTAAATTAGTAACAAAATTGATTATTAGGCATTTAAGTATTTTTTTTTGAGGGTTGAGCAAATTTCTCCACATAATTATGTGATATACTTGATACCCTAGTTTGGCGCATAAACAAGGTGTCGACGCTGCAATTAGTACAAAAAATAGCTCGAGCATTATAATCATCGTCAATGAATCATACCTACCACTATATCAAACACCTGATACATTAGATTAGCAGGTGTTCAAAAATGTTGTACAAGTTTTACCAATATAAAATATTATGTGCATTAAGGAAACAATTAATAGGAGCCGAATGTAATAGAATAATTTAGGCTGTGAGAAAATATTTAGGAATGATTTAAACAAATGCTTCTTGAGGCAATTGGCTCTAAGTGTAATTAAAATCAACATATAAGAAACAACATTTATCTCAATATCAGCAAATTACTAACTAACTCAATTTGATCATCCATTCTAATCAGTACTTAAGTTTCAAATGGTTGCGTTCAAGGTCTCCTTTCAAGAAAAGTTTAAATAATACAGGATAAGAGGGAGCCATCAGCTAGGCCTTAAAAATTCATAGCACAATTTGCTCTGTATCCGCCTGCGTATACATATAGAGTGCATCACCCAGCTATTTTAAGTACTAATCATGTATTTTGGACTTTGCAATATTGACATGTTTACAGTATTATCAAGGCCCCAAGAGAATTTTTAAAGCTGAATTTGAACTAGCTTAACGTTAATTGCCACAAATAGCCATAAAGCCATCTCAACAAAAAGCGCTTTCGATTAATGAATAAACAGTGGGAAAATCGCCTTTTTTCAAGTAGTTGATGCTCCAGAGTAATATATTTGTTCACTTGTTTATACATGAATAGTTTGTATAAAGAGAAGTAACATTCTGAAAAATTTATTCTAAGTTCACCTCAATTGTAAAAGCCTTTAAAAAATTTCTTGTTCGTGGTTGCCAAAAAATAATAGCAGCCATTTCCTAAGTTAGGTTTATATGGCAAATATGTAATGATACAGATTCAGATATATTTGAAAAAATTACAGCGCAAAAATCCATGTTGCAAGCCAAACATGTATTATCTAATTTAGGCAGCAACACGATTAAAAATAGAGTAAGCAGGCAGATTAAAGTAAAATATGAACAATACCAGTAAAGACAGCTGTAAAATTGAATGCAGCCTAAAATAAGTGACTGAATGGTTGAAGCAAGCAAACAGTACATGATTAATTCATGTCGAAAAATATACATCTCGTATTGGTATGTGTAATTAGATTTCGATAATGTTGCTCATCACAAGCTGAGCAACTAGTTCATGCAGCCCGAGGATACGGACTTGTTGTAAAATTTCTACAATCACCGATATAGAGAGCAACCTAATTGTTGGGTTTAGTGATAAAATTATAAAATATATTAGACATTTCCATATGCAGATTTGGTTGTTTTTCTTTTGTTATAGCGATCAAATTTTAGTTAATGATCTGATCCTGAAATTTATGTTGTAGTTAGGCTACATTGCTTATAGTGCTATTTAATTGGTGATTACACTTGTCGAACTTGTAAAACAAAGCTCTTAAATTCTCCAATAATAGTGCTAAATTCATTATCATTGTATCGAATGCATATAGTTGTTAGCACTATCTATGGTTATTAAGTAAATGGTGGCTTTGTCTTATATCAAAATCTTTGTCGTGAATAAGTTGCTTCTATCTAGCAATATTTGAACTTAGTTTTGTTAAATATCCATGAGAGGAGAAAAAAAAGGAACTTTTAATCAGAAGTTATTGCACATCCTATGCTAATAGTATTCATATCATTCAAATATGGAAAGAATAAGGAAAATTCAGATTCGTTATATTTGACAAAATTCTCCTTTTAGGAATAGAAGTTTGGTTTCAGGTAATTTGTAGGATTGTAAGAAGAGAAAAAAAAATGAAAACAAATACAATTTTTTGAAAGAATGCTATCCCCCCCCCCTCCCTTTATGTTGTTTTTAAATTGTGCTAGCAGATTATCGTAACGCACATATAATGGTAAGATTGGTTATCCTTTTTTCAGATACTAAGAGCTATCCAAATTACAAATAACAGATGCTAGGTAGTCCATCACGAGAGAAACAAACTGAATAAACATCTTCAAAAATATTAATTCAATTAATTTAGATATTCGTTTCCCTGATAATGCCGATCCTAAATAAATATATTTAATAATTCATTACCCTCATTAGACCAAAAAGGATCATTTTTTTCGAATATAATAGAAATAGCTTCAATTTAATAATTAATAGCTTCATTGTAATATTTAATGATTGAATTTGGTTTAACTTGAATTCAATATAAATCAATTAATACATTACCTAAATTTTAAGATTTCAGACTCTTTTTATACATCATATTAATATTCTATTAAATTGAATTGTTCAAAAGGTGTTTAAATTAGATTATAATGCATTTCACAAAAGTCATAATTAACAACACTTTTACTACATTAGAATTGTTTGTCACATTTGAATATATCAAATGACTTATTAATTTGTCTAACTAATATTTTAATGAATTGAATTAAAATAGAGGGAATTTAATAATTACAGGTTTAATATCATCAACTAATAATTATGATACGTTTATTTTTTAAGTTATTGATCAAATTAATAAATTAAGACTGCTTAAATTCTTAATACAACATAAAAAAAAGTCTGAATTAGTTTTTTATATGTTTTGCAAACTTTTATTTTCAGAATTATATATTTTATTACTTTAAGTAATAATCAATTCAATTTCTATTCTATAAAGCTTTCTAAAATGCAGCTTCCTTTTGATTTGAATAATGATTTTAGATCTACACCATAATAATGAACAAACTCGCCTTTCAAAATTAAAGTTCCTTAAGCATCTAAATTGAGCTTCTAAGAAATTTTTATAATGGGAATACAAGAGGTAGCTAAGAATAGTAATAAATAAATACCACTTTCTGGAAGAATATTAAATTAAATTTTTGAAGGCTTAAATTAAGTTAAAATATCTTTAAAAAGATGATCTGACTATTCGATTAATTATCTTGTCTTAAAATCCCATAAACGGATAGACTTATCATCGCTACCAGATGCTAATGTGGTACCATTAGGAGAGTAACAAATTGATAAAACTGATTTGGAATGACCATCTAATTTGGCTTTTTATTATCCTGTCTTAACATCCCATAAAAGGATAGACTTATCATCACTACCAGATGCTAATGTAGTACCATCAGGAGAGTAACAAATTGAATTAACAATATTTGAATGACCATCTAATTTGGCTTTTTAATATCCTGTCCTAACATCCCATAAACGGATAGACTCATCTCTACTACCTGATGCTAATATAGAACCATCAGGAGAGTAACAAATTGATAAAACTGTTCCGGAATGACCATTTAATTTGGCTTTTTATTATCCTGTCTCAACATCCCATAAACGGATAGAGTTATCCTAACTACCAGATGCTAATGTAGTACCATCAGGAGAATAACAAATTGACATAACTGCACTTGAATGACCATCTAATTTGGCTTTTTATTAACCTATCTTAACATCCCATAAACGGATAGACTCATCTCTACTACCTGATGCTAATGTAGTACCATCATGAGAGTAACAAATTGATAAAACTGTTTTAGAATGACCATCTAATTTGGCTTTTTATTATCCTGTCTTAACATCCCATAAACGGATGGACTCATCTCTACTACCAGATGCTAATGTAGTACCATCAGGAGAGTAACAAATTGATAAAACTGTTCCGGAATGACCATCTAATTTGGCTTTTTATTATCCTGTCTCAACATCCCATAAACGGATAGAGTTATCCTAACTACCAGATGCTAATGTAGTACCATTAGGAGAATAACAAATTGACATAACTGCACTTGAATGACCATCTAATTTGGCTTTATAATATTCTGTCTTAACATCCCATAAACGTATAGACTCATCTCTACTACCTGATGCTAATATAGAACCATCAGGAGAGTAACAAATTGAATAAACTGTTTCAGAATGACCATCTAATTTGACTTTACATTATCCTGTCTTAACATCCCATAAACAGATTGAGTTATCCAAACTACCAGATGCTAATGTAGCACCATCAGGAGAATAACAAATTGAATAAACTGTTTCAGAATGACCATCTAATTTGGCTTTTTATTATCCTGTCTCAACATCCCATATACGGATAAAACAATCTCCAAAACCATATTTATTCCCACCACCAGTTGCTAATATAGTACCATCAGGAGAGTAACAAATTGAATTAATTTCACTTAAATGACCCTCTAATTTGGCTTTTTATTATCGTGTCTTAACATCCCATAAACGGATAGACTTATCATCACTACCAGATGCTAATGTGGTACCATCAGGAGAGTAACAAATTGATAAAACTGATTTGGAATGACTATCTAATTTGGCTTTTTATTATCCTGTCTTAACATCCCATAAACGGATAGACTTATCTGAACTACCAGAGGCCAATGCAGTGCCATCAGGAGAGTAACAAATTGAATTAACTATACTTGAATGACCATCTAATTTCGTTTTTTATTTTCCTGTTTTTAGATTCAATAAATACACAAATTTTCTGCTAGTGAAAGCTAGTATAGTATTATTTGGTGAGTTACATACTGAATTGACCTATCCCTAAATTTTAATTCTATACTTTTCTTTCCCAGTTTTAATATCCCACAATATAATATCATCACAACAAGATACTAATGATTTACCATCAGGAGAAAAGCATACCGATTTGACACTTCCACCATGACCTTCTAAGTTGTTTAACTCATTAGTTTTGATATTTTTCCATTTACAATTAAACAACTAAGCTTAATTCAAGTTCATTCCACTAATATCTACATTGTCAAATTCTGATCCATTGAAATTGCATCGTACAAAATTTCCACCAATTAAAGAGGTATTTCTGATCCTGATATTCTCTAAACTTTATTCCCTCAAATCAGCCTTCATCTAAACTAGCAAATGAAGAGAATTCGATCCACATTAAGTATATCTATCATCGAAAGCAGTCAGATGAACTAAAAATTTTAGGAATTCTATAATCTTTTTATCCAATGCTATTTTAGTGATTAGATCATTTTTTATTTCTTCATAATCATCCATAGAGTAATTTTGTGTATTAAAGTCATGATCCCTAACTTTTTTGAGGACATCTGTTATTCTCTTAACACTCTTCTCTCCATTAAGAGTCTGTTCTTTATCAAACAGAGATTAGTTTTCTACCTTTTATCTTTCCATTTCTAAAAGGAATTTATTTTGATCTTATAAGAGAAATTCTAGGCAGTCTTATATTCTCTCCTTTTTCAATATGTTTATGAGGATAGGGAGGATTATTTCATCAACCTCTTTGGATAAGGTCAAAACCCGATACAACTCTCCAACTTACTCCTTTTCACAATACATTTTCTTTTCTTTAAATTAATTTTGAATTTTTATTACTATATTTTTGAGTTTTATATTACAAACGAATAGTATCTAACACTACATGTTTGAAAGATATACAAGCGATTTAATGTTTTGGAATTGATGTAAATTGTAAAAGGGGAAAAGATAATCACTAAGATTAGAATTTATGATTCAGCATTCATATATTCAATTTATTACTTTCAAGTTTAAATCTTTGGTATTGAATTACTGGAACTCACAGAGGTTTAAACCTGTGAAATTGATTTCAAGTTGTTAGAGTGAAACATTTTTCTAAAGCAAATTTTTAACTTAATCAAGCTTGTATTTAAAATGACTCTCGCTTTTACTGATATAAATACTATTTCTACATGTATTAGATTATATTAGTATATACATAAATAAAAATTAACAATTAAAAAGCAATTAATAAAATTGATTGAAATTGTATATTTTATTTGGCTTTTAATAATTTCTAAAGATTTATTGTCTAATTGGGTTAAACTAAAAGTTATAAAGAAGAACAATTTAGTTATTTTTTTTACATTATCTATTAAGTATATGAATTACCAATTTTGGGTAATTTCTTAATTTCATAATGAATTAAAATTGAATTAGTTGACCGATATTAACTTTTTATAGATATTAATTCATTTTTAAGATTTATCTGAATGATTAATAATTGGTATTTATTTATATATCTTATGCAAAATTATAGTTGAAAGTAGCTCCTTTGGATGTAATTCACATAAAGCTTGTTTAAGATTATTAGATGGTTGTTAGGGGGAAGGTATGATTATTGTCTCCTTGACTACTTATTGATGATTAATATATATTTACAGTCTTTTTATATCTAATACTTTTAATATTAATTTAAAATAATAATTACAGATTATGAAAATAATATCAAGAATCGAGCAGAGTAATTTTAATGTTATAGTTTTGGTTATATTTCCAGGATTAAGTTTATTCTTTTTTGAAATGTTATCTTTGTAATTAATTGTACCACATATTTAAGTAATATTGCAATTGATGCAATTAAGTTAACAATCCAAATTAATCATTAGATTATTCTTTATTGAGATAAGAAATTTTCAAGAATAAAATCACATTACAGTTGATACTATGTATATAATTGGGCTATATTTTAAATTAATATTATTAATAATTGATCGAATATTTTCATTAGGAGATGAATCCAAACTACCTCAGCAGTATTGTTACATTATATAATGAATTAATTTTCAAGCATTTAAAAATTAGAAATTTATACATTATCGCTAAAACATCAACAGTTTACATAGTTCGAATTCTCTAAAAATCTCTATATTTTGAGATTCTATTCTATTCAATTCCATCTGAATTTGTTTTCCTTAAGTTACATACCAAAATTTGCATAACCATAGAATAGGAGAATCTGTATCATTTTAATTTCAATGTAAATTCTTCTTAATCGATTTTAAAGTTAGCAAATTTGTTTTAGAATAAATGCTGATATCAATAGATGAACAGTGAATTAAGAATAAATAAGAAAATTTGTCTATATGTAGCTAATTATTCGTATCATCTAATAAAGCTTAATGATCAATTTAACGAAAACTTATTATTAAAATAGAGCTTATGTATATCGTAAACTTCAAAATTTCTAATATATATACCTTAAACGAGGGTAATAT